TTTAAGATTCTTTAGATAATTAATTACTAGTTACATTATAGTATTAAGTAGTATTATACTTATTCTATATACTATCTAGTCTTATATAATCTATTACTATAGTCCTATTACTACCTTAATAGTTCTATCTTAATATCTTACCTCCGTAAATATATACAATCTACTTACCTAAATCCATACTTAAACCCCTTATCTATAATAGTATCTATCTTTAGTATCTAGCTTAGAGCTTAGCTAAATTTATAGCTTAATTGAATCTATAGTTTATTAAGAGAGTTCGTTCTTACTTACTTATATATAATATATATTTACTTTCTAAGAGGGATTCTCTCCCTTAAACTTCCTATTTTCTTTTTGTAAATTAAGGGGCGTTCCTTCCTTAAGCCCCCCCTAGTAGTCTTTAGTATATATAAAGAAGGTAGTTTTTCTCTTTACTTACTCTCTAGCTTTTTCTCTAGTATTTTAACTTTTAGTCTAGTTTATAGCTTAATTTATAGCTAAGTTTAGAGCTAAATTTATAGCTTAGTTTATAGCTTAGTATATAGTCTACTTTTTAGCTTAACATATAGTCTACTTTTTAGTTTATTACTTAGTTTTTTACTTAGTTTCTTAATTAGTCTCTTACTTAGTATATTGCTTAGTATTTTACTTAGTATCTTCTTTATATATACTCTACTTTAATATCTAGCTCTCTTTCTAATTATTCTTTGAGTTTAACTTATAGTCTAGTTTCTTTCTAGTTTAGTCTTTATCTTAGTTTCTACTTTAGTCTTTAGATTAATCTATATTATATAGTCTAGCTTAGCTTCTATTACTAAAAAGATTAATACTTACTACTTAAGTAAAAGATAAGTATCTTTACCTTCTAAGAGAAATTTTATCTCTTAACTTATTTTTCTTTCTCTTTTAGATTAAAAGAATAACTTTATTTATATAGTCTTTTTCCTCTAATAATATCTTTTTAAACATATATAAGTAACTTTTTCTATATACTTTATAGACTTCTTTATAAGATATAAAGTTTAAGACTTACTAAGTTAACTTTTAATATAAATAGATTATCTACTATTTATATAGTATATTACGTTATAATAATTATCTATACTATATCTACTATAACTATACTTAGTCTATACAAAGTCTTTTAGGGTAATCTTGAATTCTATAAATACTTATTTAGTTAAAAGATAGTTAATTATAAATCGAGTTAGCTCTTATAAGCTATACATAAAGCTTATTCTACTATAGCTACTATTCTTTATCTTTTTAAAATATTTATATTTAGCTAATTTAAGTCTCTCTAGTAAAATATAATATTTTCTATAGAAATCTTAGATTCTATACTTAGATTTAAGGTACTTTTTAACTCTCTTAACTTATTTCTATACATAGAATATTAAACCTTTATACACTATAGATTCTTTTAATAGACTATATTTATCTTATAGTTAAATAGAATGTATAGAGATTTACTTATAGAAGAATCTAAGTATAGAGTACTCTTAGCTTACTTTTAATAAAACTCTAGTATTAATCAAGCTAGTAGCCTACTTTAAGCTTATATATAGTGCTTATAGATTATAGAATTAATCTATAGTTTTATATTTTAGATTAGATTAGATCTACTCCTATAAAAAGGAAGGTCTAAAAACTACTTTTACTAAAAATACTACTTCTCCTTAAATAGTAGAGATATAAGGCTGAAAATTTAGTTTAATATACTTAATATATATGTTTAAAAGTCTTAGGACTGCTTTTTTTAATTTCGCCTTAGTAAGCTTTTAGTCTAAGTTTTAATTTTAAGCTACCCTTATTTTATCTATTTAACTCTCTATAGCCTTTACTATCATAAAGTTATAAAAAATTCCAAATTGTATATTTTATAGCTCTAATATTTCTTAGTAATATAAAATTTAATTAAACTTTATTAAGCTTAGTAAGCGGATTTATAGCGAATATAAAAATGGCGAGCAGACTTTTCTTACTCTCTTTTCCCTTATATCTCACGTAATATTAGCCGGGAATTTATAAAAAAAACAGTATTATATAGCTTAGCAAGTAGGCTCTAGGCCCGTGATTAAATAATAATAAACTACGTAAGCATAGTAGTACTATATAGAGAAAACCTCTTTTCTCGAGCTGATTTTTACTAAGTCTTACTTTATAATACATAGTGGAAAATTCTATTTTATGAAGTATATTAATAGAGAAAGAGAATAACTCTTACATATATTGTATAGGAAATTAGAGGGGGTTTAAGAGAGAGGATATCTTTTATTCTTAATAAGAAAATAGGTAGTTAAGAAGGAGAATTTCTCTTAGAAAGAAAAATATCTATTTTTACTTGAGTAAGATAAGTTAATAAATATAACTAGACTAGAATATAAAATAGCTATTATACTATAAATAAAGCTAGAAACTAAACTAGAAAGTAGACTTTAAATTAAGCTAAAAGCTAAACTAATAACTATACTCTAAACTAAGCTAGAAACTAGACTAGAAATAAAGCTAGAAACTAAGCTAAGAAGTAACCTAAATATAAGCTAGACTAGATATAGAGCTAACTTATTATATAGAAAGTATTATAGAGTTTAATTAGATTCAAAACTAAAAGTAAGCTAAATAGTAGCTGAAGAAATAAACGAAAGAAGTAATTAAGAGTTAAACTAAAGATTATATAATAGAGAAACTAGATTCTAAATAGAAAAAAAGAAAGACTATTATATATATAATAAAAATATATATAGAATAGAGAGAACTAGAGAGAGGTTAAGAGAAGAAATATTACTTATATTTAAGGGAAAGAAAGATAGAAATATATAATATAACACTATACTAATAAAAATCTAAATATACTAAGCTTTCTTTATTAATATTCTAAACTATTTTAGTTTAAAATAAGTATATCTAGTTATCTTATAATATTAATCTAGCTTTATATTATAGTTTAGACTTAGTGTTTTTTAGTATTTAGGTCTTTAGTTATTCTAGAATTATATAACTAAATTATAAAATCTACTTATAGAGTTTTCTTGTTATTTTCTTTACTATATCTTCTAATCTTATATAATATCTTATATATTACTCTAATAAATTAAGTTCTAGTATTAAGCCTTTCTATATTATAACACTTTTTTATATTTTATACTATTCTCTGTTTCTTAATTATAAGTACTATTTTATAGCAACTCTCTATTATATTATTTATTAAAGTAATTCTATTATAATTCTACTTATTATACTAGTCAAATTAGACTTAAAGCTTTTTCTAAAAAATTTAAGCTACTAATTAAGTATTCTAAGCTATACTAAGCTAATAGACTTAGATAATTTAGATAGTTTAGATAGTTTAGCTATTCTAGATCTTTATATAATTATAGAGTATTCTAAATAGCTCTAAGTATATAAATTCTTTTTCTAATAAAATTACTTAGCTAAAGCTATTTTTTGTAATAAGCACTTAAAGATATTAATAAAAAAAGAGAAAAGGAATTTAAATTACTTACTAAGTAGCCTACTAACTGAAGTAGTTTTAAGAAAATATAAAGATTCTTTTTCCTTTCTATCTTTTCTTTTCTACTCTATAAGCGCTTAGGAAAAACAGCTTTAACTAAGCAGCTAAAAGATTTAGTAATATTACATGCTTTAGTTACTAGTAGCCGCGATTCGCGGCTCTTATTGCATGCGTTACGCGAGTTCCAAAGTGTCTTCTAGTATATAGTCAACTGCGTTAGTGCACTAGCTGCTAATATAGTGCTGCGAAGCATATTTAAAGCTAGTTTCCCCTTCTAATCATTGTGAGAAGAACTATCTGAGGGCTAGGCTCTACCTGGGTAGTGCTTATAGTCCTAAACTCTTCTCTATATCATCCCACCTTCCACTTCGCAGTGGATCCAGCCTCTGAAGCTCTCGAAGCCAGTGCCGCATCTCTGTAGTCGTGCAAGCTTTATTCCCCGCATCGACCTCACGGTAGACCGCTGCGTACTGTAGCAGAGCTTGATAGACCCATTTGCAGTCCTGGTAATCGTCAAGCATCTCTTTGACCCTGGCCAATTCGCGCTCGTAATATCCACAGCGATCGTGATTTGTGAGGTCCAGCACGATGGCCGCATGCCGAGGACATTCTGGGGAGAGTGTACTCATCAAGGATTGGTGATAGAACCACATCGATTGGTTCTCTGGGTCAATGAGTCCCTGCTGCGTCAGGTCAAACTCGGCGTCAAGCATCTTGCGTCTTGCGGCGGCATCTGCTTGTCGTTCATCCAGTAGGCGAGGGATCAGCTTGCTTCGGTTGTGCCATGCCGAGAAGTTACCTAGGTCGCTGTTGATCATTTTTGTTGTATAGATGAATTCTGTCTCCACCATGCTGGTCTGTCTGCTAGTATCAGACGAGTCTGCGTGACCGTCCGAAGGTGAGTGGAGTTCAAGCTGGGCCACCACAAGCCGTCGGTAGTTCCATCCGTGAAAGTTTCGTTTGTCGCGATTGAGCATCTTGCCTACGAGACTTAGCTCATCCTGCCATAGCCGCCGCACTGTGATAGCAGGCAAATGACTCGTCGACTGCTCCAGCAACCATATCCTATGGTTCCATATCCAGTAGCACTTGGGAAAGGCGACGAGCAGAGGAACGAGGAATCCAAGGTCGCTAGTGATAAGGTCAAGCACCGACTGCTGGCTCGCAGAAAGTGCAGTTGATACGGACTGTGACTGCGCAGAAGCCGCAGGCGGGTTTTTGAAATGATGCTGCAATATCAGACGGCGGTGGTTCCAGACCGTGTAGTCCTCTGGGTTCCTCTTCAAGAGTTTTGACGTCAGGGCCAGCACCTCGATCGTGAAATGCCTCTCGGCAATCTATCACAGCATTGTTAGGCAAGTAGTGGAAAGCGTCCGAGCAGGGCGACTACACATTTTTGTTGACTTGCGCCACCAGGTCTACGTACTCCTCTATCTTTTCGAGCTCTTTCTGGCGCGCCTGCCCCGTCCTGGCCTCGGTAGGCGCAATCCTTGGAACGCCGTGCTGTTCCCATGTCAGTCACATCACTGCCGTCGCAGCATGCTGCGCGACAGGAGTCGGCCACTCACGCTTGCCATAACAATGGCGACTGGTGCTGGCAAATCGCGCTTGAAGGACGTGGTTGATGTTTACGTTTCTCGGCCGCTTGGCTGATGCGGTTGGTGTCTTAAGCTCTACCCCTTGATCCTCTCTCACAACAACCTGGCACGCCTGGACACCAGACTGAATGCCGATATTGCTACTTTACTAACCACAGCAGCGTTTGAGAAGAGCAGCCTTTCGATCCGCAGATTGCAGGCCGTCGAAAATCCCTACCTGGACGGCTGCCTGCTCCCCTTTGCCGCCGACATCTCTGAGCACATTACTACCGTTACGCTCACGATCGCTTCTCGTATCAAGACTTTCTTGGTCCAGGCCTCCTAAACCGTCTCAGCATCCTTCATTGAACGCCGCTTTTGTTGTCGTCAGTACTGTCAATCTCAGTCTACACCTCGTTCTCACATCTCATTAGGGGCTGCTTTACAGCTTCCGTTCTGCTTCCTCACTGGAGCAGCTGCTTAAGCCAGCCATCGGTCGCCTTAGACCACCCCACCGAAAGCCCAGAATACCCACACCACTGCTCGCCATGGACCTCATCGCGAGAAAGATCAGACAGCGTGACTACGGCCTGCTGACGCCGCCGAGCTCTCCGCTTACACCGCTCGGATTCTTCGATCGAACCCCGGCGAACGACTACATCATGGTCTCTACTCCGCCTGTGTCGCCACGGAAGGCGACGCGTCCTCAAACGCCGGGCGAAGCGGGATTCGGCGGGCAGCATCTGCTTGGACCTGACAGTCCACCGTTGAAAGAAGATGAAGTCTTCCTGGAAGTACCAAGCCTTCAATTGTCGCCAGCGCGTCCATTACCGCTAAAACATCGTCGCTGTTGGTCTGAGACTACTAACACACACACCAAGCCTTTGCCAGCTTCCACCGAGATATCTGCCGAGCGATGGTTCGGGTTTGCACGCTCCGCTTCGCTTACAATCTCGGCTTTCACGATCCAAGAGATGGATCGGAGCGACGACGAAGACGATCTATCCATCGATGCAACTTCGACTGGCTCCCACGATTCTACTAGCCTAGCTCAACCGATACACGGAAACGTGCCCGTCCAGTTGCCGAACGCTTCATGGCCTCGACTGGATGGCACAGAGGACTTTCCCATCTCAACGCCCGGAGGGCGAGAAGCAGAGTCGCTTGAAAACGCTGCCACGCCTGATCTCAGCTCAGACGCGGATAGTGATGTTGATAGCGAGGTGACCGCTTTCGATCGAACACCAAGAACCCCTAGTCCGCCTGGACGTGCTGATCGCCACCTGTACTCGGCCAGTCTTACCTTGCCAGCTAATTCAGTCATTCCCGAGCCATTGTTACGATGTCCCGATACCCCAACTCCGCTCACTCAGGCCAGTCCCGCCAAAGGAGCGTTTCCGTTTCCCCCCCAAAGCCGCAGCGCCGGCTCGCTTTCTGCCCTTCGCGGTCGCTCTTCTGGTTCACCCTTGCGCCCAAGTCAACGATTATTGCAAGGCCGCCAGTCCCCCATACGAAGGCACTCGAGCCAGACCCCGGATCGTTTCATCCCTGTTCGGAGACCTCCGAATAATTCTTCGGATAGTTTCCGCTTAAGCACTCCGGTTGAAATGCTTACCGAGAACGAGCGTCGACATCGCCATCGCCATTCTGGGCCGGACCCATTCAGCCATCGACTGAGAGCTGGGGTTGGACTCGGTGAGGGACAACGTTCACTCTACACCCCTCACCAGCAGTCCATGAGCAGAGGGACCGGCGGTACAGTTGGACTTCGTCACGGCACCTTCAACAGCTCCAATCGCCAGGTCAGCGCCGGCGCTGTCTGGGGTGCCGGAGGAAGTGCCGCTGCCACCGGCATCACAGCTGTCCCAGATGGCCGGGGTAATCTATTAGGAAGTGGCACCAATGCACCACTGTACACTGCGCTCTTTCTATCAGAGCCCGAGCCTGCGTTGGAGGCCCGAGCACATGAACGGCGTTTGGCTTTGGCGCTCGATGTAGACCAAGCCGGCACAGTTCTTGGCAGTCTTCGTGAACCTGAATCTCCGGCGTCGTCGTCGTGCTCGAATCAATCAAGCTGCAATTCAAATCCTCGATGCAGTACCGAGACCGCTTGGAGCAACAACAAGTGGACCCAGGACACTTTTGATCGGCGTTTGTGACAGTGGGTCATGAGTGTGCTTTCTCTGTGCTAAATCAAGTATAGGGCCGAACAATACGCGGAAAGCGACGAAGCCCGTCCCAATCATACCTTTCAGATACGTTCAAAGCCTCGTTCATTGCTCCTAGCTAACTTATCTGCACAGTTCTTGATGCGCCAGCACTTCGAGATGACTACTACTGCTCTTTGTTGGCTTACTCGCCTTCCGTCAAATGTCTGGCCGTTGGACTGAGCGACCACGTCTATCTCTGGTCAGAACATCGCGGTGTCGACACCCCCGACAGTCTCAATGCACCCTACACTGCTCATGTCACATCACTAGCGTTCTCGTCAACTCAAGGCGGCCGGGCAATCCTTGCAACCGGCCGTGCTGATGGACGCATCACTCTTTGGAGTCCCTTCGACGAAGGACCACGCTTCGACTCTGAGCAGCCGCATCCTGTATCATGCGTCTCTTTCCGGCCTGCTGTCGTTAAGCGGCCGTCACTACGGGATCCTTATGTTACAGTCGAGACCGAAGAGCTTTTGGTAGGCGACGAAGCTGGCCATATCTATGTCTACTCTATCGAATGGCCCTCGTCAAATGACCGCGATCTGTTCGCCTGGCATGGCGCAATGACTCTTCTTGCGCGTATGACCGCACACAGTCAACAGATCTGTGGGATCGCCTGGTCGCGAGACGGCTCCCTCTTCGCTACGGGCGGAAACGACAACATCTGCTTGCTTTTCGAAATGAAGGCAGTCACTTCTCCGGTCCCAGCTCCTGGCCGCGTCCTTGCCATCGACGCGAGCCACGCCAAGCACGAGTTCGTACTTAGTGCCGCAATCAAAGCACTCGCTTTCAGCCCTCACCACCCTTCCCTCCTAGCCCTCGGCGGCGGCAGCAACGATCGGCATATCCACTTCTACCACGCCGGCTCAGCAGCACCGCTGGCGAGCATCAACTGTTTCGCTCAGGTGACGTCCCTCGTGTGGTCGAACACCAGGAACGAGGTTTGCGCGACCTTCGGTTTCGCCCAGCCAGAGCACCCGTACCGCATCGCCGTCTTTGCTTGGCCGAGCTGCCAACAGGTCGTAGCGATCCCGTGGGCCGAGGGCGGGCGAGCTCTATGGAGCATTCCGTATCCTGGCGGACCGGAGACGGGTAGGAGTAGGGGCGAAGGTGGAACCTGGTGCCGGCGCACCGAGCAGGAGGGCTGCATTGTTGTCGCGACCAGTGAGAGCAGTATCAAGTTTCATGAGGTGTGGAGTGAGGACAGGAGGATTAAGGGTGGGCTCGGCTCGCTGGGTGGGAGCAACATTCTGGAGAGCTTGGAAGGTCTTGACCGAGATGAAGGGTTGGCTATTAGGTAGCTTGGGTAGTTTGTGTGAGTTGTGGCCTGCCGCTTGGTGCTATTGTGGTCAGGGAGACCATCCGATAGGTAGCGTTTCCTAAGCTGTCATGCTTTCTTTCGTTCACTAGACCTACTAAACTTGGAAGTGCTAACGCCCGTGCTGAGACCAGCGAAGAATCCAAGATGTTCCTGCCGTATCTACCCAGGTAGGTGTGTGGAGTCCCGCAGTAGGCGTTCAGAAATCTTCATGTATTCATCGACCGTTTTCACGTCACATGCTCATGCTTCTATGTTGCCTCTCAACCAGGCCACACACCCAAGCACAAAGACCAGCACCATCGCATCCGCCACAATTGTCGAGTAAATGACGCTGTACCTCCCCACCACTCGCACATACCCACCATACGGCTCCGGTAACGCCCTACTGATAGTCCCCAACAACCCACTAGCAGGCAACTGGCCCCTCTCTAGAAAATATCTCGAGGACTGCAACACCACCTCAGCCGTAGCAAACAGCCAAAACAACCTCGGTCCCACAACGTCCGTGGCCCCATCCACAGTCTGACTCCTGCTGAACTTCGAGCCCGTGAAGCTCGAAAACAAAGCGACATAGAGACCGAGCACGAGCGAGAAGACCGCATGGACTACTCGCCAAATCGCTGCTGAGCTCGTCGCCGGCGGCTGCGTCTGCTCGCTCTGTCCGCCCAAGGCGCCAAACATGTCGGCGAGACCGGGCGGCAGGCCGCCGTCGCCGGGCGCCCCGCCGCTGCCGCCCAGGATCTGCTGCATCATGCGGAGCATCGGGTCCTCTGCGCCGGCGTTTGCGGTCGCGGAGCCATTGTTCGGCTGTGGGAACGCGGCGCCGAAGGGGTTGAAGTCCGGCGGCGGTTGTGGTGTAAGTGCGCGAGAGGTGGGCGTGTAGAAGTGCTGGCTTATGTCTACTTCGTCTGGATCGTCGTGGGCGGAGGGTGCGGGTCTGGGTTTGGGCTGTGGGGTGGTGGATGCGGGTTGTGATTGCGATGCTATAGGCTTGTTAGCGACAGGCCTGACAGTGAGGGAAGGACAAGTGTACGGAAATCGTCGGCTGGGGGAGGGCGTCCGCTTAGAGAGGTGATCGCTTGCAGGCGCGCCGAACCTCCGGCTTGGATCTTTGCGTTGCGGCGCTCGCGGCGGAGCCGGGCTTGTCGCTGGCCTGGCGTCTCTTCTGCAGCAGAAGCGGGCGAGTCGGAAGGGGAATCCATGAAGGGCGCGTAGGGGGATGCGTCCGGTGGGGGTGTTGAGGGGTTTGGTAGGGTATGTTGGACAAACGGTGCCCTTCTGCTTTGGAAGGGAAACTGTGAATACGAGTATGGGTTTCTGAGCAGATCATGGGGGTGTGACGTTGGCAGTTGACGGAGACTTCCGCTAGGTCGAGGTTCTTCAGGTTGACCAATCGGTATCTTACCAGTCGCAGAAGGATTCAGATAAGATCCCTCACATTTTTTTTTCAATATTGGGGCCATGTTTCGAAGTAATTGCGCGCCTCTGTCAAGGCAGGCAAAGCAACCAGAATAGCCTGAGCATACTACACTCCGGCTGAAGCCATGCTGGCCAGGAACTTGCCGGCCCGTTGTGTGACACGAGCTCTGTGGGGGCGGGAGATCCCCGCCTGAAGACCGTGAGATGTGATGTGTACCTTTCGCAGCTTGTCCTCCACTTTCTTACTCAAGTACTACTGTCGAGCCTTCTCGTTGTCACAGCACTTTTCAGCACCTGTCAGCACTCTTCTTAGAGCAGAATCACGCCCACAAAACCCGCCTGGTCGTACTTCAAGAGTCGTGTTTCAGGCACTCCATCATGGCATCCTACACACCCCTTCAACAAGACCGCCAGGCCCGAAACAAAGCCACCCACAAAGCACCTGCGGCAGGCAGCTCCAAGACTACGGCCAACCCCGCTCAGCAACCATCGAACACCTACACCGATGCCCAGTTGCACGCTGACGAGACCTTCGAAGAGCGCGAGCGGCGTCACAATGCCGCCAGGACACTTGAGAGCAACGAGATGCTCATCTGGTTGAGTATGAGCAGGAATGAGGTTCGGATAGCACCAATGAACACCGCATGAAAGCATAGCGGCGTGGTTAATCTTTGCTGGTGCCGCAGTCTGTGCCACAGATACGCCTCTACTACGAAAGAGTGCTCGCGGGCTTCGATCCTGATGCTGACGATGGAGACAAGGCAGGGGATGAGGTGAGGGAGAAGAGTGGCAGGAGAAGCCTGGGGAAGGAAAGGGAGGGTGGAAGTTCGCCTGGGAAGGGGAGGAGAGTGAAAGCCGCGACCGGGAGTGGAAGCAAGAAGAAGAGGAATACGGGCAGCGGGGCGGCTTAACGGAACGAGAGCACAATATCATTACAAGGGCGTGATGCTGGGACTGTAGATGCTTGGATCAATGACGGAGAACTTGTGGAGCCCATGCTTGGTGCATCTCGATTTCTCCGGTCTTCTTGAGCAGAGAGCATTACTATACCCAGCATAGTTAGCATGAACCAGAGAACTTGCCTCGCGGCAGCACTTCTTCTTGGTAACACCCACTAGGTCTTAGTATCACGAGCGTGTAGATGTGTAGCAATGTAACATGTATTCCTACCCAAACGATAACTATCCGCGCCAGACAGCAGGCATGCACAGAGCCTCCACATGCATGCTCTACGCGCGAACCACAACACGTACAGTGAACGACAGGCCCAAAAAGCCCCAGAAACTTTAGGAGACTCAAAGTCTCATAATCCTTCTTCCATCCCAACGTCTCTCCACCACGCGCCCTTCCCCGCATCAGGCGCGTTGAGCATCGACTCCGCATCGCCGACCTGCCGGCGCTCACTGACCTCTCTAGTAATCTTTGCACTTAGTTTCAGACGCATGGCTTTAGACGCCATGGTCACACCCTGCATATACCTGCCCGTCAATCCTTGGGGTGCCACCGCTGATCCGAAGTTGCTGTTCATTGCGGGCTGCTGCCAGTCACCCCTCATGACTGGTGATTGCTATTGCAGGGGCTCGGAGGAGGAGGAGAGGCGGTTGAGATGGAGGTAGACATCGGTGCCGTATCTTTGTAGATTCTTAGGTCAGCGTGCTTCTGATACTGTCTTGAATGACAAGAGCTTACCCCTCCATGCTAATCAGCTTTAGGTCGCCGCCGAAGTATCGGGCGTAGAGTCTACTAATAGGCAAGCCGTATCCGAACCCAGCCATGGGCGCCTTGAAATCGCTCTTGTTGAAGTCTGGATCCAAGCTCGGCGTCTGATCTACGGTCGTGTACATGTACGTCCAGACCAGTGGAATGGCACTACGCGGGATTCCTCCTCCTTCGTCGGTTATTTTGATTGTAATATCCTCCTTACCCTCAGCTACAATAACTTTCGTTACCGGAAACTCCTCCTTGTCTTGTCCATGCGTCTCCACCACGGCACGCAGAGAATTCTTCAACGTCTCGAAGAGCATGTGACTCAGATGTCCGGGAACATACATGAAGTTGATATCTGGGTTGCACACCAGTTGCACTTTTGGGGCGTCAAAGAGTCCATAGTGGTCTTCACAGACGAAGCGCGCATTCTCGATGGCTTCCTTCGCCAGATCGTGCACATTGGTCTTTGTGCAGATTATGCCGACGTAGTTGGGGTCGGAATGTTGCTTTTGGTCGGTCAGTGCGATGTGTTGGCCGATCAGCATCCGGATGCCGATGCGGGACATGTAGAAGCGGTCAAGAAAGGATTGGATGTTGTGGTCGATCTGCATGCGCTGGCGCTTGCGCTTCCATTCGAGAATTCCCTGTGCTGTAATTCATGACTGATTAGCAGCATACCTCAAGGCTAGGCTCTCTAGCCCATGGAGACCCGTACCGACTGTGGTAACAACACTATCGTGCCGGCGCTTGATCTTATCAAGCGTCTCCCGAAACTGGTTGTTATACTGGCTCAGCTCCGGCGGCCAGCCCTGGCCATCGTCCGCAGCCACATAGTACCGCCGAGCCGAACCTGCTTTCCGCTCGCCGTTACTGTTTCCATTGCCGTTGGTGGTGGAGCCCCCAGGTGCTGACTTGTACTGGCCCTGTTTGACGCTTGGGTTGTGCGTTGTCTGGCTAAGTATCCTCGAATCCTTTCCTGCTTTCTTAGCCGGGCGTAGCAGTCTATCTCTAACTTCTTTTGAAAGCGAAGGCCGTTCAAGAGTGGTCAATTCCTAGCGATATCCGTAAGACTTGTATACTCAATGCTGAATGCGCCGCCAGCACTTGTTCACGAACCTCGAATGACTGAGCGTACCAGTCCGTCACTCTCTGTATAGATGGCATCTCATTGAGCCCGTCGGGTAGTTCACTGAGTTCTTGCACACGGTGGGCTAACCGGATGGGAAGCTCTTCGGAGAGGAATTGGGAGGCGCGGAAAAGGGTTCCTAGTAGCAATTGACATTAGACCCGGTCTCAAGACTCATCGGGTGCGTAAGTTGGTGCATGCGATCGTACCGGTGGAGGGCTTCTCCCCGAACTGCACCATCTGCCTCAAGCTTACGCCAGTTGCTGGGAACTTGGAGTAATGCTTGATGGTCTCCATCAGCTTGTCCGTCCTCTTCCACGACATGTTGGCGATCGACCTAGGGCCACGCGGCCCTCTGCTCCGGTATCAATGCTGCTGTTGAGGCGACAGAAAGATGCAGCGTGACCGTATCCAAAATGCGGGTATCGTGAGCTGGATGCTCCCCGCGAATGACGTTGTGCCGAGGCTACTGAGACGTGCGCGTGCAGCGAGTGTTTAGCGGGTTCTTGCGACGCTGAAGACAGACGCCGCTGCTGCGAAGGAACAACTGAGTAGCAAGAGGATTGGGGGACCGTCCGATGTTGTGTAAAGCATCTGGCGGTGGGGCCCGTCGTGGGGTCTCTCGGTAGCGGGCAGGAGTCATATCTGGGGGTTCGTGGAGCTTTCCACCCTTCCACTCAGCCGAATCCGGCGCAGCAGACAGCCGTGACAGCTGGTGCCCGCCAACCACGGCAAGGCGTCCCTCTCCCGAGGCGCGCCGCTGAATCGAGCAACCTTAACTCGCCCTTTCACGTGGGGCTGGAGGGTTGTTGCCGGAGTTGCGCTCCTGCTGACTTTTCTTCAGAAAGAGCTGTTCTGACACCAATGTCGCAGTCCGCTCCTCACCCCGCCTCCAGCGCCATGAGCTGGTATCCAGGTCCAGCGTCCTGTCACCCTGCCTGTGCGCGCCGCCGTACGGAGCACCGCAAGGCCCAACTGCGGCAGGTCCGGCCACTTCTTAAGGTACCGACTGATGTGGACTGCATTCCTGTGGCAATTCCAACATGTTCGCTGTCAACTGATGGCATGCGGCTTCTCGAGCGCTCGTGCCATTGAAAGCTCACAAGTGGAGGCCTGATAGAAGTCTATACTATTCTGTACGGGAAAGGTGCAGATCTTGCTCTTGGTTGCTTTTCCTTGACTGCCGGAATAACAGTTGTGTTGAGATTACTAGATATTGAGGAATCCAAGATGAAGATTGCAGACCTGCTCATCCCATATTCCAGAGGGTACCCTGCGACATCACGTGATAGACTCTCTCGTGCGCCAAGGCGCTAACGTCAGAAGCGAGCAGTCCCACACACGGGGGGCAGAGAAAGTCGAGCTCGCGACGACAACCGCGACAACCGCAACGCCAAAAACTCCAACACCCACACGCACGCTGCGCCGCTGAAGAAGAGGAAACAAAGGTACGGCCAATCTCGAGAGTACAACAACATCAAAACAACAGCCGGAGCCCTGAAGGCTGTCACATGGGGGACGGACCTGAGCATGTTTCGCCAACTCTGAAGGACGACCGCAACGGCCAGAGCGAGGCATTGCACTGTGCTGTCAAGCGCATCTGCCCTGTTTCGAGTGCTCGGGCTAGACGTAGCAGAAGAGACTCTCCACCGAGCGAAATAGCAGCCAGTGCCACGTCCAGCCAGCCCCATGTCGCATGCCTGCTGGCCGCTGTTCTTCTCTGCCATTGCGTGATCTGTAGCATGGGCTAACATATTCGAAAGCAGTAATCCTACTCTACCGCAGCCATGGGGTACTCATCAGCTCCACACTCCACTCGTTACAAACATCTGCTAACACCTCGCCAGTATCTCTCGTGACTCCCGTCACAAGCGCGCGGCCACCGGAGCCAAGCGAGCATACTACCGCAAGAAGAGGTATGCATAAACCGAAACGCATCTGCCCACCACATGTCTGACATGCTGGGAACCACAGAGCTTTCGAGAAGGGTCGTCAGCCCGCCAACACCCGCATCGGCGCCAAGCGCATCCATCTCGTCCGCACCCGCGGCGGCAACCGCAAGTTCCGCGCGCTCCGTCTCGACTCGGGCAACTTTTCATGGGGCTCTGAGGGCGTCGCCAGGAAAACCCGTGTCATCGGTGTCAGCTTTCACCCGTCGAACAATGAACTCGTCCGCACGAACACCCTCACCAAGGCCGCCGTCGTTCAGATCGACGCTGCGCCGTTCAGGCAGTGGTATGAAGCACACTATGGTCAGAATTTGGGGCGGAGGAGGCAGCAGAAGGCTGCTGACACCGCTGAGGAGAAGAAGAGCAAGAGCGTGGAGAAGAAGCAGGCCGCTCGTGTCGCTGCTTCTGGCAAGGTAGAGCTTGCGCTCGAGAGGCAGTTTGAGGCTGGTCGTCTGTACGCCGTTGTGGCATCGAGACCAGGTCAGAGCGGGCGCTGCGATGGGTACATCTTGGAGGGCGAGGAACTGGCCTTCTACTCTCGTGCTATCAGGAAGTAGGGTGCGGGTTGAGCGTGTTCTTGTGCGGTCTCGGATAGGTCATGAAGGGGTCTGGGGTACTTCATCTGCATAGCCCTCTGAGTGTTGCATAATGCTCGACACGTTCAGGTCATTTCGTTTAAAGTCCAAAAATGGTAACGCTACCTGCTAGATTGAGTAGTTTGGGGCCATTCATTGGCGCTCTGAACAAGAAAGCTACGGGATGTGCAAACACATGTCCTGCATATACAAAATGGTACAAGTGACATTATGCTACAACAGACCCATGAGTTAGCCGTTTCGGCCATGTGAAGCTACGGCATTGGCTTATGAACACCAAGTAAATCAATACGCTCGATGAAGACTGTCTTCGTGCTCCGACAAAACATTGCCAGCGTGCCTAGCGCAGCTGCACACCCAGTCTCCCCACCAATAGTTCTCTGACCCTCTCGTGCAATGTGTTCGCCTCCTCGTTCGTTAGCGTTCTCTCTAGGGATCTATAGTTGATCCTATAGCACAAGCTTTTTCTCCCCGTCTTTGGATGGGTGAACGAGTCGATGAGCCGAACATCCTCGACGCTATCGCCGGCTGCCTCTCGAACAAGCTCCATGATGTCGTTTTCGTGCACGGCGGTGGACGATGAGGCTGGAAGGAGGCCACCTGCTGCCGAAGGCGCGGTGGGCGATGAGTTCCGAGCGGGCGGCGTGGACGAAGCAGGTAGCCAGAATGCCACGTCCTTGGGACAGGCGGGATATTTGCTGTATGGCACGAATCTCGCCAGGCCCGGATCCTTGCCTTTCTCGAAACTTGCCGGTGCGGCGAACTGACCTAGGAACCTCTCGTCCCGGCTCCAGAAGAGCCGGATATCAGGGATATTGAACAACAGCATAGCAATCCTCTCCAGTCCGAGTCCAAAAGCCCAGCCGAGACGGTTCGGCACGCCGGCGTTGTTGAGGATGGATTGCTTAACTACGCCGCAGCCTAGCACCTCGAGCCAGTCGCCCTGCCAGAACACTTCGAGTTCCCAAGAGGGTGAAGTGAAGGGGAAGTAGGCCTCTACCCAGCGGACTTTGAGAGGCTCTTCCGTGATACTGTCCGGAGAGACCACGGCGCCGGAGGTGGCAGCAGCGGCGCGAGCGGCGCTGAAGATAGCCACGACGACATCCTCCAGGGAGCGCTTGAGGTGGGTCGCTATTGCTTCGACTTCGCCGGCGGAATGGAACTCGGTTTGGAGGGGATTCCTTTCTGGGTGGATAGTCGGATTCGGATCTTCAACAGCGACGCCGTGGGCAGGGATCGCAGCCACATCAGCCCAGATGGCCTCGGTCAAGCTGGGATAGGGGGAGAAGTTTGACCGGTCCCACGTTTTGGCGCCTTCCATCTGGTGAAAGACAGGGTAGTGGCTCCTGTCGATGGCATCGCGGCGGTAGACGTCCGCGCTGATGAGGTAGCCGGATGACTGGTTGGCGCGAAAGGTGTCGGCTTGATGGGCGGAGGTGTGAGTGCGGAGAACTGTGGACTGGTTAATGTAGTAGGTGTCGGTCCGACTGCGGCCGGGATGGTCTGGCGGGAAGTCTAGCGAGTCGAAGTTTTGGTGGGTGGTAACGATGGGGAAGAGATCGTTGTGGTACTTGTAGTCGGGAAAGCGGGATTCGATGAGTTGCCGTGTGATGGAGATTGGGTGGTTGGGTTGGAGATGCAAACGGCGAGAGACTGCTGATAGAATGGAAGGGGGTGTGTTCATCCATTCGTCAGGTCTGTAAGTCCTGCCCTCGACGGAGAGACCTGGAGGGGCTGCAGGTAGAGCAGTCAGTGTCTGTCGAGGCCGGTCCACGCGTATACAACGGAGTTACGTCACGTGCACGAGAGAGAAAGGGGGCGCCCCGTTGCTCGTGTACTGCTTTGCCTTCGTGACGCCCTCAATCCACTCAACAGAGTGTACTGCGACTTGGCCGAATAGCAGATCACAGCCATCAGGCGCAGGTGAGGCCAGGACCTGCCCCATCCAGTATGCAAGGATTTCACCAACGCCAGACCGACACGTAACGGAATTATGGCAACAAGGATTTGTTCACTGTTACAAGGACTCCGAGAAAGTAGCGCAGATGGACAATATTGCGGATACGTGACACGGAAGGAAAGGGGTAATCCTGCTTACCCGCTGAAGAAGAGTCGCGGCATTGGGCTGGCGACAGCCACTGTTGCCGTCGTTGGCGCAATCGCAGGCTCTTGGCTCTGGCGAGGATTGAGCACCTCGTACAGGTCCAGGAACGAGGTGTCTGCGCTATAACAAGCATCCTCTATTGCATGCTTTCCACATATAATGAGTATCAAAGTCACGGGTTTGAACATCGATGCAGGCAAAATGTTCGGCCGAGAGCCGGCGCAAACGGGAGCTCTGACGAGAGTTTTCCAGTGCCAGCGTTTCTCCAGCGCCGCGCCGAAACACCCGCCATGCTGAGCAAACCCCGGAGCTCTGAGGTATCTTCCAGCTGCAATTGTCCCTCCAGCTGCTATTCTTATTCCCTATCTGCTATCGTGTAGCCCGATGATGTGTTGCATATCATGTCCACATCTGCGAAACAACTCAGAAAGGACAAAGATGTCCAAAAGGGCCATGTCCGCTATCCCTTCTGGTTCGGCGGCTCAGCATCGTGTTTCGCAGCCTGCATAACCCACCCACTGGACTTAGGTGAGCGCGCATACTGCACTAGCACTCCGAGGCCATGCGCTGATTATTCATCCAGTCAAGGTACGAATTACGACGTAGCCGTAGCGGTACCTTCTTACAGCTCACACCATCAAAGGTTCGGCTCCAGACGCAGCAACATGCCAGGCCACGACGGAATATGGTGCAGATGTTCCTCCACATAGCAAAGGAGCATGGCATACTCGGACTGTACAAAGGCGTACGTTCTTCTGGTCGCACTTTGCTGCGATCCTATGCGCTTTCTGGCAGCCCCGAACTAACCTCACGACTAAACCAGCTCTCGGCCTCCCTGCTCCGCCAGTTGACCTACTCCACAACCCGCTTCGGCGTCTACGAGGAGCTGAAGGGAGTCTTCTCTTCCGCTAAGCAGCAGCCCTCCTTCCCAACCCTCGTCGCCATGGCCAGCACATCCGGCTTCCTCGGCGGCGTAGCTGGCAACCCTGCCGATGTTCTCAACGTCCGCATGCAACACGACGCCGCCCTTGACCCGAGAGACCGGCGAAACTATAAGCACGCCATTGATGGCTTGACGAGGATGGTCAGGGAGGAGGGCTGGAAAAGCTTGTGGAGGGGCGTCTGGCCAAACAGCATGCGCGCCGTGCTGATGACCGCCTCGCAATTGGCCTCGTACGATACCTTCAAGGCTCAATTGCTAGCCCACACCTCTCTCACCGACAATCTCACTACGCATTTTACCGCCTCCTTCCTTGCCGGCTTCGTCGCCACGACTGTCTGCTCCCCTGTAGATGTGATAAAGACGCGCGTTATGAGCGCGCATGAGAACAAAAGTTTGGCGAGGTTGCTGGCGGATATCTACCGCCTGGAAGGCTTTGGATGGATGTTCAGAGGCTGGGTCCCCAGCTTTATTCGGTTGGGGCCGCACACTATTGTAACGTTCTTATTCTTGGAACAGCACAAGAAGATCTATAGAAGCCTGCGAGGGCATGACCAGTAAACTGATCTCGGCTCGGAGTGTTCTTTCTGTAGTATTATGGCTCAGGGCGGGCGTTGCCGGATCTTTCGGCCATAGCATCTTGGCCAACATGGCGCGTGCATCTACACGGCGTTGGACACAAGACTATTTTTTCTGTACACGTCTCGGACTTCCACGGTCTGAAGACTTCACACTGTGGAAGAATACATATTTTGATGCAGAACCGTTGAGTGGTGAAATATATTGACATCGAGGCGTCTTCGAGTAAGCGTACCAACTTACTAGAGCTATTTGTGCACAATGCGTGAGCTGTGAGCCCGCGAAATTGATACATATACAGAGTCGTACATGATATACCAAACCAAACAACATCCTGGATTCGCGCCTTTGGCTATGCAGATACTGTACAGCGGCCCCATACCGGCCTTTATCTCACTCAAGCGGTAGCCAACCCAAGACCCCTCCTTGCCTGCGCAAGCGCCTCGGCCTCCCTCTTCCTCTTCGCATTGACCCCCCTGCTCATCTCACTATCTCGAGCACTCCGTTCCCTCTGCTCTTTCAGCTCCCGTAATGCCTCTTGGTCCTCTTCTGTCGGCCCTAGTTCCACTGCCTTCGTCGCCTTGAGCAGCTCGTGTAATATCTCTGAATCCCGTTTGTTCTTCATGTCGATCGTGACTACTCTGTCCGCCGCCCCAGAGGATGTGACGGTAGAGTCTGCGGGTGTGGTGGAGTCGACCTCAGGGGAGGGTTCAGCGGCGGAACCGAAGTGGATTGTGAGGGTTGCTGGGCCGGATTGGTCGGTGGTACGGGATACAGTCATGGGGACTGCTGGATTGTGGTATTTTAATCGGGGAAGGTGGTGCCGCCAGAACTTGCTAGAGGGGGATGCTCCGTCAGTACCTGTCCGTACAGTGTCGTGAGGATTGATATAAGCTTTCGCCATTGCAACGCACCGAGGCCCCATGTTTCCGCCATTGATCTTGCTGGCAAACTCTAGATGTATTCGTTGCACATCTTTGGGTAGCAATGCCGCACCAGGTCCTACTCGTATCGCGAGAAGCTGCAGGAGGTGAGCTGGAGGCGCCTCGGGGGGTGATCGGTGGAGACTCGACGGTGATTTACCTTCTACAGAGGGCGGACAGTCAGTGATTTGGCGCGCATAACATCAACCAGGTATACTCACTGTTTTCAGCTTTCGCATCCGCTGCAGTATGCTCACCATCTTGGCGTAAGCTTTGCAATGCGCTCGACTCCTCAAGCGCACGCTTTCGAATGGATCTCGACGCCCTTGGATTCGTGACACGCTGCCGTGATCTGCTTTCTTTACAGCAGGGCGTGCTATCGATAAGAGTTTGGATGTTCCAGCTGCACGTGATCCAGAGTATCTACAATTCAACAAGGGTGTCTGGTGACCTCTGCACTCCACTCACCCACAATAAAGATGCAAGCCTTTAGTGAAGATGCGCGCGGCTGCCCATCCATTGAGCATCTGCGACGACGAAGCGCCGTTTCTGAGTTGGAGATGGATGCGCGTAGCAGGCGTCCTCCCCTAATTGGAGCACGCAAGCCGGGACGCCGTTTGGCTGCATCGCGGATGACCACAGTGTGGTTGCATTCGTGCATACAGCTAAAAAGCAGTGCGCCTGCAGCTTCTGTACATACCATTCCTTGGCCCCTGGAGTGCCTTCACATGCTTGACGTTGAGACTGTGACCGCCCCGCTCGTCGGGGTCGTACAGCACCAAGTCGAAATGCTAGATATCCATGGATGCCCTCATCCCTCATCCCTCACCCCTCATCCCTCATGCTCTCGTCTTCTCTTCCCCAGAGTCCCCCTTTCGACATTCCGCTTCGCGCTGACTCGTTGACATCCCCATTATCACAGTCGAAGAGCCCCCAGCATATCGAAACCCTCATAGTCCTGTAACTCGTTGCAATGGCGCACTCGACGAGACACGTTGTGACAGGAATCAGCACAATTGTGAATTTCAGACCCATGAAGATTGACTTCAACAGACACTAACGCTCGGCGCAGTTCCTCATAGTGTTGACGGCGATGGCTGGGTAACTTTGAGCATCCACTCGATGTGGAATGTCCGTCTCACACTCGTCTAGTTACGCAGTCCGCAATATCCAACACTACTCCCTCCCCATCCCAGCCGGCTTAGGCGCCTTTACCGTCGCCCTCCCCGCGATCGCCGGTTTAGCGGTTGTGAACAGCATGAACTCCAGCCGTCGTCGGCACAAGCTCGATAGGAATACTTCACAGTCGCCGCGAAGGCTCCAAGTCTTTCTGTTCCTCCTCATCGTGTACGAGACAGTCATAGCGACATTGGCAGGCACACATATCACCCCTGCCAGCAACCTTCGTTGCGGCCTCGACGATAAGTGGCACAGCCTGTTCCACAACCGAGATGTAGACCGCATCCGCAGGATCCAGGATCAGTTCCGGTGTTGTGGATTGCACAGCGTCTACGACATGGCGTGGCCGTTTCAGGACAAGACTCATGTCAAGAGTCCGTGTGCGGAGTCATTCGACAGGCAGCAGAGCTGTTTTCCTGCATGGAGAGCTGAGGAGCAGAAGGTTGCTGGGCTTCTGTTGCTTGTGTCCATACTGGTATTCCTGTGGCAGGTAAGTCGAGATCATTGCAGATACTTTTCCCGGACGCTAAACGGCATTGTTCTCGCTCAACTAAACATCGCTCATCGACAGACGGCCGTTGTAGCCTCTCCACTCCCGGAGCCGTCCTGGTTGGACCGTATCCTCCGCAGTGGCAGATCAAGACAGGACGCGGAAAGCGGACAGGGACCTCGCCGTGCGCTCGAGTATCAGAGCAATCCCGAGCGCTACTCGGACAGCCTCATCACCGAAGAGGGTGGAGATACTCCAGTCGAGGTTCATCGACCGCAGGTTACGACAGCGAACTCAGAGTATATCACTGCGCCACCGCCACTGGTGGTTGATTGAGCGGCGCGGTTCAGGAAGGGAAGTTTAGGGCGGTTTAGGGGCAGAGGTTGGTTCCGCAATGCGCCATCTGGTCTGCAATATGCACGCGGTGCAACGCATCTGACTAGGAGCTCCAAAAGGTTACGTGTTGTTTTTGAGCGCTGGTAAGTAGGTCGGTAGTATCGGGGCGCCAAGTACTCCAGAAAACAGTTCAGCAGCTTGACTCTTGTCCATATCTACTAGCATGGACGGTTGGCACTTCTAATCGCACACAATGCTCGGCATTGAAGTCAGTTCATCGGTCAGATAAGACGATATTACGGCGCCCCTTGATGCAAGCCTTCCCTCTAGCATGCCCTCTCCTTGCGCCACCGATAAACAGATAAGTACATATGCAGACGCAAATGACCGACTAACAACGACACCGGAGACGCCCACGCTGATGCCCTTGACTCTATCCAAATGTTTGTGAGAAGCTGTTTCCCCCGCCTTCTAGCCACTAACCCACGGATACAGACCAAATGCTCAGTCTTCTTCCATCACCGATAACACCCTTGCCATAGACCCCATCAAAAATCCGTCACCCGCCCATTATAGCTCCAATCCCCCTCATACCCCCAGCGGAGCGGCTCATTCTTCGGTCCCCCCACCTCGCCCGTCTTCGGATTGACGTCGCCCTCAAACTCAGGCGGTGCTCCTCTTCTGATATTCGGATGTAGTTCCTCGCCTTTGCCCTCGGCGTTGACGGTCACTCTTGCCTCGGAGGATGTGGAGTCCGCTTGGTTGACTTCGGGGGTGGGGAGGGGCGATTGGTTGATCTGGATGCGCGGTTGGGAGGCTGGCGTGCTGAATGCGCCGGTTGATTGCTTCTGGAGCTGCTCGAATATTTCTTGCTCTTCTTTGGGGAGGGCGGGGGGCGCGGGGGAGGGGCGGAAAGCGAGTTGGGGGCGGGAGGCTGTTGTGAAGGTCCGTGTGAGGGGGCGGAGGAGCGGGCGTATGGTAGAGGAGCGCATTTTTGTTGATCTTGTGTGTAGATGAGGTGAAGTATGCGAGAGCACGCAGAGTAGGTGTTGGCTCTTATGGATCTCGAGAGGCACTTGGCCGTGGCGTGGATGTTTCTGGGGTTGGCAGTGATCATGAGGCATGAGGGATGACATAAGCGCTCCCGGCATCCGGTAGGGCTGACAGGGGCAGTTCGAGCTCGAGCTTGAGCTCGACTTGACTTCACTTACTTCACTTACTTCACTTACTTCACTTCACCTCACCTCCCCTCCAGAGTTTATGCCACGAGAGGACGTTAGGAAATGGTTCTCTACACAACCCGAACAGGACGATTCGTGGCTTACACCTGTCGTGTTCTTCCTGTTGCGTAGACATGTAGCAGGCTGCGCGAGCCACACGTGAATTGTGACTGGGTAGAATGTTATGTTCTTCGGTTTTTACACGGCAGAGAGGGGGGCCAACTGCCTGGAGGTGTTGGAGATAGCCAAGATGTCGAACTCACGCGGTCTGCATAAGGGAGACCAAGATGCGGTGGCAGGTGGATGTCAAGAGTGCAACATGAATAACCTGACCTTTCTAAACGGACCTTACCTTCATTCATTCATTCCCTCTTCGCAGTGAGGTGACGCGCATCATGCTTCGTCGGTGATACTCTTCTTCTCGCGTCAGAACCCATCTCAAGCTTCGACGACGTCTGCCTGGTCCACACTCCACCCTTCTTCAACTCCCGTCATCTCTCAACAACGACAGATTTTCGTTGCGCCTCCCGTCACGATTCCGTCAGCAGGTATGGATGCCTTCTACCTCACCTTCAAGCTGATCTGCCAGCTCTCTTTCTCTCACCTGTCTCACCTCTTCGGCGTCGCATTCCTTCTTCTCGCCCTCGCAATATGCACATATTTCGTCACCTTCACACCGCTTGGCGGAATCGAAGCATCTTCCCATGGCGTTTCCGGCTCTGATCAGTCGGTCATCGACTTCCTCCACGAAGAGCACGGTACGCCTGCCACGCACCCAAAGATAATTGCGCTCATTTGCTGACTCGTTTAGGGCCGGTCGTTTGCGTCGCGCCTGGATGGTACAGCATAGGCGACCCTGAAGCCGCCGCCGCCCTGCTCAACGCCTTCACTCCCAAGGTAGCTCATCTCACGCGCAGTGTCATTAGTGATACTAACAAATCTTCAGGATTGGCTCTTTAAGTGGTGCTCCGCAACACACATTCACCTGTTCGGCTGGCAGTCGAAGCTGCACACCTCATTCGAGATGACCAAGTTTGAGGACATAGACGCGAAGCCGTCGCAGTCATCTCCTCACATCCAATATGAGTCACATCTCGACAACTGTATCACCCTGTTTCATGCAAAACTGTCGGAATGTACTGAAGCTGTCAACTTATCACACTGGATCAACTGTCTGGTTTGGGACGCCATGAGCGCTGTCACGGTGAGAACCCTCCGAACAACTGTTGTTGTCGATGAAGTCTGGTGGTCCATTGCTACTGTAGCAGCGGCTGACAGCGCCTACGTTACAGGTCGGCCAGCCATTTGGGTTCTTGGGGAGTGACAGCAGGGATGTCCAAGACCTCATCGAGAGACTTGCGAAGTGGAATGCCGAAGCTCCACCCCACGGTCTGCCTGCGTTCATGCGCCGTCTTGCCTTCCTCCTTGGCAACCTACCTACGGATCCAGATTATCTCGAGTCTTTCGTCATTGCACAACTCCAGCAGCGTCTCAGCCACCAAGTTGACACAGATTATACGGACGTGTGCGACGTACTGGCGAAGTGCGTGGATAAGGCTGGGACAGATGGTCTCTACAGCATAGTCATCGCATGCGCTGCAAGTATCGTTGCAAGCTCTACTGCGACAGCCATGGGCATCAAATCGGCACTGTTTCATATCTACACCAACTGGCGCGTATTGGATAACATGCGCAGGGAACTCAAGGCCAAGGAGAGGGAGGGTTCACTGTCCGACATTATCACACTTCAAGAGGCTGAGAGACTTCCGTACCTCCAAGCAGTACTCAAGGAAGCTCTGCGAATGCATACTGTTAGTGGCTTGCCACCACACGTAATTGAAACAGACGAAATCATAAAAGGCCATGAAATCCAACGCGGCGTACGTTCCCTCCTCAGCTTTGGGGCAGGCTCATGTTCCAGTATCGGGAGTGAAGACGTGCTGATCCAAGTCCAGTCCAAGATCTCCATCAGCTCTGCGGCCATATACCGCAATAAATCTATCTTTGGCGATGATTCATCGACATTTCGACCAGAGCGCTGGCTCGCTGTGACTCCGGAACGCTTGGAGGGAATGAATCTTCACTTGAGACAGGTGAGTCATATATCCATCGGAGAGACCAAGTCCCGAACTCGCACTAATTGCTTAGTTCGGCGGCGACACCCTCGATCTCAACCTTGCCGGCATGGTGAAAGTCGTTCCGCAGATCATTCGCCGTTTCCACGTCGAGCTCGAGCGCGGTGTATCCAAGGATGATTTCTGGGCAGTCGGCTTCCAAAACTTCATGTGTAAGATCAAGCCGGGTAACCTCGGAGTGACACAGCACTATGTCAACTCTGGCCATAAATCGCACAATCAAGGTGACCACTATGACCAGCGACAGGGCCAGACTCGGGGCCGTGGTCAGGGACGTGGCGGCCGTGGCGGCCGTGGATTTCACAAGAACTCACGCTCAAACCAATGGAACAGCAGTCCAACAGTCGCAAAGGACGACACCAGTTGCAAGCCTGCCCCGCATCCTCAGCGATCGAGTGGACCCGCCCCTGCTCCCGACGCGGCTCAAAAGCTGTCAGCTTGGCACGCCCTGCCGACTGAGCTGAAGGCGACAGAATCCGCCCTGGCTGCTGCTCGGTGGCAAGAGGTGCTGGCTGGCCAGCCCAAAATCCCAAACACGGCTGCCATCGAAGAGAAATTCATACCGATCAAAGTCCGTGACGAGACCGCCACCGAGAAGGCCGTGGACCAGAAGGAGAACGTCCATCTGTAAGAAAAGAACGACGCACGAGCTTCGGAGAACGTGGCGACCATGGTTGAAGCATCTGCGCCAAATTAGTCGGATTAGGTGGTCTCTCGAAGGGTTTACGGCGGATTTGATTGTCATCAGAACTGGCGGTGTAAGATGTTGGAAATAGCCTTCAAAATGCTCTTGAATAGCTGCATGGATGCAATGCATGTAAACTGTCCACCTTGCTGGCGCGGTTTGCGCAGCCCAGAGACGCCCTAGCGCCGTCTCCCTAATTCTACAGAATCATGAAACCAAAAGATCCCTTACAATGCAAGTGACTCTATGATATGAATCCACTGTCCTCACTGAGCACGCCTGCGCTTCGTCTAGCATCTAAGAAAAGCCCTTCACACTCCTCCACATCCGCCACTTGCACCTCCTTCCTCCCCCCGACGCTCGCGAGCACGCTCGCTGGCGTGAGCAACTGCAGCGCGTACCGCAGACTCACTCGCACGCCCAACTCTGACACCTTCTCCAGCGCCCTTTCTTCAACACTCAGACCCTCGGTCTTGGCACGCGTGCTTATGATGGAGCGGACTTCGTCAGGCGCGTAGGGGTGTGTGGGTACGATGAGGAGACGAGCGAGCAGGTCGGGTGGGATGCCGTGGGCTGAAGGAGGCAGGCTGTTGTCTGCGCCTCGAATGGGGCACAGCCCGCGGTTTGAAGCTAGGATGACGATGGGGGAGATGCTGGATTCGAGGGCGCGGTTGAGGTAGGTGAAGCATTCGAGGTCGAGCATGTGGACCTGTTTATCAGAGAAACGAATCAGCCACCCGCCATATTCCCAGAGTCCGGGGGAGTGGGGGTAGGAGGAAAGATGCACCGACCTCGTCAATAAACAGCACACCAGGAATGAGCTCCGCGACATTCTGATCGATGTACTTCTGCACGACCTTGTTGATCTCCGCGCGCAGCTTCTCCGTAATCTCCGTCTTCTTCGGCTTCATGAGCTGGCCCATCATGCTCATGATATCCTGCCCGCCTTGGGGCCTCGCATTCGCGACATCCAGATCGTGCAGCGTGACATCCTGCACTACCTCCTTCTTCTTATGCACGTCGCCCTTGGGAATCGGCACGTACTCCTCGGCCTCGAGATCGAACTCTGTCGCGTACGCGTCGCTGCGGCCTACACGCTTCACGGCGCCGGTGTTGGCCTCGATGTAGATGACGTCGCCGAGGCGGACTTGTTCTTTTTGGATGGCTTCGTAGATTGAGGGGTCGAGCCGCAGTTTTTTGGTGCCGCGTGCGGATTTGAGGGTTATGAGGAGGTGCGAGATGGTGCGGCCGTAGCTGCCGAGCGGGTTCTCGGCTTCTTCGGGGGTGAGCTCTGTTACTTCGCCTTCGTAGACTTCTTTTGTTTCGCGCACGCGGAGGCCTGGAGGGGGGGCCGTCAGTCTGCGATCAAGCCTCCTCTCACCTCCACTCTTCATGGGGTCGTGAAGGGCAGGAGACAACCCTACCTATCGCCCGCCGAAAATTCTCCATAAGCGCCTCCGTCTTCTTCACCTCCGTCGAGTACACCTCACTTCCCACGATCGGACAGAATGGCACCTTGGTCCCCAGCTCCTGCGATACGGCCAGTGCTAGTGCCGTCTTGCCTGTTCCTGGGCCCCCCGCTAATAACACTGCCCGCCCTGACATCTTCTTCGCGCGGATCAGGTCGACCACCACGCCGCATGCCTCCCGAGCGGCTGTCTGCCCCACGAACCCGTTGCTGGTCTTCTCGGCGTAGCCGTCGGGCCGTAGCCCGAGGCCCTTTATGTGGGAATGCGCGGCGGTGCGGTTTTCGCGAGAGTTGCCTTTTACTTCGCTGATTTGGACGGGCGCCATCGTGGTGGTGGGGAAGAGTGTCGCTTCGGCTTGGAGGGATCGTGGAGACCGGGCTAGTTTCTATGCAGATGCAGGCGTCGTGATACCGGAGTTATGGTTCTAGTGTTGAGGGTTTGGTGTTGGCGATTTGGAGCTTCAAAAAAACGCGAAGTTGCGCAAGAGATCGACGCGAGCTTGTGACCGCAGACGTCGCGCCGAACCACCCTTGCTCCGCTATATAAGGGGATGAGGAATTCCGTGGACAGCGGCAACTGTGCTCGACGTCTCTCTTAGATAAAATTCACTGCCAATGACAGATCCAGCAAGTCCTGCACAGTCGTGTAGGGTGCTTGCAGCATACCGTAGAACATGGAAGTAGTAAGCATCGTTCACGTTCAATCGTCTTCAATCTGCACAGTAACAACGCTGCAAGCAGTCCCTTGACTTCGGAGTCTTAGGCTATTGTACAGATTATAGCCATCTAGCTGCAGACTGGATCCCTATCCCTTTTACGTGGTCACTTCAGACTCAATCCTCCAACCAAATCTCATCAACGTCATCGTCTCATTAAGGCTCCCTTATGTCCACGGAGGATGAGAAAGAGCAAAAGGCAGCTACTGTACATGGTGAATCCAATGTCGCTCAGGCCCCTCGGCTCGGTCCCCAGAATTTAGCCTTCTGATGTGGGGGTTTGGTGGGTGGTGTGTAGAGCGACCGCAAGTAGTCTTTGACAGCTGCAGCTTGAAGGGAAGTCGGAGCATTTTAAGTGGACAGACCGACCAAGATTCGAAGCCCTACGCCTACTCCTCTTCGCTCTCCGAACCGCTATCGGCGTCATCACCGCTACTAGACTCTTCCGTTTTCGGCGCTACACATCGCGTTAATAGGTGCTCATATCTGTCCTGACGAACCTGTAACTTACCAGGCTCTGGCGATTGCCTATAAGCACCAGGGAAGGTCTTGAGCTGATCCTGAATCCGCGCGATGTTGGCTTCCTGCTCATGCTTGCCCATCGGCTTGTTCTTCCTCGGCTTAGTCGGCGCAGCCTTCGAAGTACGCATAGGAGGCTCGTAGTCATCATCGACCGCCGCCGCCTCCATCGGTGGATGGATTTTACGGATGAATTTGAGCAGTTCATGCAAGACTGGCTCAGGGATCGCGTCGATGTCGAGCTCCAGCTCGTCATCATTGACAGTCTAACAGCATGTAAGTAAATGACATGGTCCTTTGCATGTTTCTCTAGAGAACCTACCTGCAGATCCGGACAGCCATTCTTGATGATTTGCACAGCCTTCCTCATTTGCGACTCCTCTAATGTGCCGATTGAATCCGAGATCTCCTGTTTCTGAGCGTAAGTAATCGGCGTAGTCTTGGTCTTGAGTCTAGGTTTTGAGGAGTTTGCTTTCGCAGTGCTAGGAAGACCAGTTGTACTGCCGCTTCGCTTCACCTTTGACATTGATGCTCTCGAGGGTTTGCCACTCCGCTTACTGGCGGCCTTCGGCGAAGCTCGTTTCGTGGCACTCGAAATGATCTTCTCAGCTTCGCCAGTCAGCTGCATGATTTGCCGCTGAATCTGGGCGAGCTTTTCTGTTTCGGTGCCCTGCTCCACCTCGCTCTCGTCCTCTTCATCAGAGTATCCACTGGCCGGCGACTGTGGTTCGGAAGCTGGTGCGTGATCCTCAAGCCATTGATCTTTGGTAGCCCAGAGCTCCTCGATAACAGCTTGGAAGTTTTTGCCCATCTTGTAAACACCGTCGCTTTCTGGGTTGAACTTGTAGCAGTTGTCGAACATCAAGTCAATGTCCGCCTTGAACTCCTTGGCGTTTGTGTATTGGCCGCCTTTCAGCTTCTGGCCAATCGTTCCGAGGTCCATCGGCTTCTTGATGATCTTGTGATATGTAGGAATATTAAGCGCGACCGGATCTACGGGTTGTAGAAACGGGTAGGAGTAGCCTTGATGTTTCCTCTTGGTGATTTCGTTGATCACCATCTCGCAGAACTTCAGCTCAAGCTGATACTTCTTCTTCTTCGGCTTTGCGCTCGAGTAGGGAAGGTCACGTGGAGGTGGGCGATGGATCTCGCGCTTTGGACGTCCGTCATTGGCAGACGAGTCACGGCGGATTAGCGGCACACCGTTGGGGTCGAGAGCAAATGTGTTTGCTGGGGGCGCAGCAATCCCAGTGGGTGAGCGTCCAGGACCTCTCGACTCCCGGCGGGGAGGTGGCTTGGGTGCCGTGGCTACTGAGAGTTTCTTAGCCTTCTTAGGAGCAGCTGCAGCCGGAGTAACGTCGCGACTTGGGAGCTGCATCATCGCCTTATCAATGTAAGCCTTGAAGTTATAGGCGTTGTAGGATACCAGGTGTTGGGGTCCATTAAAGGTGACACAGTTTTGAACCATGAGATTCAGATCGGAGATGAAATCATCAGCGCTGTTATATTGGTGGTCCTTCAATTTTTGTTCCATGGTGCTGATGTCCATGGGGTTCTTGATGATGTGAGGATACGAGGGAATGTTGAGCGCTACCGGGTCGACGGGCTTTAGGAATGGAAGAGCATCCTTGATTTTCTTCGCGGTGCGGAGCTTCTCCAGCAGCCATTTCTGCTGGGCGCCTGTCATAGGCAGCGAGTCGTAGCTAGGCGAGGCTTGCTGCGCACCAGGAGCCTGTGCTGCAGTGGCTATGGTACCGCTTTCTAAGGAAGCGCCAGCGGACGCAGGCAAGTCAGGCTTTTGGAACTCGGAAGCCGTTTCCGGCTCCGTCGAGATTTTGCTGCGCTTGGGTGAACGGCCGCCATCTTCTTCGTCATCCTGCCGTCTCCGCACCTGACCGGAGGAAGGCACGTCGTTCATCTCTTGGTCACCGTTCTTCATCTGCGGAACTGGTTCTGGACTAGCGAGGCCATCGCCTCCAAACAGAGACTCCTCCGCCGGCCTATGAGGGATTCCTGAGGTGTTGGGGGTCCGCGCGCTCGCAACATCATCCGAGGTATCCATGATGTCTGCGACCCCCGAGTCGAAGAGATCCATACCGGGGGATCCATCTGGGCCCGTCGCAATAGGTTTTGTGTCTTCGACCCCCCTTTCTGATGCGCCACTTGTTTGCGCACCAACTTCTTGCGCGTCGCTCGGTGGCGCAGCCTCGACTGGATTCGTCGAAGGCGAAGGCGTCATTTCAGTGCTGGTGTCTAGGGTCGGCTGGTATGCAGGGATTGACGTGGTGTCTTCGCGCATTTCTGAAGTCGGAAGATCGATGGATGGAGGGACACCGGGGTTCGTCGCGACTACGTTTTGTACGTCTGGAGAAGGTTCGAGATGTGGAGATTTGTCAGGAAGGAAGTCGGCGACAGGAGCGATGCCGCTGGAGACATCGGTGACGGGTGCAGTCACAGGCGGCGATGCCGGGTCAGTGGCGCCGTTCGTGGTTGCGGCTTCACTATTGTGCGTGACGAAAGCCAGTTGCGGCTCAGGCGCAGGAGCGGCCGGCGCATTGTCACCGGAAGGCGCGTCATCATCGAAGAGAGGATCATGATGGTGTGCAGTTCTGCAAATAGATTCAATAAATACATGCGCTTGAGTACAGGTGAGTTCAGAAGGAGAGAGTGCAAAGGAACGAGCGCGACTCACCCGTTGATCGTGGAATCCAACGCCATCTCGTCTGATGGAACGGGCTGTGTCTTGAGCGCAATGAAAGTCTGGTCCAATGACGGCGTGGTCAGGACTGCCATGGAACAACGTGAGAAAGGACGCGCTGGTACCCTGGGAGTGAATGCGAAGTAGCCGTGGGTGAGGATGCGACGCGCCGTGACGCGGGCTCGACTACAGCCGGCGCAAACAGTGAAGAAGCGCGGATAAGCTTTTCGCAGAGCCGCGCTTGCGCAGAACACCAACACCTGGTCTGAGTGCCAATGAGAGCAGCGCTAAAGCTGGTGAAGGCAGCGGGGCGCTTTGCAGGTTTGCAAGTGCGGACACGCGACAAGGAGGGGGCGGATGGAATGCGCGTCGATGGAGTTGGTGGGGGTGGCTTACGCGATTCCAGGCGCTGGAAACTAGAAAATACGAATCGAGGATCAGATGGAGATGTCCGACAGATTTATGCAGAGCCGAGACGGAGGCGCCAGGCGAGATTGTTCCAGGTCATGTGACACGAACCCCAGAGTTGATGATGTTGCTGCGTAAGCTTGGCGTTTCACCGCGAAGCATCTGCCTAGTCACGCGTCTGGAGTGCTGCGGTCGCGACGCTTTACGAGCAGAACCCGTCGGAGACAGCTTGGTCAGCTAGTGAAAGCGACCGTGGAGCGTGGGTTGATGAATATTCCAGAAAAGATGTTTGGGCTGCGGGTGACTGCGAGTAGCGGAGGGCGGTATTAGGATGATCCGAGGAGCGCGTCGTTGGTCGGATGTGAGATGGAACGCGAACCTTGGGTCTTTTTTGTCGGATTGCGAAGAGGGCCAGCCCGGCCTTTAAGAAAGCTGGCTCGGCAATGAACGCCCAATCAACCAATCATCCTGTCATCCCACCGCTAAGCCGCACGGAAAAGGGGGCGGCCTGCCTTATCTAATCCATCCATCCATCCATCCATCAGAGCCACCCCGGTCATCATTCATGGCCCCTGCGCCCGCCTTGCGAGCGAACGCAAAAAATTGTCGACGCTCGGTGTCAGAGGCTGTTCACCGGCCATCTCGAAGACGACTGTCGCGCCCCCAAACCTACCCTCCCGGATCCCACGACAGAGCTTTACCCGCAGCCTGCAGCCGTGCGCCCTAACTATGGTCGCCGCCGTTTCTTCCCGGAGTCGGCCGTCCGGCACCGCGACGAAATCATTGCAGCCACCGACAAAAAGAGCCAAGCTCTCACAGCAACCGTCCGAGCAACCGTCGAGTGGATTGGAGGGCATACTATCAGGGGCAGGCAGAGGGCAGAAGTTGACGGCGGTCGCAATAAACGGTGTCAAGCGTTCTGGCAAGAATAATGTGGATGAGTCGCGTGCCGTGGTGGGGAGGGGAGAGCAGAGTAATGGTGACGTCGACATGCAAGACGTCAACGGGGGAGAGGTGGTGGAGATTTCGAGTGACAAAGAGGAGGACGAGAGCGACTACGAAAGCTCCGCTGACGAACAAGCGGAGGCTGGGGCTGCCGAACGCCCCGCCGCCCATTCGAGCGATGTCCCCGTAAAAGACACAGAGATGGCGGACGGCGATGTGGAGGGGACGGAAGAGCCTGCGGACATTGCCGGTGCTGCGGAACCCGAGGAGCCATCATTTGGAGAAATGCTGCAAGCAAATGCCCCTGAACATATCGACATCGAGGCTTCATTCGCAGACCCTACTGCGCGGTCGAAGGAGCTAGTGCCCACTGTCGGCACCCGAACACTTACTGCACCGTCTGCTACATCTCTGGGCACGGTCCTGACACAGGCTCTCAAAACAAACGACAGACAACTGCTCGAGAGCTGCTTCGAGATGAATGATTTAGACAGCGTACGCTCGACCATTGAAAGACTACCATCGCCACTCGTGTCGAACCTTTTACAGAGACTTGCCGAACGCTTACACAACAGACCAGGGCGTGCGGGCAACCTGTTAATATGGGTTCAGTGGTCGCTAGTCTCGCATGGTGGCTATCTGGCAAGTCAACAAGATGTCGTGCGCAGGCTTGGTAGCTTGAACCGAGTTATCAAGGAGCGCGCCAGCGGACTACAGCCTCTGCTTACATTGAAGGGCAAACTGGACATGCTGTCGGCGCAGATGGAACTGCGAAGAAGTATGCAACGGTCCGCAGCAGTTGATGAGGAAGACGATGACGAAGGAGTAATCTACGTGGAGGGAGAAGACGAGGAGTCAGATGAGGCTGAGGTGGAGGTTCCTCAACCCGCAAAAGCGAACAATGGTGGCGTTCCACCACCTAAGGTGTTAGGCAAGGGAGGTCGACTCAGAGATTTTGAACGTGTGGGCGAGAGTGAAAGTTCTGGGGATGAAGGGGAAGACATGCCAACCACAGTCAGTGGATTGGACCAGGACGTTAATGAGGATGACGACGAGAGCGAGGATGAAAATGAAATGCTGGATGATGAAGCAGAAGAGACGGAGAATGATACTGGAGATGAAACATCCGATGAGGACGAGCTCGACGGAGAAGATCTCGACGGTGGAGAAGACCTATCTGAGAGCGAGGCAGAGGTGATACGGCCGGCGAAACGCTCCACAGCTGCTCTCCGGTCTGGATTTGGAAGAAAATGATGAACTTGAGAGAGTCACGAAGTCACATCATTCCTCTCAGTTTTTGAGCAGATCCGCCCTGCTGACCGTACGGATCGCGGTGATGTGCATTTTACTTCCAGGCGCTCAAAATAGTTAGTTCAAAGGTGATGATCAGGTTCCTATCACATATAATTGTTCGCATGGAGGAACATGGAACACCTTGTTAGGGCGTAGAGGATAATGTCTAGACCTGCTAGGGTGTTGTCCTGTCTGGACTGCACTGCGTTGGCTTAGATGAAGTCCTTTGGAGGTTACTCCATTGCTTAGCCTACTCGCTTCGTCGCTTTTGTTCTCGGTGGGAAGGATTAGTGCCGAGCGTCTACCAAGAAGCTACGAAGGGCTGGATACACATCAAGCAACCCAACTATGGTTCTTCAGAAGATCCAGAGTGTACCCTTGCCGGCAAGAACATCGCGCTCCTAGGTGTCTGGCACGTGACTTTATGAGCTCTAGTCACGTGAGAGCTCAACTCCCTTGCGCCGTCTCAGACATCACTTCTCTTAATCCACGATGAACACTTGCAAATACGGTCAACACCGTCCCAGCACGCACGGTTTCCTGTCCAACAGATGCTGCCTTGTGTGCTCGTTACAGACTTGACAGATTGTATGCGGAGCACATAGCCGGTTCAACATTGTTATGCCTATGTTCAGCTTCTACGTTAACTATCATGTGTTGCGGTATCTACGGGATCAGGCCCCGCAAAGAGGGAGCTATATACCTTACCTATCTAGTTTTACACCAGAACATGGCCCTCCCTTAGCCAATGTAATCCCTTCGAAGCTGTGAATAGCTGTTCCAGCTAACATGTGCGCCGCCCTCTTTCTTTGCTTTGTGTGAGACACGTCCAAGCTATGGATGAAACAGTATGAGGAGACGTCTTTCTAAGATGTCTCTCATATGTTCTGTTAGCAAGGTCCTAGGTATATCACTCTTTTCGCCGCGTATCTTCTGGCTGCATCCATTCGTTCTGCTGGTAAGAACATCATCCCTCGGTCCGTCTCCTCCTGTCTAAGTCACCAAACCCATCTGGAATGGCAAGCAATTCTTCTCACAATCTACATCGCCCTTTGACCTATCAGCAAGCGTTATCTTCGCAGAGCGCGCATAACTCCAACATGGCCCAAGAACTAGATCAGACAGGTCATTCCTCATTTCGGTTCAACGGCACGCCGACTCGCAACGAATGGCGGACGTCCAATCCGATTCGCAAGACTATGCCAATGAGGAGTCGCTCATCAAATGAGCACCGGCAGCCGCTTCCAGGCGGCTGCAGGCTCGACTTTCCAATAGCCATGCGTATCGTGGCGAGGCTTTTAAGAGGTCTCAAGACTGCTCGTAGAACAATAAGAGCAGTCAGGATGAGTGTCATATACATGAAGTACCCCTCGACTGGCGACTTCCTACTTCCTTTACCTAATCCGAGGCTCCAAGGTGCGGATCCTTTCATGCCCTCAAATTTGGATGGGACCCTGGAAACAGGTGCTGCGTCACGTAACCAGCGGCCTGCGGACGAGGTCTCCCAGGCCTCTTTTGCCAACCGCATGGCCGCTATGGCCGTACGCCGGGCAGAGAACACCAATGGCGGAGTTCGTTCTACCGGAAGCAGTGAACTCCCGCTGCGGTCCAAACCTTGCGCTCAGGATACGGAGTTTTCGGGCATGGTCGAGCGCGATACTTGGCCAGACAGAGCTCAGTGCTCGGCTGAAGACATGCCTGCGCCATTGAAAGTTCAAAAGAATCGTTCCTATCTCTCCGATCATGCACCCTTAACAGAGGGTCCAGTCCGGCTACTTGAACAAAAGAGCTTCGCTTCGTTGCGAAGTTGCGCTGGTGCACCAGAGTCGATCTCCAGATTGCCGCGTCATTACGCGCGCCATGGACCAGTGTTTCTTCCAGAAGACGAGACAGCGCAACGGATAAGCTGGAGTGACGTCCCGAAAGTGTTCCGCTCTCTGTTACCCGAGGATTCGGATGCAGAGGATGCTCCTGCATTGCCACAAGAACGCTTCCCGGCACCATGGACGACACAGCATTCAGGGAAGCAGGCAGTCGAGCAGCGCACCCACGAGGAGCAGGCTCCTAGTCAAGCGGCTCTGAGGCAAGAGGCACTAGAAGCGGATATCTTGGCGCTGCTGCGTTCCATGTCGAATCCAGCACAATGTGGACTACCTGTCAGTACCAAACGGGAGAACCCTACCGAAGGGGCCTGTGAAAGAGACGCTTCGTCCAGGCTCGGTGTAAAACCAAGCGCGGAGCATTCTGCCGTGTGCATACCCGGTACGTCCGCTTGTAAGGAACCTCAGCTGGAAACGGTTAGCGCCAAACATGTATCCCAGAGTCAAGGGTACGTTTCTTCAGAGACTGGTCCTGGAAGCCAGATTCTCCCAGCATCAAACGAGCACCGCTGCAACATGATGACTGAAGGACGCCTGAAATCTCGGCCATGCCCCACCGATAGTCTGACCACAAACTTCAGAGGGCGGCGACACTTTCGATACGATAGTGCGTCATCGTTCCATTACTATGATACTGCTTCTACGATCAGCTTGGAACCTCAGTCCTCCCAAGAATTGTTTCAAGACAGCAACCTTGTTCCACCAGAAGTACGCCTTGAGAATTGGGCAAGGTCTGCGGACACTCTGATAAGCGACGGCATAATGAACGAAGACTTCGTGCTCTCCGTGACAGTCCAGTCGGAGTACACGGATTGGAAAAGGAAGATCGAGGCATGCACATACCCTCGACGGGATTCGATTCCTGAAGGCGCCCCTCCGGCCCGCAGGGTCAGGTTCTCCAATTTCTGCATGAGTCGGGCAGAGAAATATCTAGCGTATACGAGCGGTGTCCGCCAGGTCCTCTCCGGAGAGAAAATGCATGTGTTGCGACCGCTAAAGGAGCTTATGAAAGACTCCAAGTCCTCATTTCGCCGCAGGTGCAGAGCGTCGCAAGGCGCAGTTCAACCCTTCGAAGGTACGTGAAGGGATTGGTACGCCGCTCAGAAAGTCATGGGCGTCCTCTCCGTGCCTTGCGTGCCCGAAAACTGAGTTTTCTCCTCTTCCTGCCGCGAGATCCTTCATTGTAATGAGCTGCTTGCGTAGGCATGCGCTTGCGGGCGAGCGCTGCCTTGCTGAGCTGCATTCTTTGTTCCTTCTATATATAAACACATCCAAATATCGTTCCGTTCTCACTAAATATAATGCGATTTTCCAAGATGGGCAGGGTAAACATAGCGGTCCAGCCTAGCGGTCCCTCGCCGGCCTGCTGAAGATGCCACGCTTGCACACATAACAAGGATACCGCCAGTGCCTCATTCAAGCGGCAAACTGGGAAGCATGTGAGACCATCTCACACGGCTTTGGAGTTTTTGCAATACGCACAAAGCATCCGTAGCGGGTTACACAATGCCTTTGTCCAGCTGTGTATCTGCACAGCGCGCCCTCATTGTTTCTCAACACTGGAAAACAATGGCCTTGTGCTTGCACTTCGACATTCATACCAGCGTAGCTTCAGGAATAATGTGTGAACGTGCAACACAGTGTAGGTCATTGAAGGTCTCAACACAGAATTTAAATACTTAACAGCAGCTGGCTATCTGTTCCTCCTCCGAAAAAAACCACTCGTTCTCTCAGAAAGATTCCGAATCAAAGCCAGCTTTCCACCGTCGCATCCAAGGATCAAAAGAAAATCTCAAAACACTCACTCAAGAGAACCACCACGATGACTTACGGCAGCAACAGTAACAAGGAATCTTTCGCAGCTCGTCAGAGGAGAGCAGGTCTCCCTCGGCACAACACCAACCAGCAGCCTGCTGGTAACGACCACGCATACCATGCGTACCTCGAGGAGCACTACACCCTCGCGATGAGGAAGCCTCTTGAAGGCCCTCAACGACGGCGTCCGACAGCAGAACTCCGGGTAAGGGACAGCGTCATCGACTTCGCTCAGGCGAGTCACTTCATGGGGCAGGCGCCCGAGCATCGCCCTGCAGCCCCAAGTCCCGAAAACAAGCGTAATGTAAACATACGGGACAGTGTGCTTGACTTCGCGCAAGTCAACCACTTCATGGGGTTTGCTCCCGGGTTTACACCCGCCGAGGAGAAGAGCGAGGAAGAGTCCTTGTACAGCTCCACGGCCCCATCGGCTTCTCCCTTCGCTCCTGGTCGTCCGCGGCGATCACCTAGTCCGCTCGCGAGGGCAGTCAGTCCCCTTGAGCCCACGGTCAAGGTCAATGCTATTGTTCGCGTCAATGGTATCGACAGTGATTTCGACGAATGGGGAAATCGACGATGCACTCAACCCGCTGCGGTGCATGAGAGGACACAGGTACGCTTCCGAGCTCTGGCGAAGCATAAGACACCCCCTCCTCGCCCGGCGCGGCCGGCTCGTGCCATAACGCAGCCGCAAAACGCGCCGACTTATAGTCTTTTCCCGCCGGTCCGCCCAACTCCCGCTCGGCCTCCACCGCCGGCGAGAGCGGTGCAGACCACGAGGCCCCAAGCGAGCAGGAGGACGGACCCGAGCGTCCATCCTCTAGAATACGCGAGGTCTGTCCCGACTGGCTTTCACGGCGACTTCTCCGATCGTCGTAACCAGATTTATGGGGGAGCTCCCGGCTCTGGCAAGGATGAGTTGCGGGAAGCGGAGGAGAAGCGTCGAGCGAAGAAGGAGAAGGGCTTCTTCCGGGGCTTGTTCGGTATCAAGAAGAAGTGAGGGCTGAACATGGCGAGGGGGGAGGGTTTGGTGATTGGGAGGTTCTATATACTTTGACAGTTCCGCGACCGTGAGAGCTTTCTGAGGTAGTATAAATATCTACTTTATAATCTGATATTGAGCTCTCCGTGCTTCAACTGTCTTCGAGCGATGAAGTGCTACACAACATGCAGCCTCAATATTGTTGTGAGCGCGAAATTGGAAATTGACGAGGAGTTCAGCACAGTTTGCAGCTGGCCTGGAGGTTACAATGAAATGTACGCCTTAGCTGTAGAGCCTATGATGATGTACGAATGGAGTAGATAGGGAATGATTCAAGAAAATGGTGCGAATTGCAGTATCCTACGCCCAGAGTCCCTTAGTTCTTGGTATCGTTGCCAGGAGCATACACGGCCATCATGACCACTCCCAATGCGAAGCGGTGCTCTATGCTGTAGTCGCTGATCGTGAACAGTGGAGTGTTTTGATCCGAGCGTGAATACTGCAATTACATTGTACGGTACATTGTTAAGGTTTCTACCACACTGCCTAATTTCACTGCTGTGACTTGTGATACTATGCCTTTGTTCTGCTGGCTCTGGCATACAAATCGGAGCACGCATCGTGCAGTTGAAGTCTCTCGTGTTAGACAAGTCGCCTTAGACTTCGAAGTCACTTCAAGCTTTGAAATCGCTTCAGACTTTGAAGTCAGGAAACTTCGGAGATCTTGCTTGCTGGTCCGGACTTGCTGCTACCTTCGATCACCATGAGCTCGACTGGAACATCGATGTCCATACCCACGATAGTAGTAACACTCGTAGACGGCAAGTCCGTCGGGAGTGACTACGGAATTGAACCCGAGATGCGTAATCCGAACTTGCTCGGATACGATCTATTAGACGAATTCACGGAGGAAGAAAAAGAAGAGTTACGCATGGAGGAAGAAGCGCGCGTAATGAGAGAGCCGCACATAGAAGAAGAGGAACGGATAGAGGAAGAAGCGCGCAAAGTGGAAGCAGCACGCAAAGTGGAAGCAGCACGCAAAGTGGAAGCAGCACGCAAAGTGGAAGAAGCTAGTGCTACGGAGGAAGCAAGAATCGTGCGAACGACGAGAAGTATGCCGAACGATCCGATGCTCCCCTTCATGTCCGAACTGTTGCTCACGAATTACTGGTAGACCACGTCCACTCCGATAGCTGGATACCGAAACTGAGCCTTTCTGCCCAGGAACCTGGGCCTGATCGTCCACGTCAGTCCTCTCGGCTTGTTCGCCCACCGTCGCTCCCGGTCAGGCGAACAGCTTCAGTCGCAAGGGGTTCCGAACACGCCAACAGTGCTTCGGCAGCCATGTTGGACATAATCACTAAGCAGACTCGACTCGTTAATGGATCATCAACCGTAGCCGGATCGTATATTGCTTATCTTCCCGGGCCTACGGCAAGCACAGCACAGCAAAACTTCGCTGGGAAGGCTGGTTACACGGATGGTCGCGCATCAGACATGCCCAGCGGGTTCACACGCATCCCTTTCCGGGACGAGTGGAAGTGGGTTTCCGGCATGCCTATGACTGCACGAGAAGCATGTGTTTTGAAAGGGCAGCGACGGCCACCTTCGCGGTATATGGCGTGGCTCGATCCGAACTCTGGGCGTTCTCAACTGCGGTAGCTTCGCGAGGTTTCAGGAGGCTCTTTGCTTTTCTTTTCCTTTGGGATATCTCACTGATCTTGAGCTTGGCGTGGGTATTCATCTATGAGTGACGGCACAGGAGAGTGCCTGCTCGCTGGTCAAGCTGTCCGGCTTGATAATGGCAGGCTAATCGGCATATAGAACAAAGGACAAAGGAATACACATGAGGCGGGCGCTTGTAGGCGGAGCAATAGAAAACAAGTTCCCGAGTAGCGTCCAAGTGTTCGCCGTGACCATGATATACATATGTAACGTGACAACAAATTCAACATTGACGGGCAGAGGACAAGTGCGGCACGGTGGAGTGGAAGGGAGGGCTAAGGATGGCGAGGGCGCTGAAGGTCACGAGTCTTGAACCCTGCCCAATCACAATCACCGACTTGGCTTGGTGCACACGGGGCGTCGACTTGCTGTCTGGGCCGCTAAATAGATCAGCGTTCGGCGTTCAGCAACCCACCCTGCAGCACAAAAAGAACATATGACGAACTGCGGCTGGGGCTACAAGGTCGCGCCGTCTACAATTGACTCGACCCACTGCCATATCCAACTTTGCCGACACTGAGAGCTCTTACGGAGCCCCCCGGCAGCGCTGGCTTTGGAAGAAAGCCGACGACCCGAGTATCTTAGCGGAGACACTTTCGAGCTTCAGGACTTCAGCACAACCGGAAAACTCCGAGAGCACGCCAGCGGGGAGAGGGAAGACAGGCGCAAGCGCAAGCGGTGGGCGAAGCTCGAGAGGCTTCACCAGGAAGCCGAGATGAAGTTCTCCCACAGCATACAGTTCAATGCTGTGCCCGATTGGAGCAGCCACTACATAGCCTACAGTAATCTCAAGAAGCTGTAAGCGCTGTGCTCACTGCTCGGTCCCTCATGCCAGGATACTGACACCAATCCCTCGAATCAAGTATATACCAGCTCGAGAAACAGATACACCAGGTTGCCGGCCCTCCCACACAAGATGCCGAATCCTCCCCTCTCCTCAATGGCGCCCCAGATGACCCAGACAAGGTGTTCATCAATGCGTTGGACCATGAGCTGGATAAGATTTGCTCCTTTTACCAGTTGAAGGAGCTGGAGATATTCGGCGAGGTCGCCTCTCTGCTCACCGATGAAGAAGAATATGAAGAGGAGCATGACGAAGTAGATATGGATGGGGCCGACGGCCCACCAAGCAGTCGCAAGACAATTGGTAGGGCACGACAGAGTAGCATCTTCCAGAGCTTCACCTTCGGGCTCGGAAGGAACCGGAGAGCAAGCACAGCCAGTCAGACTCGGTCGCGGGGTTCACTCAGACGCCTCGATGAACAGCGGGAGGCGGACAGCGATGACGAGGCGACAGACGAGCTGTCTGCGCTGAGAAAGACCAAATCTCATGACGGGTCTGCACGGGAACGAGAACCTAGCAGCCCAAATATACGGAACACCGACCAACAGTCGAATAAAGGCCGACGAATGAGTGCTTCCTACGACGATTTCAGCGACCAGAATTTCTCTGCACTCTATGATACAGGCATCACCCTCAAAAAGCGAGCCATAAGTCACTATGTCAATCTTTGTGAGCTTCGCTCATTCATCCAGCTGAACAGGACTGGTTTCCAGAAAGTCCTGAAGAAGTACGACAAGATCCTTGATCGGAACTTGAAGAGCTCGTACATGGAAAAGGTGGAAAAGCAATATCCATTCCAGCAGTCAACAATGGACCGCCTCACCGAGAACCTTCAGAAGTTGGAAAAGGCCTATGCCAACATCGTCACAAACGGCAATGTGGATCAGGCGAAGCGCGAACTCAGGCTTCACCTACGTGAGCATGTTGTGTGGGAGCGTAACACAGTGTGGCGCGAGATGATAGGCATTGAGAGGAAAGCGCAGGCTGCGAATATGGGCATCAGGCAGACTATGCTCGGTAATGACACAGACTACCGCAATGCACGGAGGCAAGGTGACGATGCCCCACCAGCGACAAAGGAGATCGTTACGCCGGTTGGCAGGTACCGCTGTCCCCAGTGGTTGCTCAGCTCGACGTTTTATACACTGATTGCCATCATCGCGACCTTTTTCGTGCTTGTCTTTGTTCCTATCATGGAGGCGCCCGAGCAGCAGAACTGCCTTGCTATGGTAGTTTTCGTCAGCTTACTATGGGCTACAGAGGTAATCGTATTCAGCTGGCTGCTTAGAACACATCCTTACGCGCTCACAGGCTATACCGCTCTTCGTCACATCCCTACTAGTCCCCTTCCTCGTCGTAATCCTCCGCGTCGTGCGCTCAGACCAAAAGCCGCACAACCGCCTCGAGTCAAAACCCGCGGCATCCTACGTCTTCGGCGCAATGTGGACACCAGTAATTATGCTCCTCCTCGGGGGCTTCACCATCGCGGCCGCCCTGTCCAAATACAACATCGCCAAGATGATGGCCACCTTCGTCCTCAGCAAAGCCGGCACCAAACCGCGCACCGTTCTCTTGACCAGCATGTTCGTCGCCATGTTCGCCAGCATGTGGATCAGCAATGTCGCCGCGCCCGTTCTGTGCTTCTCCATCATCCAGCCCATCCTGCGTAACCTGCCCGCCGACTCCGCAATGACTAAGGCCCTCTTGCTTGGTATCGCGCTGTCTTCAAACATGGGCGGTGCGGCGTCGCCGATCGCGTCCCCGCAGAACCTCATCGCGCTGCAGAATATGTCGCCGCAGCCCGGGTGGGGTGTTTGGTTCTTCATCGCGCTGCCCGTGTGCATCATCTCGATCCTGCTGATCTGGCTGCTGCTGCTCGCAACGTTCCAGCCTGGGAAGAACACGACTATCGTGCCGATCCGGCCCATGAAGGATAAATTCTCCGGGATCCAGTGGTTTATTTCCGTGGTTACGGTTCTGACAATCGTGCTGTGGTGCGTGACGCACCAGCTCGAGCCTGTGTTCGGCGATATGGGTGTCGTGGCTATCATCCCCATTGTCCTGTTTTTCGGCACGGGAATTCTTACGAAGGAAGACTTTAATAACTTCCTCTGGACGATTATTATCCTTGCTGCCGGGGGTCTGGCGCTCGGGAAGGCCGTCAATAGCTCGGGGCTGCTGCATACCATCGCCGGTACGATCACGACGAAGGTCGAGGGGCTGAGCTTGTACTCTGTGATGATTGTCTTCTCAGCGATGATCTTGGTCGTCGCGACGTTCATCAGCCATACCGTTGCTGCGCTCATTGTGCTCCCGCTGGTGCAGCAGGTAGGTCAGGGCATGAGCGAGCCGCATCCGAATCTGCTGGTCATGGCGAGCGTGTTGATGTGTTCGGCGGCGATGGGGCTGCCGACGAGTGGGTTTCCGAATATGAGTAAGTGTTCCCTCGTCGAGTCTCTCTTGCCGTTTGTATTTCATGAACGAAGGGGCTAACGCGTGGGTAGCTGCAATCATGATGGAGGAGCCACACACCGGAGTGAGGTATTTGCAGGTCAGGCACTTCATCACGAGGGGCGTGCCGAGCTCGCTTATTGCGTTCGTGGTGGTCATCACGCTTGGGTATGGGTTGATGCTGGCCGCTGGCTTTTAACATATTGCAATTTGGTGCACATTAGAGCTAGTTTGGGGAGAAGATGGTTGCGACGTATAGTGTCATTTGAGACGGTTGTATGTGGATCTTGTGAGCTGTTTGTATCGATCTTTATGTAAGTGCTTTGGATTCGCTGTGTTATATTTGGTTGTGCTCAAATAGAGCATGTCAGGTACGAGCAAAGCTGGCGAGGCCGTCTCTAGAGAAGTGTTTGTGAGTGTGACCGAGAAGTCGTGAACAACATCGCAACGCCAGCTGCAGGGAAGTCAATGCCAATAACCGTGGAATATGAACATTTATGAAGACTATGAAGTTTTCGGAACTACAATCGGTAGCTGTTGAGTAGAAGTCTATGCTAAGAAGAATCGTCCAGGGATGATAGCCCGATTCTAAGAGTGACATGAAATTGTGCACAATTGCTTCGTCACACCAGATGTCACGAAGTGCAGCCTTGCCACGGGGCTGATCACGGTCACCACGTGCGCAGCGTGTCACCACGTGTCTATGCGAGATTGAAATTGGCCGGAACCCTCTGCGGCAGCCAAGTACCGGCGCAACTTCCTCAATTGGAGTTCATTCAAATTAAACCTCGTTTGCAAATGATGGTCGACGTAAGATCGATCCCGAATCCCCTAGATTGAGAGTCTGAGAGGCACAGCACACGGGGTAAGAATGATCGCATGCCAGCAGAATGTGATTCAAATTTAAGTCCTAGCCCAACGCCAGTGAAATGCCCAGAGATGCCGCTAGATGTCCTGCCCGTAAAACGATCTGGAGTAAAATCAAAACACCGTGGTGAGCCATGGCCTGACTTGATCCTGTACTTGCATAGCGCCGTCACTTGCCTGGGAAGTGACATACAGTGCCGCCCCTGTATTCTTGTGAAAGGCAGAAGAAATCCACGCAGCCGCTAAAAGGAACCCGTGAACGCATTGGTGGAGGGTATGTGCAAGTGGTGCAGAAAAACATGTGCAAGATGTGTGGGAAGATTGCAAATCACTTCAAAGAAGGGGACTGAAGGTGAGAAGTACAGAGGAAACCATTTTGCACCGAGATCGAGTTGTCCAACTCCCTCCTAAAGTCCTCCGACGCACCATTCTCCCATCACTGTTGCTGGGGGGTTGAGAGCCGATCCGCTCGCAAGTCGCATCGACGGAGGAGACATTAGAATATGTCGTGGGAGTCAAGCTCCTCGAGGAGGTCCTTGTTGAGTAGATCCGGCACCACTTCATCCTCGATCTCATCTACCGGCAGAAAGATATCCTCCATGGTAGGTATCCTGCGCACTTCATCAAAAGGGAAGTGCTCGATCGCAGGAATATGGCTGAATGTGACTGTTGGATTGCCAGGTAGACGAGGCAAGGGAAGGTAGCGTCCAACATTTGTGTGGTTGCGATCGTCTCCTTCCCACTGCCTCTCCTTGTAGCCCGGCCACAGCGCATAAACCCTCCATGGAACATCCCAGTTCTTGCACCATATCGTGTAGTGGGATAACACGGCCCCTTGGCATCCGGAAAGGAGCTTGCCGTTTAGAGCTGGGCGTGCCGGCGGCTGGGTTTGGCGTGCTTGTCGTTCTTGCTCGATGAACTCAATCAATCTTCTCTCGCGCCTGACGTAGGCGTCCTGCATTTCCTTTCTGTGCGTCACCCACGTAACGATATCCTTGGGGATGAAGGGACTGCTATTCTTAAAATGGTCGCGGCGCGCAGCAGTCTGAAATGCATCGAATCTCTCGGCTTCGCGTGCGCCATGGGATATCCATGTCCTGGATGAGCTGTATGCCATTGACTGATGGCCTCCGTTGTGCGCTCCGATGGCACGCAGTGAACTTCTTGGCCGGTTGGTAGCTACTTGCGGGAGCTGCAATTCTCGATAGCGCCCCCCTTGGTTCGTTCCCTGTTTAGTGTAGAAACTGGAAGTCTACTTGTGGCGTGCGGCGATAGGTAAATGAAGATCCCAGATGCTTTGTGAAACTGTGAATCACAAACAAGTTAGTGATTCCCGACGGATCGGGCCAGGAGCCCAGAGTGAATGAGCGACGAGCTGAACTATGGGAAAAGGGGACCCTCATAAGATCCGTAGGATGCTCGCGATTAACTATCCGCTGCGCCTACAAAGTCTTCGGAAAGCTCCAGAACGTGAAGATCGGGCAGCGTGTGTAGTCGGTAAGTAAATGGTCGGGGGGTCAAAGAAACGAAGAAGCGTACCTTCACCGCCGGAGTCCAGCTTTCCCTCAAACTTCACACTGCTCTTGAAGATGGCTCCTCCCAACAGATGCATACCGCTGAGGCTCTGAAGGACTGTACGTACTTATGCTTGTGGTATTCTCGGAGCGGGTCTTTAGCACAGCACAGACAGTAAGGTGCTTTATGATGTGCTCAGCCGCCTGTGGATCTGCCGACTGCGGGTTGTGCTCGCCTGCCACAGGTGCTCTTTGATAGAGTGGATGATAAGGTGAACAGATTGGTGACCGCTTCTTTGTAAAAGAAGGAAGAATAATCACCGCTGGCTTCGAGCTGCAGCAACGAACGACTAAGCCGGATCGAGCGTGACCGCCGAGGTGAGCCTCCGTTGGGTGTGATGATGTGGCGCTAAGTCTGAATGAGCATCGGTAGCTCTTGTAACTACTTGAGGCTCGAAGTGAACAATATGTTCACGAAGCTTGTGGCTGCTGTTGATGCTATTGATGTGCGAGGGGTTGCTGTTCGCAAAGGTTGAAGGTGCCCAGCAGCCGGATACGAATAGGCTGCTATTGTCCTACCGACAAGCAGTAGCCATCACGGGAGCTATTGAGCGGCCTAATCACGGAACCTACGGCACAGGGGGCCGATGTTTGCCTGATCTGAGCGAGCTGAGAGAGGTCTTAGCCGGAGCCGTGCAATCAACGTGTAGCTGAAGGAGTACGGTGCCGGTGGATCGTAATATCTTGAAGTTGCTTATGTTGTGACGGCAACATGGTGAAGGTCCAGACGCGGTAACGGCGGTAAGAGATTGGAAGGTGTGCTGACGTGAGGGATCACGACTGTCAATTCGTGGTGATCAGCCTCTGCGGTGGCGGTGAGGTCACAAAAGTTGGCCTACTGGGCAGTTGACGTCGGAAATGCTGAAAGTCACGCGTGTTACATAGCATAGATCTTTGCCAAGGGGTCAAGCGTCGCGTCTCCTGTTCACCGTTCGTGGAAGAAGCGCGTTTAATCCGTCCTCAAATCAGCACATGGGCAATGAAGGTCTCGCCTGGAGCAATCCTTTTAGACGCCAAGGTGCAGAAAACAGCCCGTGAAGTTTTGCGCGACACTTCTGGCACTTATTACGGCCTGCCTCTTGTAGCCTATGGATAGCTGAGGATCACTCATGCAAGAGAAGACAAAAAGTACAATCGATTTCACAAAGACGGCACGCAACGGAACGAAGACGAAAACTAGATCAGAGGACCGAACGATGCATTGATGGATGGACTGGTTCAATAACTATGACTCGAAAACGCTGTTTGCGTGTGTTTCCCTTACTCATGCTGCTCCGCACCACTGAGCTCACTCGGCCATCATGCTTAGATTCCTTAACCAGCATTCATAACAGCTCAGTAGCGACACATGAGCCTGCTAAAGGAAGATATCTGTCAGACTCGGAACAAAGCGCCACAGCCAGCAGAGCTGCTCTACCTCCAAGGTGTGCACTAGAAGAGAGTCATTGTTGAGGACAATGAGATCCATCAGCCGATCAGCTGTAGGGAACCGCAAGAAGACGAATGAATCAAGAGCACCGAGACTTTGCTGCGATGAAAGACAAAGATGAAGTGATTCAAGACGTAGCACCCTCAATTGATGGCTGCATGGAAACGAAAACGAGATGGATGCAACACTGTGACAAGATCCAAGGAAGCCTCTAGCAGTCTCGTCGTGGAAGCTATATTGCACGTAATATTCTATGTTGCAGCGGATGGGCGAGAGGCGGGTGCCGGAGAGCTAAAGCATCCAGTCCAGGCAGAGCATCAAGTTGAAAACCAAAAAGTGCCAGTGTTCTGGAAGAGAGGCTTTGAAGGGGGAAAGCAGTTGAGATGGATTGCGTCGTGCACCAGGAGTGGTGTTAGATTCGTCGGCTCGGACATGGAGGCAAGTTCCGCGAGGCGCCGAGCTGCACGTGTGCGCGAAGCTCAGCTCAGCTCAGCTCAGCTCAACTCGAAGCTCAATTCGAAGCAAGAAGGCACAACCATCAGCATCGGATGGACGGGTACTCGGGAAGATATCGCAGCATATAGGAAGCGCTCTATTATCAAATAGTCATACAGAAAATATTGCTCTCTGCGGAGATACCTTTCGCATGTGCTCGTGTACAGAGTGAGTGCTCAAGAGATGACGTTGAAGCCGAGATCAGGGAAGCAGGAAATTGCCCTAAAAGCGCCACCATCCGGGGCTGTCTGCCACTAGAAGCCGCCTGGACTACATAACGCTGGTGCAGTCCGAATGTCTGCAAAAACGGGCAACCTCTGGGTGGCTACCTGGCCTCCAGGTGTTGCTCCCTCGCGACTGACAATTCTTTCGGCGGCAGCACTCGGACGCGCTGATTCACGGCGACCTCATCGGCTTTGGCTGGTGGGAGCGCCGCGTTGCCGCTGCGTGTCCGAGTGCTGCCGCTCCACGGTCGCAAGCAGAGGAGCACAAGGCAGGCAAGATGAGCAGATGGACTCGCGATACCGCAGACGAGCCTGTCGATTGCGAAACGCCTTGGCCTCCTTACTTGCACGTTGTTTTGGTCCCCGGCAGACCGGCCGCTGGACCAAGGAACGACTGGCCGCGAAGCGTTCTCCTGTTCTCCGAGGGCGGCTATCTTTTAAGCCGCGCGACCCAAGAGCCTCAACTCTCAAAATAGAGACATGGACGACTGGACGGCATTGAAACGTCTGAGCCGGGCGATACTCTTGTTTCATGCAATGAACGGAGGTCGCGTCATGGGTTCTGCGAGTCTTCTGGTACGTCGTCTGTTGTTGTGGCTTATTTCCATTGTTAGCTCTATTGTCCATGATTCAATTCACAAAACCCGCTGTGCCCCACCCTGTTCTGTCACGCATCTCTTTTGTCAAGTCAATCTCATTGTTGTTTGCCGTCATTGTCTTGCATTCACTCATAGACTAATTCTGCCTTCCTTTTCTTCTTTGTGCCTCTATGATTTTTGCCGCCTCCAACTTCCTCAGCTCGTGACTCAAGCTCGCATCTACTATCACAACATTCTGCTTTCACATCTACGTTATCTGCCGCTGGCTGGCACAGAACTAATTCTACCCTCGTGATAGACCCAGACGTTTCGTGCTGGATACTGTCCCCATGTCTTCCGCAGAGAACCAACACCACGCCTTTCCGGCCATACCTCCATCTCTCTCCGCTGGCGACCACGAGATGCGAAACTACTACACCGCGCAGGACGCGCCACGACCTACACCAAACCAAGCGCCATACCTCACACCATACCTCGGCCTTCGAGCTAGACTCTCGCAGATATGGATCAATCGCTGGACCATTCTCCTCTTCCTCGTACTCGTTCGTACCCTAATCGCCGTTCAGAGCCTTGACGACAACCTGGATTCCGCCCGCAAGCAGGCACTTTCGGCATGCACAAGCGTCGAAAGCATGGGCAGCGCCATGGCATCTATGCCTCATTACATGTCACAGGGCGTTAATGAGATCACTGCCAGCGGCGTTGAGAAAGCAGTCAACGGGCTCATGTCCATGCTCGACATGGCAGTCCAAGGCGTCGGCGAGATCGTAATTTTCATCATTGGCATGCTCACCAACACCTACCTCTGCCTCATCACCCTCGCAGTTAGGGGCAGCTTACACGTGGCTCTTGAACTCGTCGAAGAAGTTTCCAACTTCCTGAACAAGACGCTGGATGGCGTTGGTGACGACATCGCTGATGTCGCCGGCGGCCTCCAAGACAAGATCAACAGCGTCTTGGGACTTTTCACGAGTTTTCCAGGAAACAAGCAAGACAAGCCTACTGTCGACTTCGGCAAACAGATCGATGTTCTCCGAAACCTCCAACTGCCGTCGGGCCTCCAGGACGATCTCGAGAAGCTCAACAACTCCGTACCGACCTTCGAAGAAGTCAAGAACTTCGCGGAGGGCGTAATCCGACTGCCATTCAACGAGATCAGGAAACTGATTAACGAGACAATGGATACGTACGAGTTTGACAGATCCGCTTTCCCGGTACCTCAAAAGGAACAGCTCAACTTCTGCTCAGAGAGCAACGGCATCAACGATTTCTTCGACGGCCTCGTCGACATCGAACAGGTGGCCCGGAAGGTCTTCATAGGCGTTGTCGTAACTCTTGCTATCCTGGTCTGTATCCCGATGGCTTGGCGAGAGATCAAGCGCTGGCGCCTCATGCAACAACGCGCACAGCTGATCAGCAAGAACGCATTCGATCCTATGGATGTCGTTTACATCTCCTCCAGGCCGTACTCATCTACCATCGGTATCAAGATCGCCAACCGCTTCAGGTCCACTCGCCACCAAACTCTGGTTAGGTGGGCTGTCGCGTACGCCACGTCTACGCCAGCCCTTTTCGTACTGTCACTGGGAGTCGCAGGGCTGTTCGCTTGCCTTTGCCAATACATCCTTCTCAAGTCTATCGAGAAGGAGGTGCCGGGCCTTTCGAATCAAGTGGGCGCTTTTGCGGAAAAGGTCGTGTTTGCATTGAACAACGCTTCGACAAGCTGGGCGAACGGAACCAACACTGCCATCACCAACACGAACCTCGAGATAAACGATAAGGTCTTTGGCTGGGTTGAGACTAGCACCACCGCTGTCAACGACACACTCAATGCAGTTGTTGGCAACATCACTACGGTGCTGGAGAAGGCTTTCGGTGGCACTCCGCTAGAAGAGCCTGTCAAGGGTATCTTCAAGTGCCTCGTTGAGCTTAAAATGCAAGGCATTCAGCAGGGTCTCACATGGGTGCACGAAAATGCTCATGTCAATTTTCCGTTGATGCCTGCTGATACCTTCTCGATCGGCGCTGCTGCCTCAATCGCCAACGACTCGTCCACTGATTCCTTCCTAGCCAACCCAGGTACCAAGGCCAAGGACGAGATTACAGAGGCAGTCCAATCCCTGATCCGAAAACTCTCGAACGCCATTGCCGAAGAGGCACTCATCTCGACCTGCATCATCCTCATTTGGTTCTTCATTTTGTTGATTGGCATCGCCCGTTCTGGCGCGCTCTTTTACGGTCATGACAAGACCCGCGCAGAGGGCGGTCAAGCTCACACTATCGACCCTGCCACCGACGACCGACAAGCTCGGAACCACGATTTCCAGCTGTACCGCGGAGACGAAACTGCTCCTCCGTACGAATACGACACCCCGCTTCCGGTCAACAAGGCTGCGCCGTACACAATCACCCCTCGACCTTTCCCCGTCTTCGGCCCACAAGATGCAACACAACCTGGCTCGAACGACGAAAAGGTCGGTGAAGTCGGCGCGCGTAGCGTCGGGACTTCCGTTCAGCGTCCGACACACGCGCGGGCTAGCAGTTATGGAAACCTTGGGGGAACGACACCGATAGACGGGAAATCCGCGAATCCATTTGCCGACCAGCGCCGCTGATGTTCAATCATCAGTCCTCCTTGACCTTCCCTCTTTCTGCAGAGTTGATGGGCTGAGTCGTCGGGGACGCGGAGGCTTGGTCGGATCTGCCGATGAGTCGTAAACGCTCAGGTTACGTACCTTGGTCACTGAGGTCTTTCTATCCTCTTACAAGTTTTGTAGCATTGCTCCTTGGGAGTGAGAATACACACCGGATGACGGATTCACCTCCTCTCCGGTAAACTGGTGTTCACGGGAGGAATCTTAGGAGACCTCTTATTTTTCTTGGTTTTTTGTTTTGCGTTGTGCCGCTTTGCATCCTGTGCGGCGTTCAAGATACCCCATTCCCTCTCAGAACCATAGTCAACGGTAGCATTTGATCCATAATGTCGAGTTTTCCACTATGAGCTCATGTCTCTCCTTGGCTATCTCTGATGACGTGGAATGCTGGCGAGTTCTATCTTCAGTATGTTTTTCCGCGAGTCCCGTCCCTCCTGCTCCTCTCCAGCACTCTCCGCTGCCCTTCATCCCCTCCTCCCTCCCTCTGCGCCGTCCTCCCCGCCTTCCGTGGCTTGCCCGTCGGCCGCGAGGACTTCGTAGAGGTGACGCAGGACGCGATGTCGCGCGAACGGTGGACGTAGCGCTGTGCATGAGCCGGACATACGGGAACTGGTCGCTCATTCGCCTGCCCTTCACTGGCTGTATCTTCGGACCCGAGGCTGTGGCAGGCTGACCGATAACGAGCGTCGAAACCTCCCTCCGCACATTTTCGCAGAGTTGTGCGTTTGAGCTGGAGGATGAGAGAGTTGCGTTGCGTTAGCTGATGCGGGCGTGTTTTGTATGTTGGGTATTGCGCTTTGCGACCTGCTGACCCCGCCTTTTGCGGGGCTTTTTGGATTGAGGTTTATGGGTTGTTGCTGAAGCTTTCGTTTCGGCGGAGGTGGAAGCGCGTTGTTGATGGACTTTTGAAACAAGCTGGTCCAGGACTTTCTTATTGAGAAGATACGGATTCAGTGGCGGAGTCTGCTAGCACAGGGCGCGACTATGCGCAAGACGCTCATTTGTAAATAAAGTCGTGGGATGATGAGGCTTCCAACTTTGGCAATAGTGCCTGGGGGTCTCAACGTACATAAATGGAACCACTCTCCCTCGACATCTGCTCCCACAACAGTCCCTGTGAACGTATCTGACTACTAACATCTCTGGTTTGCCTGCCTCAATAACTCACTGAAGCATGTGCTGCCTGGATAGCTGATGGTTATGGGGGTAGTGAGTACTCGCAACCCCTAGGACGTCGCCGGTGCTCGGTGTTTCGACTGGGAAGCTCCGGCCGCATCATCGTCACAAGGCCGAGCTGGTCGACAGCAGCTTCAGAGTTCGCGCGATGTGCGCAATGGCCACTCGTAGTCTTAGACAGCGCTCGAGAATGGTCCGATAACCCACCTACACAGCTTTTGCAAGTTTGGAGCACGCCGCGAGGATGCTGTCCGCCTTTACCGCTCGGCCAATTGTCGAGCTCAAGCAGCGCGACAAGTCCAAGATTGAGTCGGTGCTGGCATATGGTAAAGGCGATCCATTGCTCTCCAACACAACAGAGAAAGCTTATATTTGCCCCAGGTGACAGACTCCTCGTCGGCCTCAACACCGGCACCCTCCGCATCTACCGCGTGAACGAGACCATCACCGAACCCTCCCAAAATGGCACCACCTCCAACGGCAACCCAACTCCGCAACCCAAACCCCGCGCCGTCGACCTCCTCCGCGAGGAAGAGAAGTTCTCCCGCCGTCCAATCCAGCAGCTCGCCCGCATAAAAGAAGCCAACATCCTCGTCTCGCTCTCCGACTCCTACGTCTCAATCCACGACCAAGAAACCTACGCGCTGGCCGAGCGCCTCGAGCGCACCCGAGGTGCGACATGCTTCGCTGTCACCAGCGACGTGGTCACGGACGCCGAGACGGGGATCCAGAGTCTCGTGAGCCGGCTGGCCGTCGCGGTCAAGCGGAAGATCATCCAGTGGAGCTGGACGGACATGGAGCTGGGCACTGAGGTCAAGGAGGTCAGTCTTATGGCGACTGTGAAGAGCTTGACGTGGGCGACGGGGACGAAGATTGTGGCGGGTATGGATCCGGGATACGTGCTTGTGGATATTGAGACCCAGAAGATTACCGACGTCAATAAGCCTGTTTCTGCGGGTGAGGCTGCGGCGGGGCAGACAGGGACGAGGTTCGGCGCGGTCAATAGCTCGGGAATGGGGTATATGGGCATGGGCAGCTGGGTGCCGAAGCCGATGGCTACGAGATTATCGGAGGGCCAGATGCTGTTGGCGAAAGATGTTAACACGCTGTTCATCGATACGGATGGGAATCCGTTGGATAAGAAACAGGTGCCGTGGATTGCAGCTCCGGAGGCTGTGGGGTATTCATATCCGTATCTGCTGGCGTTGTCACCACCGTCCCGAGGGGCGCTGGAGGTGCGAAACCCGGATACGCTTTCTCTGCTGCAGGCGATATCGTTGCCAAACGCGACGCTCCTGCATGTGCCGCAACCGTACATCAGTCTTGCGCATGCTGGGAAGGGCTTTTTAGTGGCAAGCGATAGGTGCATCTGGCGGATGGGTGCTCTGGAATACGAGGCTCAGATTGATGCGCTTGTATCCAGCAAGCGTTACGATGAGGCTATCAGTCTGCTTAATATGCTTGAGGATACGCTACTGAAGGACAAGGTGGGCCGGCTGCGCGAGACTAAGATGCGAAAGGCGCACGGTTTGTTTGAGCAGCGCAAGTATCGGGAGGCAATAGACCTCTTCTCAGAGGCGGAGGCCCCCCCGCAGAGGGTCATTTCTCTGTATCCAAGGGTGGTCGCCGGCGATCTGTCGACTATTGAAGAGAAGGAGGATGAAATCGACGGCGATAACGAAGAGCCCGCAGGCGGCTCCAGCGTAGCGGATAGCAAACCTTCGGCGAGTACGCCTAATCGATTGCTATTTGGCAGGCTCAAGGGAGATCTCAGGCGGGTGGACTCCGATATGGCGTCCGTCCGGTCTCTCAGATTCGACGACGCTGCCAGCGTAAGAGCCAAGATTACTGAGACGGTTCCGACAGACAAGCCCTTAGGTTAGTACATGTTCACCTTCATTAGAGCTGTTCGCTGACGGATTTGCAGAAGGTAGAGATTTGCTGGTAGCAGTGAACGAGCTGCGGGTCTTCCTTGTGCAAGCACATGCCCGCCTGCTGAAACTTATCAACACGGACGGCACTCTCAAAGAGCCTTTGCCACCACCGGATGAGAGCGGTCATGATCTGAAGCCTCCTTTCCACCATCTAATCATCCTACCAGAAAACGCCGAAGACATTGACTGGCAGAAGAAGCTGTTCGAAGTCGCAGTCATGGTCGACACAACACTCTTCCGCGCGTACATGCTAGCTAGCCCAAGCCTAGCAGGTTCTCTTTTCCGGCTTGACAACTTCTGCGACCCTCACGTCGTCGAGGAGAAGCTGTACGAGAGCGGTAGATATAACGAGCTCATCGACTTCCTGCACGGTAAGAAACTGCATCGGGAGGCGCTGGAGCTGCTCGAGAAGTTTGGCAAGAACGAAGCGAGAGAGGAGGTCAGCCCCGTTCTTCGTGGTCCACAAAGGACAGTCGCATACCTGCAACAGCTACCGCCAGAGATGATCGACCTCATCTTGGAGTTTGCCGAGTGGCCGCTGCGGACGGATCCGAAGCTAGGAATGGAAGTCTTCCTTGCAGACACGGAGAACGCAGAGACTCTGCCGCGGGACAAGGTGCTTCATTTCCTGGAACAAATCGATCCGAAGCTTGCGGTCAGATACTTGGAGCATATCATCAACGAGCTGAATGATCAGAAGTCGGAATACCACCAGCGTCTGATAGACATGTATCTGGAGAGGCTCAGGGACGAAAACGGGGGAGCCTTCGAAAGCGATGACGAGAGGAAGCAGTGGCTGGAGCGGTTGAATAACTTCCTTGAGAGCAGCGCGCAGTACAACCGGGCGAGAGCTTTCAGGCAGCTGCCGAGCGACGGTGAGCGGTGTTCTCTCCTTCCCAATCCCCATAGTTCGAATCCTCTTTTGTTCGCAGCATCACCGCTCACACACACATATAGATCCCTCCTTCTACGAATCCCGCGCCATCGTCCTCTCCAACATGGGCCAGCACAAACAAGCGCTCCAGATCTACGTCTTCCAAATGGCCGCCTACGACAAAGCCGAAGACTACTGCAACCAGGTCTACCTGTCCTCCGAGGGCAGCAGCGGCGGCGCCCAGAAGCCTTACTCCGCGGACGCGGAGAACGCAGAACAGCACACCATCTATCACACCCTCCTCTCGCTCTACCTGTCCCCTCCACCCCCGCACAAGCCTAATTGGCCGCCTGCGCTCGACCTGCTGAGCCGGCATGGTGCAAGGCTACCGGCGAGCAGCACCCTTGATCTTATTCCGCCGTCTTTGCCGGTGAAGGAATTAGAGTCGTATTTCAGGGGCCGTATACGTAGCGCAAATAGCGTGATGAATCAGGAGCGCATCGTCAAGGGGCTGGCGGGCGTGGAAAAGGTGAATGTGGATGCGGCGCTGTTGCTAGGGGAGGGCGAGGGCAGGATGGGGCTGGGGAGGAAGGGGGGAAGAAATAGGAGGGTCGTGGTTGGCGAGGACAGACATTGCGCGGTTTGTCATAAGCGGTTTGGCGCGTCTGCTATTAGGGTCTATCCGGACAATGAGGTTGTGCATTATGGGTGTTTTGGACGGGCTGGGCAGGCGAAGGGCGGGTCGGGGTGGAGATGAGGGAACATGATCGCTAGAGATGGCTCGGCCGCGCGTAGTGCGACTGCCACAGTGATGTCTGCCAAGTTTTTGGTCATTGAGCTTTTATTTTTTCGCCTCGAGAACCTCATATAGCCACTCATGGCGCTCGCTCCACGCGCCCTAGTCTCGAACATCACTTCCACTTCACTCTCCGGGTGGATCAAGCTGGTAGTCTGGTTCTCCGCCGCCGGCGTGCCACAGCCCTCAATCCACCTTGCATAGATAGCCTTCTGGGTGCAGCGCGGGCACGGGGTGATGACATCCATGCCCTGTTCGAGCCACTCCCTTGCACACGGAAGCGCTTCTATACCTTCTCGAAACCCCCTTGCTGGCAACTATTCCTCCACCTTCTCCTCCCCATATCCGTCCTCCTCCTCCTCCTCCGCATCCCGATCCCTCCCCCCGCTCAGCGCACCCCCATGCAATTCCCCACCAGCGGTGCTTGCGCCCGCCTTCTCCTCCTCCATCTTCGCGGTCAGGAACTCGTTGACTTCAGCCTGCAGGGCGACAACTGACTGGCGGAGGGCAGAGAGGTAGGCTGTTTTCTCGGAGGTCGAGGGGGCGGAGGGACAGGGTGGGAGGGCGTGGGCGAAGGATTTGGAGGGGGTGGAGGGGGTGGAGGGGGCGGCGTAGGTTGCTGTGAGGGAGTGGGACATGGTGTTGTTTGACCTTAGGGCGCTGGTGACTACGGCAATGCGGAGGACAGAATGGGTAGTGGTGTCAAGGTGACATGTGAGATCGGCAGGGGAGAGGTGGGGATGGCGGCTCAGCCCTGCGGATTGCGGAGAACCTTGAGGGCTGTCATCGACGCTACGGGACCAGGCCTGTGGACATGGGATACGAGTAGCTTCATTCGTTATATACCTAGGTAGTCTGACAGTGTCTGATAAAGTTAGCTCCCCCCAGTCAGCTTTGCTCAAATCCCCCCCACACTTCGGACACGCTTATATTGCACAGCGAATGGACTCCTCTCCTGCCCGCGGCGCCCTGCGCTCTCCCGTCACCTTTGCAGCAGATGCTCACCCAAGAGATGCTCCCGCAAACCGCCGCCGCAAATCCTCCCTCTCCAGCGATTCCTCCGACAGCTCCCAGATCACTGCTCTATCCGTGAAGAGACCGCCGCAGCAGCCCGAAGTCAGGAATCCGAATGGTAGTACTACTACAAATCTGCAGAATGCAAGCCGACCCTCCGGCGGCGCCCTTGCGCGCGCCTTGAACGAACACCCATCGAGGACCCACTCGCCTGCTACCGACTCCTCCACGTCCTCCCGGATCGGCCACAGGGCCCGCCAGCACTCGCAAGGCTTCTTCGAGCCCTCCCTTCCCGGAGCGTCCCAGTCCAACTCCTCCACCATGTCCAACAACCTCACGGCCTCCCAGATCGCTGCGCAAGCCGCCATGCAAGCCCAGAACCCGCAGCACCTAAGGAGGCGCTCGCAGACGATACCCGACCCCGGTGCACATCCTACAGCACGCCGGCAGCAATCGTCTCCCCCACCTGTCCCGCCGATCAACTCAAGTTTCGCTGTCAAACAGAACAGCCAGCAGGGTCAAGATGGCTTCATTGGCGGCCTGAGGCTGACCGCCGCAACGGCTGCGAACGCAGCCTTCCCTCGAAGCCCATTATACTCTCCTGGTTTGCCTCCCGAGCATGCGCCGTCGCCTGCGCCCGAGAAGGAGGTCAAGAGCAAGGAGAAGTCGAAGATGAAACTCTTCTCCAAGCCGAAGAGCATTGGGATATCGAAGGAGAGGGACAAAGACGCAGACAGGAAGAATCCTGCTATGCCGTCGCCGAACAAGATGGCCATGCACAGTACAAGTGCGCTGCCCAGCAGACTCGCCATGAACGCCTCAACGCCGAGTCTGGTGGACTCGACCGTGTCAGGCGCAAGTTCGTTTTACTCGTCAGCAAACGCTTCTACGTCTACGCTCGTACCAACCGAACGGACGACCACTTTCGTGGACGGGCAGCAGAAGGAGAAGGAGAAGCACAAACACCACTTCTTGTCAAGGCAGAAGAACAAGCTGCAAGGAGCATCCGACCACCACAACCTCCCTCTGTCGTCAGCATCCAGCAACTCTAAGCCTACCGACCCCTACGCACCTCAGCCTCTCTACTCCTTCGCCGCTCCCGCTTCGCCCGGCCACTCTTCCACCTTTGCCCAGTCGGTATCTGGCCTTGACCTCCGTCACGGCGGCCGCGCGCTGCGGCAGAAGAAGAAAGAAGAGAAAGCCGCAGCCGCGCAATCCCAGTACGCATCCAGCATCAACGAGATCCTCGAGCCCTCGTCCGCAAAGCAGCGGAACGAATCGTTCAGCAACGCTGATCGCAGCGACTGGCCCGGCCCAGCAAGCCTCGGCGCTGTGGGGCTTTCAATGGGCACCACCGGCACAAACTCCCCCTACACCTACCTCCCCGATCCAAGCCTGACGCAAGCGAGCGTCGCAAACCTCGGTGCCGCCTTCGGCCTCCCAGGCATTGGCCCCGACGACGCCTGGCCCCTCCTCAAAGCGCGCCTCCTCAACATCTTCGAAGGCGAAGACCCACGGCCCCCAATCGAAGACTTTAACGCCCTCGTCTCCGTGCACATGAGACGGTGCATCCAACGCCGCACACCCGTTGTGCTTATTGAGGATCTCTCCGAGCTGCTCCAAACGGGCTTCTCGTCTCTCGACCAAACCCTCCGCCATATCCCCGACGAGCGCCTCGTCCCCAGCCTCGTCGAGATGTGGATCGTCGTCTTCTGCACCATCCTGCCCTTCATGCAGGCCGTCTTCCTGCCGCTGGACCTCGAGTTCAAGGGGCGCGGCCCCATCATGAGCCCGCGCGAGGCGGCCGAGTTCTGGGGCGCGGCTCTGCCTGACAGCGAGCTAGCACGCTCGAGCGAGAGCACCACGGGCACGGGCGGCAAAAAAACGATCCCGACGCTGGGCGAGGAGCTCGACGTGCGGCGCATCACGCTGCTCACCTTCCGCGACACCGTCATCCTGCCGCGGCACGAAGCGCTGATGGCGATCTTCTCCCGCCTCTCGCTCGAAGCCATCAGCGCAGGCACTCCGGGCGACAGCACCGACGCCCCCACGGCGCGCCCTGCCACCGCAACCGACCCCTCCGACCCCAGCAGCCTCCCCTCCCAATCCGCCCTCTCCACCTCCTCCTCCTCCAACCCCTCAACCTCACAGTCCAGTTCCTCAGCCGGCGCATCCATTCTCGCCGCCTCGCGCTCGCGCGCAACCTCCAACACCTCCGCCGGCAGCTTCAACAGCATCCCGCGAAGCACCGTGGCCCCCTCGTCAACCTCCGCGCTATCCTCGCACCCGCTCCCGCCGGCCGCGCGGCCGAGGCCCATGGACGGCGCGCAGGTCACTGAGACGGTGGGGCGCATGCTGCAGTGTGTGAGTGTGCTTGCGAGCGTGCAGAGTGGGGATGAGGCGCAGAGGATGATGGAGAGGCTGACGAGTGAGTTGAAGTATAATTGGCTTGGGAGGGGACGGACGGGGAGGCAGAGGAGGGGGTTTGTGGGGCGGAGGGCTGGGGGGGTGGGTGGCCCTGGAGCCGGCACTGGTGTTGGGTTGGGGCTGGGAGCGAGGGGATTGGCGGGGGTTGCTTAGCGGTTGGAATCTGAGACACATGTCTACACAAGTGCTGGCACGATACGCAGACGTAAAGTTGAACTACAACTTGCCGCTGCGCACGGCGCGGTGATGTTTATGCGAGGCAGGATTTCTGCTGGCTTGTGCTCCGTGCTTCTTCCCGTCTTTTCCCCTTCCGACTCCGAGCGACCAGCATTCAAAGTGATACTCACGCCCGGCCGTGTTAATCGCCGTGCACCTACGTCGACTCCACCCTCGAAAGCCAGTTGATAATCTACACGCGCGAGTAGTCAGTCCAAGTCCCTCCACAACTACAGCACAACCACGTCTCCATACCATCATCGCCTGCACAACCCCAACCCCCTCCCCATAATCCACCCCATCCCAACTACTCGCCTGCACCGTCAAATTCCACATCCCCAGCACCTCGACGCCCCTCTGTCTTGCCTCCTTCCCCATCTGCATAGCATAATGCCACAGCGCGTTATTCCCCTGGCTCATGATCCTGTCCGGCGGCAGCAGATGTCCAGCGGCCGTTGGCCCGATCCACAGCATCGGCGTGTTGCGCCGTGAGGCGTCGGCGAGGGCGATCCATTCGTCCATGCTGGAGGCGGCGGTGGACCAGGAGATGCTGGGGCCTAGGCCGTGGAGAATGGGGATGGGCTTGTAGGATGTGGGGTGCGTGGAGAGGAGGGAGGTGAGGGCTGCGTGGGCGGTGGTGGGGGCGGGGGAGGTGGTGATGGGGACGAAGAAGTGGGGGGTCCCTGCGTGAGAGTTGGAGTTACCCAGCGTTCAAGGCGTGCACGGAGCACTTACTGTTGCAGGCATACGGACTGCCACGGCCACCATCAGTATTGTGTTTCTGGACCCCTTCACTGCTCCCGACCATGAAGCCCTTGCAGGCGGCTCTCGTGAACTGGTTGTCGCATCTGCACACCTTCAGTTCGTCCCCGCTCATCCGCCAGTGTTCCAGGCCGCCGAGCGCCAAGTCCTCTCGCAGGAGAATGTTGAAGGCGGCGTAGATGTGGTGGAGCATGTCGTCGCCGACGAAGACAACGCCGTCGAAGCGGTCGAGGATCATGCAGATCTCCTCGGTGGTGTACCAGCGGTAGTGGCAACCTGGAAAAACAGGGTCAGCACGACAGTTTCCGCTGGGATAAGAGGCCTCAACATCGGCAGACGTTACTTGCCCTTCGGAGAGTAGGGCACGTCAAAGCCGTGTCTGCCACCTCCGCTCATGGCCTCAAGGAGGACAGCACGATTCTTGCAGATCTTCGGTGTAGCAGCGAATCCATCCGTAGGTGTTCCAGAGAGCGGAGCGTACAGCTGCTCGAGGGATATGCCGCACTCCTGATGTCCTTCGAAGTGGCTATAGCTATGGTTAAGAGACTTCATGGAGGAGTATAGGTGAACTTACTCCAGCGAAGGTTGATGCCGGTGCAATAGCTTACTAGGACGGACGGAGTTTCCGCTGAGGAGATAGCTCACGCCGCTCCAAGTTAAGTAGACACTGGCACCAGAGATAGAGGCGACGAGCAAGAGAAGCAAACCTATCTTCAAGAACATGAGAGCATCTTTCCGAGATGTCCAGCTCGAGAATGGGGAGCAGTCCGACCACGGCCTCTTGCGAGGATGCGTTGTGGGAAGGCCTTCCGAAGCAGCTGGAGGGTCGGTCATGATATCTTATGAGGAGAAGCAAACTCTGAAGACCGGGAGCGCTGCTCAGCGAGAGGTTCGAGGACGATGGAGGAACGTTCGATTTGGCGACTACGGCAGAACATGGAATTCTCGAAATTGCCGCTGGAGAGATGGTGCCGAGCCTCACGAGCCCCATTCTAATGTTCACGGAATCTCCATTGTCGTCTGGCGAGACTTTGAGCGCATATAGAGAGCATAATTCCATGCAAAATCTGAAATCTAAGTCCTCATGCTTGCATCTAGCCACCAATATATCGCCGGCAAACGATGACCCATTATGGCACCAGGAGAAAAGCATCTACGTCCACACAAGCACGGCTTCGCATTGAGGCTTCACTTGACCTGCTATGGCCCGCAGCAATGCTATTGCCCAATGATCCAGAGGTGGTAGGCAAAGATGGTGAGAGATGGAGAGAGATGGTTGGAACAAGGAGCCTCGGATGTCGAGTTGATCCGTGCCACGGACCCTTCCGCCAAGACCGCACCGCTCGAAAATCAACACCAGCAAATCCAGCTCTGCGAAACATACGATACGCCGACCGACCGCGACGACCAGTTCCCGTTCAACACCCGTTTGTCTTGACAACCCGCCGTCAAGATGAAGTTGAACATTTCTTTCCCGGCCAACGGCACCCAGAAGCTGATCGAAGTCGAAGATGACCGCAAGCTCCGCGTCTTCATGGACCGCCGAATGGGCCAGGAGGTGCCCGCCGACAGCCTGGGCGACGAGTTCAAGGGCTACATCGTCAAGATCACCGGCGGCAACGACAAGCAAGGCTTCCCGATGAAGCAGGGCGTCATGCACCCGACACGTGTGCGACTGCTGCTCTCCGAAGGCCACTCCTGCTACCGACCGCGTCGCACCGGCGAGCGCAAGAGGAAGTCCGTCCGCGGCTGCATCGTCGGCATGGACCTGGCCGTCCTCGCTCTCAGCATCGTCAAGCAGGGCGAGCAAGACCTGCCCGGCCTGACCGACACCGTCCACCCGAAGCGTCTTGGTCCCAAGCGGGCCACCAAGATCCGCCGCTTCTTCGGTCTCAGCAAGGAAGATGATGTAGGTTCTCCTGTATCACCTTCGCCGGTCCTTTGGATCGAGTCTGATGTACCGTGATTCCCTAGGTCCGCAAGTTCGTTATCCGCCGTGAAGTCCAGCCCAAGAAGGAGGGCGCCAAGCCCTACACGAAGGCACCGAAGATCCAGCGCCTTGTTACTCCTCAGCGTCTGCAGCACAAGCGCCACAGGATCGCACTCAAGCGCCGCCGGACAGAGGCTCAGAAGGATGCTGCGGTAAGTTGGCTGGATCTGAGCCCCTGTTTGATACCTTACTAACAGCGACCCTCCAGACCGAGTATGCTCAGATTCTGGCGAAGCGCGTTGCTGAGGCAAAGGCCACCACAGCGGAGGCCAAGAAGCGGAGGGCGTCGTCAATGAGGAAGTAGAGTGAGGTAGAGGCATGGGAGGAGATATCACGTTGGGTCGTTGCTGGGTAAAACTGGTGTATTACAAGCGATTAGCAGCATGAAGGAGTTGAGATGTCACTGCTTCGGTGGTAGCGGATGCGACATAGGTCGCACCAGTCTCAAGTCAAAATCTACAAGCAAAGACCCAACCGGTTCGTTTCACTCACATCAATGCGATAGCGTGGGGTCAATACATCGTTTTCGTCACTTCATCCACCACGCTTTTTCCATGGCGCAATCAGCCTGTTGTTCCCCACGCCTTTTCTAACATGACTTTTTAAAGACATTTCCCCTCTGCTCCTGACAACCTTTGTGCTCGCCCTTATTTGACTGAGAGACTACGAACTCATCAAACGTAATATTTCTTTATAGCCAAGATGACCACCTCTTTCTTCCGTATTGTTGCTTCACACGGCCAAGTCTCAGGTAGGGGCGGTAAGCCATCTTCCGTCTGACTTCTACACTCGTCCGAGACATCAAACGAACTTCCACTACGTAAGAAGCACCTGAGCGGTGCGATAATCTCAGCGGTCCCACCCTACAACGCCTCCCACTAACGAAACGCGTCCTTCATACAAGATTGTTGTTCCACCGTAGACTATCAGGGCGAAAGATACCCGCGTTTTCGTCAACCCGACCTGTTCCCATGGCCCTCCGCCGCGCCAACATGCACGCTCTGGCCTTCTTCTACAGTATCTTTACTCCACGTACACCCGTCCCCGTTGATGCTGATGCGCTGCCTCAAGATGCTGAGGACCGTATATGCCACGTCTGCAAAGAACCCTATACGACCGAGCTGCCGGTGAAGTTCACCAGATGCGGCCACGTCTTTGGACAGGACTGCTTGACCGAGTGGTCGAAACACTGCGGCCGACATCCCACGTGTCTCTTCTGTGATACGTACTACGAGACGTGGATTGACCGGTTGATGATTGAGTTAAGAGCTGGACTAGTGCTGGCGTCTCTGGAGTGGAAGATGGTCTTAACGACATTTCTCAGCAGCGTCATGCTCCTTACAGTCTATCAGCAACGGCCGCAGCACGTGCAACTTGCGGTACACATGTGTACTGGGGTCTCGTTCCTACTGACTCTTCAGGGTTTGAAGAGGAGGCGCTTTTCGACGTGGGTGGGTATCATGCTACTCAGGGGGGCCCAACTCTTTTTCTTACCGCTGCTAATCACCGATGCGGTCTATCTCTCCTGCGAATTCAACCTTGTGCACTTTGGATGGTATGTACAGATCCTTGTTTCCTCGTCTTTCTTCCAACTGCGAAAATCTTTCTGCTGACAGTCGCTGCGTAACCAGCTTTGCAGAACCCCGAGACTTATACCGCATGATTTACGTGGAATGCCTGAGGCTGTGCGGATCTTACTTTCGATGGGCAGCTACTTGGAGCTCGTGACAGCAGCGCCCCATTGCTCACACGCATCTGGAGATTTCGTCAACGAGCATTGTTTCCGGGAGGTCTGTCAGGGCACAGGTCTTGGACAAACTGGTCGGATGGACAGGATGTAAAATTTCGTCTCGTTTGAAGCATGCTAATTGGCGCTGGTGCTGGGTATGAAGGTCCTGTAGTACGTGACTAACCTTCGAGTGTTTTGCTGTCTTCCACTCAGCCGTTCGGGAATATCTCTGATTGGTTCTAATTGCCCTGGTGTGTTTCAAGACACCTAGGTATGCTACATATGTTTGTCGCGTCAGCTGTGGGCACCAACATGCCTTCAGTGGTTGCACCTCTGCGCGCAGTGCAACTTCGTCACATTTGATATTCTCTTACATTATTTAGTCTCTATCATCTCTTCATCACGGACATATTTACATGGTACTCCCCTCTCCCTACCCTCTCACAACCCGAAGCAGTTCGCATAATAAGTCACCGTAGCCGGCCAATCGCTAAAGATGCCAAGCACGCCTACCTGCTGTGCCAGCACATCGACGACCGTGAACACATCGCCATCGTTGTTGATCACCGGCGCCACCGACGCATAGTAATAATTCTCCATCTCCGCCGCCATGCGATAGGGTCCCGAGCGCTCCAAGCTCCATGTGATGATGTCCAGACCGGCCTCCGCAGCCGCATCCGCATAGGTCGAGGGCACGATGGAGGTACCGTCCGCCGAAACGTTCAGGAGCGCGAAGATGGCCGGGGCCATGATCTTGACGCCGCGAGCCGCCAGATCAGGCAGGCTAGCAACCGCCTCCACGTACCCAGCCGCCGTGTCGACGCGCTCGTCAAGGTAGACAGCCTGCCGCCCGAAGTCCGGCTCGTTCTCGATCCAGTAGAAGACGTCCTCCGGAACGAAGCTCTGCGGCCACACGCGGCTGGGGTCGATGCCGGCCTCCTTGTACTCGTCGATCAGCTGCTGGGCGTAGTCGGCTTGGGTGTAGTTGCCCTGGAACGGCATCTCGACGCTTGGCTCCTTGAGCTCGGGCGTGAAGTCCAGGCCCCAGGAGTCGATGAGCGCGATGCTCTCTTTGTGCGACATGAGCGTCGCGCACTGGTAGTTGTACAGATCTGTCCGCCAGCTGGGCGTTCCTCCTAAGTACTGGCTCACGTTCAGAGCCTGGGGGTTGAAGGCTTCCATCTTCGCGCACAGCGTCTTGAACTCGGCGAGCGTGATGTCGCTGGTGCAGCAATTGGCGGTTGCCGGGGAGGTGCCATTGGCAGGAGTGAAGGGAGTAGTGCACTTCGCCGCCAGCTCCGGGATGGCGAGGATGTTGGTCGTGTAGTGCAGATCACACTGCGAGTGGCGGCACACGAGCTCGCGGTCAGAGGTGAATGCCACGTCACACTCGATGACGCCGGCACCTGTGCGAGCCGCCGCGTGGTAGGATTGGTTGCTGTGCTCGGGAAACTGGAGGGGCGCTCCACGATGCCCGATGCTGAATTGGCTGCTCTTCTTTGGGGTTTCCTTGCAGGACACGAGCTTGTCTTTCAGCGGACCCTCGTCCATGTCATTGACGAGATAGTAGGGCCGCGGGCCGAGCTGGACATTGAGGTTTGACTGCGGCTGTCTGCCGGGGGAATAGTACGTGGGAGCGGGCGCAGGAGCGGGGAGAGCAGAGGTTAAAGCAACGAGAGCAGAGACGGAGGCAATGGCTAGGAGATGCATGGCGCCGGCTTTGAGAGCTGCCAGAAGACTAAGATTGAGGAGGAGAACGAACGACCACAACGAGAATGTGCTTCCTGGTGACAAAAGAAGAGCTCTACCGACCTGTCCCTGTTGGGGCCTGCATGGCTCTTATGCGGCAGCAACAAACTGCGGGTCACTTGAGTGACGACGAGCCCAAAGTACCTACATCAAACCGGACTGGTGGCATGCGTTGCTAGCAAACGAACGACGCCGAATCCAAGGCTTGCAGCTGCATTCCAAGCTCGCTTTGGAGCTTCGATGCTGCCCGCTACAGCGGTAAGCGCACCCATCTTGTCCTTACGGCTCGTCGCTAAGGCGGTGGCTTTGCGTAGCCTGAGAGCTACGGCAGCATGGAGATAATCTACCCCTCGTCCTGACGATCCAAGCGGGATAGCAACGACAGCGGGGATGGTGTTGGTGTGAGTGCCCGGGCGCAGACCGATGTCTTCCTCCAGCGCACATGGACGAGGTTAGGGTGGTGATTGGCGTACTGCGCGGTGAGGTAGGCCAAGAGGGTGTCGTTCCGAGCGGGAAGAACAACAGCCTCGGTGAATTCGGGCCGAAGGAGATCTGTGCCACCAGCATCGTGTTTTGCGCTCGCCGTTCAATTGGTAGGAGTCGAGTTGTGGACTGAGTCGCAAACCTCACAGGGTTGGTACAAATAGAAAAGAAAACTGGCAGTGAAAACAGAATAGGTTCCCTCTCCGAGTTACTCAGAAGCAACTTGGCAGTTCAGACAAGAACGATGAGCACAGGGCGGCCACGTGGTGAGCCGATCCAGATTATCAGATCAAATGGCTACCGCCTTCTTGTTTGATTGTACTGCCGCATCCCCTTTCTCCGGTTAAAAAGACGCTGTGGGAACGTTGGCACCAAGACCCTTTATCTATTTCAGCGACCATCAATCGTTACTCTGAGCTAGTGTACTCATTGCGACGATGCTAGAACAATCAGCGTACTCCGCTTAACGCTGCAACCGAATGCTAGTCCCTGAGAAGCAGCGACTGCCAATCGCCCACTGCCAACCGTGTCAACCCCTAGTCCACCGGCGCGTGCTTGAACAAAAACGATACGCTCTCGCCGTTGTGTGTACGCCGGCAAGCTTCCGCAAGCTACAGTGGATGTCAGTATAGGTAAATGGGTGTTGATACGGAGTGCGTACAGTAGGACTAATGTCAATCGTCTCAAGCCGCGAGCAGAGCTCCTTCTTCTCATCATGCGGGACGGTATTCGTGACGACCACCTTCTTGAGCTTACTGCCATTGAGCGCTTCTATGGCATTCCCGCTCAGGATACCATGCGTGACGATGGCGATGGCTTCTTTTGCACCATGTTGTATCACCACATCCGCAGCCTTCACCAGCGTGCCGCAAGTATCTGCCATATCGTCCACGATGATCGCGATGCGGTCCTTGACGTCTCCAACTAACACCATCCTGGACACCTCGTTCGGCCTCGCGCGCTCCTTGTGGATCAGCGCAAAGCCCAGATCCAGCCCATCTGCAATGCTCGTTGCTCTCTTCGCGCCGCCCGCATCGGGGCTGACAATAACGCAGTCCTTCACAGGTAGGTTCTCCCTAATCCAGCGCAGCGTGCTCGGCTCAGCGTATAGGTTGTCGACCGGCACATTGAAGAAGCCCTGGATCTGGCTGGCGTGCAAGTCCATAGTAATGACATGGTTGCAGCCAGCGGTCTGGAGCATGTTGGCCATGAGCTTCGCTGTGATGGGCGCGCGCGACTTGTCCTTCTTGTCCTGGCGTGCGTACGGGAAGTTGGGTATCACTGCAGTGACGCGCCGTGCGGACGCAGTCTTGCAGGCGTTGATCATGATGAGCAGCTCCATGAGCCCGTCGTTGATGTCGCCAGGCGCTGTGGACTGGAGGATAAAGACATCCTCGTCGCGGACAGACTCGCCGATCGTAACGGATGTTTCTTGGTTCGAGTATTGTAGGACAAGTATCTTGGTGAGTTCTATGCCTAGCCTAGAATGCTGATGAGCTTTGCGCCACGAAGGAGCCTACGACAGCAGCATACCGATCAGCCACCAGCTTTGCAAGGCTAGGGTGGCTGTTGCCCGTAAGCAGCTTTATCGAGTTCGTCGCCATGGGAAAGGGTGGCGGGTTTTGAAACTTCGCAGCTCATGTTGAAAGACATGGAAACATAAAAGCTATGACACGGCCGCGGTTCAAAATCCGATGCCCTGTCGGAGGGGAGTTTCTTGGCGCTGGAAAAAGTCACGTGGCTCCTCACGTCCCGTCTTCATCTCCAAACACCATCTACACCACAGCGTGCCGTTTTGCTTCCTCACTCGGTATGACGCTACAGCATGCTGCGTCGCGACGAGCACATCTCCCCGAGGCTTGATATCACGTCTCGCCTGAAGCCATCGTGGGCACTAACACAAATCCACGTGTAAGAGGTTTCGTTCGGACACTAGCTACACATACGCGACCGTCTACAGAGTAGAGAAGCACATACACCTGCTCGACTGGGCAAGGTAGAAAAGGTGTACGATGAGTTCTCAGGGGCGTTATCAAGACATGAAATGTAGCTATCGTTGTCAAAAACTGTCCTCCACATCTGCAAAAAAGGAGAAAGCGATGTGTAAGAAAGAGTCGTAGTGTCATGTTGAGTCAGCATGTTTCGGACATTTGATGCATAGCAAGTTCGATCTCTGCAAAGAGGTCAAGCACGTGGAAGTCGGCGTAGACCCTGATAGACTCTATGTCTCGTCGGTTTGTTCGAGGCTCGCTCGAAGCTTCTGCGAGCGGTTCATCGATAGGACTCCGTGGTGGCGTCGCCTCGGCCATAGCTGAGCAATTGGATGCCTTCGAGACCGAAGCAACGGTTGCTGCTACGTGCTCGAGTAACTTCTGCCGTGCTCTCAGCCTCCGGTTGTCGGCTTGCTCGAGTTTGACGATCCATTCATCAATGGACAGCTCTAACTCGACCAGAGCTTCTTGCTGCTTCAGAAGTTTGTCACGGCAAATATCCATGCTTCCGTCTCTTCTAAGATACGCTACCATATGCGCATGCAGCTTCTGTCGACTAGCTCGCAGCGTGTTGTACGTCTTGCGTAGGTATTTGCACCTCTCATCGAGAGCACGGACTTCCTACTCTCACAGTCAGTTCTGGATGTGTCTTTCGGAAGAGCTTGGAATGGTGTACCTTTGACAGAAATGCGACGTCTTTTGCGGTCAGAACTTGGAATTTCTCGGCTTGACCCAGAGCTTGCTTCCGCAACGTCACCCTTTCAGTCTCAGGGATGGCCGTCACAAATTCAGCAGGGCGCAAGCCTATCGGTAGCGCCCAGGCATCTGCTTTCCCTGTGTCGCAACTCTCCGCACTGGACTGTGCTCGACTATGTCCGGGACAGTTCGATCGCTTGCTTTGCCGACCTCGATCTACTGTAGAACAATCGGTAACAGTCGCAGCTTTGATACATCTAGGCGCTCCATGCCTCTGCTGACTCGGCGATTCACTCCCCATGAAAAACCCGGCAGGTGCAAGGACGCTTGGTAACACAGACGAGCACGCCGGTGTACCTGAGCTTATGGATCGTGGTACCGGTCGCTTTACTGGCGAGGCTCGGGATGCCATAGATGGGGACTTTGGCGGCACTTCGGGAGGCGTGTCGTCGATGTTAACTAATAAGGGTGTGCCGCTGCAACCCGCAAACACCGGCCTCGAACAACTCAGGGGGCCAACGGCAGACGATGGAGATGTCTTCGTGCTCGCTGCACGAGCTGTGTTGGGCTTGGAGTATGTGGTTCTTGGGGTTTTGCCGTCTGGATCTGACCGCGGCTGCGAATTTGCGGGACCGGTAATGCGAGTCGCCATAGCATCACGGAAGGGACTGGACTGCCAGCTGCTAGGTGGGGCGCTGGTCGATCTTTGGAGACCGCAGGTTTTGAGGAAAGGGTTCTGGAGTGGCCGTCTTTCTGGTATCGTCGCTAATGCCGGTCAGCAACACTTCCAATGCAGCCATTTCGGACAACTTACGGGAGTCAAGACAGGTCTCTTGTACTGTCGTCATCTTGGTTCTAAGTGTGGGAAGGCTGATCTTCCTTCGCCGTGCGACAGACTCTCGTCCATGCCGCAGTACTACGCGACTCGGTGAGAGATTCCTATCGTTCGAGAACGATGGTGACCGCTCGAGTGCAAATGCCATAAACCTGACGATTCCAGCGCGAGTGGTTGCGCTTCTTTCGGTTTCGAGTTGGAATGGTCGTTGTACTTTTCTTCTGCAAGGGATTCTATTTCGGATGAGCGAGGGCAGGCAACCGGTCGATTCCGTTTTAATTCTATCCTTTCTACAGTATCGATAATTGTTCCTGCCAGCAGAAGCACCACTTGGAAGATATACTTCGCAATGAATTACTGCATATTCTGCCAACACCTCCGGCCCTTATAGCTCTTCGCTCTGGCAGATCAGCGATACGAATCATGGTCGCAGAGGGGTATTTCTCAAGAGCCGACAGAGTGTACTGACTGACTGCTCGCACATGGCTAGTTTCGGGAGACGGACATGTCAAACAGACTTGAAGCGTTGTTCTGTAACACACTGACCTTAGTACAGACCAAGCCACGGGGCCTTCTCGCCACGTTATGTTGCTCCAAATCACTCCTAGTCTAACGACAATTGACAAAACCTACATCTACTCTCAACAGGAGGCTTAGGGGCTTCAGGTCCGCGACTGCGTCTTTTGGATGATCTGCTCGGTTGCACGGATCCGAAACAGCCCCCTGCATCAGGATCGTGGGGTGCACAGGATGAGACGCGCTACGACACCATCACGCCCCTGCTGCGAGGAACGCACATGGCAATGGAAGCTTCCTCCGCTCACAACGTCGACGGATGTGGCTTCGGCCGCTTCGCCGTACTCAGACCTTGGCCATGTAACAACGGTGTCTGCGACCCATTTGGGCCATGGTTTCTGGGGACGAAGTCAAATCCAGCAGCGATGGCGCAACTCCTTCGCAGACGAGGCTGGGAGGATGCTTTTTCTCGCTGCGGTCCACCTCACTGAATGACAAGACCATTACTTAACACAGATCTTGAACCAGTTTCACCACCAGAAGTTGGTTTAGTGTGCTACATCAACCACGCGCAACCCATCGCTACGATCATGACCTGACCAACAGTTCAGCTTGAGGAAGAGAATTTGTCACGGGATACTCTGCGAATCGATCCCTGACCGCGGCCGCCGTAGATGTCGCCATGATGGTTGCGTGATTGCTACCATCCTTCATTGCTGCGTAACGCTAGCTTTGGACTCGGTCTGGATTCAAAAGCCTAACAGAGGCTCAGCCGGGCCTGTAAAGGAGTGACCATCTAGATTCTAGATCAGTCAGATGCAGTCGGACTTGAGGTGACCTTCGAACCCGCAGTTCACGTGACCAAAAGCATATGAATCTTCCGCGAGTCTTGGGCTAGAGATATTGCTCAGACTCAGCACTGCAACCGCTCCGCGACACGTCCAAGAATCTTTCGCAGGTGTCGCCCCGAATGAGAATGTTGACTCCCATCAAGAGGTTGGGAAGTGCTGCGGTTCGACGAGTCGGGCTTCTGTTCCTCCGTAGCCCGCTTGCCGCTTACAAAGACTGTTCTCTAGTTGGGTCTTCAACACCAGTGTTCCCGTCTGCAGCGGGACAATCTCAAGAACTCTGCTAGATCGGTCAGCAATGTGGCACCCAGATTGCTCCGAAGAGAGGGTCGGGCCGCCTGCGTCACCTCGACTGTGCCTGCAGCTCCAAAGGATTAGAGAGTATCGGACAGATGTTGACCATCATACCGCCGGGAAGGGAGAGGAGGCTTGTCGTGCCGTCTCCTTATTGATAGCAATGAGGCATCTTCAGGACCTGCGAGGGATATAAGTAGAAGATAGAGTCGCTCTTCAAATATCAGTATCGTCTTATTTTCAATCTCCTCGGGCATTAAGAAACTACCATCTTCGTCTGCTTCTACCACCTTGTCGACCACAGTCAAGCTTCAGAATTACCATCATTCTCAGCCCATCCACCACTTAGCGCACCAAGTCTCCTCCCTATCTACAAAATGCCAGATGGCTTCGACCCCTTCACCCGCGGCCAATACACCTCCTCCCCGCTCGGCAGCACCCTCTTCGTCGTCCTCCGCAGCCTCGATCCCCTCCTCCAATATGTCCTCCTCACCACACCCCTCGCAACCCCCCTCCTCAACTTACTGCGCACCTCGCCCATCCCCGCCGTTGCGCCCCCGCTTGCCTTGGGCCTCTCAGCCCCGCGCCTAATCCTCTGGGCCATGTCCGCCGGTGCAGCAGCGAAGCAGATCTTCTGGCTCCTCCGCATCTCGCGGGAGACGATGACGCCTTCCTCGGCCGTGCTAGTTAGCTGTGGGAACTACGTCTTCAACTCGGTCAACACTTTGCTGTTCCTGGCGGCCGCGACCTCGGCTGCGGGGAAGGCGGAGTTCTTCACCCCGCCCATGCTCGTCGGCGCCGCCGTCTACGCCGCCGGCATCCTGACGGAAACGTTTTCGGAAATGCAGCGGAAAGCGTTCAAGGACGATCCCGCGAACAAGGGCAAACTGTTCACTGGCGGCTTGTTCGGGTTAGCAAGACATATCAACTACGGCGGGTATATCCTTTTCCGGGCCGGATATGCGATGTTTGGCGGTGGGTGGATTGCTGGGGCTGCGGTGTTCGCGTGGTTCGCGAGGGATTTTGCGGGGAGGGGGATTCCGATGTTGGATGAGTATTGCTCGAAACGGGTGAGTGATTGTTTCCTGGATCGATGAGACGAGAGTGAGGCTAACGTGTGGTGGTAGTATGGTGATGCGTGGAAGCAGTATAAGAAGGATGTGCCATATCGGATGTTCCCGGGGCTGTTCTAGAGTGAAGAGACGACTCTAAGTATGGCAAGTTGAGCTGTTGTGCGCCGGAGACGACAGACGAGGGGATTGGAAAGTCTACAAGAACGTTGTTAATGGATAATAGATGGTGTTGGAGTTTGGCCTGATCGTTATCCCTATTTTCTGTACGTTCTCGTGTATCCCGTAATTGTAACCTTCATGCTTTTTCCTTTTTTGGTAGGAAACAGTCACGTGTTCACTTGGACTCATCCAACTCAGAATATTGACAGTTCGAGGATGCTTATCAGGCTGGAAAACTACCTTCCTAGAATGACTGCTCGCTAATACGACCCAACCCACCATCCACCTATATCCTCTTCCTCCTCCCACTCCCCCCACCCTCCCCTTCCCCATCCCCACCCTCATCCTCCTTATCCTTATCTTCACTCCTCCTCTCCGCACTCCGCCAGTTACTAACAGCCCCCTGCACGCTCTCAAACATCTCCCTCGCATCCCTGACGACCCCCTCCTCACCCGGATTGAACATAACCGCGTTCGCAAACATGCGCATCAGCTCCCGTTCCAGCTGTGCACTGTTCACGATGCCCTTCGGCGGGACCAGCTCCTCCGTCCTCTCGAGCGTGACCGCCGTGCCTACGCCACCGGGACTGGCGCCCCCTGCACCACCGCCGGCGGGTGAGTCCCTCGCGCCTACGCCCGTGCCCGCGCCTGCCCCGGCGGAGGTGAGCGCATTGACGGCTCGCGTCCCCGCCGCGATGGCCGAGCGGATAGATTTGAGGTCCTGCGGGCGCTTGATAATATCTCTGTACCCCTCCGCGTTCTTCTCCTTGACCGGATTGCTGAACAGCGAGGCGTGTTTGTGGCTCAGGATATCATTCATGATCGGGACGCTCATGCGGGAGAAGTTGCGGCTGGCGAGGACGGTGGCGGGCTGCTGGTCTAGTTCCGGGTGTGGGGTGTGTGGTTCGATGGACGCGGAGGGCGAGGGCTCGGTTTCGAGGGTGCTGCGTTTGCGCTTCGTGGGGCGGGCTGGTTGCGTTTGGAGGGTTCCGCCGCGGCGGCGCGTCACGGGTGCGGTGGCTGTGGCTGTGGGTGTAAAGTCGGGGGCGGAGGTGTCTTCTTCGAGGAGGTTGGCGGGAGTGCTGGGTTCGGGTTTTACGCGGCGGCTGTTGGCGGATCCGGTTTCGGTGATGGTATCTTCGATGTGAGAAGCGATGGATTGGCTTCTTGTCCGCCCACGGACAGAGCGCATAACAACTGATGATGCTGCACTGCCGCCGCCGCCTGTTCGCTTTGGTTGACTACGAGTCGTGCGTACAGGTGGGCTCTTCTCGGCTTCTGCTTGCTCGATGCGAGGGGTCTCGGCGGCGTTGGGCTTCCTCCGACCCTTGGTCTGCGATTGAGTGACTGAAGCCGCTTCGTCAGATGGTGGTGCGGGGAAGGCGTCATTGACAGGACTAATCGGTGGTGGCGGCGGAGGTTCCATCTTATACTGCTCAGGAGGTACAGTGGCGGTCCATAGAGTTCGGGCGCTCAGCCGCGGACGAGTAGGGAGGCTGAGCGGCCGCGGTTTCCTGACAGCAGTCAAGGGCTTTGCTCGTTGAGCGGGCTGAGTCAGGGGTTCAGATGATTGCGAGTACAGAGGCGGAGGAGGGCGTGCCACTCCCGTTGCGGGCGCTCGGGGTTGTGCATTACTAGCTGGGGTGCGATTGGGAGTAGCTGCAACGGCCTGTTGTTGCGCCCTCTGCTGCTGTTGATGCACGCGGGTGGGATCTTGAGGCGTAACCTGGAAAGGCGGAAGCATGTACCCGCCCTGGTGTGGGGGACGAAACACTGGCGGTGGTGGTGGGGGCTGTGGTTGCGGCTGGTGATATGGGCCATGGTTTGGGTACGACGGATAATAAGGACCCTGTTGCGGTAAATGCGGAGGAGGAAGCCCAGGCGGGAATGGCGGCCCGCCTTGCTGGCTCGCAGGACCATAGCGCTGAGATGACCCTGGCGAACGCAGCGGAAGAGATCCGGACGGCGCATTCCTAAACGGAGGACTGCCACCTATTGAAGGCGGTTGGATCGGAGGTACAGGTAGGGTCATGCCAGGTGGAGGGGGCAGCATCACCGGCGAGGAAAGGGGCCGACCGATATGCGACGGAGTGGTAGGCGACTGTCCGGACACATGTTGCGGATTCGACTGAGAGTACGGGGAGTTATGCAGAGCCGGAGAAGCTAGCCGATAACCCGCATTGGACGGCAGGGGTGGAGGAAGCCTTGGGGACAACTGAGCAGGTGCCCGGTGGTGCAGTGGTGCCTGTTGCGGGAGCGCATAACTTTGCGGCACCGGCGAGGGTTGCAAAGGCCGTTCAAGTGGAGTCGGTCTCGCCTTCGGTGATGGTTTGGGATCGTGGTTGATGACGGCATCGATCTTAGCCTGCGCATACCGAATGCTGGGAGACTTCGAGACAGCATTGCCCAAGACTGGAGAAGCACCCGGAGGCCGATTATCAGGAGTGACAACGGGCTCGACTGGGGCTGGAACATCTCTCGAAGATACAGTTGGCGATCCTTGAGCGTCCTTGTTTGACCCCGTTCCGTTCGAGAGCTCCGGACGACGTATCCGCTCATCCCATTCACCACGTTCTATCTCGTGCTCTTCGCGCTTCAGCTGATCGTATCTGCGCTCCTCAGCCCTGATCTCCTCTGTAACATGCTCGCGATATCGGGCGTAAAGCTTCGTGACCAAGGCTGGAGTCAGATGGGCATGCTGCGTCGCTTCCTGCGCTGTTGGCAAGCTGGGGCTCGGAGCCTTGCGTTTCCTCGACGGTGATGGAGAGCCGCCATTTTGCGATGCTTGTTCTGCAGCGCCGTTTATGTTTTGAGCCTCGCTCTTGGCCTCATCTTTCTCTAGTAATCGTAGATAATGCTCATAAAGCTCCCTCAGCGCGTCCGGGCTCAAGCGACCGCTGTCGTAATCCTTGGATTCGCGGATGTGAGGGTTCTTCGTCAGCAGATCGGAAATCCTGCCGAAGACGGCTGGATCTGTGCCATAGGACAACAGTGACTGGAACAATAACAGAGTCTCGAGCGGCGTGTAGGAGGTGACGCTAGTAGTCATCCCCCAGTGATCGCGCAGTGGGAACGGCTGGGGAGGTTGGAGGACGAGGACAGCCAGGATGACAAGCTATGAGAAACATGGTAAGCCGAATCATCTAACCCGTGTTCAAATGGACATCGGTGAAGGAGCTCGTGGGGGCATGTAGAAGACGCAGAGCGATGGTTTTGCTGCAAGATGTTTTGATTGTTGTACGCACCACCGTTGTTGCGCCTGGGAGAGCGCGCTGATGTTCTTTTTGCGACCGTGATCGATCTTCGCCAATGAGAAGCGAGAGCTGCACAGCAGCTGCGAGGAATGCAATGTGCAATGTGCAATGTGCAATGTGCAATGCAGCAGCAAGGAGGCCGTCACGTGAAATCCGCCTCGGTCGACTTCCAGCTCTTGGTGCGCTTGGTGATGCAGCGAAGGGGAATCTTGATCGATTCTGACATCCTCTGTTGGAGGCCTTGCAATGTACTGTTCCCGCCGAGAGCACTTTCCGAGCTGAACAGCCCACTCCAATACATCTCAGAGCGAGTCATTTACTTGGACACTGCTGAGCTCCAGCGTAAGGCTGATCGCCATGATGCCGTGGCTCTGCCATGTTTCATCCTGCTCTCCTTAAAAGCACCGCTACCCACTTGAGCAACTGACATCTCCTCCAAGCAGAGCTGTAGCTGGAGCAGACCATCTAACCTCAGCAATGGACGACGGGGCAACCGAAAAGCAGGAATGGCGGCTTACAGGCCAGCCCGAATCGTAGTCGCCCTTGACACCTCCACTGCTCCCCACAGCGCTGACCTCAGGCCCAGGACCATTGACCGACAATGGCGGCCTTCCACAAAGCGGCAATCGTGCGTGATTCCCAATTCCTCATCCCACCCAACCTGCTCACCATCTCCCCAGCACCGTCGCCCGCAACTTCTCCGCCGCCCTCGACGAGATCTTCGACACCGACAACAGCGGCCTGCAGAGCGAGCTGAACGAGCGTAAGCAAGCCGTAGACGACCAATCCGCCGAGCTGTCCGCCCTCGCAGCCCGCCTGCGTGAGACCGAAGACCGCCTCAAGGCCGCCGCACTAGATGAACCCGCAATCCCCCTTCGCAAGAACAGCCAGCGACGGACGCCTGTGAAGGGTGTTTTCGCTGAGCCGGAAGAAGCTGGAACCTCCCCTTCGGTGTCTGATCAGGTGCCGCGATCGGAGGATGCCCCTATACAGCCTACTGCTGGCAGCTCCTTGGCCTCCGACATTCAGCAACCGCAAGAGATACCTGTACGGCCCACGGCTGGTGATGCCTCGGTCTCCCACCCCTCACAGACACAAGAGCAGGAGCGAAGGACTGCGGTACCGGAAACAGCAGACAGCTCCTCGGCTTCCAACGCTGCACCTCCACAGGACGAAGGGCGGGAGCAAGAGACTTCTCTACGGGCTGTAGCTCGCGACGGCTCGGGTTCCGACGCCTCACAGTCGCAGGACCGAGAACGGGAGCAGGAGCAAGGGCGGGAGCGAGAGCGGGAGCAACAGCAACAGCAACAGCAGGGACCGTCTGGACGCCCTGCGGCCGCTCGATTGGATACAGACCAGATTACGTCGAGGATGCCGGGTGCTTTCTAATCTTTAGTCACAACTCCAACATGCAGTGCTGGAGGGCAGGTGTTCCACTCGGATAAACGAAAAAAAGTGTCCTCCACAAATGGAGACGTTGTGAGCAGTAGAGAATAGCGCCTAAGTAATGCGATTCGAACAGACTACATAGACGAACAAATCTATAGGTCGCGTCTCATACATGAACCATGCCAAACTCCTCTATCCTATCTTACAAACCCCCCCCCTCTCTACTGTACACACCCCGCCCAACCTTTCCCTTTGCCAGACCTAACAAACCGTAACATACAACCCAATCGGCGCCATCGCAGAATTCTGGAAATACTCTAGATCTAGCCCCCCCGTAGCACCAACTCTATACCCCACCCTCTCCCCCGCCCTACAAGCCCCACTAGCCACCACCCACCCATTCCCCGGCCTCACGCTCTCCACGCCACCAATCCTCGTCCCCGCCGGCACAATCGCAAAGCTCGTCCCCTCCGTCGCCGGCACCGCCAACGCATCCACAACCAACCCGCCCGCACCGCTCAGCGTAAAGCTCGAGCTGACGAGCTGCTCCCTGCTCGGCAGCAAGAAGACGAGCGAGCACGTCCGCCCAGCATACGCGGCCGGGATGTCGAAGTTGAAGAGGGTGGAGATTGCGGGCGAGAAGCGGCCGTTGTAGCTCGTGCCGAAGGCGCGGTTGGGCTGGGAGGCGTCGACGGGGACGATGAGGTGGGGATATTCGAAGGGGGTTGTTAGGGTCGTTGGGCAGCTTGAGGGTGCTGGTAACGAGGTGGCGGGCTGGGTGACGGTTATCAGGGTGGAGGGTGCGGCGCTTGGGGCTTGGGTGGTCCCGGCTGATGGACTGCCTGCTGGCTGGCTTGGAGCAGCGGAGCTTGGGATAGCGGATGAGACGGAACCGCTGGGAGCAAGCGACGGGCCGGGAACGGGCGTGATTGCGGTGACGGCTGTTTCTGTGGTGCCGGATGCTGAGGGGACGCTAGCGGTAGAGCTGGGTGCGGAAGCGCTAGTCGCGCTGCTGGCCGGCGATGAAGCGGCCGAGCTGGACGGAATCGAGCCCGATCCGGCACCGGGTGAGCCTGCGGGGCAACTCAGGTCGAAGAGTGGCGTGGTGCTCAAGGTCGAGCCAACGATGCCGAAGCTGGGGCTGGGAACATCCGGAGCAGCATCCTGGAGGGTGTAGTACCACGTATTGATGTTGTTAAAGAGAGCGCAACCGACTTCCTCCCAATACCTTTCTGCGTTGGCAAGGTTGGCGACAGCCTCGTTCTGTTGCGGACCGCTCACGGGATGGCCTGTCTCAGTTACCCACACGGGCCTGCCCTGAGAAACGGCGACGGTAGCATCGTACGCTTCGAAGAAGAGCTCGTAGCTGTTTTCGATCGAATTCGCCTGGGTGTTCTGGAAGTACGGGTACGCGTCCATCCCAAGCCAGTCGCATGCGCTGATCACAGCGTTATTGGAGCCGTTCACGAATGCAGTCCAGGTGTCGACATGGCCAATAGACTTGCTGGCCGCAGCAGTGCCGGCAATGGCTCTTCGGACCTGGTTGATGTAGCTGACTAGTGTGTCAGGGTTGGCACCAGCACCAGACAGATTTATGATACCGGTAGGCGATATGCGGTAGAGGTCCTCGCTGCCGACGGAGATGCCGGCAATGAGGTCGGTGAAGGCAGTGCCATATTGTGCAATGGCGGCGAGGAGAGCCGCGACCTCATTATCAAAGCTGCCTTGACCAGCAGACGCCCAAAGGCCAAGCAGTAGAGAGGTCTGCGTGTTGATGGCGGCCGGGATGGCTGAGATTGGGGTGTTGGCGGTTCCGGCCTGGATCATGGTATAAAGACGGGCACTGGTGAAGCCGGAGGTGCCAATAAGGTTCTTAGCCGTGTTGAATTCATTCTCGAAGTCGACCTGCTGCTTCGGAGCGCCGTTCATGAAAACATTGCCGTAATTGAAGCCCTTATACTGGGCAACGGCTACAGAAAGTGCGGATGACAGGGCAAACAGACGTGAGAACAACATTCTAGGTACTGAACAATGGAAGACTTTAGGAGACGAGTAGATAAACTTAGGTATGGGAGAACAATTTGAAGTGTTGTGCAATCCGGCGAAGTGGCTTTTTAACGTGGATGAAGTGACGTGACGCCCGTTCCTGCCGCGCACCGCCAACGAGCATTGTGGAGAAAGAAAAAGCTTGCCCTTTCCAAGACAGGCTAAGGAATGCCGAAAATAAACAGAGCGTGAGGGGAGTTGACTGAGGCGAGCCACTAGAGTTCAACAAAAGGAAAGATCGATCATGGGAACGGCCGGCCGCCTGCAGCCGTTTGAGCCGCGAACCCACGTTTAGCACATTCAATAGTGTCATGTTTGGCAGTTGAGAAAGCGCGCACAATCCCTGAATACTGAGACTTTGAGACGTATCTCATAGGCTACGTCTTTCATCTGTTAGCAAAGATGTCTGTAAGGCAGTTACATCCGTGGATGTATGGTTCCGCTGTGCTGAGGTTGTCCCTGCAGGCTTCTTGCATGCCTCTCGTCACACAGTTCGGCACAGATGGCAGCAAGGATGAGGAGCTGCTCCCCTGGTGAATTTCCTAACGTTATTAGAAAACGTCTGCAGTTGCGCGTCCGATCGAAAGATGTTGAGGGGTTGACGTCGCCACCAAGCTCCACCGCAAGTTCGGATCAGGACGGGCCGAGGGCAGATGTCACAACTCCAGTGCAAGTCATGTGACACCGTTTGACGAAGGTTAAAGACCGTTCTTTAGCGAAACGGCATTGCGAGACGAGATTGCTGGTACCAACGGTCGTGGCGCGTATTCTGAGTGTGATGGTGGCAAGAACCTGTGGATCATCAATGATACTAAGACACCACCTAGAAATGTGGGGCTCGCTGCAGTTAGAAGCTCAGTAAAAACATAGGACATGTTTATTTCTGTAATTCGAAACTCACGATGGTGTTTCGCTGCGTGATTCACAGGAAACCCAAGGAAACCAGCCTAATCATGAGAGGTCAGCAATGCTGTAGCAGGCCGTTACTACTCGTTTCCTGAAATAGCTTTCGAAGTATGAATTGAGCAGCGCCTAGGAATACCAGGTATCTTATTACAAATTACGCCGTCCCCATTTTGGTCCCCTCCGAAACGCCTGTTTTGAATGGTCTCCAACATTTATTCCAAGTACAATGTATTGCCCAGCCAAACTAACACAAGAAGTCGACTCCATCAGAAAGCCGTGCCCACGTCCCGCTGCTCTGGCGGTGAAGGATAGTTACCCCCCGAAGAGGACGAAAACGCAGAGTCCTCGGATGGTTTCTCCTTCTGCGTCTGCAGGATGCGCTGATGCCACTCGCTCTGCTCGTAATCACCCATCCCTTCGCCGTTCTTGCCGTACCACAGCGGATGTTCGCGTGCGATGCTTACAGCGCTGAGCCATGGTCGTGGGGATTTGGCAACGGCATAGAAGATGGCGTCGACTTCCTCCAGCGAGCGGTAGGCGGTTTCGGGGTAGAAGAAGTAGACTAGAGGGATAATGGCCGCATTGCTAGTAAAGTCAGTTTTGTCACAGTCACGTACTCGAGTGGGTAGAGGAATGTAAGAGACTTACAATACGGCAAAGATGATGTACGTTCTGTATCCAATATTGTTAAAGGCAATCGGTGTAATAAGAACGACACTGCATATGATTAGCAATCTGGCGCGCATAAATAGTGCCCGGGAATGCCAGACGTACATGAAATTAACTATCCAGTTCGCGCTGGTACTTAAGGCATTCGCTGGTCCACGGATGCGGAGTGGGACAATCTCCACCGTGTAGAGCCATGCCATGCCCTGCCATCCAATTGCAAAGAACGTGTTGAAGACGAAGTAGAACACTGTCGCGGCAATATTTTCTCCACGGTTGTCCAGGAATCTGCACACATCAGTACGGATATCTAATCCTAGCGGCTTTGTTGGTTTGTCGTTAACATACCTTAATACTGTTATGATAATCATCGATATGCACATGCCGGACGCTCCGAACATCATGAGCGACCTGCGACCCCAGAACCTGTCAATACCAACAACGGCAATGAAGGAGGCGAGGAAGAATTCCGTTCCGTTGCACGCCGCCAGCAGTCGAGCAACCCAGCCGGAGTACCGTGTCTGCTGCAGCAGGATCAGTGCAATGTATTGCACGATGAGATTGATCCCTGTGGCTTGCTGGAAGATCTGTATGCAGTAGGCCAATACGGTTCGGTGTGCGTCGCGGTATTCGTTCATCTTGAACAGTCCCGATGGCGAGGCTGCTGCCATTTGGAGGACGGCATCTTTGATGGCGATGAACTCCGAGAATACTTCAGGATCATTACGAGGTAAGTCATTGAGGGCGGCAAGTGCGTTCAACGCCTCGTCCTCGCGCCCCTTGAGAATCAGCCAACGCGGCGACTCAGGCAAGAGCATGATGACAGCCAAGATGATGACCGGCAACACCAGCTGTATGGCAATTGGTACTCGCCAGGAAGCGGAAGAAGGCTCGAGGTAGGCAAAGCCGAATCCAATCCACTGAGAGAGGGCAACGCCAAGCGCGATACTCGAACCAGCTGATATCATGAGCACCGTGCCTTTACGATGAGCCTTGCAACATTCGGCATGCCAAGCGGGAATAGTCGAGGTGTTGAATCCGTTTCCAAAGCCGGCAATGACCCTCCCCGCGATGAACTGTCCCAAGCTGTAGGAGGACGCCTGGATGATCTCGCCAATGCCCATAATGAAGAGGCCTACAAAGATGGTCTTTCGCCGGCCGAGTATATCGCCGAGCCATATAGCTAGTATAGCACTGATAAAGCAGCCGATGTTCCAGGAGGCGACCATAATACCTTGGATTCTGGCATTGTAGCCCACGCCGGGATTGTTGAACGTATCGACTTCCGGGAACTCGCGCAGAAAAGATGGCACGGTGAGCAGCGTTCCTATGTCGCCTTGATCATAGCCGAATAGTATGAAGCAGCATGCGGCGACTGATCCAATCGCTACATTGAGTGACGCTCCGCGAAGTCCGAGGTAGGAGGCCATAGCCGAGTCCAGGTGGGGAGTGTACCTCTGTCGGATCTTGTCTCGGACCTGATCGAGATGACTGGGTATATCTATTGATGTTTTTGATTTCCCGGCGGGTATCGCTGTCTCGAGCTTGGGCTCGGGAAGGTCTTCCTGGTCGATTCGCCCTGCGCTTTGAAGCCCCAAACGACCGTGCCAACAACACACTTCAGCAACTCTTCCTCTGTACGGACGTGCTACGGAGCAACGTGAAGCGGAAAATGCGGAACGGCGAGCATGCAAAGGAGATAAGTTATGACTGAAGCTCCGTGTGAGTACCAGGGGAGTGCTTGTGCGTTTATCGTCATGACGCGGTTGAAGGCTCTGGCATGCAAGCCATCTGCAAGCCATCTGTCTGCAATCGTCGCCTCGGTAGATGGCCGAATGACAGCTCTTGAACCACCTTTCGATCATGATCTAATGCAAGATTCCGCTAGACAGCCCCAGACCGTCCAGGGAAGCGGCAGACCGTGAGGTCGGATCTATGATGACTGCCGTCCAATCATAGAGCTACTAATCAGTCCTAGCGGAGCGTTCCTGTGAGTCCTTGCCCGGAAGAGCAAGGCGCGAGCGATTCAAAACATGTGAGAATGCTGGTGGCGTTGATAGAGTCCCTCAAATCTCTGGTTGCAGGTGGCTCTGACGCTGACAAGGGCCTCGTGTGGTCGAGCCGGCGATCGGAGAAAGCGATCGCAACGTCCGGAAAGAACAGCCGCAGCTTCTCAATGCAACTACAACGTCCAAATACGAAGAGTGTGTGGGTGTTCGGAAAGGTCCAAGTGCCTCCACTCTTGCGTGGGATCTCGATCTGTTCCATGTGCTGCCAGACCATCTGATCCTATATGACTACGGGAAGTTTTGTACAGTTTGGAGACCGCTGACCGCTGTGCCGCATTGATCCCCGGTTAAGATTTCCTTGGAGACAGTATCCCGCTCTTTGCGTGTGAGGCTTTACGAGGCGTTCCTGCGCAAGCTCTGTCGCATTGCTGCCCCTGACAGATGCATACGAGTGCCTGTTTAGCAGCCTAGTGCCCATCCGGAGCCAGGTGTTAACGGTGGAGGAAGGCTTTCGAGACATCAAGCCTTCGACGGCGGTATGGAAGCTCTTGTTGCGGAGAAGCTGAGTTCCGGGACTTCTGTCGAGTATGGAGAGTTAGTTGCGAGACACTGATAGAATCAACACGAAGTAAATTGAGGAGATCCTTCCAGCTCGCGCCTTGATTTCCTGTCCCCAAATGAGAAGCCAAATGACATCCTGGTAGCTGGATACAGATTCTCCACAGCGACGGAATTGCTTTAGCGGGACTTTGAGAAGACCACACAAGCACTCAAGGTCGCTATTGTTTCCAACGGTCCTTCCAACTTTGGTGTGATCGGGTTGATTACTTTGCTGGTCAATGTCTCCTGCTTCCTCCCTTCTTACCACGCTCGATTTCCATAATTTTGCTAGACAACGTGGAGCGCGTTATCTTTGTGCTGCTCAGGGCGAAGAATGATGCGACCATGGTGGCAGAGTTCCGAGAAACTGTCTCGAAGTCTGATGTATCCGCGTGATCTCAGGGTGTCTACTCCCGAACCTCGGGGTTTTCAATTTTCACGTTTAAGTCCTCCAAGATTATTGAGCGGTTTAGTGGCTATTTGAACTGTCTATCACCCGCTTGGTTTCCACACAGCATTCAACACGCCTCAAGCCACAGAAGAACTGCTGCATTTGCCACGCCCCTATCAACGATGTAGCCTTTTGGTTGACAGAAGAGTACTAGACCGAAAGCGTATCGCAGAACTCGCCCAAGCTGGGCCTTCAAGCAAGTTATCTCCGTCTCCGGAAGCATGCGACAGGATTGGTGACTTGCGGCGTTAAATGTCCGCTACGTTACTATAGACTAGATACTTAGAAAATCGCCATGGGCGAGGAACTTGTTTTCCCATGCTCACCCATAGCCAACAACTGTACAGCAATTGGGTTGTGAGGGTGAATGCGTGACATTGTGGTGAAGGTGCGACCGCGCCGTTCGCTTCTCCAGTTCTTTTTTACCTGTCACCGTCCAGCAACTTACATTCCGTCAACACTGCACAAAAGCAACTACCGGTCATCGACTACCTCGTTCTACATAATGCAACATGAGGCTACAAGTCATGGTGATTGCGGGAAATAGACCGGATCTCGACGAAGACGAAGCCCAATTGATATACGGCTACGTCGCGTCAGTACCTGAGCTGTTGACAGCGTTGAGAAAGGCGGGTTTCGTCGACACGTGCTGGATGGTCTTGAAGAAGGCTCTCGGCAACAAATTTCCGGAGGAGGTCTTGTTGATGGTTCATGGAGAACTTACATTTATGGATCATGAGCTAGAGGACGGGGATCTGCTCACGTTCGTTGACATATTCAATGAAGAGCGTCCCCTCGATGATACGCACTTTTCCAAGTACAAGTGTCCTCGAAGCGCAATGAGAAAGAAGGTTATGGTACTAGAGGTAAGCAATCGGCATCCAATTAGAGGATCAAGAAAGATGGTGCTCACCTTTGTCCTTGTTCATGGGAAGAGAGTGGTCTTAAAATGCTCACACTGCGTGATCTTATCAACGCCGAATAAATTAACCTTCAGGGTCATGTCTTCTTTACCGCAATGCTACACACCAATCTACACGCGCCGAGCAAGTGTATCGATCTGTACGATTCACGGACTACGCATTGGAATACTATTCCGGGCGACGATATGGATATCCGTGACGTTATCCTACACTACTCATCCGACAGGCATGTCCTTCTGGTAAAGCATCTTCTGACCCAGATCGATGAGGCTGTGGGCAAGGGCTGTGTAAAGCCGTTCAAAGGTGGAGCAAAGGAGGAAAGCACACGGTTGCATCTATGCTCGGTCTGGGAGAGCTCTTCAAGGATTAGTATGATGAGGGAAGCTGCTGCTGGGGCAGGGATTGGGCTTTGACAGCAGCGCTCCTCAGTTCCTGGTCTTGACGGACGGTCTCGAAAACTAAGCATGATGCTCCGCGGACCGCGATGGTCGTGGGGGGTTGTGATTTTGACTTTTCAAGGATAGATTCGGGTTGAGTGTTATTCGGTTAGGCAGAAGTCCAGGAAGGGAAGGATGAGGAGGGACTATTGCATGCTGGAAGACCGTGCTCAACCAACCACTGGAGCATCCTGGCTTTGGCAAGTAGATTCGAAGGGTTCAGCGTGCTTTATGAAAATTTCGGTATGCAACACATGGATCAGACTTACTTTCATAGAAAAGGATACAGAGTGATCAATGCCTACAAGGCCCATGCGACAAAGTCACTAGTTTCCTCTTACGCCTTCCAACCTCTGGTCAGCCCGTGGACTTCATATCTACGTCTTCCTATCGGGATCCACCCTGCGGGTGCGAGCGATGCAGAACAACGCGTGCTGTGACAGTGACTGAGGGTAGAGTTGTGTACATTAATGAATGGCACGTTCACCTATATACACCTAGACTAGTGCTATAAGATTCTGTACATGCTGGCAGTGCAAGAGATATCTCCATGGAGGAACGATCTGAAACACCCCAGCGTCAGTCTCTAATATTACCGTGACGTGATGGTCCGCGACAACGGTCCAGCATACGAGGCTGCAAAACGATTCCAGCTCTTGCGGGGACCATGGGATTGCCTTGAGATTGTCCAGACATCTCTTGCTCATCACCCTGCTTAAATTACAAGCCGTCAAGGACGGCCATGAACATGAGACGCGCTTCTTAAAGCTCGGATAATACGAGGAGAGCGAGTATTACACTGCCATCCCCGTGATGGGAATCTGGTACTGAACACTTTTAATTGGACGACCCAATCAATGGTAGATTCGTGAGAACAGTCAAGTCTCCCCGAGGTTTTACCAAACCCGGAAACGATTGTGTTCAGAAATGGATGACTACCTTCAAGCAAGGGCTCTCGTCTGAAGCTACCATCACATTTGACTTCCTTGTGCGAAGAACTTTCATAATGATCTGAGACACAGCACTCGCGCAGAATAAAAACCGCCGATGTGATCGCTGCAGCCGCCGATGCCAGTCGAACAGAATCTATGTGCTGAGCACTTCGCAGTGGCCGTTCTTGAAGTCTATTGAACCTCGCAATACTAAAGGCAGTTGAGAGAGTCGGCGGGCGGCAGAGAGGATTATTTGAGCGCGCTAAACGGCGATCGTGGCAATTCTGGATGACTGCTGTTGGTTCCTCCTGTTGAAATAACCACTGTCTCCGTTCAAGCTTGCACATGGGGACTCGAACGTATGCTTGCTGTTGTCGGCATACGAAGCGACACAGTCTCTGGATCCAGTGTTGCAAATAAGTAGGTGTTAATTCGGTGATTATTTATACTGGATTGGATCGGTACTGGATCTTTGATACAGGCGATACTACGGCTAACCGTCTTAAGGATATCCGGAGCTGCCGAACCGTGGTATCGAGGCTCTTGGCTAGTGTCATCGATGAAGGTTGTAGGACTGGTGTGTAATCGTAGTGGTGGTTGGCTGATGAAGCAGCTAAGGTTTAGCACCTTGTCCCGCAGCGGCCTGCTAGGTAAGGCAGGCTGCTATCTAGACTAGCAGCACTGCCTTGGCAAGTACTGAAAAATGGCGGTACTGGCTCGTTTATTCCCAATGCGGCACAAATATAAACTGTAACTGCCTATTTGCAACACTGCCTGGGTCTTCGGCTGGCTGGTATCTTTTGTGGCCGCCTAAGGGCTATCAGCTACGGTCTCTCCCTCAGATATCTCTCAAATTACGCCAACTTACTTACAAGGGTGCTCAAAAAGCGGGCCGGTGAGACCCCCCGGCTAGCCTTGAATATTTCTGCAGAATATGCATACGGAAAGTACCTCGCTTCTTGGAGCGCTACCAGCCCGCACATGGAACCCCCTTGTACCCTGTGCAAGGGAGCAGTGGCTCGGGGGGCTTGAGAGTCCCGCACGAGGGTTGAAAAAGACTAAATATGCATCTGGTTCGAAATGCAACTGGTACTCAGTAACACGCGGCATCAGATCTCGGACGATCGTGCTGAACACGCGATTGGTACGCTGTTGGCACGTGACATCACAAGGTTGTTTCAATAACATCGAAAGAGATTAGACTGTTCCTGGCTGCTCGCCAGCAAGACTCTCTACTACGATTAAGAAGCTCCCGTATTCAGCCTCTCGTTCGAGTTTCATATTAGCCGACTAAGCAGTTTTTTCCTCGGCCAGCATGCCTTGACATCTTCATGTGTGAGGAGAAAGAAAGCGGCCCAAAATCTAGAACACCCAACTTGTTGTCTAAGCTTCACAACGATGTTTCCGATGGTCCACAATGCTATTGAATCACTGCAGTATGTGGAGACTTGCGCTTGAACCTCCGTCAATCAAGGGAGAGAGTCCTCAGTCTTATTACACACGTGATGCCGCAGAGATCGGTCTGTGTCTGGAGAGCCCCACACATCAACCGCGGACCGAGAGTGGCACAACAGGCTTTGCAAATGAGAGCTCCAAATCGTTCCAAGTGCTGACCATCGCACTGGCCAGTTTCTGCCAGCAGAAGGTCCGACAAGACCAGCTCTGAAGAAGCTCTGGTAAAGCCTCAACGCAGCTCTGATGAACCCCAACAACGCCGCCTTAATGCTGCACGTTAATCTAGAGAGCCTTGCAGTCTACCACGGCAACCACGGCATGAAGAACAGGAGTCATGAACGACGCCGGCACAGTACCCTTTGTTGACTGGACTCTTGTTCGGACCTTGTGATCATCTCGTGTTTCGGGAAGGCCGCAAAAGCTTCTATTGTACCAGGAATCACGGATTCTCCTATCCACACTGGAAACGCGTCCCGGAGCTGGTACCGCCTCGTGAGCGCGTCCGGCTCGCGACGTCCAGCCGTGCATCGTTCGCCCAGCCTCCCGGTATTTTGTGCGGTGGCTGGAAGACACCTCTTGCATGCCAAACCACGCGCTCGCAGCTCCCGAACTCACCACCTCAGCGCTCGCAAGGGACAGCACCAAGCACCAAGAACGCCGGACGCGGCTAGCTGCCTTGGCTCGAGATGGATCCCGCAGCATGTGGCGGACCTGCTTCCGAGCGGAAGGAGTGGCTGCCTCCAAGGGCTCATACTGGTGCAAACCCGGTCCGGCTACATTGCGAAGTGACAATAAAGTTTTGTGGGGTGCCGTTGATCGGTAACTTAATGCGCCAGAGGTTAAGGGGACCGAGTTCCGAAAGGCAATCGACGAAGGGGCGCATGATCCCTTTCGGCCCGACGCCATTGTAGTCGTATGTTTCCTTACTGCCGCTGGCGACCCTCGCCGTGGACTGCTCTTGACGTTTGACGAAGACAGAAGCAAGATCCGATCTCACTCGTACAGTACCGCCAGCACGGATCCGCTGCACTGTTTTACCCCGCATCGATCCCATGGTCGCTTCCAATGCATGTTGTTGTCATCAAGTAAACCGCGAGGAGAGGTACACGGCTCGCAGCGCCTTGCAACTTTGTACTTGTTCAACTGCAGCGCCTTCGTCCACAAAACACACTAACCGATGCGCCGAAAAGCTGTCAGCCTTGGTACAGCACGCCCCGGTGACACACACTAGGCACTTTCCATAACTACTTTGTACAGGATGACGGGACGGACAGCTGAAGCGTGACTCTCTCCCGCTCCTTGGCAAGCGCGGACTGGGCATACATCACAACCATCACGTCCCGCCTGCTCTGGAGATCATCGAAGGACCCCTTGTGGAGGGACCATTTTTCGATTTGGCGGGAGAGTGCAGAGGTGTAAACCCGTTAGATCGTCGCAGCGTTCAAGCTAAGCGCAGAGTATTGCGACGTCTTGTGCGCCCAGCCCAAGAACCACAGTCACAGAATGCAACCCTTTCCCGCGCTCGCCTTGGACGCCGCGCTCGCGGAGGCGGCCTTTGATGAATATGGCCAAGTAACACGCGGAGGTTATTGGATAGTCTCGGGACTACCGATTAAGGCGCATATTAAGCTCGGCTGTAAACAAGCTCTGTCAGCGTCGAGCGAGTGGACGACTCTGTCAAACGGCCGCGTCGGTAAGCTTCGCATTCAGTGCGCTTTGCGACCAAAGCTTTCCTAAGAAACGGTCGCAGCTTGGAGAGCTCTCTCGAGCTTCCAACGTCTATCGTGGACGCGCCGTGATTGGTTGTTCCTCGGACCGTCGCACCGAGCTCCAGACCAGAGCTCTCTGTGTGGGACGGTGGCCGGAGGGGCTTCTTCCAGCCGCACCCTGAAGAAAGCCTCGATCGACCACACGGGTCCTCATGCTGTCTCATGCGCTCATGCCGTGTCCTAGCGCTGTGATCCCTTGCCCAAGACCTCCCAAAGAGAGTAACGGCGCTGTTTTCCCCAGAAATCCCCACGGGGTGCGTCCAATACAACGCGACTGCCACTTAGCTGGCGCAGGCGCATCCTCACCCCACTACGTCTGTGGCTGCCAGCAGCATCATGATCTATATAACATCCTGGGACGTCCGCCTGGCATTGATTGCAGCAATCGACTTCCTCCCCTACAGGGTTCACAGTTTCACATCTACACTTCTTCTTCTAGCACGTCTTATCCATCATGGACGCGAGACGGAGGTCCTCCGTCGTCAACGTCGACCGCGACAATGACGGGGTGCTTCGAGTTAACGATGAATCTTTTCGCAAGATGAGCGTTGTCAATCCTGACATCGCCAATCTTCATCAGGGAGCTCAATCGGCTACTCAAGCGGAGCATGAGATGACCATTCGAGATGCTCTCAAGCTTTATCCGAAGGCCGTTATGTTTTCTGTTGCCTTCTCCACCGCCGTCGTTATGGAAGGCTATGACTTATCTCTTACCGGTTCATTCTTCGGCTTCCCACCTTTCAAAAACAGATATGGTACTGAACCGGACCCGGAAAACCCTGGACAGCTGCAAATCGGAGCTGCGTGGCAGTCTGGTATCACGAACGGTGTACAGGTATGATACCGTTACATTCGTGGCGCGAAGTCGCCTCTAACATACTGCAGGTGGGGTCTATCATTGGTCTCTATCTCAACGGCTATATCTCCGACATAATCGGTTACAAAAAGACCATGGTTCTCTCGCTCCTCGTCATGATTTGCTTCCTCTTCATACCGTTCTTCGCTCCCAGCATTGGAGTAATTCTACTCGGCGCCGTGCTCTGCGGAATTCCCTGGGGTATTTTTCAGACCCTCACCGTCACCTACGCCTCCGAAATTTGCCCAGTGGCCCTGCGCGCCTATCTCACAACCTACGTGAATCTCTGCTGGGTCATAGTAAGGTTTTCCGGTGCCCGTTGTGGCACAGAGCCCGCAGCTAATCGTCTTGTCTAGGGACAATTCATCGCTGCTGGTGTTCTGCGCGGTTTCCTCGAGAGGACTGACCAGTGGGCGTACCGCATTCCGTACGCCCTTCAGTGGGTGTGGCCCGTCCTCATTCTTCCGTTTGCTATCATGGCTCCGGAGAGCCCCTGGTGGCTGGTACGCAAGGGCCGTGAGGAGGATGCGAAGAAGTCACTGTTAGCCCTCACCAAGCGGGGTACCAATGTTCCGTTCGACGCCGATGCCCAGGTTGCTATGATCAAGGCTACCAATGAACTCGAGAAGGCGATGGCCGAGTCTACATCTTACGTCCAGTGCTTCCGTGGCGTCGATGGTCGACGTACTGAGATTGCATCCATGACTTGGGTCATCCAGGCTTTCTGCGGTGCCGCTCTTATGGGCTACTCCGTCCAGTTCTACCAACAGGCTGGCCTCGCGAACACGGATGTGTTCAACTTGAACTTGGGTCAGTATGCTATGGGCGCCGTCGGCACCATCGGCTCCTGGTTCCTCATGCCTCACGTCGGCAGACGCACCATTTACATCGCTGGTTTGGCCGTCATGCTTGTCCTCCTCCTTGCCGTCGGCTTCGCCGGTATTCCCGAGAGGACTTCCAACGGCACGAACACGGGCGCTAGTTGGGCTATTGGATCTTTGTTGCTTATTTATACCTTTGTGTAAGTTCTCCAACTACTTCTCGTTGTGTCGATACTAACGGTAGCCCAGCTACGATTTCACTGTGGGCCCCGTCTGCTACTCTCTTGTCGCTGAGATCCCGTCAACTCGACTGAAGATCAAGACCGTTGTGCTGGCCCGAAACTTCTACAATATCGGCGGTATCATCAACAACATCATCATGCCGAGAATGCTTCTCAACACCGAGTGGAACTGGGGCCCCTTCACCGGTTTCTTCTGGGCTGGTGTCAATGCACTGCTTCTCACGTGGTGCTATTTCCGTCTTCCTGAACCCAAGGGTATGTGCTTCACCCCACTCCCAACACGGTACATGCTAACCTACGTGCAGGCCGTACCTACGCCGAGCTCGACGTTCTCTTCGAGAACGGCGTCAGTGCTAGGAAGTTCGCCAAGACCAAGGTCGATCAGTTCGCCGGCCAGCACACCGAGATCGTTGACGATTTCGATGAGAAGCCGAAGGTGGTGCAGCACAGCTTTGTGCACTAGAGTGTTCGTGTAATGTACAGGAGATATAAGCAGGGAGTTGTGATGTAGATGCCACGAATGCGTTGGTTAATGAGGTTATGTCTGTCATCGAGCAGGTGGCCTAGTCGGCGGCTTTGCATGAGTGTTAGCGTTTTGGTCATTGTCGTTGGTTAGTGCCTAGCGACTCAATATACCAGCTTAGAATAATCACTCATTTCTGGTTTGTGTTCGCCATCATGACGCAACAGCTTGCCCTCATGCTATCATCTCTACCGGAGTCTTCATGTACTATACGCCTGCGAGTGTTGTGTAGTACAATAAGCTATGTGCTCTTCCTGAGCACCCGCCCTCTTAGACCCAACAAACCCAGTGACTGGAAAAGCTCGGAATCCAATACTAAGAATCGACGTGAGATGAAGCTGCTCCACCACAGTTGCGCTGACCCGGAGATCTGAACCGCTATCGCGGTCGCTAAGGCTCAATACCATCACGTGACGAAAGCGGCCTTTCAAGCAACCAGGTGACCAACATCTGGGAAAGGCTCGGCAAAATGAGATAGCGTTGCGTTTTCTATATTACTACGGCATAACAGGCGCGAACTAAAGCTATAAGGATAAGAACTAGTATGAGCAGTAAGCCTCATACGGAATATCCAAAGACGAGCCCACACCCTAAGCCAACGAAGGCCCTCTACGAATGGTCCCACTGAGGACAGTCTGTGCTTGAGTCGCTGACTCTGTAGCAAAAAGACGGACCCAGCTGGACCGCCTCGGATACTAACGGGAGACGGGGTGAGGCCTTGTTGGGCACCCTTGCGGCAGTACACGTACAGCAGGTTTTAACAACAAGCACCGCGCTTCGACAGCCTTCAGGTTTCTTTGGTTTCACCTTTGCATGTTGCTTAGAGAGCGGTACAGGATCCTCTGTCCAACATCGGATTAATTCCTGCTATGCTCCCGCACTACAACGCCCTCGCAATGCCAAGGAAAAGGCCTCCTCTCTGAGAGCTCTATCTCTACCTTCTACCAATCACCCCCCAAACACCTTCCTGACCTTCCCCAAGACGCCTCCCTTCCCCTTCACCACCGGATGCGAATTCTCCTCCTCCACATTGTGCTTCCTCACAATCGCCAAAAACACCTGATCCAGCGTCGTCTGGCTAACGGAGTAATACTCAATCGCCAACTCCTCCTTATGCCTCTCCAGCAGCTGGAACAACTGCGCAATACTCTCCACACCACCCTCCGTTCCCTTCTCGTGGCCCGCAACCGGGACGCTAAACCTCAGCTGCCCATGCATCATCTTGTCCTCGACCTCCGCCCGCGACACATTCGCCTCGACCCAGTCCCTCAGCGCCTCCATCTCCGCCTGGCTCGTCCTGGGTGCAGTTTGATGCACAACATGCACGAACCACTTATCGCCCCATTTCCGCCTTAGCTCCTCGCTGCTGCCCATCGCGAGCATCTTCCTCGCCAGAATGCCCGCGCGATGCGCCAGCGCGTCCGCCTCCTCCATGCTGTGCGTCGTGATGACCAGACTACGGCCGGCGCTGACGGCGTTCAGCGTAGCCCACATGACGCGCTTCGCCGCGGCGTCCATGCCCGAGGATGGCTCGTCGAGCAAGAGCACGGACGGATTGCCCATGAGCGCGATGCCGAGCGAGAGCTTGCGCTTGTTCCCGCCGGACAGCTTGGCGGCCATACGGCTGGCGAACGGCGTGAGGCCAACAGCCTGCATGACCTGCGTGACGTTGTGCTCGACGTCCTCGACGCCGCGGGCGCGGGCGTAGAACCGCAGATGCTGCGTCACGGTCATCTGGTCCATAGCATCGAATTGCGGACAGACGCCCAGGTTCTGGCGCGCAGCGGCACGGTGCCGGATGATAGATGTATTCTCAACAAGAACGTCGCCCTTGTTAGGCCGGATGTCGCCGCGGATGAGGCTGATAGTAGTCGACTTGCCCGCACCGTTAGGGCCGAGCAGGGCGAAGACCTCGCCGCGCTTGACGCCAAAGGTCACGTTTTGGACGGCCGTGTTGGTGCCGAAGGTTTTAGTCAGGTGGAGCACGCGTAGCCCGTCCTCGGAGCTCTTTACGCGCGTGAGCTCGGCTCCGACGTCCGCGTCTATCGAGTCTGACTCTTCTTCGTCGGTGGCGCGGTAGGGGTCGCGGATGAGGAACGCGGGCTTGTAGCCGCTGTCCCACCAGACGAGGAAGCCGAAGAGCAGGAGAGCTTGGACAATGAGGTAGAGGATTGGACCGCCGAAGACGCTGATGTCGCCTCCGTAGGATGCGACCTCATCGTTGTCGCAGATGAGGGCAAACTGGTTCAGCGTAAGGAGTAATGCTCGGAGGAGATTGCCGGACGGCGTAACCAGTGCGATAGTGAAGTGAGCAATCTCCACGTTTCTATCTATCTGGGTTGTGGGGCTGTATGTGATGATGCACATGTACCTAAGCGGAGGTTAGTACTCAGCTCCATAGAGGAGACGTGGGGAGAGTACGTACGAAATAAAGTAAAGCAAGAAGAAACAAGCCTGCCCCCCTGCCGCGAACGCGAACGCAGCCAGCTGCGACGTTGCGAACAAAGACACCACGTAGGAGAGTAAAACCGAAGTAAGTCCATAGAGGAAGAAGACAGTGAAAAGGTAGCCAGGGTAATACCAGGCACTAGAAGCACCAACGAAGATGCCAATGGCCACCACACTGATAACAAGGACGATCAAGAAGTCAAAGCACACGTAGGCAAGCCACAGCGGCGTGGCACGAATGCCATTCGAGTAATGCAGCGCACGCACTCCTCTCAAGCGCTCCATGGTTGGGTAAAGCGCGAAGAAGCCCGGGTAGGCTGACATAGCGAGTCCAAAATAGAGGATCAACTGCAGAGAGTCCCCAGCGGAAGGCGCAAATGGGGAAGCGAACTCCTGGTATCCTGTGGCAATCCGAGTGCCGGTAAGCGCATTGTCGAGCAGGTTCTGAGTGAAGACGCCCCAGTGAGTGAACAGCTCCCCGATGTAAGCAAACACTGGGGTATCACCGAGGAAGAAGCCTCCAGGTGAGACCGTAGGATAGTTGTCCACGACATACTGGTTGAACTCCGCCAAGGTCTCGACGAGCTGAAAGCTATCAGGATTGATACCAAGAGCTGATGCTAGTCTTTCGACGGATACTGCACTAGACGGCCCGATTGGGATATTTGGTCGCCGTACGTCACGTGCGAAACTTCGGCGGCGGGGGCTGCTCGCAGAGGCGCCTGGTGAGCATGCTAATGGACTGAAATCCTGGATAAAGAGAGTGACCAGTCCAGCCGCAATGATGGGCAGCAAAGCTGCAGCAGCGTACGGAAGCTTGTTTCGGCCCAGGATGGTAAGTCGCTTGCGGAAAAGGATCCATGTCTGCCGCAACATGGAGGTTGGCTTGCCTGCGTATAGTTGAGGCCCAGCGTCAGCGGATTTAACTTCGGATGGCGCCTCGGACAGCAACAGCTCGTCACCAAACTTTGGTTCCGATCCGGATTGCACCGGCAGAGCGGTGCCTTGACCATTGGGAAGGTCCGTTTTCACCTCCTCAGCAAGCTTCAGGAAGACGTCCTCAATGGTAGGGCTGTTGACTTGGTAATTGTGTATGCCTTCCTTCTCCAGTCTCCCTACAAACTTCGCGGCTTGTGCAGAGTTCGGGAGGGTATAGACCGTTTGGTCATACAGGAGCTGTTTTGGAACGCTTGCGAACTCCGCGGGTGGACTGAAGTTCAACGTGTTGTAGATGTGAACGCGATAGCCACCACCGTACTGATGCTTGAGCTGCGGAGCGCCCCCTTCTGCTTTCAAGACACCCTTTGACATGATGGCAATGTAGTCCGACAAGACATCAGCCTCATCGAGGAAATGCGTTGTGAGAAGGAGGGTTCTTCTGCCACGCTCCGCCAGGAGGATGTCCCAGATCTTCCTACGCGACAAGGGGTCGAGGCCGGATGAGACTTCATCCACACAGCACACTCTACTTCCACCAGTAAATGTCATTGCGAGCTGAAGCTTTCTCTTTTGTCCGCCGGAGAGGGTTTTCGATCTGGCATGAAGCTTGTGGCCAAGGTCGCAGGCCTCGGCCAGCTCACGGATCTGGTCTTTAGAGTCTTTCTGGCCTGTTGTCTTCAGAGCGTTGAAAAGCTCAATGTGCTCGAAGACCGTGAGTTCGGCCCACATAACGTTCTTTTGCGGGCAAAGACCTACACCACCCGTGCCGTCAACTTCTATTGAGCCGCTGCTGATCGTGGTCAAGCCAGCTATTGCATCCATGGTCGTGGATTTACCAGCGCCGTTCGCCCCCAAGAGCACCATGATCTGGCCTTGGAGAACGGTAAGCGTCAAGTCAACGACCGCTCTAACCGGCTCGGCCTTCTTGCCGCCAAAGCGCGAGTAAACAGTCCTCTGCCACCAGCCGGGAAGAAAAGTCTTGGACAACGCATTGATTTTAATGGCTTTCGACGGATCTGCGGGGTTGAACACCATCTTCCTCTCCTTCGATCCTGTCCCATATAAGCTTCTTTCAACTAGCGCCGCGAGGACGGGGTACACAATAATCTGGACGAGGAAGAAGATCCAGAGCGCGATGCCAGGAAGGCGCCACGGGTTCTCAGGCGCGGCTTCGCCGAGGTTTGCACCGAGATCGAATCTCTCCCATCGTGCTAGATAGATGATGAAGTAGGTGTAGGTCATAGGCGGGAAGAGCAGGCCCGTGACAGCCACAGCGCCTGTTCCGCTCCGTCCTACGGCAATCTGTGCAATTATCGCCAGCACGATGCTCCCGATTACGACCGCGATACCTGATAGCTGCGCCTTGCGGAAGAAGGCGGCGCCAAAGACAGACCAGCTTGAAAGCGAAAGCCCGGCGAGGATATGTACTCCAATAAGGATGGCTACAGACGAATTCGGAAACGTGAGGCGAGAGACGATGAGTGACATAATCACCCAACCAGGGAAATGTACGATGTCGAACGCGAGATGAGTTGAGATCAATCGGGCCGCTTGAGTGTACCACCCGCGTGCATTTGGAGTCATGGCTTCGATGAGTTGTGACATACCCAACTCTCTTTCAGTAGCCATCAATCCAGTGAGCTGGTAGCAAACATTGATGATGCCGATGAGATACGCAAGCGCCAGGATGTTGATTAGACTGTTCATGTAAAGCCTCCGGATATTGTCTTCACGCTCTTCACTCGTCCTTGCTACACGATCTGTTAGCGCAAAGCGCAGCTGAGCTTGTGAGAGCTGTCTTACTCGTGAACGGGTACTCATTGACTTCGCTCGGCAGAGTAGTCCCATTGATGGACGCTATCGTAGAGTCAACCAGGTGCTGAAAGGGCAGAATGTAAATTTGGCCATCATTATCCTCATCGTTGACAAATATCCTCTCGCCCAATGCGCCATCCGCTCTGATGGTGTAGTTCCACAGTCCTCCAGGACCCTCCGTGGGAGACGAGTGGAAGCTTGCGCCCGCGTAGCAATTCGTTACACCGCGCAGCGAACTCCGGCAGATGGTCAGTAGTTCAGTTTCGTCATTGAGAATCTGAACATCTGCGCCGGCTGCGCGCATAGGCTCCGCAATCTGATTTATCAGACGCTCAATATCTCCTCCAATGAGTCCATTGTTGATCAGTGGGATTGTCCTCCTGTTCGGCGTGGCCGCATTGAACGCGCTCGCGAAGTCTCTGACGGGTGTAGCAGAGCCCACACCATAGTCCGAAGGGGCTACGAAGAAGTTCTTGGAATATGAAATAAAGAACATCTACACGCTGGTCAATGTCGATGCTCCTTTCCAGCGGCTGACTTGTACTCACGAAAATGATAGGCGAAATGAAGGCCCGCACAGTCGTCGTGAACCAGTGACGGACATAGAACACCAGGAGGGTCTTGCGCGTCAGCGTCCATGTTTGGCGCATGAAGCCCATCTTGGATAGGGAAGACCACGACGTGTGGCCTCGTCCTCGGCGGTTGAGCAGATAGGAGCGCGAACAGTTAGCGCAGGGTCGCAATCTAGCAATGCATCGGCGGAGATATTGAGAATGCAGAAAAATTGTCCGAAAGTGAATAGAAGAACAGAATTGGGGTATGCGCAAGCAGAGAAGGCGACTGGCGAACGTCGATGAGGTTCCTGTTTGCCAGAGTTTACTTCGCAGATATCATCATCCAAGCCGCACCGCCACCAATGAGCACAGGCTGCCGAGGGAGCCAAGAAGGCTGTTGAGCCGCCATCATCTCCGCGATTGCATGGCCGATGGCTTTAGGCCCGTTTGGCGGGGGGACGGGATTCACTCAGAGCCTGCCCAGGTGTCGAAGCGAAGGCAGGCGTCCGGGTAAAGCGGATGCTGGCCTGCATCCAGCCATCGTGCTGTGCGTAGAGTAGCCTCAACCCCAAGGTCACTGTTTCGTCGATATACTTGCAGTGGGTAGCAGCATACCATTGAGTGTTGCAGCTGCGCTTGTGTGGACACAGTTGTTACACCGCTATCCATCAGCCTTGCGAGGTTCCCGGCTGATGTTCAAACATGTGCGACTCGTGCTACAAACTGCCAGACCAAGAGCCCTTCGCGCATGGCTAACTCGTAGCAGGTGCATTGCAACATGACAGCTTTTATAAACATGCGGAGAATTTGGGAGATGTGCAGTAATTCGTAGATACAGCGACTGCGCTTGAAAATGCCTATCTCGTCGCGCTGGTGCGAAAATGGTATACATAAAAGTCGTGCCACTACATTACAAGCCGCCAACTTGGAGTCGCTAAAACTCACAACATCTTCACATACACCTTCCAATTCCACATCCCACTACCGTAGCAGCCTAGTAGTTCAACAAAGCAGCACCAGCGCCGAACAAGGCAGCCGCACCGACAGCGCCGGTCTTCATCGCCACACCAAGAGCGCTGCTCGTGCTGCTAGCGGCACCGGCACCAGCTTCGCTGGGGTTGATGGTGGTGGAAGGGGCGGCCACGCCGCTAGTGAATGGTGCCTCCGACGCGCTGGTTGCGCCAGAGAAGGCCGGTGCGCCTGTGGTAGCGCTGGCATTGGGGGCCATGGACATCTGGGGGTTGAGGACGCTGCAAGGCTGAATCAGCAAAGACGTTCTGTTCACAAATGCGCGCTATTGACTGAGCTTACTTGTCAATAACGTGGACGACACCACCGGCGACCAAAACATTGGGAGTGACAACCTCAGCAGAGTTGACGAAGACTGAGCCGTTGATCAGGGTGATTGTAAGATCCTCGCCGCCCAAGGTCGTGACGGTCGTGCCGTTCGTCAAAGTGCTGCTGTAGAGCGGGGATTCACCGGCAACAACATGGTACTGGAGGATGGCAGCGAGTTCCTCGGTTGTCAAATTGGCAACAGCAGAGCCAATGTTTTGGAAGGCCGCATTGTTCGGGGCGAAGATGGTCACGTCGGACTGGCTATTCACAGCACCGACGAGGTCCGTGTTGTTCAGGGCACCCACGAGCGAAGTCAGCCCGGCAGCAAGAGCTGTCTCCGAAACGTTCGCGGGAACAGTGAGGAGGCCGTCGATGACGTGGATAACACCACCAGTGAAGTTTAGATCCTAGAGTACTGGTGAGTAAATGGTGCAATTGTGGATGGCTTGGCGACTTACAGCCTGAACAACGGAGACGTTCTGGAGAAGTCCAGAGTAGAATGTAACATTGCCTCCAATGTTGATTGCCTCCACGACTTGTCCTCCGGTAACGTTGGTGAACGTCTGGTTGGTCAGCAGCGTCGGCACAAACGCGCTAGTGTTTGTGATGGCAGACGAGAGGTAGGTGCCGTTGAGAACATGATACTGCAGAACAGCTCGGAGGGCATCGGTATTCTGTGTAATATTGGGATTGGACTCCAACAAAGCTGCTACCGCCTCATTCGACGGGGCCAGGAAGGTGATGTTCTGAGCGCTGTCGAGCGTCTGCGCTAGTTCAGGAAACAAGCCAAAGAAGGTGGTGAGGTTAGAAGTGGCATTGTTCGATGCGATGGTGCCGGTCAGATTCATCATCTGCTGGGCAGAGACAGCGCCTACGAGGGCAGCGAGCGTGAGGTTCTTGAGCTGCATGGTGGGCAACGGTTGCTGATTATGGTGATAGATGAGATGGTTGAAGGAAGATGCTGGAGGAGCTCGACACGAGAGGGGAAGTACTTAAGTGACGGGGCAAGCAACAAACAAGGGGATCGGGCCATCCTTCCAGCGATGCCCAGCCCAGGATTGAATCCAACCAGCAACGTGCCACGGCAGCAAGGCCGAGCCCTTCCAAGGCTTGCTGTGCCGGCGTGCCATGCTTGTGAGGTTGTTCGGACGAAGCGCCAAATTCTCCTCAGCTAGCAGAGCTCTCATCAGCGAATAGGCGCCTGAGGCGGCCGGAGGCTAGGACTGAAGCTCTTCGGGGCTCGAACGCGGAGAGGTCAATCGATGTCGAGCATATTTGCTCTAGGACATCTGAAGTTAGGCTGAAGAAGCACAGCCTTCGACTACGGGATGCCCCAGAGCTGGATCCTTGATGATCCGCGATTTAGCTCAATGCGGGGATCTTGGCTTACGTTATGGACTCTGAACGTCCAATGGAGAGCACCTGCTGGAATTGTGCTTGCGCGTCAGGACCACTTGGCTGGCGTTTCATCCGACACAAGGCCGACTTGCGTCGCAGAGCGTTTTGAGAACTTGTTACAGGTTGGCACGTGGTTGGTTCGAGGAGATGAGGATTTGAAGTTCAGATCGAGAGAGCCCGGGGCGGATTAACATCAATGCGCCGCCAGAGCGCAAAAACGCTTGCCGCTTAACACTGGTGATTTGCGTGACTAGAACAGCAACCTCAACTTTGCCCAGCCCCTGAACGATGATGCAAGTGGTGCGTGGTGCGGCCTGGGCCGACAGCCGCGAAAGCCGAACAATTGGTGTTGTGCGTGGTCTTGACATCAACCTTGGAAGACCACAGCTTCTACTTTTCTCACCTTGTCTCAATCGGAGTGCCGCCCCAGCCAGGAGTCTCAGCATCCCCAGATTGATCTTCCTGGCCAGCAAGCTTTGCTACTCGATGTGGAAAGCTATCAGCGGATGCTTGGAGCACCGACAATGCTAAGATATCCTCACCATGGTGTTCATGCTGCTTAGTAGCTCAGCTGATGGCCTCAATTGGGTTTACGTTCTACTTCGGTTCCTGACAGTGAGGTATGTTTAGACGCAGTTGACGGGGTCTCGCGTTAGTCAAGGAATTCGTAATATGGATCGTGAGCAAGCCTAGATACTCTTGTAGCCATAAATCCGGTGCAGGTTTTTTAGCTCAATTTCATCATCTCAGCGGAAGCCGAAAACAGCAATCTCATCTATGCTAAGAGGGTTTAGAAAACTCAGGGTTAATTTTAGCCAGAGTCTACGTTGCAGAGAGTAACCCATCTGTCAGTCCTATAAGCCATCGCAGAGGTAGTTCCTTCAAGTGTTGCCATCTGCTATGATCCATAAATAAGACTAATTCCACTCCCAACTATCCTATCCAAACCCTTTCAACCAAAGTAACTTCGGCTCAATCCCGTATGTGACTGGGGTGGCGAAGATGCATGTGCAGGTTTTTCGCGTATATTCGAAGTTAGCGCTTTATTCTTTCCTGTTCCCCTGCTGTCAGGGGCAAGCGAGGCCTTCCTCTCTCGAAGTCCAGTGTTTCGCACGAAGAACAAGGACTCAGCAGCCAGCTGGTCCTCAACTCACAGAATTTTGCCGTCTCCAGGACTAGGCGGCGCTCATGCAGAGAGCTGACCGAACCTTTCACCTTGTTGTCTTGCTGTCAGACCTAGCCTTTCGAGATGGACAACTTCCCCTCAGCTATTCCATGCCTTTTGGGCTGGTGCTACGCGCCTTGAACCCCACGCGCGAGAATAGTCTCATGCCACCACCTGACTCTGTATGGACGGTATTTCCGTCTAGGGTCTGAGATGCATCTTCCTTCTTATCCGTGTAGAAGGAGATGTGTGCAACGCCACTTTGTACTGCGATCCATTTTAGTTCCAGCCTACGGCCAACCTCCTGAACGTTCTATACCTGTTGGCATGCAGCTCGCTATTCCCTCAATGCGCCGGACAACATGGCCCATATCGCCTACACGTTATCCGGACGGTGACACAACAGCAACGGTCTGCGGATTCTCCCGCTCGTTCTGGCTAGCGCACTCTAGGTATATCGGGTCCCGTCCATGGAACCGTCTCCCCGTCTCTACCCTGTAAGGGAGTCCACCGGGCCTTCGAGAGCGACGGAGACGCCCTTCAGTTGTTTTGACGTTTATCCTTCTTAGGCACTGGAGAACGTGGTATCCGTACCCATCCGTCGTTGCCTACAAGCAAAAGCTCAGCTTCGTTCTTCAAGACCCCAGTCTGTCCTTCTAGCGATAGTTCGGTCCGGGCTATTCTCGGGTTTCTCATTTATACTTGTGTGTGTTAACAGTGTCAATGAGAAGGATATCCGCCGCGACCACTGGGCCCGGCATGCCGAACTCTGACCGACGTAGATCAAGCCGGTCCAGTTCCAACAATCGTACGGCGCTGGTACTCTACTATCTTATCGCTTGTGGTGTAAAACGCACGTCACATTCGATTGAGCTGCGGGAAACGATACCATATTGCAGTCATGTGTTTCTGAGTTTGCAAGAGCAGTGATGTCGACTCGCGTGAATCGTACGTGAAAGGCATAAGCGGGAACACAATACGAAAAACCGGCTAGCAGACTGTCCAAGCTATTAGAAACCGACAAGCATGTAACTGCATGGATGCAAAACGGCGGCGTCCTCATTTCCCGCTCAAATCTGTTATGGTATCATCTGAGTAGCACAATGCAAACCAGGGTGTGTGAAGAAGTAGTCTATAGCAAGGCGGTTTAGATGCACACTTCAGCCTTCCCGTCTCGAAAGAAGCCCCTGTCTGCTCTATTGAATACCGCATTTCCCCTCTCACGCACTCCCCTTCCCCCTCCCGCCCACCTTCCTCATCGCCTCCCTCTGCTCTCCACTCAACTCCACCCGCGGTAACTCCTTTCCTTCCTTCTCTTCCGGCTTCCCCATGAACCCCACAGCCACAAGCCACGCTAAGTACCGCCCGACAATCTCCTCCGTAACACCCGCCCCACCACTCACATCCTCGCCCGTAGCATCCTTATCCGCCCTCAGCGCCGCCGCCGCATTCGCATCATCCAGCGCACGAGCCCGACAATTGACATCCATATCCGTGGTCGCCATCTCGTACAGCGGCATAAGGGCCCACTCCTCGCCGCCCTCGTCCGCGGCGTGCTCGACGTAAGCTTCTGCCTTGGAGCGCCACTCGGCGTACGGCACGCTGGGGACGGAGTAGCCGTAGGTGGGGAGGGCGGCGGTATAGGCGTTGAAGGTTATGCGAGGGTGGTTGATTACGTGGCATACAGGTAATGCAGACGTGGAGGAAGGGGCTGAGGGATGAAGGGTTGAGGCGACGACGACGCGGGCGACGTGTGTCACGGGGACCATGTTTAGGGTGTTGGGGCCGAGATCCGGACGAGCGTGGAGTTGGTGGCAGGCTTTGAGGACGCGGACGAGGAAGTCGTCTGTTATTGTTGCTGGAAAGATGTGTTAGCCGTTTGTCCTGTTGACCGCCTCAAGAGGCCGAAAGTAGAGGGAGAGAAGTATGTAACTTACTACCAGACCGCGGGTCGCCTGTCACATACCCCGGTCTTATAATCGCGCCCTTCAGCCCCCTCTTCCCAGCTTCTCTCAAAATGAACTCGCTCGCCCACTTGCTCTGCCCATACCCAGTACCAAGACCCTTACGGCTCCCTTCCAGGTCGTCAGACTCCGGTATCCCCCTCCCACCATCCGCTTCAATACCATCAGACAGCTGCACATAGTGCTCAGTATCCAGTACAGCGGTCGAGCTAACAAACCCAATCCGCTTCGGCTTGCCTGTAGCGCAGAGATTGACCGCGGCAACCGTGCTCAGCACGTTCGCCGCACGCAGGAACGAGTACGGACGGACCCAGTGCACAACGGCGCCGTTGTGGATCACGATGTCGACTTCGTTGGTCAAGCGGTCCCAGACGTCCGGCTTGAGACCTAGACGCGGCGACGCGAGATCCCCGGTCACGCACTCGACGCGTGAGCGCCATGAGGGGTCCCAGATGCCGTACGCTTTGCACGTGTCTTCGATGCGTGCTAAGCCTGCGTTGGGATCTGTGGCCCGGACGTGCGCGATTACTTTTACGGTCGACGGGCGGGAGAGGAGGTCCGCAAGGATGTACGCCCCTAGGAAGCCAGTCGCGCCAGTCAAGAACACTGTCTGCTTATCTGACCCGTCCACGTTCGCAGCGGTGAAACTCTTCGGTAGTTGGTTAGCCAACTCCTGCGCATCAGCGGAGTAATCCTCGTCCTGCCCCACGGCTGGTTCAACATTCCCAGCAACATCCATACGCAACCCCAGGGGATCAGTTGCCCGGTCTATCTCGGCCGCGAAACCGCGCAGTGTCGGGCTTTGAAAGACTGCCGTCATTGGGAGGTTAGTCGTGCGCCACTGCTTGCGGACCTTGAGAAGCATGGTCTGCGCGATGATACTGTGGCCGCCAATGTCAAAGAAGGAGTCGTCAGGGCTGATGGCGTCTGCGGACACGCGTTCCAGGAGACTGCCCCAGATGCTGGCGAGAGTCTTCTCGGTCTCGGAAAGCGTGGCTGTGACGTGTGAGAGTCGTCTGGCCGCGGCTGCTGAGAGCTCGGACGGCTCAGGGAAGGGGAGTGCTGGGCGGTCGATTTTCCCGTTGGGACTGAAGGAGGTTAGAGGGCAGACGTAGAAGGAGCAACAAATCGAAGGATAGAAGCCGAACCATCACTCGACAAGGACGAACTAAACACAAACGTTTGGAAATCTGTACCAAGAAGTAAAAGCTGATAGCATGTGCTCAAGAGTGATCTACGCAGATGTATGCCCTTAAGATAACGCAGAAGTTATAAGATGTGCATTGAACGCAAAACACTGTGGACGAAGGATGTTCTCTTGAGTTTCCACTAGTATCCCCTTGAGAAGTTGGGTACCTGTGTTTTCGCCTGTAGAAGACGTGGACTGTGAAATGGGGTTGAACAGAAGTAGAAGTACTTACTTCAGAGGAAACCTGTAGAGGGGAACCAGTACGGACGGAACAGCATATGCCGGGAGCTTGCCCTTGAGATGCTGACGGACGTCTTCTCTGAGCGAGCGAAATCTCTTCAAGCGCGCAACCATGCTATCCTCATCGGAGCTTATGCTCAGGCTGTTCCTCCTCTCCCTCTCTTTCACCCATTGTTGCCAGCGCTTCATCTCAGGCACAATGTAGGAGACGAGCGTCGGCTCTTCGTCTTTGTCCCGTCGTACGAGCGTGACGTTTTCTCTGACAAGCGGATGTTGCGACAGATGCGTGTCAATCTCGCCGAGTTCTATCCTGAAGCCCCTGATCTTGACTTGGTTGTCGGCCCTACCAGTACACTCCACGTTGCCATCTGGACGGTATCTGCCCAGGTCACCGCTGCGATACAGCCTGTCCCGTGGGCCTTTGTAGAACTCGCGCCAGGGTTCCGGCTTTTCCCGAGCCTTGACCCGCTGCTCATCCTGCTCTACCCACTGGTTGTTCTCGACAAACCAGTTCGGGACGAACTTCTCCTTGGTCACTTCGTCGAGGGCAAGATACCCTTCCGCAAGGCCTCCGGCTCGGACGTAGATCTCGCCACTTTCACCTACATCGCAGAGCCTATCCCGGTTTGTCCTGTCGACTACCAGAAGCTGCACGTCCTTCATGCCTCTGCCAGCCGGGATCACGTCTCCCAGACTGTCAAGGTAGTCAGGCTCCTGGGCTTGGCTAGGTATAGCGAAATAGCTAACGGCGCGCTGGGTCTCAGTAGTACCGTACATGTTAATGATGCGGCAGTTTGGAGCAAGTTCTTGCATTCGGCGGCAGTCCCGTTTGATGAGAATGTCTCCCACGAAGAAGGCGTTCTTCAAAGCAGGAAACTGGCAGCTGGCTCCGCCAACCAGAATTTGGCCCATTGCCGGAGTCAAATGGGTTACGGTGGCTCCGTTCGCGCAAAACCACTCGGCGAGCTTTTCGTGTTGAATGTCCTCTCTAGAAGGCACTAGGAGATGCGCACCTAGAAACAGTGGAGTAAAGATATCTCTCTGCGTCGAATCAGTGAGTGTACAATTCCGCCGAAAGAAGGTGTGAGATGACTAACCTGGATAGGATCGTGCGCTATGCCAGAGCACATGGTGAACCTGTCGTTCTCTGAGAGTCCAAATGTCTCCGCCATCCATGGGAAGTAGTAGGCCAATGAGAAGTGCCTTCCCTTGACACCTTTTGGTCGGCCTTCGGAGCCAGAGGTAAACGAAAGCGTCGGCGTGGAATCTGGGCCTACAACAACGCCCGGAAGGTCGGCCTTAAAGGTGACCTGAGCATCCAAGACATCTTTACCGCCATCAATTGAACCTCCTGTAAGAGTACCGTCGTCGTGCAGCTTCAGCGCAGGTACTTCGGTCCGCAGCTGCAGGTTATCCGTGATATAAGATCTCACTTTCTCCGAGATCTGTCCCGCCTCTTCCGTTGCTTTCGCGATGTTAATCAGCGCCCTCGGCTTGGAGACATCGAGATAGATGATCTGCCTGTCCGCTGGATACTGCGGATCTAGCACGCTGAAGGTAGCGCCGGCTTTCAGAATGCCCATGACCGCCACAACAAGATCTACGCCCCGGTGAGCGTATGTCATCACCACGTCTCCGCGCTCAATTCCATTCTGAAATAGATGGAATGCGAGCTGATTCGAGGCCTGATCAATCTGCCTATACGAGAATTCTCGTCTTGGACTAGTGCTGCTGGCTGTCTCCACAACACACAAGCGCTCTGGATGCTTGAGCGCGTTCGCATGAAAGATCTCGTGGATAGCTCCTCTGTAGTCAGACCAGTGGAGGTCGGCGGTCGGGTCTGGTCTGACGTCCTTGATGCCGTTCATTATGAATTTACTCCCTTTTAACAGACTGCCCTATGCTCTTAATCCAAGTGCCAGTACGATACACAGATATTCAGCAGACGAAGGTATTTCGTGACTGGCATTGAGAATTTTCCAGATGACTGTGTGCGGTTTGTGTGGCTGTTTGTCTGTTCCGCCAAAAAAGGATTTCAGGGTCCAAACCAGAGTCTCCATCGCATCGCCAACTGCACGACACCAGATCCCATCTTGCTGAAGCTTGGCTTGCACATCCACATTCAATCGACTAAAGAATCGCCTGAGAAACACAGATTCCTACAGGGCATCTGTTCTCCGCGCTCGTTTCCAAACGATAGCTTCCTTTGGCCATCCGCTGCGCCTTCCGACATATTGCTTCGCCAGGGGCCCAGAAGGGAGGCCGGAAGAAGGGCCAACAGCGAGAACGAGAGCTTCACCCGCCGTATACGTGCTGCCGCACTCAGCAGATATCCGATGACGCCCTGAGTCGTCCCATGTAGTCTCGGCACTCGGGTAGTCGCCGCAATGCCCGTTCAGCACATCATCTTTGGCCGTCCAGTCAGCCTGCGCATGCCTCCTCGACGGATACAGGCTGTCCTCTTTCTAGTCTTCCTCTGCGCCTCCGGCATATTGCTCTTTGGAGCGCCCACCTCCGTCGACGTACCGTCGGTCCAACAGATTTCCGATGCTGTCAAGAATCCAAAGCTACCGAGTGTACCCAAGCTCCCCAACCCATTCCGACCCAGCGCTCACGAGCCACCGCCTGTACAAGCGAACAGCACCGATGGGAAGGCGAAGTGGTACAGCGACTGGACATGGAGGAACCCGTTCTCTAGCTCGATAACCCTCGACGAGAACCGCGCCGTGTTGCCACCCCTAATGAAGCGCACTCCGGTGTATACCTTCTACGAGCTGGACACAAAGAAGGACAAGGCTGTGCTCAAAGCGGAGAACCAACTGCTCTTGACGTGGAGGCGTGCATGGTGGGCGAAAGGATTCAAGCCGGTGGTCCTCGGCCGGCCAGAAGCAGAGCACAACCCGCTCTACCGCCTCCTCCAGACCAAGAAGCTCAAGCCGGCGCTAGAAAGGGACGTCACTCGCTGGTTAGCCTGGGGCAGTATGGGCTCAGGCATCCTTTCGAATTATCTCGCTGTTCCAATGGCCGCCTACGAAGATCCACTGCTGTCCTACCTCCGCCGCGGCGACTTCCCCAAACTCACCCGGTTTGAAGGCCTCAATAGCGGTCTCTTCTACGGCCCACAGAACGCCATCAGCGATGTAATCAAAGTTGCTCTCGACAACCCCGATCTTGAGAAAGAGCTCTCCCTGACCTCCGCCGTACCGGCTGACGCGCTCGCTGTCGACAATCAAGGCGCCAGCATTGCATATTACGAACCTACCGTCATCAACACGAAATACAAGGCCGTCGCCGACGCCCTAGGCTCCCCTCTCTCCGCCGCAGGCCTCACCGCCCTCCAACAACTCATAAACGCGCACCTTCAAACGACCTGGCAAAACACATTCAGCGCCGGCATCTCGATCGTCAAACCCGGCAAACACATGAGCGAGCTCATCGCGCCCGCAATCGACATCGCGCGCAACCTAACCGCCTGCGCCGCCTCGCCCATCCCCTTCTCCTGCCCGCCCAACTTACCAAAATGCCACCCCTGCAACCCCTCGCACCACCTCCTGATCTCGACCCTCCCAGTCTTCAGGAACAGCACCAAGGAGCTCTTCTCCATTGGCACCGTCCCACATCCCTACACCTTCGCCTCGCTGCACCACCAGAAGGACGTCCTCGATCCGCGCTACATCCGCCGCGACCTCAAAGACCGCGACCCCTGGCTCGCGTTCACGACCAAGGAGCTCCTCGGCACAGCCGTCAGCGCCGCCACGCGCGTCGTCCGCTTCAAGGACGCCGTGGCCGCAGAGTACGGGCAAGCGCATAGCCTATGGCTCACCGCCGAGCGCGAGTCCCACGAGGATCTGGACTGGATCTTTGGGTTCGAGCTTCCGCGGGATCACGTCCGGGACGGGAAGAGCGAGACGCCCGTCCCCGGGCCGGAGAGGCGGCCGAGAGTCAAGGAGGAGAACGAGGATGCGGCGAAGCCGACAGAGGCGGAGTTGGAGGTTGAGCGACGCTTATTGCAGAAAGCGCGGAGTGCAATCAACTCGAAGGTTAAGCAGCAGATTGTCGTGAAGGAGGCCGTTGAGGCGTGGAATCTGGCGGATACGGAGGCGTGGCGGTTTGCGAGGGCGTGGAGTGCGCGGAGAAGGGTTGAGAGGAGGAAGTGGGAGGAGGAGGAGAAGGAATTCGCGGGTGCGGAGGGTGGGAGAGGGGGCGGGAGGTGGGGAAGGTGGTTCGAGAGGGGGAGGTAGGGAGCCAAAGGATCGTATGATCGGTTGTAAGAGCCGGGTTGCGCGAAGTGTACAAAAAAATTGGGGTTAGGGGGGAGTAATCTGTGCAGGAAGCACATGGGTACGGCGTTCTAGAGCAGGGCATCACGCTTATGGGTAGGTTTGGGTATACTCGTCTTTATAGTCGCAATAGTTCTACAAGTACAACGATCTAGTTCAGGGCAATTCACCTACTCCTGGTGGTCTGTGCGTTGAACTTGTATCTGCGAAATATTGATTGACCACGAAACAAATTCCGCTATAGCCCCTCCTACTCCGCCGTACCTCACCGCCAGCATGCCCAGCATACCTCTCTACCCTCCGCGCGCAGCCGCCTCCACCCTCTCCAACCCCCTCCCCAAGCTTCTCCAAACACCAAGCGGCCTCGCAATTCTCGAGATCCAAGGCACGATCCACACTCCTCCTGGTTCCTCAGAGGACTCCGCCGATGCAAAGCCCTCACACACCTCTGTCGGCACGCTCGTCTTCCCCGACTACTCCCCCTCCGACCCGCCGGACGACACCAAGTGGATGAAGCGCGTGTACCTCTATGTCGGGAGGCATCAGCGCATGACGGGGGAGGTAAGGAAGTTGGCCAGGCCGGTGGGGGTGGTGAGGAGAAGGGGGCTTGGAGCGGACGGGGAGGAGGGAGACAGGGATGGGGAAGACAAGGGGAAAGGAAATGGAAAGGAGGAGGAGCTGGAGATTGTGGAGGTTGTGAGACATAAGGTCGTGTTTTCGTCGAGGCCGGAGCCTGTGGGTGGGGAGTGAGGGGGTGGGGTGGCTCTGCTGGATATGGAATCTTTACTGGAAGAGTCCATGCACATACGGTGTGTTCTCTCGAAGGGCTGTAAAGGGCCAATGGTTGCTACGAGGGAGCCACAGCTGGACCTGAGCGAAGTGCGGTGTTTGTGGGCTTGTGGCCGTACATGGTAGCATGCAAAGATGTCGAGACGACATGTAAGAGGATAACACCACCTATCTCGGAAGGGACATCAAGCTGACCAGCCCTCCAGCCCATGTCTCCAAAAGACCGCCTGCGGCCTTACCTACACGATCTGTATGGCCTGAGCTGTTCGCTATAAGGGTTACTTCTGGATCGTCGGCTTTCATGCGAATTCGGCTACTAGGTCAGGTTACTGCCCTAAGATACTGGAAGAACGATGAGAAGTCACCACGCTGGCGGCTGTGTTGTAAGACGTCTTCCTATGCTACAAGCTTAGATGGTTGCCACACCTTAGACGTTATGTTCTCCCAAGGCAAGTCGGGAATCCTGTGGATACGTATGTCACGCCCGCCTGTTATAAGAGGAAACTTTCAGACGATTATCAAGAATTTGTCGACTACCGTCACCATGAAGACCTTCTCTCATTTGTCACCTCGAAGTATGTTTCATAGGGTATTCTATAAACAAGGCTACACTGGCCATACCACATCCCACATACATCCACATCCCACATACATCATCCCATCTCATCTCATCACGGCCTCCTACAGCCCTCTTCTATGACCGCTTACCGAACTGCTTGTCATAGTTCACCAGCGTGAACCGATAACGCACATTATCGTTATTGTGCACCCGCTCCACCGCCTCCTTACACCCCTCCTCACTAATGTCAATCTCCTGCACCCAACTCTTAATCTCCTGCTTACTCGCCAGCTCAAACATGGCCAGCATCTCCGGGCGATTTCCAATATGGCTCGCGCCCATGTAGCAGCCGTTGGGCGCAAATACCTGCGCGTTTATCGACGGCAGGTTGTTGTCCGGGAAGCCGACCATGTGGAAGGTGCCGTTGACCTTGAGCGTGCTGAAGTAGTCCGCCAGGTTGAACTTGTCGGTTGCGTCAGCCGTGTTGACGATGAAGTCGAGGGTGAAGGCCAGGGGCTTGTGCCAGTCCTTTTCTTTGGTGTTGACGAAGTGCTTCGCGCCTAGCTTCAAAGCGTCGTCTTTCTTGCTGGGCGAGTGCGAGATCGCGTAGACTTCGGCGCCCAGGGCGGCGGCCCAAAGGACGGCGAAGTGGCCGAGACCGCCGCTAGAGAGGAGTTAGCAAGATGTCAAAGTACATGACTACGAAGGCGATGGGGCTGAACTCACATCCCGACGATGCCGACCTTCTTGCCTGGACCACATCCTAGACGCACGAGAGGGCTATACACCGTCAAGCCCGCGCACAACATCGGCGCCGCAAGCGGCGTCGGGATATTGTCCGGGATCTTGAACGTAAAGTACTCATGCGCGCGGATATGACTCGCGTAGCCACCCTGGGCGATTGTGCCGTCCTCATACGGTGCGCCATACGTGTCGACCGAGTTCGGGCAGTAGTTCTCCTGGTCCGCCTTGCAGTTGTCGCAGGTCAGGTCGGCCTTGATCTGGGCGCCTACACCGACGCGGTCGCCGACTTTGATGGTCGTGACATCTTTACCGACCTTGACGGCCTTGCCGACGACCTCGTGGCCGACGCAGAGTGGCAGCGGGATGTCTTCGCTCCAGCCGCCGGTGATGGTGTGGACGTCGGAGGCGCAGACTCCGCAGGCGTCAATGGCGATGTCGATGTCGCGGTCTTCGAAGGGCTTGAGCTTGAACTGGGCGCAGCAGATTGTCAGTGTGATTTTCTTTGGAGAAGTGCGCGTTGACGAAGATTACCTCTTGCTTGGTGAACTTGCTCCACTCCTTGATGCTATTGATCATGAAGCCCTCGGCGGTCTCTGGGTAACCCATTTTGATTGATGCTTTTCTTAGGAGTCAATTGAGTGTCTCGAGCGAGGGAATGGATCGAAATGGAGGAATAAATTGAAAGGGAATAACGTAGCAGGGGAGAAGGCGCAGCGTAAAGGAAGGGCCTGCGTTTTAAACTTCGGGAATTACATCACGTAGCGGGTGCCAAATGACCCGTCAGTGACGTGTTGAACGTATTGATGCGAGGGCAACGGCCTGAGGGGCACTTTTTTCCTATGGCGGGGCATTTGCAGAGTGACATCCGTGACATCGTCCAGCCGCTGTCAGGCCAATCAAACACCGCGTCTAGAACGACTTATCAACGCCTAACGTTATTCCTCCATGAGATCCGGATGCATATCAACGGCCCAGGCTGATGCATTTCGCATTGTGGCGCTGGCACGTAGTTTCTCCATAAACGTAATTCGGCGAAACGTCTCCGAAGCCCTCGCAAGAGGTGGACGACCGTCGTTTTGGCATCAGGGCATTCCGCCAGCGGCACATCTCATCCCGCACGGGAGAACCAGAGCGTGGTCGCCGCGGGATGCCGTCCTGCATCTCGAAACACCAACATCCACCAATGAAAACACATCCAGTTGAAGCATTGCGACGCGTCAGCATAGTCAAGATCTCCTCAGGTATCTTATCTATGTCTTCACACTCGCTCTGGCAACATCGAGGCATACTCAACATGCATTTTGGGCGCGCAATGGCACCTTGAAGCCTCCGGCCGAGGACTATCCAGCTGTAGCAGCTCTCGTTCGCCTTCCAGGACCGTACGGTCTAATGCTGCAATCATCCAACCTCAAAGCACAACCTGTAACAGCGTTCAGAAGTCACCATCGGGTAGCAGTTTGAAACGCTCAAAGCTGTCCCGACGAAACTGCCCCGCGATCGTGACTGCGGGGTTCTGAGCACCCACGGCTGTGCTTAATCAGGAAACCCGATGGTCGACCCCCTCCAAAACAGCTGCAGCTCGAATGCGGAGTATGGGTGATACTCGTGCTGCCAGCGGAGCTCCTTAAAGATGGGATGAGTCCTCCGGGCAGAATGCTGTTTGCTTCTGTCCTCTCTCGTTCCAATTCTTTCGTACTTTGTAAATAAAATTTCTTCATTTGCTCCCATTTCCCTTGATACCATGTCTATGAAAGCGGTCAGATTCCACGGTGAGCGCGATTTGCGCTATGAGGATATACCAGAACCCCAAGTTGGCAAAGGCCAAGTAAAGGTAAGCATTGTTATTAGGCCGAAGTGGCTTAACTCTGCATACATTGCACGTATACTCAAGTCCAGAGCTGTTGAGAAATACATCAAGAAGAGTGGGCTGGGGGTTCCATGATGCTAGCCCCCGGTGTGTACTGCAGCACATCTTCAACGTTTCAGTTTGTGCGCCGTCTTCATCGTCTACGAATTGTTCGAAATATGTATGATATGGTCTCACCCACTGACAAGACTCACCACACAGCTCAAACCCGCCTGGTGCGGCATCTGCGGCACGGATCTCCACGAATATCTGGGCGGTCCCAATCTCTGCCCAACAACACCCCACCCGATAACCGGCGACTCCGTACCTCTGACCTTCGGGCACGAGTTCAGTGGTACGGTCGAAGAAGTCGGCGAAGGCGTATCAGACTATAAGCCTGGCGACCGCGTCTGCGTGCAGCCGATCATCTACGATGGCACCTGCGGCGCGTGCCAGGAGGGGCTGATCAACTGCTGTTACAGCAATGGCTTCATCGGCTTGAGCGGTTAGCATCCCGGAGCACGACTGGATAAAGCCTTACTAACGGACAGCAGGATGGGGTGGTGGTCTCGCTGAGCACATCGTTGTGCCGGAGACCGCGCTCTACCACCTCCCCGACAACGTCTCCTTGGAGATAGGCGGTACGTTCTACACTCCATCGCAGCGGAGCGCCACCTTCCGCTAACAGTCCACCAGCCCTCATTGAGCCCCTAGCCGTCGGCTGGCACGCGGTGAACGTCTCGCCCTTCAAGCCCGGCGACGCAGTTCTCATCCTCGGCGGCGGCCCCATCGGCCTCTCCGTCATCCAGGCTCTTGTCTCGCGCGGCGCGGACAAGATCATTGTCTCCGAAGTCTCTCGCCAGCGACAGGAGTTCGCCAAGCAGTTCGGCGCGCACCATGTGCTCAACCCGCTCAAAGACGACATCGTCGCGGAGTGCAGGCGGCTATGCGAGAATCAGGGCGTCCACGTCGTTTACGATGCCGCGGGAGTGCAGGCGGGTTTGGATCAGGCGGTCCATGCCGTCAGGGCGAGAGGCACGATCGTGAATATCGCGGTCTGGGAGAAGCCGTGCAGCATCCACCCGAATGACCTGGTGTTCAAGGAGCGCAGGTATATGGGGATCGCGACGTACGTGAAGGGAGATTTCCAGGACGTGCTGGATGCGATCAGCGAGGGGAGGATGAAGCCGGAGGCGATGATTACGAAGAAGATTAAACTGGATGAGGTGGTGGAGGAGGGGTTTAAGACGCTCATCAAGGACAAGGACAATCAAGTCAAGATACTTGTGGAGATTGCTGGAGGTTCGTGACGGGTCGGTTGTGCTATCTGGAATGGTTAAGGGGTACATAGGTGTATTCTTACTGCGCGTTGTTCTTGCTACTGCGGATTGCTACACTGGATGCTTGGCTGGATATCAAGATGATCTGTTTGCTCCGTTTAGCCCCTTACCATGAGCATGGCGGCCAGACCCTTACCCTCTCATATGCAGCAGACTTTACCGCAGAGTAGATAAATCTTCTATGCGGTCCCGAGCGTCAAAGGTTCCGAGCACCGTCAATATTTCCAAGGGGTATCACATTTCATCCTCCCGTGTTTGCACCACATCGCTGAACTCGATGACTGCATGCTGAGTGAAGCATCTGTCGTGAACACTATCACCCTGACTCGCCAGTATGTCTTGCCGTGTAGACTTTGCCATCCACTTGTACATTCGTAACAGCTCAAGATTGCAGTGTCTACCGAAGCAGACGTACGGGTTCATGTCGTCAAGTGGCTACCGATCTAGAAGTGACGCCTGCGCTCCTCGTGATGACAGTGGGCAGCATTATGGTTTTGTTTTTGCTCTCGCCTGTAGACACCAATCGTTGATTGACATGTCACACCAGGAACCCTACGCTGGAAGCGTGAAAGAACGACCGGATCATGAAGGTGTTGCGGGGCCTGGAACTCGCTCTGAAGTGTCAAACCCGTCCAGCACTGACCAAAAGGGGTCAAAAGGGTCAGGAAAAGTCACAGAAAATCCAGGAAAAGTCGGGAAACGACGGGGAAAGGCTCAAAAGAGTCAAAAGAGGTCACAGAAGCTTCAAAACAATGCCGAAACAGGCAAAAAGCTGATTCAGCCGAGGTTTGAACTCGGGACCTTCTGTGTCCGACATGTCACGTGACGAATCACGTGTTAAGATGTTAGACAGATGTGATAACCAACTACACCACCGAACCGCTTGATGATGAGGAAACCAGCTGGATGCTTAAATATCCTCTAAATTTTTGATGGTGGTACCATTGCCTGTTACGACGAGCATCGCTAGAGGAATCCCGACTATCGACCTGGCGGACCATAAGAGACTCACACACGTGGCCAGGGATCTTGACTGTCTCAGGATGACATCCCGGCATTTACCATGGAGCATTATGTGAATAGACCACTTCAAGCGTGATGACGCGAGGTTCATCTCCATACACACTCTTCAGCCTACATCATATACGGTCTAGCCGGTGAGCGCAGCACGGCTACTAATTAAGAACGGTATAGTGATGTCAATCGCAAGATACAAATAGTGTTCACTTGTTTCGATGTCTCAGATTTGGCTCTTCGCTCAGCACTACAGTATTCTCTTTCGCATGTGGATGTGTGCTGGCGCAACTACGAAGCGCTTGTGCTCCTCTAGGCCTTGCCCTTCTTGTACAAGCTCCTAAGGAAGTGGTAAAACAGAACGAACGGTGAGCTGGCAACGCAGTAGGGGCCAAAAAGCCAGGCACCACCAACATCCCACAGTCTCACAAAGCAAGATCCTCCACCCGCAGCAACCCGCTACCCATACCCGCCGCGGCCCATCCACCGCAGTGAAGATTCGGATTCCAACACACCTGCGTGACCGCCGTTTCCTCTTCGAAGATGGTCGAGTACACCGAGCCGTTGGCGACGTTGTGGGACTGGTTGTCCGATTGGATGAGGCCGGGCTGCTCAATCTTGAAGCCGTCCGTGATACGGACAAGCGGATTCTCGAGGGCGGATTTGGGGACTTGAGCATTCGCAAGAGAGCTGACGGGTTGAGCGAGTTGGGCGGATTGGAAGACTGTAACATTATGAGAGTCTTCGGGTGGATGGTGACGGTCTAGTACAGGTACTGGTGTTGGCTGTGGCGATTGATCAACTTCCATCACGTCTTCTGAAGCCTGATCGCCGTTTTGCTGCGGAGTTGTTGTGGCATCACGTGGTGCTGTCTGCGAGTCTGCACGCTCGTCTGCTTTAATGCCCCTCCTCCACTCGTGCCCAAACCACTTCTGCTGGAAGACCGTAACCTTGTTATCAATAGCCCGGCGAAACGGGTTCGTCGCAGTCACAGTGCCGTCCGCGCAGGCCACTAGGGCGAATGGATGAACAGGACTTGTAGCAATAGAAAGTGCCTGCGCTGAGAACCTAGCAACGGCTACATTAGTGTAGAAGCGTCTGAGCAATACGCACTGGACTTTGTAGAGCTCATCGGCTACTAGCACGCTCTGAGAGACTTCGTGCCATGCAATGGGCAGGCTACCAACGCGGTTGCGCTGGCTGTAAACGTAGTCAAGGTTCGGCGCACGCAAGTCAGTAAGCCGGAGGTAGCCGTCCATGCTGCTGGTAGCGAGAAAGTATGGACGAGATGGATGAGCGGAGACAAGCGAGAGGATGTAGGCTTGGTGAAAGCATTGGTAGAGCGAAGGACGAGGAATCAAGGATGTGCTCGGGGGATGAGTGGTAAGCGTCTTTGAAATGTCGAAAAGGGCTACGAAACCATTGGCGCAACCAGCGGTGATAGACTTTGTAGAAAGCCACGTCAAGCATGTAAAGACTGTACCCGGAGCACGGACTTCAAAAGCTGCAGCGCTGATGTGTATGTGCTGTGTCGAGTCTGTTGCCGAGTTTGGACACCTGACATCCAAGACTCTGATCTTGCCATCCCCCCAGATACCGGCCAGGAGTCCTAGACGTACACCTGTCTCACTAGTAGCTTCGTGTGGGATGTCCTTGTAAGGCAACGGACACCACTTAAATTGCTTTGGATCGCCCCAGTCGGTGCAAATGACAAGCCGAAGTCTTGGGTGCCTCTCTGCACTGAGTGAGACATCTCCCTCTGATGTCGATCCGGTACCAAATGCCCAGATCTGTATTGATCCTGGCGTTGGCGCCGAAGGTGTAAATGCTGGGGCATCTGAGCCTGTGGAACTTGTCGATGGAAAACCTCCACTCGCTTGCCCGGAGGTTGGTAGCGTAGACACAGCAAGGTATTGAGTTGTACCGGCCTGGTTCGGGACCCAGTCCAGACAATGTATTCGAGTCCCGACGTTGACGATCCAACCGTCTCTTCCTTCCTTGGGCCTTATTCGTGGTCGACCATGGTTGCTTTGCGGCCATGCATCTGTGAGGTGCATACTCGACCCTGTCTCTAAAGTAAAACAGCCTTGATTTGCGAACGGACCCATAAGAAAACTCTGTGAATCAGACCTGAACTTTGGAAGGTAGGGAATTGCATCTCCTGCGCTGAGAACTTGTGTACTCTGCCGACTATCAAAGGCTGCCTTGCCGCCTTCGTCACGATACCACGTCCAACCTTCTGTTGCCTGAAGCTCTCGAGTTTCGTCGTCATAGTAAAGACTGTGCGACATTCCACCGATGCCAGCATTGTCCTCAGTTCTTGAAGGGAGCGTCGCTTGAGCACCCCACTTGATCCTAGCTTTAATGGCCGGCATAATGTCTTCTGGTGCTGGGCCGAAGGTATTTGCGGCACGGATCTCTTTGGCGGCGTGGTGATGCCCTTCAGGTAGGCCGCGAATATGAAAGTTACTTGCCGGATCCTCACTTGGCTTGGTTCTGTGCGGCTGACCGGGTATAAGGAGCCTTTTCTGACCTCTAGGGATCGACACCCTAGGTTCACCAAACTCAACACCAGATTCATCCTCATCGAGCTCAGAACCGTACTCTCCAGCGTCATCCGCAGCAGATGCATCAGCTCCAGAACCTTCATCCATTGAGAGGTCCTCATCAGCTGTGCCTGCTCCCTCTTCGACATTCTCGCCATATTCTTGGTCGTTGCTGAGATCCTCCGGCGGCTCGGCCAGAAGTTCGTCCTCAGAGGAGTTTAGCAAGTTGATGTCCAAGCCTGCAAAGGCATCTACAGTGTATTTCTTCCGCGGACGCTGACGTCCTGACTTCCGGATCCCAGACATGGCTGCTTTGTCAGTTAGTCAATGGTTGAATCTTCCCGTCGACACCTTATTAAGCAGTGTCCGAGCAGCATGCACACAGCGCGAACGTGACTAGTTCGTCATGAACAGAGCTTCACAGCTCTTGTTTCCGAGCGTCCATCTCACGTCGCTAAGCTGAGTGGGTGGTCGTGAGGTTGGTCGTTGGAGGTCGGCGAATTAAAACGCCGACGACCCTGAGTGACGCGTGGACTGAGGGACAGGCAGGCACGGCAGGGCAACCTGTCGTTGATGTCGAACCCGAAACGGCATCAGCGCATTAACCACGGATACACAACCTAACTCTTCGACCTCCTGCAACAACAACTCGCATACGCCTGCATCGCCTCCGCCAGCGCATATGGCCTCCCTCCCCCCCCAGTCCTCGGCGCGGCGGAGATCCTCCCCCCGCGAAAGCTCCTCCCCGGAAGCCTCCAGGGCGCCGCCACGCAGCAGCAGCCGAGCGCGATCCACCACATCCGAGGACTCGCAAACGGTCCTGCTCAACAGCTATACCGCACACGAACTTGCCTCATCGATACAATCTCAGCAGGAGGGTTCAGGTTCTCGGCAAATCCCGGGCTCATCGCAGAAAACGGACGCCGAAGAGCCCCGCAAATGCTGGATATGCATGAACGACGAGACAGAAGACACGCCCGGATCCTCAGAATGGCGAAGCCCATGCAAATGCGCGCTGGTCGCACATGAATCATGCCTCTTGGACTGGGTCGCCGACCTAGAGTCCCCCACATCACGGCGGCGGACGGGCGGGTCGGGCAGGATAGAGTGTCCGCAGTGCAAGTCCGAGATCGTGCTCGCGAGACCGCGCAGCTACGTTATAGACGCCGTAAGAGCTGTCGAAAGAATCGGCGGTGTCCTGATGATTCCAGGAGCCTGCTTCGTCGGCGCATATACCATCTACCAAGGCTGCCTGGTCCACGGCGTAAGCACCGTCTACGCCATATTTGGGCTAGAGGACGGAAGCCGAATATTAGGGCCCTTGTATGCGCCCTTGCGAGCACGCGACACGCAATCTGTCGTACTCGCAACACTAAGGAATTCTATGCGCAACCTTCGCTTGGACGTCGGGCTATCCCTCATCCCAATAACACTCGTAGCGGCTAGAACTACGTTAGCGGACAGCATCCTCCCCATTCTGCCTATGCTCTTCTTCGCCACCTCGCCGCAGTCCGATGAAATCCTAAAGATCGGCCACTGGCCGCCGAGCGCGGCTCTCTCGATCGCCATGCTCCCTTACCTGCGTGCGGCATACAACACATACTATGAGCACGTCTGGGCACCGAAAGAACGGAAGTGGCTGAAGTCCATCCAACCGCGCGCCGGCGATGCGCAAGCCGGAACAGGCGAAGGCGATCAGGATGACGATGTCGAGGGGCAGCTTGTACCTGACGACGGGGATGGTGTAGTCGAGCTCAACATCGACCTGAACATCATCGAAGAGTTTGTGGAGCATGAAGATGCTGGGGACGACGATCAAGAACAGCAACAGCAGCCAAATGAGCAGGAGCAAGGCGGCGAACAGCAGGTGCCAGGAATCGACCGCGGTCCCGCTCCACCACTGCACCAGCCGCCTCTTGACGTCGCTGAAGCGGAAGCTGCTCCTCAGAATCATCCTCCGGTGCCTCCTCCACCCCGCCAATGGCGCCGCGAAGAGAATGTTCTGATATCCACGACTAGGATAGCAGACACGGTGCTTGGCGCACTCATCTTCCCTTCGGTAGCCGCAGCCGTCGGCGAGCTGCTTCGGGTATCGTTACCGCTTTCCTGGATACGGCCCCAAGCAGGGGGTAGACCAACCGGTATGCTGCAGACGAGGTGGGGCCGAAGCCTTATCGGTGGGTGCCTGTTTGTCGCTGTCAAAGACGCAGTCATGCTGTACGTGAGGTGGAAGATGGCGCAGAATCACCGGAAGAGGCGGGTGCTGGACTATGACAAGGCAAAGGGGAAGGTCGTTAGGCCAAGGGGGTCTTGATCCGCTCTATGCGTGGGGTTTGGTAGGTGGTTTAGCGAGTTACGGCCTGGCAGCCAGGCGTTATTTGTAGCGACTTCATCGTGGTTATTGGCATTGCGCGGCGTTTAGGGCATGGTGTCGCTAGTCAGGGAGGCGCACAGGGATTCAGAGGCCAGCTTGGGTTTGGTGGTATCTCAGCTCTTACAGTTACTCTGCATTAGCATACAACAAACCATGCTGGCATCTCTTCCCGAGACCTTATGAACTTCCCTTCTCAATGAAACTTGTATCTTGTAGCATACGCTTCTCCTAAACCGGTTGCCGTAAAGCGCATACACAGCGATGAGCGTCGTGTCCCTCGAAAAGTACTTTCTAAAAGCCATAGAGCCTACCGGGGTGGAACTGGTGGACGTGATGAGGTCACAGGTATGCCGAGGTCGACTCCCAAAACGGCAGTCGAACGTCCACCGTAGAACGATGCAGGTTGCGCAGCAGCGCAGCATATGCGCAGTCGGTCAGACGCTGGAAACCGTGCCCAGCGCTATAGACAGCCTTCTGCGCGAATGCCACGGGCGCTCTGATAGATTCGCGGTGGGCCTTCGTAGACACGGAGGCTAACCAAACGGCCTGGCATGACAATGGATAAGCTCCAGTGCGTTGGTCCTTCTCGGCCTGTGCCAATGTGCCAGCGTCCTCTTGATCTGGCATGTGAATTTCCTCTCAACCTGCACCATTCTCCGGGCGGTCGCCGTGGCCTTTGCGAAAGGGTTGGAATCATCGGGTTTGCCGTCGCTACCGTCAAAAATCCAGGCAGCGGTAGAAAAGTACTTTTGCAAACGCGACGTTCTACGATAAAGTCTTGTTGCCGCGTTGGGAAATAAGTAGGAGGGTCTCCCTGTGTTCAGCTTCCGATAGTCCAGTCCTTACTCGCTCGTTCTAAATTGACTATGCATCTCCTGGTCGGCAATTGCAATTTTCTCAACCTTCCTCGTTATGCTGGGGCCTGTCGTGACCTCTATGATTTCGGTGATTGTTGACGCTGCCGCGCCTGTCGCTACTGCCCAAAGCTCGGGGCGAGGAAAAGTACTTGTTGCAAAATGCGACGTTCTACGACGATATCGTATTACCGCATTAGGACACCGGGAACTCAAAAGGGTCACAGCTGCGAAAATATCATACACTACCATGATACCGACGCTTAACCAGCCAACGCCCTTCCAATGCTTACATTGCGCAGATGCAGACACCCCATCCCCCTTCCCTCATCCTATCTTAACCGCACGTCTTCCACCTCTTCTCTTTCCCCAATCCTTGACTTGAATCACGCCTTGATATCAAAACTCGTCCCACACCCACAACTACTGGTCGCAAGCGGATTATCCACAATCTTGAATTGGCTCCCAATCAGCTCCATTGTATAGTCGACCTTGCTCCCCTTCAGCAGTTCTAAACTCGGCTCGTCCAGTACGACCTTGGCCTCCGTCCCATCGTCCGCCTCAAACAGCGTATCCTCCTCCCGCGAGACCTTGTCCGTCGACGTAAGGGACATCAGATACTGGAAGCCGTGGCAGCCGCCCGATTCCACGGAGATCCGCAAGCATGTCTTGGGCTTGTTATCTTTGCGCGTTATCTCGGAGAGGCGGCGGGACGCGCGCGGGGTAATGGTCATGGTCATCTCATTCCCATCTTCGTCTTTTCGGGGATTGAGGATGCACTTCTGCGCCCGGGGTGTGCTTGAGAAGGGCCGAGTTTGGCACAACTGCTGCGTGAAAGGCTGACTAGGTCGTGTGGCTATCGAACACGGTGTAGGTGCGCGTGCTGATGCCGCCGAGGCGGGGAGAATGCAAGGACGCGCGGTGGTGGCGGGCTGGGTGGTCGTGGAGATGCGGCGGAGGGTCTGTTGGAGCTGGCGGCGCAGAGGCTGTGGAGCCTTGGAGGTGAATGGTGCGGCTCGCAGACAGGCTGAGTAGACTGCAGAGGAGGATGCCATGCTGGAATGAGATGTCAGGCGGTGGATAAGAACAAGGCAGGTGGTAAACGGTGAGCAGAAGAATGGCGTCAGATTTGAGATGCGGGATCGGCGCGTCGGAGTTAGCGGCGGTTAGATGCGGGGACCGGGGGGCACGGTGGAGCTTGTACTCAGGTACTGCGGGCTACCTACCATGGATACATAAACCGTCTATCCCTACTTCTACAGTAATCGTTATTGATCTTCACAATAATACTACCACCATCATATTAGGGTACAGAGTGCATAAATTCAAAATGAGTCCCAGCAAGTCACTACCTTTCAAGGAGGATGCCGGCGCATTTACCCTAGATTACGCACAGTCTCTGGACGCCGAAGACCCACTACGACATCTCCGGGATGAATTCCACATCCCCACAAAGGCTGATTTAAAGCGCAAGAAGCTTGAGCCGGATGGTTAGCTTTCGCCCACAGACTCGTAAAGCTCCCAGCTAACAGCCTCTCAGATGAGGACGAAAATCCGGAAGCATTAGAGCCATGTACCTACCTCTGCGGCAACTCGCTCGGCCTGCAGCCCAAGCGGACGTTCGATTATATCTACAAATACCTCAGCACCTGGGCGACCAAAGGCGTATATGGGCACTTCAAGGAGCTGGAGGACTCGATGTCTCCGCCATGGGTACACATGGACGACGCAGTAAAGGAGCAGACAGCGAAGATAGTCGGCGCGCTGCCAAGCGAAGTTGCTGTTATGGAGACCTTGACGGTGAACCTGCACCTTCTGATGGCGAGCTTCTACCGGCCGACGAAGGAGCGGTACAAGATTATAATTGAGAGCAAGGCTTTCCCTAGTGATCATGTACGTAGCCCTCCAATTTCAAGCTCCACCACCGAAGCCTCCACCTCGCCACCGCACGTATACGTAACTGAAAGGAAGAACCAACACACGACTAACCAACACCCACAGTATGCCGCCCTCTCCCAACTCGCCCACCACGGCCACCCCCCGTCAGGCCTCATCTGCATCACTCCCCCTCCCCCCACCTCAACCCCCCTCCTCACAACCGCCCACATCCTTTCCACCATAGAAGCTCACGCCTCCACCACCGCCCTGATCCTCCTCCCCGGCATCCAATTCTACACCGGCCAGCTCCTCGACATCGCCACAATCACGGCCTTCGCGCACAAGCACTCCATCACAATCGGGTGGGATCTGGCACACGCGGCCGGAAACGTGCCCCTCCAGCTGCACGACTGGGACGTCGACTTCGCCGCGTGGTGCAACTATAAGTACATGAACTCCGGGCCCGGGACAATCGGGGGGTTGTTTGTGCATGAGCGGCACGGGCGAGTCGACGCGCCCTCGGAAGACAGGCAAGGCGGAAACGAAGAAGGTGAAGCGGGCAGCTACACGCCCCGTCTCTCCGGCTGGTGGGGCTCGGACAAAGCATCCCGCTTCCGCATGGAGAACCGCTTCGTGCCCATGCCCGGCGCGGCGGGGTGGCAGGTCAGCAACCCGTCTGCGATCGACATGACGTCCGTCCTAGCTTCGCTGTCCGTGTTCGGTATGGCGGATATGCAGGCGTTGAGGGGCAAGAGTCTGAAGCTGACGGGCTATCTGGAGCGTTTGCTGCTCGAGATGCCGTGGGAGGGGGAGAAGGAGGCCGGCGCCAGGCCGTATACGATCATCACGCCTAGCAACGAGGCGGAGAGGGGCGCGCAGCTGAGCGTGAGGCTGGAGGAGGGGCTGTTGGAGCGGGTTATGGAGGTGCTGGAGGACGAGGGCGTGGTTGTGGATGAGAGGAAGCCGAATGTCGTTAGGGTGGCGCCGGCGCCGCTGTATAACAGTTTCGAGGATGTGTGGAGGTTTGTGCGGGTATTTCAGGGCGCGTGCCGCGACGCGCAGGAACGGAAGATGAGCAATGGGGAGAATGAAGGTGGCAGGAGTCTGATGGTAGATGGTGGAAAGGATAGGGGAGGGTGGGAAGAAATCAAGTGATAGTGTGCTCTCACAACAGAGCAGTAAAAACAGTACATGGATCATCACAGCAGAGGTTGAGCGGCATATGTCTTCTCAAATGCTTCGTTGTCAGAAGGCGCTCGGTGCAAAGAGCCCTAAAGCTACATAGCTACATCAGACACCAGCGTCTCGAACGCTGCGATTAAACTACGCCACAGAAATGCAAGTGGGCGAAGGGAATTCCATGCAGAGCACATGAATGATATCAGTCAAGGTGCGCATAGAATGAGACGCATGCAGAATATTCATCATCGAACCGAAGAGATACCTAAAAGCCGGGTGCGGACACACCTCCTAGAGCCTGGAAAGCCCTTGGGCCGAAAGCTGGCATACTGTGACCGGGTATCGGACTGCCGATTTCTCCCAGCACGCCTGGCGCTCGTCCAATGCTTGGCGTCCCGTTGATGGCCTCATACTTCACCAGCGTGCGATTGCGGTCTCGCTTAAGCTGGAATATTCCTCCACCATTATGCGCGTCGCCTTCCGTCTCGCAGATGTCGAGAAGCTCCTTGAGCTGCACAGGTGCTTCTGACGGCGGGCGCGTGCTCTCAACCTGGCGGTGAACGTCAGAAGCGTCGATGTAGCCCTCCGGGTCACTCTTGGACGCCGCTAGCTGCTTGCACGCTTGGCAGACCATAAGGCGCACTGCGACAGGGCGAGATACGCTGGGACGATGCGGGCCTGGTGAGATACCGATGCCGAACGCGTTGTTGCTTGGCCAGCCAGTGGTTGGGGAAGAACTCCAGTTCGGACCGGCTGATAAACCGGGAGGACCGAATGGTGAACCCCATGTGTTGCCAGCCCCCATAGGCCCAAGCCCGTAAGCATCCATGCGAGGCTGTCCAGGTGCGTCGGGAAACATTGGCGAAGCTCCGAAACCCATCCTTAGTGGTTGTGGCATTCCCGGCGCTCCGGGCGCGACGCTACGGCGCCTAGAATCAGGATGGCTCACTGGGAGTGGCTCCGCATCATCTAGAAGGGCGCTGCTGCCGAGGTGGTTGCTCAGATCATCAACCTCAGCGTCTAATGGCCTTTTGTTCTCTTGAGCCCCTTCCGGTGGCTTGACGCTCGATGGTCGCTGGATCGGTGCTGGTCGTGCGATGGGCTGTGATGGAGGGGCCACTGCTGGAGAGGACATAGCATTCGGCTTGTCGAGCGATGCCGAGTGCTGTCTAGTGTGAGAGTGCATCGGATTTGCCATGCCGAAGCCGGGTGCGCCGTTTCCCACTCCCGGGATTGGAGACGGGAAGCCTGGCGGCGCATCCATAGGGAATCCACGCCCGTGGGACATCATGTTCGGACCGCCCATACCAGGAGGAGGGCCAGGCGGAGGGAAGCCGCGGTACTGAGGTCCCATGGGAGGTACCTGAGGGGGATACATGGGCATGTTGTGGCCCATAGGACCGCGCTGAACAGGCATCATCGGATGCGGAGAGTGTGGGAAGCCATTAATTCCTGGAGGCATGCCCATGAAGCCAACACCAGGCGCACCGTGCATACCAGGAGGAGGTCCAATGGGAGGCATTGGAGATGAAGACTGAGCTGGAGGCTGATGTGGAGTGTTTGTCTGTGGCTGCTGGCTCTGCGGTCTCATTAGTATGGTCTTCGGCTGTATGGGATTTTGCTGCTGCTGAGAAACCATGCTGCTCGGCGAAAGTGACTTGCTAGCTCCCGGAAGGACCTGCGGTGTCTTAGGTGAGGATCCATGGGAGCCCTGCTGCGAGCTTTGGCGCGGCCGATTGGGCGTTGGAGCTTTGGGTATTGATGGCGTTGCGAGCTGCACAAGAGGAGAGGGTTGACCTTGTGAGGATTGCTTCGAGAGGAGCCCTGAAGGTAGAGCAACGGCCGCTGGCTGAGAGGGTCGCTTCTGTATTTGAGGTTTCTGTTGAGCAGCTTGGACCGCTTCTTCTTCTTTCCGTGCTCGCTCTTTGGTCTCTTTCTCGGCTTTTGCCCTCGCCTCACGCTCCTTGCGCTCACGCTCTTCTTGAGCCTTCTTCTCCCTGGCCTCTTTCTCTCTAGCCTCTCGCTCCTCGCGCTCCTTCTTCTTGGCTTCCTCTCGAGCCTTCTTTCCCTGGGCTTTCTGCTCCTGCAACTTTCGCTCCTGTTCCTGCTGGCGCTCGCGTTGCTCCTGAAGCCTCTTCTGCTTGTCGGCTTCTTTGCGTAGCCGATCCTCTTCCTGGGCCTTGCGTTCAGCCTCTTTCTTCTTCCGCTGCTCTTCACGCTTTCGCTTCTGCTCTTCCTGCTTCATTTCTTCGGCAGCCTTGACAGCGGCTTCCTCAGCAAGCTTCTGCTCTTCCTTCCGAGCTTTCTCTTCGGCCTGCTTCTGCTTCTGAAGGGTTTTCTTGTCCTTCTTTTTCTGCGCGTCTCGAGCTTTCTTGGCTTCGCGCTCGATGTCTAGCCGCGATTCTTCTTCCAGCTCCTCAAGGAGCTTCTGTTGCCGCTCCCGTGCCACTTTTTCTCGATAGGCCGTGAGCACTCGCTGCTCGAACATCCGTGCCGCGAAGATCTGGAACATCCTCCGGCCTTCCTCCATCCGTTGTTCCTCGGTCATTGTGTCCTGCACTCAGTTAGAAAACGTCGTCAGCAAAGTAATATAAGGTCGAACCATTTCATCATCCTCTTCGTAGTCGTCGTCGTCGACATAGTCTTCATCGTCTTCATCGTCCTCGTCGTCGTATTCCTCTTCTTGGAAAGGGACATGGTTGTGACCATGCGGATTCGGCAAAGACGAGGGTTGAGCCATCCCAGCCGTTTGGTATTGGGCCTCCTCCTCCCGCTGCATCCGTCGCTCAGCAAGCTGCTCCATCATCTCGATGAACTTCTTGCCGTCGTTCTTCAGGAGGTCATCGGCAACTGTGAGAATGCCACCTGTTATGATATCAGTCTGTCTGTACTCATTGACAAATAACTCAGCCCAGAAACAAACCTTTGACAGTCAAGCTATTACCGAAGTTGAAGAAGTTATCCGCAGGATCGCGAGGCCGATGATACGACTCGTCGTCGCTGAAGTCGTCTTCATCTTCTTCGTCGCAATAGCCCTCCTCGTCGCCCTCGTCATCCTCTTCGTCGTCCTCATCGTCAGGAAGCTCGTGTATCCGGCCCCGAGGGGGATGATGCGAGTGTATAAAGTGGGGCGCACGATCTGGAGGCATCCTTCCCAATCGATCAGCGAACCGTCTCAGCGGAAGCAGCATAGGACCACCGTTTCCGGGGTCCTCTTGGTGATTCGCATACTGTTCTAGTTCCTCATAGTACGCATCGTACAACACCTCTAGCTCCTCCTCTATAGCCGTACGCTTCCGACCGCAAACAGTGCAGCTGCACGAGTGCTTTTGCTGCTCCTTCATTTTTTTGAGCACGGCCTCCTTCTCAATCTTCACCAAGGACTTGCGCTCTTCCTCACTAAGAGAAAGCCAGAATTCCTTGATCCGCTCCCTTTCTTCTTGGGTTGACGTGTTCCATATGCGATCTTTGGAGGTAGCGCTGTGGCGCAACGTGCGTGAGGCAGCCGTAGAGAGCGCTGGCGGCGGCGGAGGTGGTGGCGGAGGTACGAATGAGTGCGACGGGTACGCAGCGGTGCCAGGCGGGTTGTTGTATGCAAGGTGGTGGCCAGCGGGGCGGTTCTTCTTTCTTGGCCGCGTGTTGTCATTAGCCAGCCCGGCGTAGTCATTCGCATAGTGTCCATTGGGACTGGCCAGCCCAGCATCGTACCCATCTCCGTAGTACTGTCCGTCGTCCTCCGTGTAATCCAACTCGTCCTCGAACTCATCGGGATCGTCGAATGCAGGGTCCTCATAGTCCAAGACCTGCTGCGCGGTTTGCGGCAGGGCTGTGTGGTGAGGGTGATGAAGGGTGCTATGGCCTTGCGCAACATAGCCGTTTCGCGAGACCGTGTCAAAGTGATCCGCAGCTTGTCGCGCGGCCTGCTTCGCTCGCCGCTTCTGCTTCTTGCGATTCGTGCCGACGGCACCTGGAGCGCTGCTGGCTGTGACTACGCCGTTACTCTGGGCGGTTGTTGCGGCATTCGGAGCTTTCGTGGTCTGGGCCATGCTGAGGGGTGCGTGTGAGACGGGAACTGGAGGTAGTTGTCAGAAGGCGATTTCAAGGTAAGAGGCTGCGGACAGAGCGGGAATGGCGAGCGGTAGATTGTTCGGCGGAGGGTTGGTGACCGTGGAGGGGCTTTGTTCGAGAGACCGGTCACGTACGTGAGAGAGCGGACTCCGGCAGGACTGCGGCCCCCGGAACTTGGCAGGCGAGGAGCGGAGAGCACTGCTGGAGCGGGGCGGGTCTTGAAGGCGTGTGAGAAGGCGTGTAGGTGTAGGTTTATCGGCGTTCTTTCGTTGTTCAGGTATGGATGGTTGAGAGCGAGGTGGTTCACAGCCTGGGTTTACTTTGCGCCGAGAAGACGGATGCCAAGCCCTGAGCACCGCCGCTTGCAGTACATACCAACAACCGTTTCTTTGCGCCGGACGGTTCAAGCCTCTCATGCAGAGTCTTAACTTAAGCCGCAAACACAACTCCGTCCAATTGAAGAATCTCCGTGTCCCACCTGTTGCGCTGTTCGACACTGCACCGGTCCAGCTATCCAAGCCGCATCGCTCACTGCGGCCTCCCACCCAGATCGCCGCCCCCCAAAAGCACCGCCACTGCCTAGCCTAGTCCAGCCGAGCGCGGTAGAGTAGGTATACGAAGCCCGTGCAAATCCTTGAGTCTTTGGCCAAACATCTCGTCAAGACCTGCGACTCCGTACCACCCATCCAGCAACCTCGTCTCTTGTGTCTGCCGGGTCACCTCCGTCGAGCCTTCATTACCATACACCTGTGCCCACTCGTCCCTGCGTTGAGCCGCTTATCGACACCGAGCCCTACGATTGCATCGCACAACGTCGCCCAGCCCAGTGGGAGCACCGTCTCACACCGACACCGAACCACGACTCGAGATCCAAGTGGGCGGCAGCTTGGCTTAACCCAGGTGCTAGCTGGCGCAGTTCAGCTGCGAAATCGACCTCCTCCTGTATCCGACCGCACCTCAACATCCCGCCCATCGCCTCGACACCGATAACATCATAAACACACTCACTCACACACACCAAGGTCCACAATGGCGCAGAACGGAGAAAGCGTGATGAGGAGGTATGTCAACGTCATGTGCGATCTCCGTGTTGTGTCGTAGTCCTCCTTCTTCGCTTGCTGTGGCCTCCACATTCCCGCTGTCGGGCAAGTTGCCAAGCACACACTGTTGTTCTCTCATCGCCAGAGCCCGTCTTCTTTTTTGAGCTCGCGGCGACTGCCCTCGTCCGTCGTCAACTCAGTGGAGGTACACGCCAAGACATCTGTACTTGGCGCCGTATTTAGCGTCCGCTTGCTTTGGCTCCCGCCATTCTGCCCTAAATCGTTCCAAAAATAGGCCTTGCATGGTTTCCCTTGTCACGGCGTTCATGTCTTGCAGATCTACTTGCCTTCAGGCAAATCTACTTGCCTTCGGAGGACCCTCATTTAATGCGGTTGTGCCTTATCACCCACGTTCCCTCCTAGACATGCTCTTCAGAGCTGCCAACAGCGTTATATGCTAACAATATGGCACTGCGTAGGAAGCTAGTTATCATCGGAGATGGTGCGTGCGGAAAGACGAGTCTACTGAGCGTCTTCACACTAGGCTACTTCCCCACGGTAAGTGCTGACGGCCTTTCGTCAAGGTACAAGACACCTAGCTGACCGATGACCTAGCGATACGTATGTCCATCAGACTGCAATCTCACCGCCTCGCAGAGTTCTGACACATCGAGGATAGGTCCCTACAGTTTTCGAAAACTACGTGACCGACTGCCGTGTGGACGGTAAATCAGTACAGCTCGCGCTATGGGACACGGCTGGACAGGAAGACTACGAACGCCTACGGCCGCTCGCGTACTCGAAGGCACACGTGATCCTCATCGGCTTCTCCGTCGACACTCCCGACTCGCTCGAGAACGTCAAGCACAAGTGGGCGGAAGAAGCGCGTGAGCGCTGCCCGGGCGTGCCCATTATCCTTGTCGGCTTGAAGAAAGACCTAAGAGACGATCCGGCCGCGCAGGAGGAGATGAGGAAGAAGAGCTTGAGATTTACCAGCGTCAAGCAAGGGAACGACATGAAGGAAGAGATCGGAGCGAGGAAGTACCTCGAGTGCTCTTCGCTTACGGGCGACGGTGTCGACGACGTCTTTGAGGCTGCCACGAGGGCAGCTTTGCTTGCACAAGACAAACAGGAGGGCGGTGGCTGCTGCGTCATCTTATGAGCTTGAAGCGTTTTGCTTGTCGGACCTGCATGGCTGGTGTTGGGTGCTTTTGAACGGCGTTCCGAGGCGCGCCGGGAAAAGCATTGGGTCTGTTGCGTAATGATACCACACGCTCCTTTTCTTAGTTGAGAGTCTCCTTCATTGCACATTTTGCAGCATCAAGTACTCGGCATGGAAATTTAGCTGCGTGGACAGATAGCTATGCATCAGTAGTACAGTACATTTACAGAATCTAAAGACTTGGTCATAAAACACCCAATCGTTGTACAATCGCTTGACGAGCTGTGACCAACCCCTATTCTAAGCATACTATACAATCCATCGCCGAGAGCCTGCACTTCTAACTCCTCACCACCGGCACCAGCACCCGCACCCATCTCTTCCAGCTCGCCCACAGCTCATCCACTCCCCCACCTCTACCGCGTCCACCCATGATTCCACCCCTCCCGGCTCGGATAGTCCACCTGCATGCGCGCATACTCGATCGGCACGCCCGCCCAAACACCCTTCTTCTCCATCGCGACTCTATACAGCCTGCCCAGCTCCTTCCCCATCGTACCCCCCGGCGTTCCAGCGCTGGCAGGCATGCCATCGTCCCCGATCAGGCGCAGCGCCTCGCACGCGTCCCGCATGCTGTTGTACTGCCGCTCGAGCTCGAGTTCGTGGGCGCGCCGGGAGGCCGCTTTGTGGAGCTGCCATGCGCGGTGGATGGTCCAGTGGCGGAGGGCGCGGAGGCGGGAGAGGCGGAGGGGACGGGGGTTGAGCGGGTGGCGGAGGTGGTATTGGATCGCGGCTGTGGGAGGGAGGTGTTAGCTGCGGATGTCTGAGGACAGAGAGGGGGAACAAGGGGATAGGGCGGCGGATGGGAAGAGCCGAGGGAGGCTGACTTATGCGGATGTCTTTCTTTTGCTCGCCCTTCTTGCTGCGTTTGAGGAGGGGAGCGGTGGTGGAGAAGAGGGCGGTTTGGGAGCTTCGGGGGTGTATTGGCCGCGCGGGAGAGAGGAGAGGCGTTGTTCGGCGGGAGAGGCAGCGGAAGGTTGGCCGGAAGGCCGGTATTATAGCGGAGGTCCTCATACTGTGATGATTGATGTGGGGGATTTAACCGTGTGTCCCTGGTCGAGCTCGTTGCCGTTGGACCTCGCGATGTCGGACATCGATGGAGATGATACAGTACTGAAAAGGATGGATTCAATACGATACAGCGCTAGGTGGCAAGAGGTAAGGCTAGCCGGTCGCCATGCGCGCCATGCGCGGCTTGCGGGTGTGAAACTGGCACGGCTGGCTCTCCCGTCAGCCCTGCAGCAGACCCCAGATTTTTCCACGCTTGGGCCGCTGGATGACTGATTGCGCCGCACTTTCTTTGTTTGACCCATCCCATTCCGTTTCGTTCTCTAGTTCTTTCCTCTTTGCCGTTTTCTTCTTTCAATCAAAATCGGTAGTGGACACAATGGCGACCATGGACCCCAAGAAGCTGGTTGAGGGCTCTGCGAAGCATCCGCAGCCGGGCAAGGTGTTTCAGTATGGTACTGCTGGGGTGAGTTCTGCAGCCTTGTTTGCTCTGAGTATCTCCTGAGCACTGTTCAATATTCGGATACACTCCTGATACTGCCACGATCTGTTACACATCATTAAAGAGGCCGATTGGCTAACATACTCGCATCCAGTTCCGCATGAAAGCGTGAGTCGAGCTCAATCCACCGCTGCCTTCCCCCAGTCAGCGCGGCTGACACACCCAACAGCAACCTCCTAGACTCGGTCGTATACCGCGTCGGTCTCCTCGCAGCCCTGCGCTCGCGAAAGCTCAATGGCCAGACCATCGGAGTCATGATCACGGCCTCGCACAATCCGCCCGAAGACAATGGCGTCAAGCTCGTTGACCCAATGGGCGAGATGCTGGAGGCATCGTGGGAGGCTTACGCTACTCTGCTCGCCAACGCCGCGACGGACGAAGCGCTGCTGGAGCTGTACAAGAAGCTGTCGAGCGATCTCAAGATCAACGGCGAGGCTCCCGCACGGGTTATCTTCGCTCGGGACACACGCGCTTCTGGCTCAAGGCTTGTGGGGTGTCTCGTCGACGCGCTCGATGCTGCTGGAGCGGAACATACGGATTTTAAGTTTCTGACCACACCGCAATTACATTACCTGGTTCGTTGCGTGAATACAAAGGGCACGCAATATGAGTACGGAGATGTTAGCGAGCAGGGATACTATGAGAAGATTGCCTCGGCGTTCAAGCGGGCAATGAAACACAGGAAATCTAGTGGCGCCGTCACGGTTGACTGCGCGAACGGAGTCGGTGGCCCAAAGCTCAAGGAGCTGCTCAAGTACCTGCCAACCAAGGCCGAGGGCGGCGTTGACATCAAGGTCATCAACGACGACGTTGTCAAGCCTGAGAACCTCAATGTGCAGGTGAGGAAAAATGCCAACCAGAAACTTCCTTGTGCCGCCACATATGAAGCGCAGGCCCCAGCTGACCAAACCTCCCCAGTGCGGCGCCGACTTCGTCAAAACCAACCAACGCGCGCCTCCCTCCTCCTCCGCGAAGCCCCTCGAGCGCTGCGCCTCCCTCGACGGCGACGCCGACCGCGTAGTCTACTACTTCACCTCAGACGAAAACACCTTCCGCCTGCTCGACGGCGACCGCATCGCCACGCTCGCGGCCTCCTTCCTCGGAGACCTAGGCCGCCAGTCCGGACTCGCCGAGCAGCTCAAGATCGGCGTAGTGCAGACCGCGTACGCCAACGGGGCCAGCACGCAGTACGTCGAGGCGAACCTCAAGCTGCCCGTCATCTGCACGCCCACGGGCGTCAAGCACCTGCACCACGCGGCCACGCGCTTCGACATCGGCGTCTACTTCGAGGCCAACGGCCACGGCACGGTGCTGTTTTCGCCCGCTGCCCTCAAGGCCATCGCGACCCATGAGCCGCGGAGCCCCGCGCAGCAGGCCGCGCTGGAGACGCTGCAGGCGCTGACGGAGCTCATCAACCAGACGGTAGGGGACGCGCTGTCGGACCTGCTGCTCGTCGAGGTGATTCTCGCGCACAAGAACTGGGGCATGCGGGAGTGGCTGGATACGTATGTTGATTTGCCCAACAGGCTTGTACGAGTTGAGGTCAGGGATCGGAATATGTTTGTTGCGGTGGATGCGGAGAGGAGGCTTGAGAGCCCACTGGGGGCGCAGGCGGAGATCGATAAGCTGGTTGGGAAGTATAAGCAGGGAAGGAGCTTTGCGAGGGCGAGCGGGACCGAGGATGCGGTCAGGGTGTATGCGGAGGCGGCGACGAGGGGCGAGGCGGATGATTTGGCGGGGAAGGTCGCGAATGTTGTTCGCCAGTTCGGAGCGGCGGCTTGAGGGGGGCACGCCATCAAGCAGAACATTTGCAGATCAGAGAGGTGGAAGGATGCTTGTGCGGTCACATCGGGCGTAGCACCCGGCGGCAAGTGGATGTGTTTGGACTGCGGGTTATGACGCTTGTTGATGACTCTTTATGGGGAGGTAGGAGTTCTACGGCATCAAAAAGTGTTTGGATCTAGAAAACAGGCGAAGGTTGGCATATTGCAATCATTTAGCGGCTGCATAGCTGTAGGTATCTTTATCGTCTCCTTCATTGGCATGTCGTTCAAGAACTTTAGACTTCGCTACCGTCTAATATCTGGCTTCGCCATGGCTATGCAACAGAACTTGAAAGCAAGAAAACGCACCATTCCCAAGCTGCTTGTACAAGAGAACATAAGGAGAGCATGACGGATCCCAACCGTTACCCAGAGCTGTTGTGCATCCCGGCGTTATGCAATGCGTATGGAAACCAAACACCTCAATAGAAGAAGGTAGCACCACCAACTTGGTAGCTACCGCCGCGTCCCCGCCCATGTCCACCGGCTCCAGCGCTACCGTCCCCACGACGATCCTGAGCATTGTTTCCCCGATCACCGCCTCCGTGGCCAAATCCAAGGGCCTGTATGTTGCCGACACTTGGATAAATCTGGACATCGGCAGCCGGCTGAGGAGCTATGTATCCAGCACCAGCTCCATACCCAGGACCGGCAGCAGCGCCGACGTTCACCACAACAAGGACGGGTGGGGCGTGAGGGTGTGCAGCGGTAGTCGGTTGGAGAGCGCCCCCCTGCTGGCGGAGATGGTACGGGTGAATCTGATACCCGATTCCATGGGTTGCTCGAACATCTCCTGGATGCACGTAGTGCTGGTAGCCTGTAAATTCCGGCTGATGGACGTACTGCGCGTAATTCCCCGTCACTGGCCCCGCCGGTGTCCCCAGGATGGGCAGATGTCGTCGTGGTCGGGGAGGCTGGTAAGGCACGAGAGCTTGTGAAGTCTGCTCAGCTTGTCGTGCTTCTTGCACCTGGCGATCTTGCTGAGCCTGAAGCTGTGGATCCCTGTACCCATCGGGGAGACGAAGATACTGTCTTCCAGCCGGCAGATCAAAATGAGGGTCGCCGTGGATGTAGAAATGCGTCCGATCATGAGGGAGACCAGGAATCGGCGCCGTATCTGAGCGCAATAGCCTGCCGTTGCTATCGCGAAGAGGCACGAGCCAGTGCTCAGGGGACGGAGATGGGTCGTTGGCGGCTTGACGAGAGGTACCGGCCACAGGTGGTTGAGAGACATGTCCGACCTCAGGGGCTTGGTCGTCGGCGGGGACAGCTGGTAGATCACACGCCGGTAGGGAGCTAGGAGGCGCAAGGGGAGCGTTCCTGAACTCGTCGGCCCACGTTGGAAAGGCAAGAACGTTCCATACTGGCGGTTCAAAGCCTGGCGGCGGCCTCACGAAGGCGCTCCGTGCGCTCTCGAAGACTTGTCTCGCATCCCGAATTGAGTAGTGAGTGCCGGCTGTGGCGATGCCGGCGAGGCGAGTCTGACGCGCGAATGTGACAGGATTGTAGACGAAGACATCGTAAAGGGGCTCCGGAACCGGTTCTCCGAACATCCTCGCCGTGATTTCCTCCCGCACCATCTCATCATGATCCTCTATGGTGTCCACCGCACCATGAAGGGCCACAATCGGCGGCTGTCCAACCTTCTCTTCGTGCTTCGAGCACGCGCGACAGAACCAGACACCAGGGTCGTGGAGCTCGATGGTATGCTTGGCATGGCCCGCGATTTCCGGGAATTGGGAGACTGGCGGCCACTCTCTACGTGACGTTGCTGAGCTCGTGCCGCAACCCCAGAAGCCGACGATGTCGGAGTGTCCACACTCCTTGAAGTGGTGCCTGATGTGGAGACACATGTTGCTTCGTGAGCTTGGTGTGGAGGGAGAAAGAAGGCGGATGTGGACAAAGAGAGAGCGAGAAAGTTCGGGGTGACTCGGTAGCTTGCTGCTGGCGAGACCTGCGGCTGGATAGTTGACTTGCAGCGAGTGAGAGAGAAGACGAATGCGTAGAGAACGGCAGTGAGAAGCTTCCAGACGTGTTTTCGACTAAGTGCGGATGAGACGAAAACAGTAGAGAATGAACAGCGGAAGAAAGAATTTGTGTGGATGCTGTCGGCTAAAATCTTGTGTTATCATATCGCCTGGGCCGGTGAAGGCCAGGACGATAGTGAAGCAAATTTACTAACTCACGCAGGGTCTTGGCACCCATGGCGAGAGGCAAGTGAAATGAGGGAGTATTTAGCGCCGCTGGCTGGAAAGGCATTTCTTCTCCTAGAACCTAGCAGTAGTACCGGTGTCTATACCGCTGTCCTTCGCGGAACTGGAGTGGCAAGCTGGTGGAGATAGTTCCTTGCCGTGAGATCTTGAGAAGGACACTATATAGTAAGGGCATCAGGATTGCTTTACTACAACGTCGACACGGCAGGTGACCTGGATGTCCATGAGTGCATAGCAAGCCTTGACCGCAAGCTGATTTCCTTCGTTTGATGCGTGCTTGTTGCAAGTCACGACGCTGGAATATTTTGTCATATCTCTTTACTTTCCCACTCTTTCTTGCCATTGGTCAATCTGGAGATCGAATCTTCTGTCTCCTTTTCCCACCTCTATCGGGTCTCCTTCCTCGTCGGTCCGTGTTCTTTCAACATAAGTCACCTTTCCTTGGCTGTCACAAAGCACAACAGTCTGTTTCTGGGTCCCGTAGATCCCGCTGGTCACCTCGATCCGTTGCTGGCTCTTGGCAGCAGCAACCTCGTCCGCACTCTTCCCGTTTAATTCATCGCCCCCAACAGGTGGAATGAAGATGCTGTTTCTCAGTTCCCGAATATAGGTCTCCCACTCTTCTCCATGCTTCTTCTTGGGCAGCGTGTCGATGCTCAACACATGGAACAGTCTCTTGATCAATGCATTTTGACTTTCTCCTTTCTGTACACTCTCGTCGATGGCGGACTTGAGCTCTTCCTCCCCTTGCACAACCTTGGGCCATGAGCGATCTCCGTACCATGAATTGCTTAGGGCATGAGTCTCGTCCCGCTCGCCGCAAACCCAGATAAGGCCTTCGACATCAGGGGTCCTGTTCGAAACAATAGCCAGGCCTTTCTTCTTGGTCGGCTCGTTTCCCTCTCCCCCTCTACGGATGACATCTTGCAGCTTCCCAAAGAGCAACGAGAACCCGCCAACACCCTGCACACCGTCCTCTTCCACAAGCCTCTTCGCAAACTCCTCCGTGCTTTCATCGGAGTCAGGTGGCGAAAGCAGGAACGAGTTGACAATCGCGCCACGGCTCTTCTTGCCCTCAACGATGGCCTGGTCTTCTTCGCGGAAGTTTGTGAGCACAGCGATACGCCCTTGACGCGTGACGCCGAGCCAGGTACCATGGGCCGCGCGGTGGAGATCCCAGCCTCCGAGGACATGCTCGTTAGGAGATGACCACCAGCTGGCAACGTGGGTCGGGCGGCCGAGGTACTCATCGCGGTTGCTGATGAGGATAAAGGGGTACTCCGGGTGAGCGGTGGAAAATACCGCGATGCACATGGTGACTGTGATGAGGAGGTCCGCGAGAGGCAAACCAACTGGTAGGGGAGGAAAGCCTGATCAGTACCGCCGGTCGGTGCAAGTGGATGCAACTAGCTGGAAGCCTACTCAAGAGAGGGACTTGGAAGGGTTTAAATGCTGGAGGTCGTGGCCCTAAGGATGCCTGCTGGTGCGCTCAATGAGTCACAAGATAGACAAGGCTCGCTTTCCGATGGCTCCACCAAAGCCGGGGTCGTCCGTACCTGGCCGCGCTGATTGTGCCGGTTGTGCCGGTCGTAGAGGAGGAAGGCACGCTATTGAAGACGATATAGAAGTTCTCTCCGTAGTTGTAGATGTTCATCTGCTCCACGATCTCACCTCCCAACGACGATGAGCACCGAACTTTTTCTGAAACTGGTCCTCGTTGTAACTTTCCCCCTGATCTGGCCGCTTTGGCTCTTTGTCGGCTTGCCGTTTATACTCGTTACTGCCCGGCGTGAGGAGAAGGAACGGCAGCGGTCATACGCGGAAACGGCAGCGGAATACCAGCGCCGCACAGGCCGCCAAGCTCCGCCCTACGACACCCGCCGCCCCCCGTACTGCTGAGGACAGATCACGTGAGCCGCACCGCCTGACTCGTCATCACTTTGGTAGCTTGAAGTCTAACAAGAGCCATGTCGTGCTGATCATGTAGCTGTCTTCTACAGTACCTAGATCAAAATGTTCGACATACTCCCCAACCTCCTCACGTAAGTGTATACAGTGCTGTGTTCCAACAAAGCTAACCATCCTTTCAGCACCGTCCTAACCATCCTCCTTCCGATATACGCCTCGTACAAAGCCCTCCGTACCTCCGACCCCGCGCAACTAACCCCATGGCTCATGTACTGGGTGATCGTCTCCCTAATCAACACCGTTGAATCCACCTTCTGGATCATAACCTGGGTCCCCTTCTACGCCTACATCCGGCTCGCGCTGGGCCTTTACCTCGTCGCGCCAGGCAAGCAAGGCGCCACCTTCCTCTACACCACCTACGTGCACCCCTTCTTCGAGGACCACGAGCGCGAGATCGACGAGTGGATCAGCCAAGCCCACGACAAGGCCAAGGCCGCGGGCCTGCAGTACATGAAGCAGGCGATCGAGTGGGCGAAAGTCAATGTGCTGGGCATGCAGCCGAAGCCGCCGAGCCCGCCGCCCAGCAGGCATGTGAGCTATACGCAGGCGCTGCTATCGCGGTTCAATCTGCCGTCTGCGAGGGAGGGTCTCGCGGCGCCGGCGGGAGACTTTTATGCTCTGCTGTCTACGGCGCTGCAGACGACGACGGCTTCAGGCGGCAGCAGGGATGTGCAGGCTGAAAGCTTGAGCAACAGTGGCACACTGATACCGTCGCATCTGGACTCCATGGAAGACAGGATGTCCTATGTCGCAGCACAAAGGGAGAGGCTGCGGGTGCTGCTGCAGGCTTTCGACAACGAGGCGGACAACCTGTCGTCTGGTCCGTCGCGGGAATCTCCTGAGGAGAGACGTACGGAGGGAATGGCCAAGAGTAGGAGCGAGCTCGACTTCGACAAGATCGAGCGCGACGAAGCGGCAGAGGGCAGACGGGGGAGCCGCACGGCCAGTGGTGGGTGGATGCCGTGGAATTGGGGTGCAAGAGCTGTGCCGAGTGCGCCATATCCGACACGACCAGAGGACCGGCAGGGTAGTGGCAGGTCGACTGGGCTTGAGTATTGATGATCGTTCGATGGTGCATGACTTCACGAGGTATGGATAACACTGGCGCTAAGGTCAGCGGCGTTGCTTTGGGGCTGTATAGTTGCTTGATATGTGGCAGCAACGAGTGGGAAGTCCAGCAACGGATGACTCGCAACTACGACCGGAGGAGAGTCTTTTCTGCAGTGTCTATAGTCGCCTAATCAACATATGGTCTGCTTGACGTTCCTAGCAACAGGCTTGAACACCTACTGCCCATGCCCTATTGTACAACCGCCTCCAGTGGAGTATAATTTCAACATCTTACATGCTCTTGAGCCCAAATAGGCTCTCTACACTTCCACCGTCTCTCAAGCTCCAACGTCTATCCCATTAACCGGTCGACGCTTATCGTCCCAGACGCTTCTCAAAACGCACCCGACGCACTTGACTTGACCTCCTTGAATGGATACCTCACTTCATCGTCCTTCCTCAAAACAATCTTCTTTCTCTTCTTGTTAACCACATGCTCAACCCAGATCTCCTTGCTGTGCTCCTTCATGAAGCTCTTGATAAACCGCGGATCCCACAGCTCGCTCGCCACGCCCAAATCCTTGCAGCAGCGCATCAACGCGTTCGACTTGCAGCCCTCGGTCGCGGTAGGTATGCCCTCAGGATCAAAGTACTGCTGCTCGCCGCGAGCTATCGACACAAGTCTGCCCACCCACCCTAGTCAGCCAAACCCCCCTACGCGCTCACAACGTGGACAAAACATACCTCCCTCCAGCCACAAGCCCATACTCCCTCGTCACACTCCTCCCCGTAACAATCGTCTCCCCCCTCGGCGCCAGCCCCCACCCACCAGGCCCAAACGCCCGATTCAGAATCCTTCGATACTTGATCTCCGGCAGATAAATAATCCCGTCCGGCTTGACCTCGATGTCGTCCACCGGGATGGGCTGGAGCAGCGCCTCCTGCGCCTCGGGGCTGAACGGCGACGCCGAGAGCCCGTGGAACGAGCGCGCCCAGTCGACCTGCTTGCTGTTTTCGTCCACGACGGTCGGCTCGTCGGAGAGGCCGTCGGTTAGGGAGCGTAGGTTCTCGGATGGAGTTGAGGCGGCCGTGTTGCGCGCTGTAGGCGGCGCGGCAACTGGAGATGGTACGGTGTGGGGTCTTACGGGCGCGGAAGGAGGTCTGCTGGTGGGTCCTGAGGGGCCTTTGCTGATGGGAGTAGATGCCGTGGAGGGTTTGGGCTGGGCGGCTGCGGTTTGGAGGGTGCGGCGGGTGGTGGAGAAGGGACAGACAGAAGGACAGCAGGACTTGCGTGGAGTTCGGAGCAGAGGGGATAGGCTTGCGCCTGCTCTCCGTGCGGACATGGTGGGTTTTGTGGATGGTTGTATGTTGCGGTAACGGGAGAAGCTCAAGATTGGCGCGACTCGGCAAATGTCTGGACGGCGCTCAGGCGCTCAGGCAGCGATGCCGTGCAATAAATTCAATCTAGATGGAGACGCGCGTCTAAACGAGTGTATGGTAATCTCGTGAGTCTTGTAAATGTTTTCTGCTACTTCATTACTGATACGAAGCATTCTCGGTACTATCACGGGATTGAGTTGCTATCCTCTTGTGTGCTCCTCCTCTCGCTGACAACTTCAGTCGACAATATCACTGGAGGTGAGCAGTGTATGAGTCGGACAGTAGTCGATTATTCTACAATAACTGCCCACTACGCCATGCCGAGCTCTATAATGCTTGGTGATACTATGGTGCTCTCCGTGCCTCGTATAAATCCAGAAACGCCTCGCTGCTAGCCCAGTTCCTTCCCAATCAAGCAATGAAATTGACCACGGAAGTCTTCTTAGCTTGTACTTCCGCAATAGCGTCCACATAGTGCTCGTGACTGATCTTCGACTGCCCTGCCCTCAGCGCTATCATGCCTGCCTCTACGCACACAGCCTTCAGCTGTGCTCCGCCAAACTCATCTGTGCTTCTTGCTAACTCAGGCCAGTTGACAGCCTCATCCACCGTCATCTTCCTGCTGTGTATCCGTAGGATCTGTGCTCTAGCTTCCTCGTTGGGTAACGGGAACTCGATTTTCCTATCTAGACGGCCGGAACGGAGGAGAGCGGGATCCAACACGTCAACGCGGTTGGTGGCGGCAAGTACCTTGACCCGATCATCGGAGGCAAAGCCGTCAAGCTGGTTGAGGAGCTCCAACATTGTCCGTTGCACTTCTCGGTCGCCGGACTTCTCGGAGTCGAAGCGCTTTGTTCCAATAGCGTCCAACTCATCGATGAAGATGATTGAGGGAGCCTTCTCCTTGGCTAGGGCGAAGCAGTCGCGGACGAGCTTTGCACCATCACCTATGAACATCTGTACGAGTTGTGGGCCGGCGAGCTTGAGGAACGTGGCGTCGGTCTGGGCGGCGCAGGCTCGCGCGAGGAGGGTCTTGCCGGTACCTGGAGGACCGTACATTAGGGCGCCTGTGAAGCCTCAGTCAGCAAGTCCGATGTGCAAACGGTGACAGTGTAGTCTCACCTTTGGGAGCCTTGATGCCGATCTTCTTGAACCGATCAGCCTCTTTCATCGGCCACACCACAGCCTCTACGAGCTCCTCTATCTGTTTGTCCAGGCCTCCGACATCTGAGTACTTCTCCGTCGGCTTCTCGTCTACCTCCATCGCCTTCACTCTGCTGTCGTACTCAGCGGGAAGAGTGTCGAGGACTAGGTAGGAGTCCTTGTTAACGCCGATGAGATCGCCTGGCTTCAGCTTCTCGTGGTCGACCAGGCCTATCAGAGGCAAGAAGATGGTCTGTCGGGTGGATGTCTTAATGACGGCGGATTTGCCTACTCGGGTAGCGTCGAGGTCGATGTTTGCACCCTCTTCTGCTGCTTCGGCCGTGACGTCTAGGTCAAGGATTTCAACGACATTACCCACAAGGTACGGCAGTTGTCTGTCATTGGAGGGTTAGCCACTGTCTTCAAGAGACTGTTCTTGGACATACCTGTTGTTCTCTATCTTGTCCTGATTGTCCTTGATCTTCTCATGCATGGCGGCTTTCTCATGCGTTAACCGCTGGTGCTCGCTCTTCATGATCCGCATATCGTTCTCAAGCAGCCGCCGCCTTGCGATGATGTCTCGCGTGCTGGAGTTGAGGATCTCCGGGTCGAGCAGGCTCTGCTCCTCCTCACCCTCCTTCAGGTCGTCGAGCTCTTCCAGGGATGCCATGGGTTTCTAGAAGTATTGCTTCCGGGGGTATGCGAGGGATGCAGATGTAAAGAGGCGGCGATATGTTGTTGTGTCAAGTGAGGAAGCTTAGAGTACCTTGAGCATCTATCTGAGCTTAGCTCCGGTAAGTTACGGGCTTACCTAAGCGCGACGCGACATCACGCACGTGATCATTCACCTTTCGAGTGTGCAAAGACGATTCATATACCTCACTCCATTACCACTACTAAGCGGAAAGGAGAGCCAGTAGTACGGGATCCTGGTCATTCCGTTATACGACTAGTGAGATTAACCCATGAATGGGTACCGCGTTGGAGGCTTCACACTGAGCCGCACACCACCCAGCCATCGTGGTAGATAACGGGTGTTAGTGATGAAGAAGGAATGGGGATGGAGAGTTTTGCAGCACAATTATTTCACTTCGGCTCCTCTATTCACGGCCTTATCTCGTTCTTTTCCTTTGGCATGGAATTCGGTAAGGTGCTCTGAGAGCCTGCCATCGTGCGGTGTTGAGCAGCATGCTGAATGCTGATCTACTACGAAAGGAAGCACGCCTTGATTCTATGTTTATCGTGTGCTTGTTCCTATATTCTAAATAGCTTTTGCCAACGTGTCCTCTTTCTTGTATGCGGTAAGCTGCTACGGTTTTCATGTTCGAGGTAAGTTATATTTTTCTAGTAGCATAGAACCACAACCTCCTGCAACAAGTCGCCAAACTTCTTCTCACAACGCAGTCCTCTTGTAGGTGAACAGTCCAAGCCAGACCGTTTCCTTAGGCTCGTCAATATGAATCTACAAAACGATGTTTCGTCAATACACAACCACCCCGCCAGCCAGAATGCCGCCACCATCGGCACCTCCAGTCTCGCCAACTACTCAACCCACCTCCATGGTTGAGCCGGACGCTAGCGAAAGTTTCGCCCTTGAAGAATCCTCCAGCAAAGACGCCGCCAGCGAGGGCGCCGCCAGCAAAGCCGGTCAAGAGGGCCCAACGCCTCAACTCGCGCTCATCTTGCGCCAAGCCCCTGACCGCATCCCAGCACTTTCTAAGCAGGAACTCTTAGGCTGCATCTTCAAGACCCTCCTCACCGAATACGCCAGACGGGACCGGATCCAGGTCCAGCACTCCAAGTCCCCGTCAGAGCGCGAGATTTGGCAGGCAATGATGACCGAGCAGGCAGCCCGCGACGAAGAACTATCGCGCCGCCTAGCCGGGCGCGACAGTTCCGCCGCCGTCGGCTCGTCAGAGGGAGATGTGGACATGAACGCATTGCTCCAGGAGCTGGAGATCCGAGACACGACGTTGTTCGCCTCCCGCAACCAGAGGCAACAGTTTCGCCTGGGACAAACCGGCCACGGAAGAGGACTTCTACGCGCTGCTCGCCGAGTGGGAGGCTGATGAACGCCTAAGGACATGGCACTGCTTGGTCGGCTCGGGCTCGTCCGCCACGACGCGGTCTTGTGTCGAGTTTGTGGCGCCTCGTCCGGGCTATCATGCTCGCCTTCCGGTTTCTCGGGGGTTTCGGGCTCGTCGGAGTCGTCGCTGTTGGCAGTGGCTGAAGGGGGGTTGTGGAAGTGGAGAGCGATTGTCCGGGGTGACTGCCCAGCAGCCCGGTTTGTAGAGGTAGTTTGCATGCTACGAAAACTTCTACAAAACGAACTCATCTGACACCCGTGCTGTTTCTGGCTGCAGTCTGTTATACTGGTCTCGTATGCGGGATGCTCCCGCTGTTGCGTCACTACTGATGAGTCCGAAGATGTGTGCATGCCGAAGAGTAGCAGACTCCGTTCAACTGATGGCGACTATACTTCACAAGATTAGATGGCTTTTACCCGCAGTGCAGGACAAGAAGACTTATCTAAGAGTGGGATATACAAGCTGCCGAAGCGGTCTCTTAGCATTGCAGAGCTCGCGAAGATAGAACTGATGGTGCATATTTCTCTTCCAAGTACACGGAATACGCAGTACCATTCTGAGGCTCGAGGCTTGGCGGATTCCAAATAGGTAGCCACGGCAAAGGTTCTCTCAATCTACTGTAGAACTCTGGGCATCCGGCCTAACTCCGCAAAACAAGAGTGGCACCGCCAGATAAAAAAAGGTCCATTACGATGTACCAAAAGACCCCACATCCATATCATCAAGGACTATGGCCCAAACTCAGTCTTGCAACCTGCTCACTCACACTACCACTCCCGCTCCGCTTCCTCTTGTCATTCATGGACCCAGTGGGCGATGCAAGACGCTCCTCAACCGACTTCCTCAAACCCAGCTCCACAGTACTGGCCCCACCAAGCGGTGAACCCTCCATGGGCGGCGGACTGGCCACAGGCTCTTTTCCCGGCAGTAACTGTGCCGAGTCGGGCTCGCTCGCTGTCGCCTCCTCGGCGTCAATTAATGACGGGCCTAGTCCTCTGTGTCCGTCAAGAGGCCTCGGGGACGCATTCAAGAAGTCCGCGATCTCCGTTTCCTCAGTCCCCTTCTTCGGCTTCTGCGACGCCGTTGACGGGCCAGGCAGCTCATCCCCTTTCCTCTTATTCTTCTGACCGGGGCGAAGGAAGTTGCCCATGGGACCTTCATGCAGATACCCGTCCTCGTCCTCCTCGTCTGTAGTCCCTTCGAAGTAGGAGTCATCCCACATGCTGGTGTCCTTGTGCTTCAACTTCAAGACCTGTGCATGTGCTGCGTCCTCGCCTGAACCCGGGATCTCCCTCAGCGGCGCAAGCTCGTCCGTCGCCTCCCTCATCTCGCTCGCACTGCGCCGCGGCGGCTTGCGCTCCCTCTGGCCGAGTACTTCTTCACCGTGCTCGCTGACGGCGCCGCTCATGCCTTTCGCGCGGTCTTTGGACGGCTCGTCCTCATCGCGCGTGTTCGCTGCGTGCGTGTCCGCGAAATGGGTGTCGCAGAGATGTTTGATTACCGGCCAGCCGTATGCATTGGCAAACATGCGGCGCACGACGATGTTGTTGTGTGCGTCGGGTTCGAGGCGTACAAGGACCTTACGCCAGGAGAGGTCTTTGTGGTAGGCGCGCGCTATCTTCTCCTCGACACGCATGCCGGAGGAGTCTATGGAGCCTGCAGAAGCATTCGAGTGGGTAGAGTTGCCGCTGTGATCGCTGGAGAAGGAGCGGCCGAGACGAGTAGGACGTTTCATCGGCGGCGGTGGAATGTCTTCGGGATGGTAGACGCGGTCGTGAAATATGGTGCGGGCGCGGGTAGAAGGATCAATGATCCATGACCTAGGGGGAACAGGAGGGTTGAGGAGATCGCCCGCTGATTCGAAGATGGTGGTCTTTGGTGGCGAGAAGGGGTTTGCAGGATCTTCGACTATTGAGTCACCGCGCGTGGCTGGGGGGCGTTTGGATGATCGTTCCTCGCCAGCGTTCTCGGATGTGTTGTCTCTGCCTGCTTCAGCTGCTTGTTGCGCTTGGATAGTCTGGCTGCGCTGGTACATCCTCTTGTCATTCTTCGTGGAGTTTGTGCTCGGTCGGAAGAAGTTTAATATCCCGTCGAGGGTCAGCGCAGGCGGCATTAGACCACCCGAGGTTTTCTCCTTGACTGGGGCATCCTCGTGGCCACTGGCCGCACGCTTTTGATTCTGTAAGAATTGATGCGCCTGAGGCTCGTTTTTTGCCGTCGCTGCCTGAGACTCATCATCCTGGTTAACAGCCTGATCTGAAGGTTGAGGGACTTCGTCTTGGTCTTTCGGAGGCGATTCTTGGCTGACACTGCTTGGGCTCTCCAGGCTATTGACGTCGCCTCGAGATGGAAAGGGTGATGGATATTGCCCAGTAAGCTCCGACCAACCCCAGGTAGCAACTGTGCCTATCAATCCGTTCTCTCTTCTAGCTTTCTCCACCTTGCCAAGACCTCGCCAGTCAAGGAAGAGCAGACAGCTTGTGCGCAGTGGAACAATGCCGTCATTAACAACATTAGAATATGTGGTCCGGTTGCGAAACAGGCGCAGGACGTGGTGTGCTGGACCAGTTGGGAGGATCCGCAGCAACGGCTTTTTGCCCGGATCATCCTCGTCCTGATCCTTGTTCCCGGCACCTAAACCGCCCATAACGGCAGCCCAACCACTCTTAACGAGCGTAGGAGGTCGCCAGCTTAACCCAAGGTCTTGACCGGTACGACCAACGAGGCCAAAGTCCAGCGCGAATTTGACGTACATCGGGTTCTCATTGCTCAAACCCAACAGTGGTGAGGCCATGCAAATGAAGTTGACGGGCCGAATGTTTTCGAAGAACTGCGGCGAGTGTTTGTGTATGTAAGCAATAGCGTACGTCTGTACCAAGCCACCGAGCGAGTGTCCGATGAAGCTGATGCTGGTAAACTTATATGGCAGTTGCTCTCCACTAGGAGGCGGCACACGCCGCCCTGAGCTTTTCGTAGGCTGCGGCATCCCTGAATCTTTGTCCTTGGATGTAGAGAGCGTGTTGGATATCTTCTGGGCCACAGTCTTCTTCGTTGGGAGGAATGGCTGGTCGGGATAGGTCATCTCCAAGACGAACCTTGCCAGCCGCTTGCCGAGGTATTGGATTCCTCGTTCTGTGCGTATTGCGTTTCCATTGAAGCCGCGAACGACAACTTCCTCCTCGTCACCACTGTCGTCGTCATCGTCTTGCTTGATGTCTTCTTGGCCACCGGACAACGGTGCTGTGGACGTGTCTTTCTCAGCGTCAGGCTGAGCCGACTGGGCCTGGCCATCCAGATTCAGTCCGGTATCCTGGCTTGTGGCTTCCCCGGCCGCGTGTCTCCTCCGTCTTGCGCTATCACGCGCCTGTCTAGCTGTGGCGTCTATGCTCTCCTTCATATACAACATGTCTGCGCCGAGGTTGCTGTGCAAGCCATGGGTCAAGACGACGAGGTGTATATTCCTCTGCTTCTTTGTTGTCCGACGTACGTGATGGTGACTACCTCTGCGTTCATGGAAATGGCGGCGATGATCATCTTCTGAATTTCTGGTGTGCTCCTCATCCCACTCTGGTAATGCCGGTTTGTCCCATAGACTTGTGGTATCGTCGACTACCAACTTCACGGCTTTCGAGTAAACACCCTTTGGCTGTGCTGGATGACCCGTATGCCCGTGCTTGCCCTGCTGATGATCATGCACCTGTCCTGACTCATTCCGCCCTTGTCTGGGCACAGCTGCGAGCCCCAGGTCCAGCGACCGTTCGTCTCTGCTAACCAGCAGCTCAAAGTTGACGGACGCGGAGTTCGAGAAGATGATTTGCGACGTGATTTCGATGATCCAGGTCACGCTCTTGAACTCGCCATCCGCTGTCCGCTTGAGGTTCGCCCTTCCGCCTGTTTCGCGAATGTCTTCCGGTACAGTGAGCTGGGCGGTCCAGGCGCCCCCGGCTTTCAGATTGGGCTCGAATTCCGGAGCACCATCGCGGCGTGTATTCTCGACCTTTAGGTTCGGGTTGAAGGTGGAGGGATACGCTGCTACGTGAAGGGTGTAGGGGCCGTGAAGGTAGGCGGCTCGGAGCGCAATCGCTGAGGTATTCCTGATACGGACATGGAGGTGAGCTGGAGACGGGAGGATGCGGTCCGAGGCAGGTGTGTATGTGAGCGTGTATCTGCTCTTGTTAGCCCAGTTGCATATCAAAGCTCTAGCATGATATCCTTTCACCTCACTAACTCTCCCACCTTGACCGTCCCTGTTTGGTGTACGAGCAGCATCTTCCGGAAGTGCCGCTGAGCTACGGCTTTCTCATCCCAAGAGGAAGAGAGCGACAGGAAGCCCGGTTGCGTCTTTCCACAGCCTTTGTCTGGTGTTTTGGCTAAGTCGTATGTCCTCGGTGTAAGCAGCATTCATGAAGCGCGCCGGAGTGAGCTGATGAGCCTGAGGCCGTAAAATCTCCGTTCAACAAGGTAGTTTGACGTTCAATCTTGAGCAAGCAGCCCTGCACTGATGAGTTTATATTAAACCATCGATCAGAGGGCTACTGCATGAGGTCGTGATTTCTCAATATCATGAGGACTTCAGTGTTCAGAAAATGTGACTGCGTGCGGCGCATCACGCGCGAGTTGCAGACAGATGCACAACTGCATCACAAGCTCAAGCTATTCGAGCTCAGGGATTCAAAGACATCTCAAGTGATCAATGCACTAAAGGGCTACAGTGCTGAACATCTTATGCTTTCTTCGTATGCAATCGGTTTCGCTATCCTCCAATCGACACGAGCATGAATCCAGCTCAGCCGCGAATCTGGCATTAAACAAGCTAGGGCATAGATGCTGCAATGGACTTTTCGAATGGCCCTTGAGGCTCCAACTTCAAGCCAAACATCAGTGACCTGTATGCAGGTATTTAACTCAGCTGGCTAAGTGACGCCAACTCTATCCACATGGCGGAGAGGCGAGTTGGTACTGCGTGGAACCATTGCTCATCATCCGTCGATCACTTCCATCAATAATTTTATCCATAATTCCATCATCAATGATTCCATACTGGTGACTTGCCCGTATTACACAGGCTGACTCCAAGTCTTCCGCTTCCATACAGAGGAGAACAACTTGCTTGCTATCAGAAGCGGTTCCGCGTCTCCCCTTTTATCAGTGACTCTTTTCTCTGCTTGAAAGCTCGGATCCGGACACATATCCCTTCATCAATCATGCTTTGATCTTGGTACCAGTACCTTTCCCAATGAGCATGGCACGGTCTTATAGTCGAAGTATGAGAACGACTCAGCGTGCTGTGTCCAGGCGGAGTGCAGCCGCGTCTACGGTCATCTAGACATTTGCTGGGCTTGGTATTAATGTTCAGCCTTTCTCAAGTCCCCTTACCAGACTAACCTTCCTATCGGAAACTAGTTCAAGTTTGACCGAAGTTCAAAGGGGTTTGGGGAGGGAGTGGTCATGGCGATGTATTCCAGACACAACGGTGAGAGGCTTTGCTTTTTGTTGAAAAGGTGGACTCATCGGATGTCTAACGTTTCATTTCAAAGAGGAAGCCAAAGAAAGCGCCACGTCAAGAAGGACCTGCATCTCTCGAATATGATGGTGCTGTTTGTTAGGCACTCTCTATTGTTGAGTGGTTTGTAGGGACCTAGCATTCACCACTGTAGAGATCAGCTGATTGACTGAAGTGAACAAGTTCATTGAATCTTGCTCCCCACTTCCTTCGCTTTCTCCTCACAGTACAAACGCGTAGCCGCGGACAGAACGCGAAAGGTCCGCTTTCCACTTCCTGTCACCCGCCGTGATGCGTTTAGCAAACCCTCGCATAAGATAACTTCATGAACAGTGTTCACCTCTCGCGTCACTCCTTCACGTCTTCTCGCCCCAAGAGGCTCCAACCGATCATCCAATATTCATCACTACATCCCAGTGCTCGAATCAGTCAGCCATGTCGGAGCAAGATAGAGAAAGCGAGCCCGTGCCTTCGCCGCCCGCGCAAACCTCAGACGACAGAGTCATCCTTCGAGTCGGCGACCGCCGCTTCACCACGACCAAATCCACCTTGACGGACGGAAGCGACTGGTTCCGTGCCTTCTTCTCCGGCCGGTGGAACCATGCGCTGATGGACGGAGCATACTTCATCGACGCCGATGGCGACCTTTTCGAGCACATACTGCGGTACCTGCGACGTAAGGTCTTTCCCATCTTCTACGACAACGCGAAGGGTCACGATCACGCCATGTATCTCGCGCTGATGAAAGAAGCGGAGTACTACCAAATCGAACCGCTGCGGCGCTGGATTGAGGATAAGAGCTACCGGACAGCCGTCGTAGTATGGTATTCTGTTAAGGTGTGCAGAAATTACGACGGTTCCAATGAGCTCTTCCCAAGCAATCACGAGATTCAGCACATCCCTTTCTTTGAGGAGGAGCAGGTTTACATCTGTCCGCGTGGCATTGCACTTCACAGGGGAAGACCGGGAGCCTGCGGAAAGCAGTGCAAGAAGGTCCAGGGCGATACCGAGGACATCTATGTGACTGAGGAAGTCCTCAAGATGGTGGTTATCGAGAAGAGGACCACCATCCTGCGGGATTCATGTACGGAGCTTGCGGACTGGAGTGATCAGGACACGCCCCTTTAACAGAATCAGTGGCTGGTTTTTCGCCTTGCTTGCGTCAGGCTCAACTGTACATTATGCGAGTGGCGACAATGTTTCTCGCTGTATGAGATCTGATGGTTAGAGCTGGTGCTGGGAGAGTGAACAGTGGTCCATGTTCATTGTCGAAGCTACACGTTGAACTACCAAAGCAGCTAGACAACATCATACTGGAGGCTTCTCACGATTGTGAGAGGCTTGAGTCCTTGTTATCACCGCTCGGGGATTACGCTTGACATAAGCTTGGTTTATGAGATTCATACGCTTCCTTTCCCAAGTGATGCAGACCCTAACATGCGACTATGTGGAAGCAGTCATTGCAAGTGGAGCGGATATCATCAGCCTGCTCCGTGTGTCCCAAGCAAGTACTGGCTGATCCGTATGGCCTTGGATTCCGCTCCATACAGTGATCCAATGTGAGAAGTAACGACAAGCCTTTGATCGCCACGGTGACGAAACTAATACACATGGTTCAAATCTGCTGAGAGCAATGCGAGGAAGTTGTTGAGAAGGTTAAAGTTCGAGCTCAAACTCCCAGGTTGCCAACATCTATACTACCGCACGTCGAACTGTGCGAGAGGACAGAGTATTGCAGCACAGCATCAGTCCATGACCGTCCTCAGGACCTCAACTCCATGAAACTCTTGTACAAGCAAGCAGCGCAGTCAAAACCAGATAGTACAATCCACGGGACAGATATTAACTGCTCGTTCCATCGACAGAGCAAATCCAACCATCCCACATGCAGAACTACAGCGACATCGCCGTAGATGGCCCAGCCAGATGAGGAGCTCAACCATCTAATCTTCAGAACATCACAAGGGCGGTACAGGAGTGCTCAGCCAGGTGAGTGACGTGACGAAAAGAAACCATGCAGATCCAGGGACAAACTTCAAAGGCTTGCAAGATTGCCATGACGAGTTGAGCAGTAGCTGCAGCGGAATGTGATATTTGCTGAGCCCCGGCTGTCCGGCTCAAAGCACCCATTAAAATTCTGACCGCAATGCCTGCACTCCTGCCACTTGTCTGGCTCAGCTATTACAGCCTGGAACTTGGTCTTGAGTCTCTGGTAATCCTCGCGCAGTTTGGCTGCGTTGGTATCCTGCGCAGTCAAAGCCGTGTTCTTCCTTTCGAGGTCTGCCCTCAGAGCCCATAGGACGCGGTACTGGTCGTTTAGCCGAGTGACTTCATCCTGCTGCTTACTTAAGTCGGAAGTCCTCTGCTTCAGTTCCGCCTCCAGGCTCCAGTATTGCCCACGCAGCCTGGCGAGCTTGGCCTGCTCAGCTTTCAGATTGGAAGTCTCGCTTTCGAGCTCCGCGGTAAGGGTGTCGTATCTCGTCTTGAGCTGTTCTAGATCCAAAGCCTTCTTTCTGCCTGCCTCGGCCTCGACCTCTATGCTCTTTATGTGGCGGAGCAGAGCATCTATCTTCCAATCGAGAGGTAAGAGGTCGCCCGTTTGAGGGAGCTTGTTGATGTGCTTCCTCGTCCAGACGGCCAGCCTGAGCTCTTCAAACGATAGCTGCTGGTACTTGGGCACAGATGTGATGCTTTGATATAGGTCCGTCTGCCCGTCAGCTCCGTCTGTGTCTTTCTCGGTCCAAATGGTCGAGATCCCCTTGATGCCAACAAGCCCTGAGCTTGCAATGATTTCAGCCCTCCGCATAATGGCTTGCATCTCACTGTACTTCTTCTTCAATTCAGCGAGCTCAGCATCTGCATTGGCGAGACTCGTCCCGTGAGCACCCTTCTGCATACCCATCTCTTCCTGGTGGGCGAGTCGTTGAGCTACTACTTCTTGTTCATGAGTGCGTCTTTGCTCGTCCATCTCATCCATGAGGGTGCGTATTTGGAGATCTGTGTCTCCCTTGGTGCCCTCCGCGATCATGGCAATGAGCAGTTGGCCATCTTGCGCGGTCAAGATGACTGCAGCAAGACCGGGAACCTTGTGAAGCAAGGTCTTAAATTCCGGTTTTCTCATGAGGTCTGGCAGATTCTCAGTACACACCTCCGCGAAAAGCCTACGGAGGCCGTCCTGTTCCTCTGATTCCGCCGCACACTCCGTGATCTCGTAAGCGATCTCGACGATGTTCAAGAACTGTGGCAGGCTCCACGCCGCTGCTGCGTCCCGCGTGATCTTCTCCGTCGCAAGGCCCGTCAAGTCTGTCAGCTCGAACGCTTCAGCCAGTGCATGGACGCGCATGTTGTTGAGCAGTCTTGTGACGATAAACTGGTCTTTGGGTGCATCTTCTTCTTCATGCACAAGACAAAGCTGCTTCCCGTCGTCGCTGTGGGTTGCGGGGGGACTAGATGGTGCGGTGGTAGCGGTTGTCGTTGGTGTGAGGAGTTGTGAGGTAGGCGAGCGTTCGACAACTGGATCAACCGCGAAGTCGGCCTCGTCATCATAGTTGTCGTTGTACAGGTACTCGAATAGCCTGTGCACCGTCGAAGGGTCGTAGAGGTCGTCAAGCTTCACGTCCTTCGCACCGTCACACTATCATGGAGTTAGCAGGGCGCGCTTCACGAACGCGACGGTGCGTGAAAATGGCTTACGTTCTGAGCTTGCTCCCATGCCTGCTTCAGGTACAAGCTTTTCTTGCAGACGACGATGCGATGGAGCTTCCACAGGTAGTCGCGGCATGAAATGGTGATGTCGCTGAACTCTTCGTCGCCGAAGCTAAGAGATATCGACATCGTGTATCTGCAGGAAGAGAACAGTAGGTGGCCGGTCGGAGTTGGTGAGATTTGGCCGAAGAGAGAACTGGAGAGATCAGAAGTTGACGTCACGTTGCCGCATCTTCACTCCAATATCAAGTTCACGATTGAGCAAGACTCGTGATGATGGCAAGGGGAAAACAACAGAACCGGTTTCGCACGGTAGAGAACACCAGACGTTCTAGCAGTTCAGCTTTCTGACAATCAATCGAGTAGTATCTCTTCGGTCTACAAGGTTTGTCTAGGTTGTCCACCTCAAGGTCCATGAGTGGCATTCAATGCGGCAACGTACTTTTTGTGAATGCTTAATCTGATAGTGAGGTTCACGCAGCGATGGAACACGTGAGACAGTTCGCAAGTCAGAGTTCGACCAATGATTTAAGGTGGGAGAGGCTGAAAAGGTTGACAGTAGGTCATGGAGGCTCGACTCGGAGTGAAGCACACAAAATTGTCGATAGGTAGAATTGGTTTCAAGTCGTCAAGCTCCGTGGATTTAGTTTCATAGATGTTGGAGTTGTGGAAGGTCCTACCTTGCGCCTTGTCTAATGCTGACACATTTATCTGCGTCCAACGTTGGAGATGCAGCAACGTCAAAAGTGCAGGACGACGGCTATCAAATGCTCGCCCTCCTCGGCGCCATCGTCCGCCGCAGATTCCTCTCCTTCTCCTGCTCGACCGCAGGCAACGTCCCCTCCTCCCTCAGCTGCGCCAGGAAAGTCTTCCCATACTCATAGCCCACGCGATAGATCTCATCAAACTTCGCGAAATCCAGCGTCCCATACGCATCAATAGGCGGCCGCATATATCTACAACCCGGCGTCGTCTTCGCGCGCTCCAGCGCATCAGCGCTGGACACGTACGCCAGGCGTGCCTGTATCTCAGACAGAGTGGGAGGATTCGGGTATGAGGAGAACGGGTTCCACCGGTTCAACAGCAGCCAGAAGCCGGACAGCGAATCGCCAAAGTTTTGAGGTGTGTTGTCGTATAGACTGCCGACGTCGACGGCGAAGATGACATCTGCACCCAGCGACTTCATGTGTGCGACGGTCAGGTTGTCGATGTAGCCACCGTCGAGCAGCATGTTGCCCTGATCACATAGTGGCGGGATCATGCCAGCAAGCGACATGGAAGCACGTACGTAGCGCCACACGTAGCCGCTCGTGTGGATCTCGGATCTGCTTTTGCTGATGTTGGTCGTATTACAGTAGAATTCGAGCCAGAAGTCTTCGATCTGAGAGTTGCCGAACGTCTTGAAGATGCCGCGGTTGAACTCGTGCCCGGTGGTGTAAGACGCGCTCGGATAGGTGAGGTCGAGGGCGAACCTCCACATGCTGCCCATGCGGCCTGCGAACTTCTTGGCACGTCCGTACATAGGTACGACATCTGCATCCCAGGCGTAGAGTGCGCCGATGAAGGAGCCGATGGATGTGCCTCCGATGATGTCTATGGGTATTCCGGCTTCCTCAAGGGCCCTGATAATGCCAACCTGCGCAATACCTCTGGCCCCTCCGCCACCGAGGACCAGGCCAACAGATTTGCCGCGCAGACGACGAGCTAACCTATGAAAGTCGCCTTTGTACGGCGTCTCTGCTGAGTAGAGCGGCGTCTGGCGAAGCTTGCGAGATGTGTACTTCTGTATCTCAGCCTGCAGGACCTGCACCCGCTGCTTCAGTACAGAACCGAACCGCCTGCCCTGCGAGTGTACCGGTTCCGGCGTAGTCCGAAACGACATCTGGATATGGTGATGACTACCGTTGACCCATACGCGGTTGCGCAACCACCTGCGGGTCAGTCCAGGCGGGCAATACCTTTCGGGATGGAGCAGGACGAGCTCCTTCCGGGCGGTGGTCTTTGTTGTAAGAAGGAAGCGCTCATACTCTCCTATATTTGGTGATTGCTCAGCGAGGCTTACAAGTAGTATGCAGTCGGCTTGGCTGATGCACGTCTGCGTCCACGGTGATTTGACATTGGTGTCGGCAACGTAGAGGACGAGTCCGTATTTCTCCTCCAGATCCGCGAGGTACTGCGAAAGCTTGAGCTTGCCCATCCGATTGAAGGCATGTCGCCCGAGGTGATTTAGAATGGCCGCTTGGTTAAGTGACACTACACCATTCGGTGTCTTGATCTCATTCAATGCGTGGAGTAACCGGCTGCCGAATTCAACAACAGGCACGCCTGCTGTCACAGGAAGTATCGCAACTGTTCTTAGATTGACGTTGGATGAGACGTTGTTCCTCGAAGCGGCTGCTGTTCGGTCTTTGCTCTTGCCGTCGAAGAGTGGATCATCGATCAGTGCTCTCATGCGCGTTGCTATAATCTTCGAGATCTTGATCGTAATCCCGGGGTGCTCCAGCGCGAGACTGTTGAACAAAGTCTTTGGTAGCTTGGCGAGCTCCGTGTCACGGATAGCGTGCAGTGACCCAGGTCTAGCGGTCTCGGTCAAAACCTCGAGTTCGCCCACGCTGTCGCCTTGGCCGAATTCCCCAATCACCTTCATTCCGTCGTTCTCGCCTTCTTGGATGGCTCTTAGCCGCCCGTTGAGAACGATGTAAATAGCATCACTGTCGTCGCCCTGGTTGAAGATAACCTGACCAGCATTGACTTGCACCCATTCTAGAGCAAAGTCAATATGTAGGATCAGTCTCGGTAGCAGAGTAGTCAGTCGCTTGGCCATAGTGAGAAGGACGACAGGGTACCTCTCGACAATCCTCTCAATCGAAGCTCGTGGCAGAAATCCTACGTAGACGTCTGTTTTCGCTGTAACATCGACGAATGATCTGTACGATGAAATTGTGCCGAGGTAACCCGCAATGCCTCCCGGCTTGATGAGAAATAGACTTTTCCGGACTGAGTTCTTTTTCTTCCTACCGCTAAGCGGCCCAATGGAGCCCGTCCGCGTTGATCCTGAGGGAGTTCGCTGCAGAGGCCCGCCAAAAAGCTTGAAAGACGCCAAGCCAGCGTCCGCAGGAGCTGCGTCAGACATGTTGGATTCACCGCCTTGATCTTCCACCGGTACTCCTACGTCGAGGAATCCATCAATAACATAGTAGAGGCCTGGATTCCTCTCCCCCTGCTCAACCAGCACAGACCCCTTTGGGAAGAACACGATCTCGACATCACTAACGAGCTCTTCCAAAATGTTGCGGTTATTGGTTGTACTCATCGTCGACAAAGATATCGAAGCAGCTGATTCCGAGTCCCCGTCAATTGAAGCCTCGTAAGGATCAATAAATCCGAATGCATTGCTGAAGACAGCCTTTTGCCGCCTTGAGTCGAAGGAGACCAGCCTGGGTGACTGCTCTACCGACTCGGGTCTGATCATGGTATCCCTGAGATTAGTAAGACCAATGGCTTTTAGCATACAATCCAATATTGACTCCCGAAAGATCGCATCCTCATCGATGGAATCTTGTCGTTGGAGAGGTATCTGCCCTCTTACCGGCGCAGAATATGGGTTGAAGTTGCCTTGGTCCAATGGTGTGCGAGGGTCTCTTCGAGGTGGCAGTGGTGACTGATACGGCTGCGAAAAACTCATCCGGCTGTGCCGACCTCCAGCTCGCGGGAGGCTATGGTTGGTTAAAAGATCACCTATGCCAGCTGGATTAGCCAAGACGGTCCGCATTATCGAAGAAATCCGACTTCATCAAAGAATCTTCAGCCCCACGGGGGAAAGAGAGAGTGGAAGGCTAACGGAAAACTGTGTGATGAGTAATGAAGAGTTCAAAGAGAGCTCCAACGGACACACCTGCACTGATGCCCATCCGCTCCAGGTCCGGCGGGCTATTCCCACAATCTAAATGGCGGGCTGTAGAAGATTGCCTACGGTCAGCAGCTTGGCTCGCTTGCACGGCAGCTCCTCTGCGTAATGAATCGCCTGGACGCTTAAGTCTGGAACCGGGGTTGTGTAAGGCAATGCCCTTCATGCCTTCCTCTGGTCCAATGCGTTCGCGTTCCTGAAGTTGGTCAGTCGCGGCGTCGTTTGTGAAGGACTGAAGCATGTACCTTGGCAAATTTTTCCTTGAGCCGCTCAAGAGCAGCGTCCTTCAAGAAGCCAGGTAAGTCATACGTGGTGTATTTGTTCATCAGCTTTTCCGTCCTCAGGACCTCGCTGGTGAGCCCAAGATATGCATGGCCTGTGGCTAGTGTAACACGCTGCAGTCTGGTGAGTATAACCTGCACAATGTGGGCAGTGGCCTTAGGATAAACTCTTGTGAGTCGACGAAATGCTGTGGCGGGGATGATTGCAATGGTGGTGTCTACGGTGGCCCTGGCAACAATGTCCGGATGGGCTGATTTTCTAGATCTCGAGCGCGACGCAGGTTGCTTTTTGACTCCGTTGGGCATACGTGCTGCAGTTGCCGTGTCTAATGAGAGTGGCGGTATGACTGGTAGTGTACCGCGCGCAGTAGGACTTGCCAAGCTTGACGCTCGCCTGTCCCTTATTCCAGACTGAGAAGGCGTTTGAGGTGTATGCATGGGAGTCGCCACGCCAGATCCGGGTGTGGCAGATCCCATTCCAGCATGGCTTGATTGAGGCCTTTTTGATCCGTTACCGCCACTGGGGAGGCCAGACTCGAGATCGTCGGCTTCATCCTCATGTCGGAGCTTAACGTCTTCAGTGAACAAGGAGAGAATTGAAAACAACGATGACATGGGTGCTCCATTCTTGACCTCGGTCAGTAACTGGTAGTCTTGGTTACGACCATGGCCTTCGTCTTCATCGTGGGACGTCTCAGCTGACGCCGCGTCGTCTCCTTCGAGAGGACGCTGGTTTGACTTTACGAAAATCTGCACCAGCCCATCGACAACAAGACAGAAGCCTTTCTCCTCTTCCAAAAGCAACGTCTCGCCCGCGATTAGCTTCCTCGTTTGCATCGTCCGAGTCAGCTCATGGAAAACAGGTCTTTCTAAGTAGCCAAACACTTTAATCGCGCTGAGAAACTCATCAAGATAGTTCGAGAGGCCGCGTTTCGAGTCGCCCTCGTGAGTGTCGGGAAAGACCTCTACTTGCGGTTCTTCTCGTTGCGGCTCGGAAGGCAATCGGGTGTACATATTCAGAAAGCGGTACCGCACGATCCAGCTTACGGCTGACCCAAACCCTACGAAGATTACAAGTCTACAGGATGTGTCAGTTCTTATTCGGCTGTGGGTCTGATGGTGCTTACAGCGTTGTGAAATTCATCGTGACCGTCAGGCTCATCGACATAAGAGTGAACAGCCATGTTGGCAGAGTGATTGTCGTGAAAGCAAGAACCCAATATAGCGCACCAGGGATTACTCTGAGCACAGCAAGAACAACTCGCCCCAGAAAACCTAATGATGAGGGACTATCTAGGGGTGCTGCAGTCTCCAAGGCGCCAACGGTTCTGGCGATGATGTCGGATGCATTTTGCGAGAGCGAGGCTGAAGCTTCCACAGTCGCCATGGCTAGCGGCTCCTCCAGCTAGAACGAGAAGCTGCTCAAAGCTACACAGGCTGCATGATTAATGGATCGATAGTTACCTTATACTCGTATGTTGAAGGCAACGTTTTGATGCTCGGCGCATGTGACATGCGGCGGAACCCCGGCTCTGTCGCGAACTTGCGCGCCGAGCTCTCTCAAGGTTTGTGCTGCGCGCCGGAGTGCTTTGGCATTCGAATCGATACACAACATGGGCGCATTCAAGGAGGAGAACCTGATCGTCATCGCGCCTGGCTCGGCCACCACTCTCGCTGTTGCGGGGCTAGCGGAATCACTTGCGCCGGCCAAGCTGCGTGTCAAGTCGCGCATGTTTCCAGCAGAAAACGGAGAGTGGGAACCCTTCAAAGTGCGCCGGAAGACGGCAGAAAACCAGCAGCCGGAGCAAGAGCCCGCGTACGAAGAGGATGTCATGTCTGAGGAGGGCGCTGTATGGCCGATGGTGGAGGGCAGGATCGTGAACTGGCCCTGTTTCTTCGCGCTCATCACACACGTCTACAACACACTCAATCCGCCGTTTCATACACCTATATTACTCGTTGCGCAGCCCGCATGGACAAACAAAGAGACAGAGAAGATCACGCAGTTCTTCTTCGAGAAGTTCAAAATACCCGCTTTTGCCTTGGTGGACTCGGCCACGGCAGCCTGCTGGGCATATGGCACGAACACGGCTACGATTGTGGACATAGGCTGGCAGAAGGCCGACGTGACAGTAATCTACGACTATGCGGTACAAAGTGCTGGGAGGTCGATAGCGATAGCGAACTGCGGAGGAGAAGCGTTCACGGAGCGGCTGCTAGAACTGCTGAAGCCAAGGGGGTTCACGAGAGAAATGTGCGAGCAGCTGAAGAGGAGCCCTATCTGTGAGGTATTACCACCTGGCACACCTTTGCCAGGATCCTCAGCACCAGACCAGGAGCAAGTTACAAATCCTGCGGCAGCTGCTTCAACAGGAGCAAGCGCATCTGGCCCTGCCGCCGCAGCAGCAATAGGGACAGGGCCGAGGGGACCCGGTCCGGACACCGAGGTCGGTGAGGAGCAGAAGGACGAAGAGGACAATGAAGGTGTGCTGGACGTAGCAAGCATTGTGGCTGGCGGCAAGATGAACGAGTATCTGGCGAAGAAAGAGAAAGAAAAAGCCGAAAGGTTGGCGGCCAAGAAGAAAGGAGGCGATGCCGCGGCGACAGCAGCAAAGCCGGTCCGGCTGCCGAATGCGAAGAGGGATCGAGCGACGTTCATGTACGAAGACCACGCGCTGCTTGATTCACTGAAAAACATGAATCTCAGCGGCAAGATGATGGCAGAGGCCCAGGCCGCGCTGGACGAAGGACCCAACAAAAGACAGAAGACACCGGAGGCGGTGGCTGACGGCGAGAGCCTAGCAACGAATGGCGAGCCGACGTCAGCAATCGAGCCGAATGGTGTCTCCAGCCACTCTGGGTCGCGCGCTGGGCCTATCCGGAGAGAGATAGAGGTAGGCGTTGAGCGATTCCAGGCTGCGACGGGTGGTGTCCTGGATAGGATCGCCGATGCAATACACCGTACTATCGCCGCCGAGATGGTACAGCAAAGGAGCCAGCTTTGGGACTCGTTGATAGTCGTCGGTAACGGCGCCAAGCTCAGAGGTAACTAGGTTTTCTATTACGCTGCATACCAAACTAACAGAGACTAGGCTTCAAAGAGGCGCTCATGTCAACTCTCCAGTCTAAGTACCTGATCTCACCTTCCTCCGCCACGATTTTCACTTCCGAGCTCCCGTCGCACATGACGACACCCACCGGCACCGGCGCGAATACACCTCAACCTCAACTCGGTCTCCACGGCGGCGGATCCAGTAGTGTTAACCCACTCCTCCTCGCCGCTACTACCGCACAAACCCAACATCTAGCGCCTCCTCACATGCCCTCGTCACAGATGCAACATACACAGTCGTCGCATCAACAAACCCCGCACAGCATCAAGTTTGCGAAAGTGCCAGACTACTTCCCGGAATGGAAGGATTTCGGCTACGACGAGGCTGGTTTCTTAGGCGCGCAGGTTGCGGCAAAAGTGCTGTTCGTGGTTGATACCAATCAGAATCAGAAGGGCTACATGACCAGGAGCGACTACAACGAGCAAGGTCCATCGGGTATCCATGATTTCAGTCTATGAATTGCTGCGTTGCGGGGTTGGAGTTTGGAAAGCCTGAAATTGGCCTGGGTCGTGCATCTGGAGGAGTTAGAGGTTCATTGATACATACCATGTATGTCGTGATGGAGCGCGGTTTCACCTGACAGGAAATATGTTGGCACATCCCATGTGTGACCTTTCATCGTCCGACCTACGAAATAGTGATCATGAATAGTAATATCTCAAAGTTTGACAATCGAGAGGTTGTATCGAAATCAACACCACGTGCACAGGCCAGGGATATCTTCGGAGCACGCCGCGCACCGCCGCCTCGAATCTAGCATCCCGCCAATCAAAGCCGTGCTATTGACCTCTTTCCTCTTCAGCCCTGCGGCGCCAATACCTAGGTACACAGACGTGGCAGATAAAGATGGCTAAACACCAGCAACTATCCGCACCTTTTCCCTCTGCACTTCTTTTGGAGCCTCGCCCTTCTATAGACATCGCACACCCCTCAGTTGGATTTTCTTGTAGACGATGGCTGCCGCGCAGAAAATTAAGCGGACAGTCTACGTGGGACCGTTTGTGCATAGCCAATCTTTGCAGAAGCTTGATATCTGTCCTACTGGTGCTATCGGTGTAGACGAGAATGGCAAGATAGCTTTTGTAGAAAGAGACGTCAAGGATGTTGGGGATGTGATACCGGTTACGCAGAAGTATGGGTGGCAGAACTCGCAGATCGTTAGGATAAAAGACAATGGATTTCTCTTTCCTGGCTTCATAGGTGGGTGCAGTACCTTTCCGATGCATTAGAGTCACAACATCTGTCATTTCCAAAGTCAGACATTTCCGCGAATTTCGTGATGTCGGAGTTACAAAAACAGAAGAGGAGTACTCTCAAGATCAATTCAAATCCAGTCATCGCCTTACTCAAGTCCTGTCATGCGGGTCATAGAAGAAGTTCTAGCAGCAACAGCCACATCTATGTCATATCCTTCCTGATAGCTGATTGCGCACACCACCCCAAGACACCCACATCCATGCCTCTCAATACCCAAACACCGGCATCTTCGGCAAGTCGACCCTCCTTGACTGGCTCAACGACTACACCTTCCCGCTCGAATCCAGCCTCTCGGACCTCTCCAAAGCCCGCCGCGTCTACAACCGCGTCGTGGCCCGCACCCTCTCCCACGGCACCACCACCGCAGCCTACTACGCCACCATCCACGTGCCCGCCACCAACCTGCTTGCCGACATCTGCCTCGCGCGGGGCCAGCGCGCCTTCGTCGGCCGCGTGTGCATGAACGCCATGAGCCCGGAGTACTACCGCGACGAGAGCGTCGAGGCCGCTATGCGGAGTACGAGGGAGTGCATCGAGCACGTGAGGGGCATCGATCCGGGATTCGAGATCGTCTCGCCGATTATCACGCCGAGATTCGCGCCTAGCTGCACGACGGAGTGTTTGAGGGAGCAGGGAAAGCTGCATAGGGAGACGGGGATTCCGTGCCAGACGCATATTTCGGAGAACAAGAAGGAGATTGAGCTTGTGAAGGAGCTGTTTCCGGAGAGCAAGTCGTATGCGGATGTGTATGATAGCGCGGGGTTGCTGACGGAGAAGACGATTTTGGCGCATGCGGTGCATTTGACGGAGGAGGAGAAGGCGTTGGTTAAGGAGCGGGAGGCGAAGATCAGTCATTGTCCGGCTAGCAATACCGCTCTAACGTCCGGGTGTGCGAGGGTACGGCAGTTAATTGACCAAGGCATCACGGTCGGCTTGGGGACGGATGTCAGTGGTGGCTTCAGCCCGAGTATGCTAGAGATGGTGCGGCAGGCTGTGTGGGTTAGTAGGCATGTTGCCATGACCGATGGAGATCAGGCGAAACTGTCGATGGAGGAAGCCTTATATCTCGCCACACGGGGCGGTGCAAAGGTTGTTGGCCTTCATCAGAAGGTTGGAGGGTTCGATGTGGGAACGGACTGGGATGCTCAGATGATTAGCCTGGGAAGCGTTGCAGAAGATGGGTCAGCGAGCGATGAGATCCACGGCGACCCTGTGGACGTCTGGGGATGGGAGGAATGGGAAGATAGAGTTGCTAAGTGGGTATATAATGGCGATGACAGGAACACAGCCGCTGTCTGGGTGAAAGGCAGACTGGTGCACCAGAGACCGGGCTTCCAGCCATAACCGACTAGACAGATCGTTTGCTCGCAGATATCAGTCTCCTTGAAGGCGTAGATCCTCTCTAGTCGTGGGGGCAGGGCCATGATCGCGGTTACGTAGCCAGACACATAGCTTCCGAAGGCATTTCAGTCGCGGTGTCCTTCACTTCCACTTCAAAGACCGATTAAAGCTCGCTGTAAGCATCCGAGACATTCGGGTGGCGACATTGGAAATTCTGCATCTATTGATTGTCGCTCACGATCAAACGGCTGTTTCTACGAGGTTGAACTCGCGAACCGCACGCCCTTGGCCCTCACCTATGCTATATGCAAACGTCCCCGCTGGGTATATTGGCCTCCATCAATGCAGCCATCCACGCGTCCAACCATCGTTTCGAGAACTTCCCCCGACTCTCAATTAAGGCCAGCAACTCTGCCCCATTTGAGCATCTTGAAGCGGGAGATGTAATCATCGCGGTTGACTAGGGAGATCGCCAGATCAGCTTTTCTGAGAGAGCCTGGAAGGCTGATGCCACTCACTGTAACCGCCGCACAGCCGGCGCTTCCCCGTAAATGCTGATCTGCCGTGGAGCACTCGCCAGTTGTCGAAGACTGCTACGGTTAGCACGAAATCATCAGAAAGCTCTATGTGCCTACTTAGTGGCCTTCCTGGGCGAAGCTGTTTCCAATACTCGTACTGAGGCCGCTTGAGTAGCTTGTCCCACTTCCTTCTAAGCGTCAGCACGCCGCCATGCCCCGCTGGTAGGACCGTCGATACTTACGCAGCTGCATCGTACCAAGTCTGGACCTCTTCCAAGGGCATGTCAATCGCTGCTCTGTCCGATGAGTTCCATCTAATCTGGACCAGATGGTGGTGGAGCGGATCATGCTGCAAGACAGGAAACGACCGATATGGCTGGATACTGATGCCTTCGTTGCCGCTCGCATGGGTGTAGACATTGATCGTGCTAAGGACATCGTACGCCTCAGGATCTTCTCTCTGCAGGTCTGCTGCTGCCTGGAAGCCGTCTACAAGAAGCGAAGCACCGCCTTCGCCATCGGTGTGAGAAAGACAGTGGAACATCTGCAGGCCGGCCGGATCGGAAAAGTAGGTGTTATCCGTATGAGCCTCCAATCCAAGGCTCGTGTACGCCGTATCCTTAGAGGCAAGATCGGAGGTGAAGTCCCAAAAGCCGCCATAATGGGTGTGGCGGATGAAGGCGATTCGTCCAAGAAGTTCTTCGGTAGCCTCGGGTGTAGCTGGAGTACCATCAACGTAGCAGAAACCGTATCGGTGGAGCAGGGCCAGCCACTCGCCGACACCTTGGTCTGAGCCCATGACGTCTCGATACTTGACTTCAGGCTCGTTGTCCTTTATCTCGTTGCCCCACAATGAAAGACTGCTCAGACCTTGCCGCTCCCCGCTCTTGTTGCTGCGGCCACTCTTCGCCAGCCACTCGAGAGGATAGTAGCTTCTGTGGCCATCGTTCCATGTCACACGGATACCAGCTCCATCAGACTCGCACGACTTCACCGCTAGGTCTCTAGGAATACTGAAAGTGTCAAGTAGCCGCTGCTTTGTATCCGGATGAACACAGGTGGTACATTGGCAATGGTCTCTGAGCCAGACTTTCGGCACAGGAACGAAGCTCCGGGAAACATCAGAATAAACTAGGACTGCTTCGCCGTCTATGACCGGCCGTTCGAAGCTCGTGTCCTGGGGTGGCGTAGTCAAGATGTGGAATGGAGAGCCGTGCAAAAAGTCTCGCCCTGGGACACTCTCTCCGTTGGATGCGAGCACGCTTGCGGTCTGCTGCTGCCTTGCGGAAGTGGAGTGGTGCAGTTTACTAGTTCCCTGCGTAGCGATCTGACTGGCCCGCCATAACGGACGCTGAAAAGAAAGGACACGGCAAGCTTGAAGACGCTGAGAGGGGACGAGATTTTGAAAGGAGTTCTTGACTACGAATCCTCCTCTTGCACAGGAGCGAAACGTATTCATGGTTGCTATTGGTACTAAATACGCTGACAGAGCTTTCAGAAGGGGATGGGCATGGAGCCCAAGTCAATTGACGGTCTCAAAACGATATAGAAACCCGAAATGACTGATAAGAGCACAAACGTACTTCTTCGACCTCACATTAAAGGAACGGAGTACCAGGACCCGATCGGATGTCGTGCGGAGAGGTGAGGGTTGTTCCAAGCCTCGGCTATCGCCGGGGATACTTCCACCCACAATCCAATGTGGCCCAAATCCGTTAGAACAGCATTTCAGCAAAAAGAATACCTTTATGAATGGACCAAATTGCAAAAACACTGAGTCGACACCGATGGGACTCTACGAAGCATGTTAGAACTGTATGACATTGATCAGGCTCGAAATGCAAGCTTACCGAACCCACAATCTTTGCCAGACAGAGAGACCGGAAAGCAACGCCTTATCCATTAGGCCACGGTGCCCAATCATCGATTTGGAAATGAATTGGTCGTTATACAAATGAATATTATGAGAGCGGGGACATGCGGCCATCCAAGAGTATAACAGAGCATCAATCTGTATTAAATCTATCAACACTCAACAACACTATTATATGGACTTATCAGTATTAAACTAATTCCATCCTCCTATCCCTATAAGTGGCTAGATTCTTAAATTAATTTACATAGATTTGGGCGCGACGTCTGAGTTTGAATGTAGGTAAGTCAGTATCAGGTAGGGTGGCTTCGGCCATTTGCGTGGCCATCGTTTTCCGTGTCGCCCTTGGACTTAGTGACGCTCTTCTCACTTGTTGGCAAACCTATTTTCATCAGTCCAGAGGACACTTATGTAGTTCTCATAGGCCATTAGCGAAATTCTCTTTCTGTCTTCTAGAATGAAGTCTTTCGTAATCACTCAACTTTACTGGATCAAACAAGTATTCCACTGTCGATTTCGAGTGTTGCACACGCCTCCAGGGCCATCACTAATTTTCACAGCAACGCCCACGATTCTTGAACACATCTATGAACTGGACAGAGATTCCATCATCCGCGGCCAAACCCCTTCTAAGTAAGCGTAGGCACACTGCCGTTGGGCCGTGGCAGTGCTTACGAAACAACTACTTCCAAAGCTAATCAACAACCTATGAGGGCTGCCTTAGCACTATTCTGAGTGCTTGCATCATGGAACCAACCTCTTGCCAAACCTCCAGTTATAATACCAGAGGTCGAGCTACATCACATGTCCAACATCTCAACGGCCTTTACGTGAGCGTTTCGTGCACTCGCAAGGGCACCAGAAATCCACAGATTCAGCCTTGGCGTTGTCGAATATCCTGTGCGAAGCTCACGAGGGACTCTTTGTACTGAAACTCAGCGCGGACGTCTCGGCGAAAACGACACGGCGTGTAATTGCGCCCAGTGAAGGCCGTGTCCTGGCATCAACAGGCGCATGAATTCAGCCACGTTTTTGGAAGGGCTTCGTCTATTGCTGCATGTCCGCATGTCCGCATGTCCGCACCGAATCGCGAAGATTTCGATGCCTTCTGGTGCAGCATAGACAATCGAAATCGTCTTGCTCAACATCACGAAAGCGGAACAGGGAGGAACCTCCAGTCCCCAAGGACGCAGGTGTTCCTTCTCAACCGGAAATTCGCGCTTAGGTGGTTCAAAGATCTCGTAACAGCAGACCTAGATTCTCCTGACAAAAGGCAAGGAATCGCGGCTTGTGGTCACGAAAACATCGAATTCATCTTGTATCATCATCAGATTGATCTTAGTTTTGAGAAAGCCGACGCGATCAAGAATTCACATTGGCTAAGAAGATGGGTATAAGAGAGTTAAACGGCGGAAGGCTCATCCATGCACTCATCACAACCACCTGATGGTAACGCCTTAACGCCATATTCCAAGTCCCGAGCCCAGTATGTTATATGCGTAACGACCAGCCCCTAACCACCACCTCTCTGTAAAACCCTCGAATGCTCCCTTACCAAACTCTCAGCATCGTATTTCTCAAACTCAAAGTTCCACAACTTCTCCGCCACGCTCATGTGGTATTTGCTAGCCTTCCCAAAATCATCACCCTTACTGCTCCTGCGGCCGACATGCTGAATCACAGGCGGTGTAATGGCCCAGCGAGTTTCGCCGCGGGAGTCGGCGTACTCTTCGGTGAGCATGTCCACGAAGCCGAGATGTCGGGATGTGTAGTAGTCGGCGAGGTCTTGTGCCCGTGAGCGCGGAAAGACGAGGCCTTGGGAGCAGCAGCCGAATTTATTCATCTCGTTGAGCCCGTGGGGGCGGGGGAACACGGTGACGCGACCGGCGGCGAAGAAAAGGAGGACGTATGCTGGAATGCAGATACCGCAGATGATGAGGATGTTGCGGTTGGTGAGGGCGTCGGTGACAAGTTTCGTAGGGCGGATGTGACGGATGGAGAGCAGGATGGCGGCGGATATACTCACTACGAGGGCAGAGTAGAATAGGTAGGTGCGCCATTCTTCGCTGTTCCAGCCGAGGAACTCTTCTGTGTAGAAGAGTCGCAGGTAGAAGACTTGGGTGATATCAGTAGCGTTCTGAATACTCCACGAGCATGACTCTTACAGTCCAGCGCAGCGTTCCTCAACGCGGTCTCCTTCTCTGCCAAGTCCAGCGCATGCTGAGTTCGGTGAAACCATCCGTCCATGGCTATCACATCGTCCTCGAACATCGCAATGTATGGCGTTCCAGCGGCCAAACATGTCCTCAACAGATACGTATAGTCGAACAGCGCCTTCTCACGGAACAGCCCTTTGTCCTTCTCCAGCTTCTTGATGTGTTCCAGCTCGGCCGCGGGTAGATCATAGGCCAAAACTTGATCTGCCGCGTTGTGGAGCCATGCCTCCGAGTATGCTGGATGCACGGTGGGATCGGTGTGGGCAATGAACAATATCAGATGAATCCCCTGCCTCTCCTCCTCGCCCAAACCCGCGAGCAACGAACCGACTGTCGTGCGAAAGTATCTAGCATTCTCTCTGGCCACAGAGGCTATGCCCACACAAAGCGACTTTCCAGATGTACTCGTCCTGTTTGCGAGAGGCGTGGTGGTACCAGCAGCGTCGATAAAGGCTTCAGCTTGACGTTGCCGGACAGCTGAATAGACAGGCTCGTAAGCGTGGGTGTAGTCGAAGAAAACGGAGGTCGGGTCGCGCCACGTGAAATGGCGGACGCACAATATAGCGAGGAGATAGGAAGCTATGAATGCTATGGAAGCGATTGCGGTGGGCGACGCGTGGGGCCTAACGGTAACGCCATTGACACTCAGCGGCGCGTAGCGGTGGTTCGAGGATACGAAGGGGATCCTCATGGCTCGAGGTCCCAGCCTGTGTGTTAGGAATCAGGTACGGCCATTTATTTTGCCCCTCGAGCACGAGACCAGAGGACAATATAGGTAGTAACAGGTCGCTCGACCGTTAAAAGTTTCCAGGGTTGAGGCTGCTCACGAAATGCTTGGCTGGTGTTTCAACGGATGCGGCGGGTCTTTCCAGATTGTCATCCAAGCCCCTGTGCCCGCCGCGCTCATCTCTCCCCTCCTCCCATCTCCCAACAGCACCCTCTCTTCTGTCGGTCTGTTACAGCGATTCCTCCACTCTTGTTCGGCACCAAACTGCCATTACCGTTCTCCAGCACGGAGGAACTTTTACGGACATCTTACACCGCATCTCCACCGCAGCTTTACCCAGGCGTGGCTATGTATATCACAAGACGTCGACTTCGAACACATCACGTAAGGCCGCAGGTCTTGAATAGTATCAGGCAGGTGTATAAAGCGTGTGATATCTGTGGTTAAGATGGTCCGCCGTTGCGGCGTGTGGTTTGGCTTAGCAGAGCCTCAACCCGTTTCTATCGTCGTTGCCTCCTCGGGCCGATTTTACACAACACACCAAGAGTCTTGTTCAGCAATGTCCAAGTCTGTTTTCGTTATCCGCATGATCAATATTGTTCTTTGTCACCTCATGGAGTAACGGATCGTTGCCGGCTGAAGTGAATATGATCAGCAAGAGCACTACTGCCACTTGATATTCATGAAGCAGCGCTGTGCCATGCATGTAGAATCAGAGAGGGATGTAGGGCCATGCAATTGACGCCATTCCAGATCGACAACAGAATCATAGAGAGACCAATCTTCCACTAAGTAGCGCCGTCCGATTGCCCAGAACCGGTCGAGACAGTCGAGATACATATCTCCCGATTGGGGAGGTTCAACTCAAGCAATTTGCTCAATACATGTGATCGCTCGAGGGACAGATATTACCATAACCTCTCCCCTTACACAATGGCGTAAGAAGCTCGCACCACCGCATCCTGGACAGTGAGACTTAGTGCTCTCCATCGTATTCTTACGATGATGGAGATCATTAAAGGTCTCTGTTTCCTGCGCCCTCGATTTACAACATGTTTTTCTCCTTGCCAGTTATGCATCACCTTCATGTCTCCCGTCTAAGTTTCTGGCTCGACTCAAAGCATCGCTCTATGCTTACAACTTGACCCAACAGTCAACTCTCTCAATCTTCTCAGTCCGACGTGCGCATGTCGTGACATTACCCTGGGGCACGTGTCTAGTAAAAGCCGGTTACAACTACGTTACGTGGGCTAACGGGCTCGGCGGCACCTGCAATCAAACCCAAGTTATATATCGCGCTGCCGGAAGTTTCTAGTCCCTTGCGGTAGACGGAGGCTTGGTCTAGTAGTGAATAGACTCGGCACTTTCAGTGCGAAACGTCCCGCTTGAGGTCGCATGTTCGAATCCCTGGGTTCTCCACGTCCGTAAGACTAAAAACATTACCTTTTTTTGTTATTTCCATCTTTGACTAGCCTGAGCTCCTGCTCCAGTTCTTTCGTCGATGCTTCTACGCTCGCTTTTGATATCTCCATCAACAGCTGGCTGATGATTGCTGTCACCAATGTTTCACTACTTCACTTTATGGTCTTAGTGGTTTAACGGATGAACTCTTCACTGTAACAGGATAGCCTTAAGGTCATAGAATAGATGCCGTGAACATCTTTCTTGAAGTTTACGCGGTACGAGATGCTTAAACTTTTTTGGTCATCTTCCCCCTTGCAGAGCTCAGCCAGTTCCTCAATTGACGCTACCACGCTGCTCGAACGCTCACACATGCCCAGCCCTCAGAAGGCCAAACCCACAATACACGCCAATGCAGGAGCAGCGTGAAGCGGCGCTGCAATGCCCAAAGCGCAAAGACATTGCGCATCGAACGCATCCCCAAACATCAACAATCCAAACCCAATGCACCGATTAAACCAGCCCAAATAATCATCCAACGAACCCCTCTATCGCACACAGACACCCACCCATTAACAACACCGCCCACGCCCCTCCCCCCTCAACCTCTCCACCTCCCTCCACTCCTCCTCCGTCCCCTCCGCACTCCCGGGGCCAGGCGTCGTCGGGAAGCCCAACCAACTCCTCCTCTTATCCCCATGCCCAACCCTAAAACTGCCATTCCCCTGGCCCGTCGCATAATCAAAGTACCCCGTGCCTCCACCCTCAACCCCTGGCGTCTTCCCCGCCGTCGCCAGCTTCCGCGCCTCGGCTTCCAGCCTTCGATTCCGCCGCTCAACCAGCTTGCGCGTGATGACGCGAAACACCTCCTCGACGCCCTCGCCGTCTTTCGCGCTGATCTCGTGGCAGCAGTCCCACCCCAGGTCCTGGGCCCAGAAGCCGGAGGAGCGGTTTGAGGGCGGGGACGTCACGCCCCCAGCAGCAGCAGCTCCCCCTGCACTCGCGCTGCCGTTCGCAGACGTCGTCGCCTCCTTGCCCGCCCCTGGATACAGGTTTTCGGCCACATACGCAATACACCGCTCAAACGGGACCCCCCTCCTCCCCGGCTCCTGGGCGACGACGTCCGCCTTGGTGCCCACGACATGCAACACGACCTCGTCCCCCAGATTCCGCCGCAGCTCCTCCATCCACCGCCCCATCTCCCCGAAGCTGGCCGCGTCCGTGATATCGTAGCACAGCACGCCCGCGTCCGCGCCGCGGTAATACAGCTTGCTGATGCTGCGGAAGCGCTCCTGGCCAGCCGTGTCCCAAATCTGCAGGCGCACGACGGTGCCGGTGTCGGCGTCGAGGAGGCGCTTGGTCAGGAAGGAGGCCCCGACTGTGGAGACGGCGGTGGAGGGGGTGAAGGTGTTGCGGATGTAGCGGTGGACGAGGGAGGTTTTGCCGACGCCTTGGGAGCCGAGGATTACGATTTTGGCTTCGAGGGGCGGGGGGGTTGTCATGGTGGGCGTGAGGGCGGAGGTGGGTGGGAGCGGAGGGGCGGCTGTGGGGGTGGTTGCTGTGCTGATTGTTGTGAGTCCGGGGGAGAGATGCGGACAGCGAGGGCGAGGCTGCGGTGCGGCTATGGTATATCGGCGGAGCGGAGGGTTAAGGAGCGTGAGGGTAAGGCGTTATTTGACATGGCCTGTACGTTGCGCTGTCTGGCATTACAGATTTGACAGTGTGGGTGTCGCAATGGGGTGTGTTGTCCGTGGGACGGTTTCACGTGTGCACGTGCCCTGTCAATATGCGGTCTTTAGCTCCGAGAGCGCGCAAGCACCCAACGCTAAGCATGGGAGTTTATTTAGCATCCGCCCTTAAGTGCACGTTATGTCGAGGGAACCGAGGATGTATATAGCGGACAGCTTTTGGAGATAGACAATTGCCATACATATGCCGAAGAGAAAGCCGCCAAATTTGATACATGCAAAAGAAAGTAAGCCTTACACCTCTGGGTATACCATAACCATTAACCTTGAATCCAAACAGTGCAGCGTACATCCCGACCCAGAGATAGGGACACCGGCCAAAATGCAGACTCCCTTTCATAGCCCCAATCCGTTAGTCGCGCTATCCATTCGTCATGTTCTACAAATGCCCTCAAGCAATCGTCGCCCTTCTCCCATCAGCGCCTTCCCGCTGCTCTTGTTCTGCCCCACCAGCAGTACCAGCGCTGGTACCAGCACCCGCAGCCACGCTCGCGCCCCGGCCCGGGTCCTCGCCAGCCTGGTTTTCGGCCACCGTGGCAGCAACACTCCCATTTCTCCGCGTCCGGATACCGAACGTCTCCCTCACATTGCTGGACAGCCTCCTCATTCTTCTCCGCGCCGCCTCATCCTGCGCAGGCCCATGTGCCCTCTGCGCCTCCCTTAGCCTGTTCAGCGCCGCCACGAGCTCCTCCGGCGGCGTGTTGACAGGCGTGTTCCGCATATTTAGGAACTCTCTGATAGTGCTCGCTCTGCGGGGGTGATTGTCTATAGGTGGCGGGAGCTCGGTGGTAGCGTTGGGGTTTGAGGCGTCGGCGCCATTGGCGGGTTGGTCGGAGCTGTTCGAGGCAGTGGGGTGCAAGTTGATGCGACAGAGGGGACATGTGCCGGACACGTTTAGGAGCCACGGGTCGACGCAGGCGGGGTGGAAGGTGTGGTTGCAGGGGAGGACGCGGATGTCTTGGCCGAGCTCGAAGTCGTCGGTGCAGATGGAGCAAGTATTGTAATCGTCTGGTACGATGTCCTGGGCTTGAGTTGGCGCTGGAACAACGGCGGGCGTGATTGCGTTTGTGTCCTCTTCAGTACGCGGTACAGTAGCTGCAGCTGTGTTATCTGAAGCGGCATTCTGCTCTGTTGTTGCCGCAGTTGCTGTTGCAGCCGGTGGGTCGGAGTTGGCGCGTGCAGATTCTGCGAGCTCGACATCCGAGGGTTTTGGTGGTAGTCTCTCGCCAAATTTGACGATGGGGATCGTGTCCAGCATCGCCCGCGCTAGTCCTTTCGCTCTACTTTGACGCGGCCGGCCGAGTACGTCGCGTGGCCCGTAGCGCTCCGGATGCCGATGCGCCCTCACAGCTCCAGTGACGATGATCAATAGAAACAGCCCCGTGATAACACCTGTGATGCTGTACAATATGATCATTGCAACAGCGGTCGACGGCGATCGGCCCAGGGGATTGTCACTCTGTTGTTGGTTGCTGGTCGTATTCCCTGACCCATTTGACCCATTTGACCCATTTGACCCATTCGACCTCTGTCCGATTTGTGCCCTTAAATGCCCGCTAGGTCCCGTACTCGGTCCCTGCAGCTGCGCAAGGATCGATGTAGCGGCGCTACTGTTCGTCATGGAGAAGACGTGATGGAAGCCTCCCCTCACAAGCGGTCCGGCAGTGTACGTGCAGAAGTCTGAGGTGTTGCTATACAGGACCGCGGCTACTGCCCCGCTGTCGACGGCCCTGCCGAGAGTTCGCGCGGCTCCAGTGGCGTCGCCATTGTATGCAGAGATGTCGCAGCTGATGTAGGTGATGTCGCCAGCGGTAACGTTCTCTACCGTTTGCGCGTTGGTGAACTTGAAAGCCCCCTCTAGGTTAATCGCCTGTCGAAAAGGTGAGCACGTTATTAGGGAGGCGAAGGCATATAGAGTACACACAGGATCTCTGGGAGCTGTGGATAGCGGCTCCAGCGGAAAATGCATCGCCCATCCATCACTTCGCAGTATCATGTGGATTTGTTGATTCGGGGATGGCATGGCGTGGTCCGTTGCGTTGGAGGGTACTACTGACTGCGCAGCAGCCATGGTAATGAGAGAGAGTATGCACCATGAGGCATAACTCGCGAAAGCCATCGTGCTTCGGACTGAGAGAAAAAAGCTCGTCGGCTGGCGGAATAGCGCCCGGATTACAGGCTGAGATTAAGCAAGGAGATACAAGGCGACAGACGTTCAACGTCAAGTACTGCGCTTGAGAGACATGGGTCGGCGCACGTAGTTGAAGAAAACCAGTATGTAAATGAAAAGCAGGCGCAGTCACAGAAGATGTGCGAGCAAAGGGAGGATCAGGATAACGGAATGGAGGACATCTTGCACGAAGGTGGTGAGGATCGGCCAGAATTACCGTAAGCAACGGATGCTGCGGATCCTCAGCCAAAGGGGGTCCATGGACTGCTGGCGTGCTCTGCGCGGAATCGTCTTGGCCTCACGGTTTGGGCGTGCAGTGTGCCGGAAGCCCTCCAATTGCAACAAGAGTGGGTTCGTGATCCAGACCTGGCGGCAAGGCGAAACTGGCCTTGGAGATGCTGCACAGCCTCCGTGCCGGCAGCCACATGCACGGATGGGGGAAGGCCAAGGGCGAGCACCTGGGCATGTCTGCGGGCGGGGGTCCTTGGAGAAATCTGGAGAGCATCACAGAAACGATTGGCGATCAACTTGGCCGCCACCATGACTCGACTGGCTCCTCGTAAGGGCTGGAGTCGAAGTCAGAGGTGAAGCCAGAAGTCGGAGTCGGAGCGGTGCCCCCAAGGTCGATAGACTATACCTTACGGTATCAGGTGACCATCAGAGGTCTGTCTTCCATGGGGGTTTGCTCCTGTCTATGAACATGATCCTACCATGAAAACACTCTCATCACCTCTAGATCATTCCACACTCTCGAGAGCTCATGACTGTTTCTCATTTTAGGCTTTCTGTAAGCAGAGCAGCATGTTTACAATTCCAGCACCCTGCAGTCGTGAGGTCTGGACGTCTGGACCGACCGCATCAGCCGATCGTCTTACTCCTCAATTCCTGGGAACTGATCAGAGAGTTGCTGCACAGCTGACGGGCGTCGCCAGGAAAGGATCTCACGTACATATCGAAGTGGTAAAAGGCTCTAGTCAGCATGGTCAACTCGCTCCCAAGTCCTCTCCGGCGATTTTAACGAAGAGCTACATTCTCAGTACCTCGCTCAAGTACTCCCCTCTCACCAGGCCAGCTATACCGCAATCGCGGGATTCCTACTTCTTCCAGGCTGCACATGGTAATCATTTATGTCTGCGTTTGATTCATCCTGTTGCCGACGGATCTGTAGTAAAACCGCAATACCAAGGATGAAGTTCAGAGAGACATATTGTGTATTGCCTAAAAGCTTTCCTATCCATGATCTCGGACACATGATACATCAGTCCACCCACAACGCCTAAGATCAATAAAAATTGCACAAGTGGTAGCACACATGTGTATACTCCCACATCTCGCTATAAGCCATGCCGCCAGCACATCAGGAACGACCCAGATGCACCGAGTTCACTTGAACACTCAAGTGCAGCGCGACACTGCTAGAAGAAGCACACCGAGAGAACAGCCTTGCCGGATACTCTGACCTCAGACCCTCTACTCCCTCTTCTCTAATTCCTCCTCCTCACCATCAAGAATCTCAACGCCCGTGTCCTTGATCTCCCTCTCCCTCATCTTCGCCTCACCCTCCGCATCCTTATCCCCAGCAATACTACCCACCGCACCGCCCGACAAAGCCGCCCGATCAACCCACCCCTCCCCCCTCAACATCCCCAGCCCCTTCCTCACAACTCCTCCACTCACCGCCTTCGGATCAACCTCGTACACCGCATTCACCACCGCCAAGCTCGCCACGAAGAGCAACACATCCCCATTCTTCACGCCCCTCCACCACCCATGCTTCACACCCACCTTCCACAAACTATCCAGACTCAACCTCGCACTATACAAGAAATTACTCCTCCCAGACTTCCGTTCCAAGAAAGCCCAACACCCGCCCAAAAACCCGCCGAGGAACCACCTCTGCGTCGGGAGCACCTTCCGGGGCAAGAAGTGCGCAAACAGGCAAATAGACGCCCAGCTCGTGCCAATACTCCCCGTGATAAACAGACTCATCCTCAGCACGCTCTTCACGAGCCGCGCAACCGCTCTCACCGGGTCCGCGGCAAACGCCTTGTACCGCAGCACGCCCATGGCGCTGAACACGAGCGCGAAGAAGCGCGCCACGGGCGGGAAGGCCTGGATCCAGTAGCTGACATATGTGCGGAGGCAGGAGGGGTCATGCGGGTGGAGGAGCGCGCAGGAGAGGGATTTGATGGCGGGATGGGCAGGCGAGGTGATGGGCGAGATTGTGCGGACGGAGGCCGGGAGGGTCTGGGCGTTTGGGAAGAGGATCGGCGAGATGAAAGGCGGCCATTTGAGCCGGGATATCTCGGCCAGGTTATCCACGATGGAGAAAGTGGAGGGCCAGGCGAGGTGGGAGGGGTAGGTGGCGGGGCGAGCCTGGATGTACTGCGGGGAGTGGTTCAGGATGAAGCGGCCGTACGACTCGGGGAAGCAGTCGCGGTCGAAGACGAAGGCGTGGAGCAGCTGCCCGCAGGCTACGGGCATGCAGAGCCAGCTGCCGAACCACCACGGCCGGTTCTTGAACCAGCCGCGGTCTTCGAGGCCGTTGTACACGAACTCGAGGGCTCGTGTGAAGATGTAGATGGCGATGGTGATGCGTAGTTGGTCGCTCGGGTAGACGCCGAGGAAGAAGCCGGAGAGGCTGGCGCCGATGGCGGGCGCGAGGCGGGAGGTGAGGGTTCGGGAGACGCGCGGGTTGCGCCGCCGGAAGGGCTTCGCCTGGTCGGTGAGGAGGCTCTCGCGGAGGCGCGTGAAGAAGCGGTGGAGGAGGCGGTGGAAGAGGAGGATTAGGGAGAGGGAGCATGAGAGGCGGACGTTGGGGGATTTCCAGAGGGATGTCTTCGTCTTGGGCCTACCAGTATAGAGTCAGTCATGTTTCGCATGCCGTGGGGCTTGTATGGCATACGGCACAACCCTCCCCCTCGCCAAAACCCTCGTCGTGAAGTACTCCCACGCCTTGAGCGCTCCATACGTCGTCACTGCCAGCCTCAGCGACGCGCGGATAGCCGCCGCATTGTAATCATCGCCGCTCTTGACAATCGCCTCATACCGCGGAGGTGGAGGCGTTCTCTTCTTCACAGCCGGCGCGCGAGATATCAGGTACCGGTGGAGGAGCTTGTATTCCTTCGCGCTGACGGTGTAGCGGAGCGCATTGCGGAGGACGGGGTCGATCTTATCGGGTTTACTGCCAGACGACGACGACGAGCTCACGGAAGACATAGTCGCATCGTCTCAATGGCGATGCGATTGAGTGTAGCAGAGGCACGCGAGCCGCGAAGGGCATCACGGAGAGGTTGGCTGGGCAGTTTGGGGTCGGGGAGTGTTTCCCGTCACTTCAAATGTCACAACATCCCAACCTCGGCTGACAAGGGTTTGCTGTGGAGTGACATGTGTTTGGCATGTTCATCTTCGCGCAATTATTTCTTTACTGCAGAACTACTTACCTACTCGAGGTGTCCAGTGCTTCCAGTAATGTAAGAAAACGTTCGAGGGCCCGTTTCTCGAAGTGTTAGTAATGCGACGCTGGTTGTCATTGGCTACTGCGGACAGGATAAATATAACGTCCCAATCGGGCAGGAAGAAGGAACAATAACCCAAGATGCAGTACCCATACTACAAGAAATTCTCATTTGAATAGCTAGACCATAGCTGAGCCACCCGGCCGGCCCAGTATATACAAGTCTGTGAGAAGAGAGCTAAGCACTAAATTATTCACTTGCTCTACCCCTTTACCGCTTCATCAATCTCCCTCCTATACCTCTGTTGACTCTCACACTGCTCTAAAAACACCTTGTACTTAGCCGCCAGCAGCTTCTTCTCAATCTCGTTCTTCGTCGGCTGTACCGCCTTCCCTGGCTTGCTGAACCGATCCATGATGTTCCACAGTGGCTCGCTATTCCCGTCCTTATCCGTACTCGCCGCCTTCGCGCCCAGCATCGCCGCTCCATGCACCACAGCCGCGTGTACATATCGCGGAATCAGCACCGGCATATCGCAGGCCGCCGCGATCAGATCCATCAGAATGGCGTTCTGGCACTGCGAGCCGGACATGAAGATGGACGAGATGACGTGGCCGGACTTGTTCATCGCCTCGACGATCTGCTTCGTCTGTAGGGCGATAAACTCCATCGTGCCGTAGTAGTACAGAGCGAGGCCATCCAGCGACTTGTCAGAACTAAGACCGATGACTGCGCCCTTCATGTTCGGATCGGCCACGGGCGAGCGATTACCGAACAAGTCGCCGTAGAAGAAGAAATGCCGGCCCAGCCAGCTGATGGTCGGCGCACCGGCTTTCTCCTGCATCTCCTGCAGGTGCTGGTTCAAGTAGTCGTAGATGTTGGTGTTGTAGGTCTCGGCCACGGACATGGCTTCCTGGTGTGCCGGATGGGTTTCAATCACGTGTTTAAGCAGTTCGCCCGTCGCGCTCTGTCCGCCCTCCGCCATCCAGTAGTCTGGTATGAGGACGTCGCGGTAGGGGCCCCATACGCCGTTCACGAAGACCGGTTTCTCGGACATGGCGAGATGGCAGGTCGAGGTGCCTGCTACGGCTGCTAGGCGGGTGAAGGCTTGATGGATGTCGTTTTTCGGCACATGGTCGTCGAGTTGATGCTCGTTCAGCCGTACCTTTGCGCCTACTGTGCCGATCCAGCCAGCGTATGCGTCGATGACGCCGCTGCCGACTGCGATGCCTGCTGGAAGGCCCATCTCTTGGGCGGCTTTCTCGCTCAGAGTTCCGACAAGTTCTCCGGCTGTCAAGTACTTGCCGTTCTGCCATGTCATGCGTCAGCGGCGGTCAACGTCACTAGCCTAGGGGAGACATTACCACCTTGTCCACTCCTCCCATCCGCTTGAAGTTGTCTTCGCAGAGGTCTTCTAGCCCAACCTCCTTCAGGAAGTCCTCCTGCCAGCCTTTCACACTGCCATCCACACCGACGGGGACAAAGCCCTGCTTGCAAACGACGCTGCAGTAGCTCCTCGTCTCGCTTCCAGTGGCAATGTGCGTAAGAGCGTCCGTCAGATCGTAGAACTTACAGCGGTCAAACAGCTCCTTCGGCATGTTGTTCTTCAGCCACAGCACCTTTGGTATCTCCATCTCAATGGACATCTTGCCGCCCACATAGCGCAGCAGATTGTGATTCGTGGCATTGATCTTTTGCGTCTCCTCGACAGGCCTGTGGTCTAGCCACAGGATAACATTCCGGTCGTTTCCGTCATGGTTATCGAAGTTCGGCCCGGTTACACACACAGGCTCGTCTGTGTCGCCAGAGAAGACTGTGAGGGAGCATGTAGCGTCGAAGCCAATCCCTTTAATGGACTCGGGATCGATGCTGTGCTGGGTCATTGCGCGGCGGATGGAGGAGCAGATACAACGCCATATGTCGGTAGTCGATTGCTCCTGTATACTTTGTAAGTCTCAAGCTTGCCAATTGTGTACTGGGAAGTCTCGTTCGCGTACATAGTATCCCGTCTGTGGCTGCCAAAGCCCTATATTCTCGCTCGCCAATCCTATGATGTCCCCCTGGTCGTTCATTATACAGGCCCTGGCGCTGCCTGTCCCCACATCGATGCCAATGTAGTGGTCGACATGGGGATGAATCTCGTTTCGGTGATCTGTAGACATTTTGCGCGATTGCTGTCAATCGTGCTGTGTGTATAGCAGAGAGGAAAACACTAGGGTTGCGAGCGGGGCTGTTGTGTAACTGTGGAAGTGGAAAGTAAGGTATTACGAGGGGCTTGTAGATTTCGACAAATATGGTACAGATCACGCTATTTGCGACGCTTTTCAGGACAATCCAGGGCAGAATCAGCTTCGATTAACAACTCCGGGCGGAAAGGGTTGAGAAACATGAGATCATATCGCAGATGTTTGTAGTGGGGGCGGGGCATCATTGCGGGTAGGGGTCCATGTCGTGGGTGGGGTCCTGCAGGGCTGCAGATCGACCTTTGAGGCAGCTTTGTGTGTGGACACTTGAGAACTACCTAGGTATGTTGGGCTTGGTGGTTGGAATTACGACCGTTCTCTTGCATCCGCTGCATGCATTCAGCTTGAAAGACGCCGCACGTTCTGTATGGCGGGATATTTTCATTGACAGGCGGGGTTCCCGCGACACCCCAAGGGCAGTCTAAAATGGACGCGGCAGGTCTTCCTCACCCAAGACCTATCCACCAACCCGCCGCGTTCATTGTTTTAGACCGCCCTTGCTTGTACGCGATACCTAGCTGGTCTGGCATCAGGCCATTCACACACCCCGAGACATTACCTCCAACGAACCGCTGTACGCGTGCGACAGGAGCTGTTGGGGAACCTCATACTAACAGAGACCAAGACAGCGCTACCAACGGATGCTGACGGGCGTCTACTGCAGTTGCTTCCTTGACTGGAGGATTGCGGAGTGCTTTCTGGCATTGTCCTTCTTAGTCATACAAGGTACTGTGCTTAACGAAATAAATGTTAAAGAACGCACGGAGCAGGGATTTCAATACCACATCGGGGGATGGTACTCGTTGCCCCTTGCTTGATATGCAGAATAGTAAAGAGACGAGGTCTAACCCATCATAGGCTTGTGAATCAGAGCCAAAGAAGAAATTCTCGCCAGACCCTCAACGCCACAGGAGTTGCAATGGCTAAGTTAATTGAATAGAGCTCCAAAGTCTCAAAATCTAACGATTCTTAACGCTTCTTCTAGCTTGATCCGCATGCAGCAAAAGTTCCTCCTTCGAACGATGCCTTGGGTGATCCAGATACATACGCTTGATCCACTGCTTGCAGACAAAACACCAAAAAGGCGTCCCGCTTGTTGAGTGGTAAGAGTTCAGACCGTAGACTACAACGTCAGGCCTACGAAGGAAGTAGCCTTGTTGATGATCCTGTCTTGTTACTCCTTTGAGTGCGTTGAATACTGCAGGACAGTTCCGGCACAGGTACTTTGCACGGACTTTTCTAACGCGGTCCTTAAATTCGAATTCAAACATAGCATTGAAGCCTTTAGGGCAGCGCTGCAAGGACGAACAGGGGCCTCCGCTCGACAATGGCTCTACAGCGGGCTGTGGGATTGGCTACTCGATGGGTTTGGTCTGGAGCATGCGTTGGTACTGATTCGCAAGTGCGGTAATAGCGCCGTCTCGCGAAGCTTCCGAATTTCCCAATATCAGACCCAGCTGTGGGATTGCCGGTAATGCGCGGTCTTGTGCGTTTTGCAAAAGCGTGATTATCGTGCCTTGGAGCACGATGACGTGGTCCTTCAGCTGGCTTCGTCCCATCTCTTTGCGGAGATCAGCTGGCGAAGGCTCACGTCCATCGTCTGGTAGACCAGAAACTGGACAGAGGTGCTGTCGACAACAGCAGGTTTGCAAGGTTGGAGAGCGATGAACTTACAGTCGCCCCTGCCAAATAGCTCCCCTAATCTTGCAAAGTCTCTGTCATATTCGGACTGTACGCGTGGGCCCCCATCCTGCAGTACCACCTCTAGGCTGGAGGCGCCATCAGCGGCCTGCTTTCCTCTCGGACGCCTCCGCGCCTGTCTCCGCGCCTGGCGATCATTGCGCCAGCTGCGAAGCAGAGTAGTTGCGCCAGCGAACGTAGAAACAATAGCGGCAGTAAGCAGAGCAACCTCCATTTTGGACGTTTGGATGGGGAAAATGAAGATGAACGTTGAGTGCAAAAGCGCGAACGCACTCGCGAAGTCGCGATTCAGCCTCGTGCGGAGTAACTTGTGTGACGTATTTGATGGGGAGTTAATCATTTATCTCACGCACTGCCTCTGCAGCCTCGTCCACGACAGATTCCTGTCCTTACGCTTGACGTGCATGTTGGTACGCCTTGCGGCCCAACGGTATTACACGCCACTGGGGGGCGTTCGCTGGGTAAAAATGAGGGTTTGTGGATGCATACCACGTATGGTGTCACTGAGTACCTATATGTACTCCTAGCACACTACCTAATCCAAGGCAGCCCTGTATGCCGGCGTGAAGTGATGTGGTGATGTCGCGCGCAAGGCTGAGCTAACATCGGCCCGTTCCACACCCGAGAACGTCACCTACTGCACCCGAGCATGCGGGCTCTCATGGAAACACCTGCGCTACCATAAGGTACTACAACAACACCGCCTACAATGCGCCTCCCACACCCCCTCCTCCTCCTCTCCACCGCCCTCCTCACCCTCGCCGCCTCCCCCGTCTCAAACCTCGACCTCATAATCTACGCCTGGCCCGTCCTCCCCTCCTCCACGCCCACCCCCCTCGCGCAAATCTCCTACAACCCAACCACGCTCAACGCGACCCTAGAATCCTGGACCCCGCCCACCGAACCCATCGACGCCACCGCCCTCCTCCGCATTGGCCTGCACGACCCCCAGGCCCCCGCGGAAGCCAGCTGGACCGGCATCGCGACATCAGCCTCCTCGCTTGACCCAGCATACCGCAAGAAGCTGACGCTGTTCACGGACGGCGAGGGGCGGGTCTGGCGGGTCGGTTTCTCGGCGTTCGCGAGGGGGAGTGGGGAGGAGGAGGTGCTGGTTGAGGTTCAGGGGAGGAATGAGGGGCCGAGACCGGTGCTGAATCGGCCGGTGGTGCTGAACAAGGAGGGGAAGGTTGAAGGGGCCAAGGAGGAGAAGACGTTCCTGCAGAAGTGAGTTTCTCGTTGGGCTTAATGTGGTAGTGGGAGGAAGGGGGAGCTGTTATGTTCGTCATGGCAGCTGCTAACGAGGATATTTCTTCAGGTACTGGTGGGCGATTGGGATATTCATTCTGGTCCAAGTGGTTGCTGGAGGTGGAGGGAAGGAGTGATTGGACGTGGGGCTCTCGCGTTGCTGGTATCGTGCATTGCACATGGCGCAGTGGGACTGGGTCACTGGCAAGCGGCATCCGTCCTTCTTCTTACAGAGTCCAAACCAATGACTGTGAGACAGTGATCTCGTCGGTGGCTGCTTGAACTTATCTTTCCTTTTACCAAATGATCACTACATACAACCATGCTCCAATCCTTCGAAACACTAGAACCGCAGATGAAGAGGCTAGATAGATAGCAGAAAACAATGACAAAATCCTAGCCAACAACAAATCCATTCAAATGCTCAAAACTCCAGACACCGCGCTAGAATGCCGCCCAATCTTCGTTAAGCGTGAAGCATTGCAACGTAACAGCAAATCCGACGATGCTACAACGCCGAGCAGAATGCATATCATGAACTCCATAGAACATGAACACAAAACTCCATGTAAGCTCACATTTGTACAAATTAGATTGTAAGGACCGGCCTATACCTGTTCATCGACCTCCTGAATGTTGATATGGACAACATTCTTCTTCAACGGTGCCTCCTCGGGCATGAGCCGGCAGGCTACAGCTGCCCGAATCGTAGCTGTCTTGTGCTTTTGCATGGTGATGAAGGGGATTTGGAAAGCACCAAGGATGGCAACTGCGGCGCTGACCCACCAGGAGAGTGCGGTGAAACCCAGCTGGCTTCCAATCCCATAAAGCAAGCCTGCAATGGGGCTAGCGATGCATCGGCAAGCGCCTCCGGTGCTGGCGGCAAGGCCATTAATCTTTCCGAGGTGCGAGGGCGAAGGAGAAGCCTCCTTTATAAGCATGAGAAGAAGGGGATAAGCGATGATGGAGAGAAAATTACGAATGGTCAGGCACACGTAAATGCCTGCCAGGACCCAGTCTTGCGGAAGAAGGACAAGGTAAGGCACGACGAAGTAGGCAATTGGATGGCAGACCGTGACGAGAACGAAGAGCTTCCAGACTCCGAGCCAAGACGCCATCAATGGAAAGACTAGTGCCTGGATGAAGAGAGCTATAAGGCCGTTCACACTCATGATCATGCCGACCTCTTGGATGGATAAGCCGATGCCGCCTGCGAAGGACCCAGGGAGTGCGGACAGTGCTGAAGTATTTCCTTCGACCCACTTGTCCTGCAGAAATATCGGAAGGAGGTGATCGTAGGTCATGCTGTGGTAGGTAAAAATGCCTAAAGCAACTACAAGCATGATGACGGGCTTCGTGAAAACCTTCTCGCTGGGCGCAGACGAAATTGAGGCAGGACGACCGTCTGCCTTGACGACCCAGTCCTCGTCTTCAGTTATCCGCACGGCATCAAACGTGCCATACGACTCTGTCTGGAGGTCTGCCGCAGCGTGTGCCGTGGAGCCTGCGGTAGGTACAAGCGGTGTCCTCGCGGAAGTATGGTTAAGATCCTCCAGAGTACTCCATGGTTGTAGGTCAGGATGTGTCTCCTCGAGAAAGATGTAGCCTGCGATAATAGAGCATAGGAGCATAATCGCACAAACCAAATTTGGAAGGAGGTAAGGGAAACGCGCAAAGATGCCAGACGAGGAGAAGACAGAAGGAAGGTTTTCTGCAGGCATCGCAAGGTAGCCACCAATCGCAGCTAAGAAGCGCTGTTAGTAATTCTTCCGAGAAATGTTAGGCAAACGACTGCACTTACGACCAATGATCGTTCCAACAGACCAGACGAAAGGCATGACTGCATAGGCCCGCGCTGTGAATGATTAGCAACTGTATATATAAGTCTGGAATCAGAGCACTTACGCTCATGCTCTGGCTTCAACACCAGCTCTCCCACCATTGTCTGGATCACTCCGATGTTGCCGTTCAAGCAACCTCCGAGCGCCCTTCCAGCCAATGCCACCCAGAAGTTTGGCGCAAAGCCGATTATGAGCAGCGACAGCATCGTTCCAGCACAGCCAGAGAGCAGGACGGGCTTGCGACCGATCTTGTCGGAGAGAACTCCCCAGTACATGCCGCTGAGTGCCTCAGCGAAAGCAAACGCGGAAATGAGGATGCCTGCGAAGAACGCGGCATTGCTGTCATCGCTAATTTCAAGCTCGAGGACATATTGCCAGGCATAGGGGAATATTGACGTGAGAGCGATTGGTTCTGCAAGCCTAACAAGAGCTACAAAGAATCCAACTTAGCCTACGTACGATTGGAAGCGGGTCAGACACCTAAGGATACCTACCGAGCAAGAACAGCTGCGCTGTTGGGAATTTCTCCGGATCACGGGGTAGTCTTTGTGTCTGTGTAAGAAACATCTCTTTTGACTCAAGTGTAAATCTTACGGTTATGCCAACACGCAATGAACACCGCTTCTCTGCAGTTGAGGGATGAGCTTCAAAACGTTTGACCTGTTGTCGCCCAAGTGAGTAACGACTGTGCTGTTGAAGCTGGAGGAAGATATGAGGTGGTAGAAAAGAAGGTGGAGGGGCAGAGGGCAGAGATGTTTATCGCCGTCTCCGAGCGGAACCAATGAGCCGATGGTTCCCAAGCCACTGCGCGCTAAATTTTGTCTTACTGGTTGACATGGCTTAAGCTTCGATGGTTTTCCAGACGATATCCGATCGACTTGGCCGCGAAGCACACAGCACACAAGACAAGCCCGACACCTGACCGCGGCAGCAAATGCAAATACAGGTTAAATCATACTCTCGAAACACTCTGGCGGATACGACGGGTCTAAAAACGTATTCTGAGCTATTGCAGCGCCGCGAACTTACCGTGCGCCTCTCCGGCGGACTCATCCACCGTCGACAGCAGCCCGCGGTTTCTTTTATTCAGCTGAAGCACAAAGACCCTGGCCATCTTGGCATGCATATGTTTTGCAGCAAGCCGTTAGCGCATGGATCCAGCCGCTTGCTGCATGTGCGCTCTCTCTCTGATAGGCCGAACCAGCATGGGAATTGGAACACCGGTCGGCCAAAGCCATGCCTGAATGTCTCCGCTTCGAGATGGAGGATGTCTGCGGGGCAGCTCTGAGCAAAAAGTAAGACATGGACACTCTAATCTTCAGAAAGCGTGCTGAGAGCGTGGTCTCGAACGCGTATTCGCTCGCAGAGAGGCGATCAACGACGCCCGAGGGCCGGCCTGCATTTGCCATAGAATGAACTGTGCGGCTGCCCCGATTGAAGTTGGTGATCCCCGCGGTTGCGGACAGCGGCGAGGCCAAGCTTCGGATGGCAATGTCCGATGACCCGAGAGGTCTCGCGTGAACGGCGCCGAAGAGATTCTGCTGAACCACCTCATGTTACGAGTATCCTGAGGGTGGTCACATGCCTGCGGAGTCTTCGTACTCGTGTTCGCGAACCGAATCTTCTCGCACTGACGAAACGGCAAGACAGTCCATAAAGATTTTCTTTGATAATGGCAGAGCGAAGGCTGCTACATCCAGACGCGGCTTAGACCATTGTAAGCTCGCAACGTCGCCCAAGAGCGTTGGCAGGGGCTTGGGTTAATGATGTTTACTGAGCCGCGCGTAGGCCAGGCGCGTGTTCATAGCAGTCCCTAAGATGACAAAACTTCACCAAAAAGCCTACGATGCTCTCTGCAGAGAGAATACCGCAGCGTGTTGATGTTCCTTCCTAGGCGGCAAGCGAAGTATCTCAGCGGATTGACAAGCTGGCTTGGGCGACCCCTTGAGGCCCAGAGTGACTTTGGTCCTGTCCCGGCGAGTTCTGAGGTGGAACGCTAAACCTTTCAGCGTCCAGCAGTTCCACGGTTGAAAGGAAGGGATCGAGGACCTGCTTACCCGCTCTCCCTGGGAGACTCGAGTAGAGGCGATGTAAACAAACGCGAAGCTGGCAAACATAGACAACAGGCCAATTGATGGGTGACGAAACCGATATGCAGTGCCCTCGTCGCCCGCAAAGCATGCGGAGGCATCTCCTTGTAGTACGTCAGTCTCGAGATACGTAAGGTCCCTAGCCTGTTCAGCTGAGCTACAAAATGGTCCGCGAGAATGAAGGTGTGGTGGCTGTGCAGTCCGCGTACAGTCGTCGCAGGCCAGCCAGGGCTCCGCATCAGAAAGGCAGTCATGAAGCATTCACATGTCAGTGGAGGCAGGCACCAGTGAATGTTCTTGCCTCAAATGCAAGTCTCGTGCTAGTTGTGGCTTTGCTGAGCTACGTCATGCCCCTCCTTGCTCTGGCCTTTCTAGAAAACGTCGCCCCTCCATGCCACACACAAACAATCTCCCAATCCTAACACCATCCACCTCAATCACCGACTTGACTCATTCGAAAGTCTACTCTATTCGAATCGTGCCAGCCTTCTCATTAAGACCCACTTGAATTTTCCCAATCAATCTACGAGTTCCACGCAATCACCATGTCGACCACCGTTCACGTTGAGAACATCTCTAGGCAGACGAGCGAGAAGGAAGTCCGAGACTTTTTCAGCTTCTGCGGCAAGATCAGCTCCATCTCAGTCACACCGATCTCAGATGCCCCCGATGCCTCACAGAAGGCCTCAGTAACGTTTGAGAAGGAGACCGCCGCGAAGACTGCCCTTCTTCTTGATAACACTCAGCTCGGCCCTGCACAAGTTCATGTTACCAGCGGTAAGAGCATCGACGAGGTTGCCGGTAGCGCTGCCGCTTCAGAGAGCAAGGACGAGAGCACCGACGTCGCTCAAGAGGACAAACCACGTTCTCGCATCATCGCCGAGTACCTCGCAAACGGCTACACCATCGGTGACAAGGCCATCGAGCGAGCCATCGCCCTCGATCAGCAGCATGGCATCTCTGCTCGCTTCACAAATGCCCTCCAGCAGTTCGATGCCAAATACCACGCCTCTGAGAAGGCCCAGAACATGGATTCGAAGTACAACATCACCGATAGAGCCGCCAACGCCTGGCAGGGCCTGTCCTCCTACTTCGAGAAGGCAATCAACACACCAACCGGACAGAAGCTTCGGCAGTTCTACGAGACCAGCAACAAGCAGGCTGTTGATGTTCACAACGAGGCCCGCCATCTTGCGGATCTGAAGTCGGGCAAGGACTCCTCTTCCTCCGGCATGAAGTCGGTCCCTGGTACCGATAGGACCAAGTGCAACTGCGGTGCCGATACCGGGAAGTGTCCCTGCGAACCGGGCAAGTGCGCCTGCAGTGACTGCGCAAAGAATCCCGAGGTGGAGAGCAAGGCCGGCGCTGAGGAGATGGGCATGGAGAAGGTTGCGGGCTCGGACAGGACCAAGTGCAACTGCGGCTCTGAGGCTGGAAACTGCCCCTGCCCGCCAGGAAAGTGCGCATGCAGCAGCTGCGCGAAGAACCCGGAGGCAACCTCTTAGTCAACAAGCTCAGCTTGACTACCGACATGCCATCTATCTGATGCGAGTGGGCACGACAAGATTGCACGGGAATGGGTTTCTTTGTTCCTTGAGTCACTCTAGGAGGGATGCTCATGGCAGTTGATACCTTACGGATGGTTCTTTAAGATGGGATGAGATAGTTTAGCGGTTGCTATGAATGAAATTGAAATGCTTCACGACACTTCTGCATGATGCATATGCATATGCGTGGATTGTCAACTCTCAAGTGCCCATCAAATTAGTTGACCTAAGATGGCAAAACAGATCTAGAAAATGATCGTACGGCCTTCTCGCCGACGTTCCGCTTGGCGGCAAATACGAATTCGCTCATTGGCTCGCCCCAGCTTCCCCGATTTCTCCGGCTCTATCCAGAACGACCCGAAGCCGTTGTGGGGGAGTCGGCAACCGGGCCATCGAATTGCTGCACCCTGCTCCCATCTGCCTTTAAACCGAGGGGCGGCCAGCCTCTTCTGTACTGTCATCAGCCGCCGCCGACGTCGATCAACACTAGATAAACTAATCTGCATGCTCCGTGTCCTGCGTTTTCCACCTCGCAATCCCTCGTTGTTGACCTCGGCAATCGCCTTACGCGTTCCAAATTTCCCGTAGTATCAATTGAGCTTCTGTCCTCTCCCTCACATCCCCTCCCGCTCTCAGTTCCTTTGCCCTTGCCGTGCTTTGCCCGCCGCCGCCACCATGAACCACACCAGCAACGATACCCAAGCCGTCAAGCTTTCAGGCGAGGAAGTGGGCAAGCACAACTCGCGCGAGAGCTGCTGGGTCATCATCCACGGGCGTGCCTACGATGTAACTGAGTTCCTACCTGAGCACCCCGGTGGCGCCAAGATTATCCTCAAGTACGCCGGCAAAGATGCCTCGGATGAGTATGATCCAATTCACCCGCCAGACACGCTCGACAAGTTTCTGGACAAGAAGTTCCATCTGGGCGAGGTGGACATGAACACGGTGGAGCAGGAGACGAAGGAGGAGGATCCGGAGGAGCAGGAGAGGCAGGAGCGGATCAAGAGGATGCCGATTCTGGAGCAATGCTACAATCTTATGGACTTCGAGGCTGTGGCGAGGAGGGTCATGAAGAGGACTGCATGGGCATACTACTCAAGTGGTGCAGATGACGAGATTGTGAGTCTTTTTATCCCTCGCAAGGAGGCGTGCTGCGCTCTCCCTGCGCAAGTGCGAAGACAATTGCTGACAAGCAGTGCAGACAATGCGAGAAAACCACTCCGCCTTCCACAAGATCTGGTTCCGTCCCCGTGTGCTCGTCGATGTAGAAAAGGTGGACTTTTCGACTACGATGCTAGGCACGAAAGTTGACATCCCCTTCTACGTAACCGCGACCGCGCTCGGGAAGCTAGGAAACCCGGAAGGCGAGGTGATCCTCACGCGCGGCGCGAAGAAGCACAACGTGATCCAGATGATTCCCACGCTCGCCTCCTGCTCCTTTGACGAGCTTGTAGACGCCGCAGAAGGCAATCAAGTGCAATGGCTACAGCTGTACGTCAACAAGAACCGTGACATCACGAAGCGGATCGTCGAGCACGCCGAGAAGCGCGGCTGCAAGGGCCTCTTCATTACAGTTGACGCGCCCCAGCTCGGCCGCCGCGAAAAGGACATGCGCTCCAAGTTTTCGGATGTCGGCTCGAACGTGCAGTCCACGGGCGGCCACGACGTTGACCGCTCCCAGGGCGCCGCTCGCGCTATTTCTTCCTTCATCGACCCGGCTCTCAGCTGGAAGGACATCCCCTGGTTCCAGTCCATCACCAAGATGCCAATCCTCCTCAAGGGCGTCCAGCGCGTCGAGGACGTCATCCGCGCCATCGAGGCGGGCGTCCAAGGCGTCGTGCTATCCAACCATGGCGGCCGGCAGCTCGACTTTGCACGCTCCGGCATTGAGGTTCTGGCGGAGGTGATGCCTGTCCTGCGCGAGCGCGGCCTGGAGGATAAGATCGAGATCTACATCGACGGCGGCGTGCGGCGCGCGACGGACATCATCAAGGCGCTATGTCTAGGCGCCAAGGGCGTCGGTATTGGCCGCCCGTTCCTGTTCGCCATGAGTGCGTACGGCTTGCCCGGCGTCGACAGGGCGATGCAGCTGCTAAAGGACGAGATGGAGATGAACATGCGGCTTATTGGCGCCGCGAAGATCGAGGACCTCGATCCGACGATGGTGGACACGAGAAACCTTAGCTCACACACGACGGTTGTGCCGACAGATACGTTGAGTTTAGGTGCTTATGATGCGCTTATTGGGCCGAAGGAGAAGGTGTCGGCGAAGTTGTAGGCGCTCTTGGGATAGTAGGGGGTGTGGTGTACGACGAAACGAAAGAGCTTTTGAAATATAGAAGAGAACCTCATCGTATCTTTCATGTAGATATGCGTGTACGGCTAGCGTTGTCATATAGCATGCATTCTTCAATGCAATCGGATCTTGGTCACTCTGCCTTGAGAACACGTCCTCATTGGGACTTCCTGATATAACCGAGTCCCCTCAATTCATGTGAACCATTAATAAAACCCCCTAGCATGTGGAGTAGCACATTTCCCACACGTGACTAGACTCGATAAGTAATACTTGCGTGCTGTAAGGTACAGCCTGCATCTGGCGTCTCTTTGGCGATGCGACGATCCTCCCAATCGTCATCCCGGCACCGTAGACTTCGTTAGCCCAATATTTGCTGTAAGTTCTTAGATAAGTGTCTCTGCTTCACTCCGGGTAGCCAGAGTCAACTTCTTTGCTGTCGCACATCGTCTTCGCATTTCGCTATACCAGAACATCTCAATTACTCCTCTTCCTACAAACATGTCCTCGAAAGATTTTCTGGTGGCTCCCAAGGCTCCACCGACTCCCAATATTCCTGCTTCGTCTTTTACCGTTTCTGTTTCAGTCATTGACAGGTCTGTAAGGGCTTTGAACACACCACCATCCGGAGTATGTCGGTACTGATCCTGCCAAAGCACAACTCGCCTGGACCTGCCTATATCCATGCTCCTCCAGCCCCATATAGAAGGCCATGACCGCTTGATATGCCCGTCCTTCTCATTCTTAGTCCAACACCCGGAAGGCAAGAATGTTCTCTTTGACCTCGGCATGCGCAAAGACTGGGAAGATCTTGCGCCGCGCATTGTTAAACGTATCCAAACGGAAGACTGGAATGTCAAAGCCGACAAGAATATCGCCGACATCCTCCAAGAAAAAGGCTTCAAATTAGAAGACATCAGCGCAATCATCTGGAGCCACCACCATTGGGACCATACCGGCGACCCCTCCACCTTCCCTCCCAGCACCGACCTGATCGTCGGCCCGGGCTTCAAGGAGGCTCAGACGCCCGCGTACCCTCAGAACCCCGAGTCCGGCATCAAAGAGGCTGACTGGGAAGGCCGCGCCCTCCACGAACTCTCCTTCTCCGACTCCGATCTCAGAATTGGCCGCTTCGACGCCCTCGACTACTTCAACGACGGCAGTTTCTACCTGCTCCACACGCCTGGCCACGCCGTGGGCCACCTGAGCGGCCTCGCGCGGGTGACCACCGGCCCGAAAGACACGTTCATCTTCATGGGCGGCGATATCTGCCACCACGCCGGCGAGTTCCGGCCCACCCCCTCCCTCCCGCTCCCCGCAGCCCTCTCGCCCTCCCCCGTCTCGGGCTTCGGTTCCATTTGCCCCGGTGCGCTCTTCCAGAGCATCCACCCGCGCAAGAGCGCCATGGAGCCGTTCTACGAGACGGCGGAGGGCATGGCGCAGGATGCAGAGAAGGCGGAGTGGAGCGTGCAGGGTGTCGAAGAGTTTGATGCTGCGGAGGAGGTACTGGTTGTTATGGCGCATGATGAGAGTTTGAGGGAGTGCTTGAGGTTCTGGCCGGAAGTGGCGAATGGGTGGTTTGAGGAGGGGGTCGGGAAGAGGGGGAGGTGGGCGTTTCTAAGGGATTTTGGGGATGCGGTTGAGGGGTTGGGGGTTGAGATGGAGGAGAAGTTGTAGGGGTGGTATGAAGTCTATAGGCGGTAGAAAGAAGAAGGGATGCGTCTGGGTGTACTGCTTCGTCTGAATGCTCAGTCTAGAGGTTGGGTCTTGGACTATATGTCATAGATGATTACGGCGAGGCGAGGTAAACGCTGAATCTAATCCACTCCCACGGCTGTCAACTCTGTCTTTCTCGTTTCCGCACTTTCGTCTGCCTTTTACTCCCTGTTCTATTAACAGCTCCTTTCTCGACCTGACAGATCTGAGAAGACCCTCGAGGCTCCCAAGATTCCCAGGTACTCGAGCTAGATGCTGTTCCAATAGCGTCCGTCTCTTCTAACCGAACCACTGTTCAGCATACACTAGCCGAAGAAGAAGAGCAATTGCAGCAGCGAGACAATGTTGAGGTAGATGACACGAACGGTATAGGCGATGAGGAGGAGACCGATGGCCGCTTAGGTCCACGGGACTCAACCCTCAATGTCGGCAGTTACAACAAGCGGAAACAAAACATAGTTGACGAAGACAAAGACGAAGACCGTTGAGCCACCTAGAAAGCGAAGAAGGATCACTGCAGAAGCATCCGACTCTGTTCAACCCAATACGCAGGAATCAAATGCCGCACCGCCAATTACTAGGCCCAGCAGCACAACACGTAGCCGCCTAAGGAAGCGCAAGCGGACCTGAGGGCCTATCAGCATAAGGGTGCGGTTGAGCCATCAGGCCTAGCAGGAACGAAAGAAGCATCCACCCTCAAGCCCTAGGGTGCAATCAAACTATCATAACATCAAGTTCGACCACAGTACCATACAAGCACACCGAAAGATGTTCTTCCGCCGCGTTATCATAACATTAGTTTCGATCTCCTGAATCTTTTATTAAGTCGAGTACGCTTGGTCGGCGTTCAAGCGTGAAGTCCATAGCTCTTGATTCGGGCCGTTTTCCGAGGAGTATGAAAACCGCTCCACTGCTTTGAGGGCTTCTGCGCGAGGAGTGCACCAGGGCGTGCCTGCCTCTTGAGGTCGAACAGAGAAAGCTTCAGTAAGCATATTGCTCCATTCCACGCTATCCTCTTGCTTCATGCTCTTCTATCATCCAAAAATCCTAACAACAACAAGGCCCTCCCAGAGTCCGACACGAAACACAAGATCAGACTGCTTCTCCGTCATCGCGACTGCCGCCAACACTGCCACCATCATCCGGACCCGATCAACGCCATCCTCGATCACAATCTCTAACATTATGCCCCTTGACCTGACAGCGGCGGCAGAAATTGTAGCAGCGGTCAGCGGTATGCCCCTTCTGATCGCACAGAGAGCAAAAGTGAAGTTCACGGCAATGATACTCTGTGTGGCCGTGCTGCTTGCAGTAGTCGCAGTACCGGTTGTGGCCTATCGTGTCTTGTTGCGGGTTAAGCTGTTGGAAACAGTGCCGAGCATCGTGGCCGAGTTTTTGGCATCGCTTGCATGGGTTTGTTGACCAGCAGTACGCCGCTACGTGCCCGGCTTTGTTGCAGATGTTACAAAAGAGCTTCTTCGACGCAGCTGTGGGAGTGGGAGAGGCTGCTCGTGTAGGGTACTCTGCTGACGAGTCCACTTCCGTAGCAAGGACTGATGAGACCATCTTTGTCGGTAAGGATACTGAAACACGATGTCCTGTCGTCGGTTTTCGTTCCGCAGCCGCTGAGATGGTAGTCAGCACGAGGTGTCCCGCCTCCGAGTCCGGTTGTGTATCAACGGTTGATGAGCCCCCAAATTTCGACGCGAAGGCCAGGCCAACAGGACCCGGGCCAGTAGTACGAAATGCTTGCTCACCTGCTGTCTGGAACACTGAGCCAGTTGGGTCTAAACGTCCGGTGGGAGGTTGTTGCGCCTTAGCCCGAAGAATTGATGAGCTCTCGGTTTCCGATTGAGATGGTTGGGAAAGCTCGCCCGCCACTAATCTCCGTTTCGTAGCTGTGCGAAGAAATGAGACGAGCCGTTTCCTCTCTAACCGCGCCTCTGCAGCAATGATTAAGAGACCGTCGACTCTTCGTGTGAGTGCTGGACCAGCTGGACCAGCAGGACCGGGACCTTCAGTGGAGATTGCTGGCCCATCTGACGTCGAATTTACTGGGCCGGCAGCACTCCAACACGCAGTAAGAGAGGGCTGCGCATTTGCCGGACGTGCGTTGAATTGGTCGAAAAAGGCCAGGGGTTCAATCCCAAATTCGCTTGCAGGCCCGCCGACGCCCTCCGGATCGGGTATGTTCTTGCATAAGCACTTGGGACCACAAATCTCGCATCCCCATGCGTCTCGAGGGTCGGAAGTGAGGTGGATGTCATGGTGCTTGCGGCCGTTGCTATCGTCTTGGTTCTGGTAAGCCATTTTGATTGATTTGTGTGATCAGTGCTTTTGACCAGCGCTTGAGTTGAGAGAAAAGAACTTGGTTTGGATGCGATGGATATTTGTGCTGGGTTTAGATGTTTGAAGAGGATTAGAAAAATTTACTCAAGTTAAAATAGCCATCCTGGCACCATCGGTGAACGAAGGAGGCACGGAGCTGTGAATTTTCGTACGCGAACGACCAAGACTTCTAGTGACTACGACGGCGAGGAGGCCCAAGACGGTGAAATTTCCTCCCATTGACCCTCGAAACGTGAGAGTCAGCTGTCAAGCGTGATATGGAAAGCTTACATCATTGAGGCATTGTTTAGCAGCAGATGCAAAGACACGCGCCAGTTTCTCCCTGGTACCTGGCGTCTTAAACATCCCAATTATCACCCAAAAGTCATCCGAGCTCAAAACAGAAAACGAGAGTAAGTGCATCAGGGCGCCGGCTCATGACAAAGCAGCCGTAGGCTTTACAACATTAATAGGAATTAGATACAGTGCCACCACCATCACAACTCTCACGACCTCCACCGTCCACCTGAGTAAGATCCGAGGTCGGCCCAGTAGCAGCTCTCAACAGGATGGCGTCCGCTGCAGATTCTACAGCGGTACAGATCAAAACATCGATCACGGGTGTGGCCACGCCGGCCGCAGTGCTCACAGTAGAAGCGGTCCTGTCGGGCAAGACCGGGCGGCGTCCCAATGATCTGGTAGCAGTGATGGATGTTATGCCCTATTTTGTTGCAGTGGCCACATGGCACGGTCTGCCAACAATCGGCTGCGCTATGCCCTCTCTTGTTGCAGGAGCTGCACACGGGATCGAGGAGATTTTGGGAATGGAATGGTCTAGCTGTCGGCGCTGTCGGTGTAGTCGGAGGGGGATAGAATGCCGCCGGAGCTGGGATAAGAGCTGTTGACGCTATATTCGAGGAGGAGGTTTGGGTTGTTGGAGCAGCGACTAAGGCAGCTTGAGTTAGGGTAGACCTGGTCGGAGCTGGGATAGCAGTCCTTAGAGTTGCTCTCGGCGCAGTTGTCGGAGGGGGCACTGGATCAGTGGATCCGAGGCTCCTAGTAAAACATGTGTTCGCCTCTGGGTACTGCTGAATGTATCGCATGCTTGCTTGATGCCCGGTGTCCCCAATTGTCAGCTGGACTCCGAACTCGTCTGCAGGACCCCCAACACCCTCAAAATCCGCTATGTCGTGGCAGAAGCACTCCCCTCCGCAAATCTCGCAGGGCCATTCATCACGCAGTAGGACGCCGTGGTGATTCTGATCATGCATATCTCTCCCTAGCTCGTTCACGTTGCGCGAGCCCCGGTTGCTGTTTTGATCCGCCATTTCGTTTGTGCACTTGTCGGATCGCAAGAGGTTAGGAACGTGTCTGTTCGATCCGAGGATCAGACTTTATGCGCTTGTTCGGACGTGTAGACGGCTCTGAAGACTTTTGAGTAGGATGCGGACCAGTTACGAGGCCCCAAGCGAGATGAAGATGTCCATCTCTTCACTGCGGGTAAAGATAAGCCCAGAGCTGTGAGTGTTCCCAGCTGGAACCGCATATGTTCCGATTCAGCTTGACTGCGAGAACGGACCGAGGACTGTAGAATTAATTTATAAAGACCTAGAAGGGTTCGAGTTAGCGTTCTGTATTGTGCAACATCGAACACGTCTCCGATCTTGCACCGTAAAATTGTCACTATGCAGCAGGTGGAAAGATATCTTCAGGATTTTACCTTTTTTTTCGGTTCTCTATTATTCTAATTTCTAACCGTGTCACCTAGCATGCAGTAAGCCTCCCAAGCAGCCGAAAATAAGAGTTTCAGAACGCCTCACCTCATTTCAGCATCCTCGCTTCACTGTCGTCCCTTCCAAGCAGGACCGCTCTCGGGCTGTCGACAATTTGCTGGGAGGTGACCCTTGTTTCCGCATAGGCGGCATGGATGTAGATCGAAACATCTATCCATCGTATGCCCCTCGCGACGACAATGCTCGCAAAAATACCGGTCGCGGCGGGTCATTCCCGGGGGTGTTCCAATGACCTTGAAACAGCGGTCGGAGCTGTGCCCAGTCTTTCCGCAATGGTTGCACGGGATAGTTGCCCAGCAACTATCAGCAGTGTGGCCCGGTCTATCGCATGAGGGGCAGACTGAGTTTGTGGTCCTTGATGGACCCCCGACGGTCGATGATTGTGGAACTGAGAGTGACCCCTCGGCTGCAGGTTGGAACGCTGCCCCGGGTGGAAAAGCTGGAAAGGCTGGACTGCCTGAGCCCAGCTCATTGGCGTCCAGTCCTCCAGCAAGAAAGGCCTGTGCTGCCGCCGGGTTCTGGTAGAAGTGGTCTGTCCATGCTTGGAACCAGGCGGCATGAGCGGCAGCACGAAGGTCGAACTCATTCGTAGGTTCAACCGTCTCCTCAGGTGTCTCTTCAGGCTCCGGGTGGATGCCAAACTCATTGGCAGGCCCACCTACGCCCTCGAGGTCTGGCAGACCCCCACAGAAGCACTCTTCGCCGCATATATCGCACTCCCACTCATCTCGAGACAGCACGCGACGTCCAGAAGACTGATGGTCATTTGAGCCGTTGCCAGAGCGGCGGCTATCGCCTGGATGCTGATCTGCCATTCCGTTGGTAGGTCCTATTGTTTGAAAATTCGAAGAACGAGTGTGTCGAGCGTAAAAGTCTTAGCGATCGTGCCTGCTGAAATTCGAACTTCGAAGGTGTTTGCAGAACTTGAGACGGAACTCGCACGACTTATAAGGGCGGCAGGAGACGAGGTCCATACTTTCACCACATGCGTGACTAGACTCAGGACTATACAGACGACGTTGTGAATGCAATGTGAATTGGTTTCCGGAGGACAGATAACGTCATTGTTGCCGACTATACTTGACAAAGAAAATTGCCAGCGGAACTTGCACTTCAGAGGTATAGAGTTCAATACTGCTATGATAGACTGTACGAACACTGACTTTATAAGATGAGGAAACAGAAGTCACCTGTGGTGTGATACGCGAGCATATGCTGCGTTGCTTCAGAGAGTCTGCGTAGGGTCGCTGTTTTATATACTTACGTTTATGCATCGTGGGGATGATTCGCAAACAGGCACGGCAAACATATATCATGTCCTGGAACATCGGTAAAACAAAGTGTAACTCCTGACATACGCGAGCCTTTGTTGTTTCTGACCGTTTGAATGCTCTGCGGGCGCTTTGGTACCTCTTTCGGTGCGGCGCGACATTATACGCAAACCTGGCAATGCTTTGTTCGCTCAAGGCCACGTGGTTGTTGTCCAAGAGGTCGCAGGCATGACGATATACTTGCATTTTCCAGACTGACGCCATGGCTTCCGTAGTGTCTGAGTCTGCCAAAGCTGGGGACCCGACTAAGCACCATCAGGTTACCATGCGTGGGTAGCCCGCCGAGGCGTTGGCCGGGCGCCGCCGCCGTTCTGGTACGCCGAACTTATACACCTGCGCCGTTTAGGCTTCGCCGGTCGATTATCGTTGTATGTCAACAATGTCCTTGTCCTCTTGTAGAAACAGAAAGACGCAATTCCCTCTGAAACGGGGAAGAGAGGCTGTGATACCACATCTAGGCCAAATCGGATAGTCTGTTCCGCTGCTCGAAATGGTGACGGAAGGACCATTGATGCTGTTCTAGAGATATTGGCCCCTTGGGATCTTAAGTGGCGACTCCAGGTCAATCCAGCAGCCTCGAGGGCCACAAGTAACGACCTGGGTTGGCACTCTCGGCATCTGGCAGCAACAGGTGTACGAAAGAGAGAAGAGAACGTGTTTGAGGTTTTGAAACTTCCAGGGCCGAAGAGCAGACAGACTGTACATGTGAGAAGGATTCTTAGAACCCCTTAACAGCGTGATTCTTCACTGAGCAGGACTGACTGTGATGACAGCTGGAAATGGGCAGTAAGGCTTGATTAATGCAAGCTTGAGATATCCGAGTGTTCCATCGTGATCGATAGGGAAAGAAACCCCGCTCAGCGCTTTTACATGGGTATCTCCGGAATGGTTCAAAAACGCCTACAAATGCTTCTGAGCCCCCGGCTTTCCGTTTCGGTGGCCAAGACGTAGGGCAAGTGATCAAGTGCTCTTCCCAGCACAAGCTGGCCCGCAACCGGTTGGCTTCCGTGGATCGTAGTACTCATATCCGCAATCGTCGGTGTCGCTCCCCTTCTCATCCGTCTTCTTCACTATAGATCTATCTCCTTCTCCACCAAAAGCCTTCTTGAAGCCGCTCGCGGGCTTTGTGGCTTCCCCTTCGTCAGGTTGTGGCGCGCCGAATGCGTTCTTGAACCCTCCTTTTTTGAAGCCACCTTTAGCAGCGGTTGCTGACCCGAGCTTGAGTGGCTTGATGGTGATGAGACCGGACTTCTCATCCGCCTTGCGTTCTGCGCGGCGAGCTTTGTCGGCAGCGTTGGGGTCACGCTGCATGTGCTTCATGTCTTTGAGACGCTGTCGCAGTCAACACGATAAGCCCGCGGAACAGAATATGATGGGCTTAGCGTTGCACACCTGCTTGTGCTGATGGTCATACGAGCCCTGATGTGCTTCATACTCATTCATGCGGCTGTATCCCTTGTGACATAGTTCGCCTGCGAACCATCACGTCAGATTGCCTGCCAATCGTCTGAGCAATAGGGATCAGTACAGAAGAAGGACTTCCGCGCCTCTCTCGCGCTCTCCGTCTACCTCACCCAGCGGATCAGCATCATGGAGACATTGTATCGGACGTGGTGGCCGCGAAGCAGTGCGAACCTTGGGCGGTGGATTGGTGAGAAAGCGCTGGCGGACCATGTCAGCCACGGAATTCTCGTGCACAATGCTGCAAACCTACTGGAGGCATGCTGCTGGGTTGATGATGTTCTTTGTTCTTTGTTGCAGGACAATGCAGTGGTCACGGGAGGAAAGGCGTTGAAGTCGTTGATTACGGACATGGACAGCCGCGGCCCGTGAGACGACTCTGCATCTTCCCGCCAGACCTCAGCTTGCCCTCAACACCACGCCAAGACTCATGATGGCTGCCATCACAGTCGACGAGGAGAGGCTTATGGGCTTGCAAGAGCTCGAGCCCTCTCCAGTAGAAGATAGCCCGATAGAGATCAAAGAATCATACTTCCCTTCAGCTTCCACGCCATCTCCACCTCCAGAACCTCTCCGGCGCTCAACGACGCTCGGCCTTAGCGGCCACACCCCTGTATATTGGCGTACTGCTTCCTCTGAGGCACACTCAAGTCTAGCAAGCTGACGCCTATCAGTCTCCCGCCTTCATCGGTACTCGACCTACCCGCTCACCCTTTACGCCGTCTTCCACATAACCAACACCGCCATAATCCCATTAGCTACAAAGTCCATAGCCGCAAGTGACACCTACCTGCTCTTAACACGGCCATACTATCAGTCCTTCCCCCTCGAACCCCTGCTCATAGTCCTTCCGCTTGCGGCGCATATCGGCTCCGGCCTGGCCTTGCGCATCTACCGGCGCAGACAGAACCTTCAACGCTACGGCGCCGAGTCGCGAAAAGATCGGCGCAACGTACCATGGCCCCCTGTTAGCGGGACGAGCAAGCTCGGATACCTCCTTGTGCCTTTTATCACCGGACACGCGTTCATCAATAGAGTAATCCCGCTATACCATGCTGGTGGCAGCTCAGGGATCGGCCTTGAGTATGTGAGCCATGGCTTTGCGAAGTTTCCCGCCATAAGCTTTGCCGGATTTGGAGCGCTGGTCGCCGCGGGCGTGTTGCACATAACATGGGGATGGGCGAAGTGGTTGGGCTGGACTCCAAATCAGGTGACGGAGCACGGAGAACATGGACAGATGCTAAAGAAACGGAGGTGGTACGGTATTAATGCTGTCAGTGCGCTTGTGACGGCTGTCTGGATGGCCGGAGGACTAGGAGTGGTAGGAAGAGCTGGACCGGCGGGAGGATGGGTGGGGCGGGAGTACGATGAACTATTTCAGCATATACCAATTTTGGGAAGATGGATGTAATAGGCGGAAATGACGGAAACCGTGCGCACAAACTTCGATATCACAATGAGATGTTTAAGTGTTCGTCAGCGCGATGTTCAGAGGATATCAAACGACGTTTGTAAGTCCTATAAGATCCTCTGATCGCCCTCTAGCTCTCCTTGGCTAACACTATCTGACGCCGGGAGGCACTTAAATGTACCTTTAGCTGTATGTCATCACTCAAGAATCCGGCAGGACCTTCAACCGTCGGTCTTGTATATGTTCCAAGCCGCCTGAATTTGAAGCCCGCCTAACTTGTAACCAATTTGAGTAATACACCAAACTTAGTCTCCCAGCCGGATGTCTATAAGCAGCTTCTGGAATTCTGCAGGGCTATCAGCGGGAATCAAAGCCCAATTCAAAACGTTCACGCTTCCTCTCAACCCGATTGCGAGCGGGAAAACCGCCTACGACGGTTTGATGGCTGGGCTACGCTTCCACCTATGGTTTTGCATAGTTGGCGACGTTAAGGCGGACATGGAGACCATTGTGTCACATGGTGCAGCGCCTTAACGAACGCCCCTTTCACGGACACTGTTTTCTGTCTCGACAACAGTGAGGGTACACTCACAGATGTGCTTCACACTGGATCACCGATCACTTGGTCGGCAGCTTCACCTGCGGGCTAAGTATATTAGATTTTGCCAGCGCCAGCTCCATACTCTTTCCCATTCCACGTCAGTTCCCGCCTTCGCTCGAGTTTATCACCATGGCCTCCAGCAACTGCAACACCTCGCACACGATCCCTCAGCATTCGCGCTCAACGCCTCAAGAGCCTGCCAGTTCCCGGTTCTCATTAGAGGAACTGGAAGAAATCCTCAAGCACGTCCGCCAAAACTCAGCTACGGATCTGCTGAACTGCTTGGTTACTTGCCAGGCATGGTTGGACATCGGCTATCCCGTCCTCTGCCGCGACGTCGTCCTCACTAGCACCAACCTACAGCCCTTTGTCAACACCTTCGGTGTCCGTCATGGGAAGCATATCCGGTCTCTTACCGTTCACATCAGTGGCAGTACCGCGGGATTCAGTAGCCCTACGGCCCCTTTCGGGCCACTGACTCTATCTAGCTTTGCGGATATCGGGCGATACACCCGTGACTTCGAGAGATTAGCAGCGATGCTTCCTCATTTCGGCAATCTGCAAACGTTCTCGACGCTATGGGGTACTCTGAACACAGCGCGCCCAATGCCGCGCTACTCACTGAATGCGCTGGTACTGAACCTCCCAATATCGGTCAAAAATCTCGAGATCGACACCGCGGGCCACGACAGGTTCTACCATCATCCTACCGAACCACAGCACCTATGTCTCTCTCTCCGGGGAGTTCTCCCCCAACTGCGAAACCTGCGGCTTCGAGTGAAGGAGCTTTGCCCCTGCCTATTCGGCGGTTGTAACGATTTCTCTGCCCCGAATCTCGAGCGGCTGCTCATCAACGTCGAGATATTTTCTTATTACTCGGCCGCAGTGTGCCACCCAAATCCGTACCCCGTTCATGAGGCTTTTCCAAACACCGAGGCCCGCGGGGTGCTCCTTCCTCACCTCCAATCGCTGCTGCGCTCAGGAGCCTTCCCGAAGATCAAGGAACTTTTTGTTCTCGACCAACGTCGTCGTGCTGGGCTCGATTGGCGAGAATACAGTGCAGTCGTGGTGCGAGATGTCTTGCGCGACATGACCACCAGCCTTCCATACCTCTCCGCGCCGGCCTTCTCAGATGCCTGCATGATACGAGCACCAGATGGCCGCGACCTCTGGGGCCCCGAGGCGGCGTCGCGCGATTTCGCCGAAGGCGAGGCAGGCTGGATCACCACATCCAAAGGCTCCCGCTTCCCTGGTCATGTAAAATTTATCCATACGAAGCTCAACGACGGCTACAAGGTCCTGGATCTGCCTTGGACTCGCGTAGATAGCTTTGCGGAGCGCCAAACTAGTCCGCTCCGGATATGGGGCCTATGGAAGCAAGAATTACAAGTTGGCATGCAACTTTTGGAGGTCCAGATCAGGGACGGAGTGCTTGAGGACCTCGCGCATCTCGAGAAACTACCATCTGGCTGGCAATATGATGATACTAGAGAACTGGTCCCCTGGATTCCTACAGGAGGGCAGCAACCGTGATGGAAGAGTCGCAAGGTGGAGTTGGATGGTAGCATCATTGGCATTTCTTTCTTGGGTATGCTCTTTCTTTTCTGTTACGTTTTGGGTTGGGTCGGGTCAGGTACATGAGCAATGTCTCGTGCGCTTGTCAATACGCACGGGTTGGGCTAGCAGACTGTGATTGGTGTTACTGGAGCATATTGCGGCATTGGATAGTACTCTGTCAAACAGCGAAGCATTCATTATCAACCTCATGGCACATTGCTACACCAAGCTCATGAGGTGATCATAGTTTGGACCATTGAATGCAAACGTGACCTCATAAGTCTAAAACAGACTCGACTTATCACCCCCTGTAACCCGTGTACCGAACATTGAGTGGAGAGCGCATCATCACTTACCCGATGCGCTTCTACAGGTGGTTCGGTTGACTAACCTTTCTTTGTGGCCGAATGCGGTAACACCGGTGCTTGCGTAGAACGTCGCAGTAAAACGGCAGCCCCAAAACAGGCACCGACGGTTGCACCCAACTTGCCCGCAAAAAGCAGGCCGGCGACGGCAATCGCGAAGAGCATGAGGGTCTCGGCGCAATGGCGCAGGTCCACACAGGTGCAGAGACAGACCGCAGCGGCTCGCAGAGTGTTCACAGCGGGCATGAAAATGAAGCACCGGGACCTTGGTGCACTCTGGCAAAATGCCGAAGGTCGAGTGCGACGAATGGCGAGGCTACCTATCTACCGCCATTCCTCACAAATCTACTAGTATCATTCCATTCAGGCGCAACTCCTTTCATCTTTGGAAAGGCAACAGTGTGATTACAAGAGACTACTAAAACGTTTCAACTGCAACTTCAGTCTACACACCTCATAGCTTACTACTCGTCTTCGTCTCCTTCTTCCCCACGCATCTCATCACCGCCCGTCCATTACTCAAGCACACCTTCTGGCCGTTGACCTTAACTACGAACCTAACCTCCTCGAATCCGCTCCCCTTCTCCTCGCCCGTCCGCCACATCTCAATCACGAGCTTGTCGCCCGGCTTGACCGGACTTGCGAAGCGCGCCTGAAACTCCCTGATATTCTCTGGATCGCTACCGCCCAGCGTGCGCAGCAGCTCGTGGCACGCGACGTTCCAGGAGTATAGGCCATGCATGATAGCGCCGCCGAAGCCCATCTTCTGGCCTGGTTCGGGGGTTGCGTGGAGGGGGTTGTAGTCACCATTCAGCCGGTAGAGATGCGCTGAGGTGGGTGTAGTTTGGTGCTCCACAACTGCGTCCGGCTTCTTACCTTCTGGAGGCGGGAAGTTGACCGTCTTCGGACCTGTTTCACATGAGGTGAGTATACAAGTAAAGAAGTCCCCCAAGCTACGATGCAAACAAGCCCAGCAGCAAAGAAAGCTACTGAAGAGAAAGGAGTCCACCTACCCTTCGGCCCACCCCACCCCCCCTGCCCAACATAGAACGCACTCCCCACCATCCTCGCATACACCTCCCCGTCCCCATCCACAAGCTCCTGCACCGTCTCGACTACCGTCCCCGGCTTGCCCTTATCATACACGCCCAGCACCCTGCTCTTGACCTCGAACTTCTTTCCTCCCTCCTCGCTCGTCACCGGGAGCCGCTTCACGAACTCAATCTTGCGCTCGCCATCGACGACGCGGCGGGTGTCAAGTTTAGGCACCCCGGGGATGGAGGCCGCGCTAGAGGCGGAGCGGGCGTAGAAGTCGATTACGTCGAGGGAGGTGTGCTTGAAGGGGAGGATGATTGGGTAGGTAGGGAAGGGTTGGAAGGAGGGGTGGAGCTCCTGAACTGGGGTGAGTTTCTGGGGCCTGGAAAGGGCAATTGAGAGAAGCCTACGTAAAGGAAGTGCAGCTCATCTGCTGTGCAGCCTATACTATTTGCGAACAGGAGGACGTCACGCTTAAGCCATGAGACGGGGTAGCTGGGGAATTCGAAGCCGACACCTGGTTCCGAGGATTTGGACATTGTGTGGGATAGTGTAGAACGAGGCGAGGTATCACGGGAACTGGGATACAGATGTATATAATGGACGATTTGATAAAGACCTGTAGATGTGTAAAGAGTCGCAATGAAGCTTACCGTAAGGGTCTCTTATCACTTACTGCGGGGAGCTGAGGTGTCTGGGGAAGCTCTGGAGAACAGCAACCGAGATGCCGAGGTCCGCGTTTAATTTAACTCAACAACGCGCACCTCTGGGTACAAGAGGCAGTCGAATTGTGTTGGAGCAAGTCGCTGAGTTTACACTTGAATTCAAAGACTCACAGACAGGCACAGCTTGAGAACAGAGGCCAGCGGTCGCCTTACCCAACCCTAGATGGTCAGGCTGATTTGGCTAAATTGCTGGATGGAAGCGTTTTATGGCCTTCCTGGTCTGCTAGTCGTCAGGCGCTCTTCAGAACAGCAGTCGGGTGTCGACAACGTATGCTCGCCGCACACCGAGGTCGTGTTTAGTTATGAGGGGAGTTGGAAAAAATAGAGTGTTACTGCCTATGATTTGTTTGAATCACGTGGCTTTTTTTTTACACTCAATCTTGGCATTTTGGTGACGGTCACGTGATAAGGAAGCATCTTTGCGACCCCTAGCGCTCTTTGAGTTTCTTTCGGCACAGCGGGTTTTGAGGTCTCGATCACTCAACGGCACGAACGGGAACTGGCTGATGATGCACCAAATCTTGGCCCCAAGAAACGCCGACTGTCAACGCGGCCAGCTCTGCCTCGCCGAACCGAAAACAGCCGTGGACGACAGGCTCTGCTCGAGTGGCTCGCCACGGAACCCAGCAGCGGCCTGCGCGGGCGCTGGTGAGGGAAAAGAGCGGCGGTGGGTGGGCGGGGAACACGAGTTCGACCTCGCATGATGCCGACAACGGCAGAGGTCGCTGCAGATGCAGATGGCACGGGCTGCTGCCCATGGCCAGTTGCGGAGCTGATCTGAGGCCAGGCACGCTTACGCGGCGCTACGCTGCGCTTTTTTCGACGCGGTCTCATCATCGTGATGTAGAGAGGATGGGGGGTTGATGACGGGATGTGCGTGGCTAGGAGCGCTTTTTTAAGTGCTTGCAGATGGATGGATGAGTTGCGCACAGTCAGAATCGGTGCACATGATCTGGGCAACAGAAAGGCGCAGGCAGGTCGAGTGTGTCTTGACGAGTGAGGGCGATCTTTGACACAATTCGTAATCTACTCCGACTTGACTACCTAAAACAAAGATCGTGAATCACCTGGGCTGTGCTTCGCAAGCAGAGCGGTGCCAGGCTGCAGGAGGGACAACCAGCGGGTCAGCCAGGCAGAAGGAACAGCGTCCCGCTTCGCCGGATGACACACACATCGATGCAAACACCTTCAGCGTTCACACAGCGGAAGAAGTCGCCCGCGCCAAATGCTGCTGCGGAGAGACATCGCTGGAAAATAAAAGTGTCGAGGCCGGAGAAAGCGCACGAGTGGCCGGCGCACGAGTGGCCGGCTTCGTGAAGTGGATGCGCCAGCTCAAGGCTTAAATAGCGCGTTCACCACTGCCGTTTTCGGTTGTGCAGCGAATGACTTGGCCCTTCGCGCGTGCGGCTGCAGTTGGTGGGTGATGGTTGCGGCGAGGGTCGGAGGCAGATATTTTTCTCATTTGCTGTGCCAGTCAGAGTGCGGTGGCCCGTCCAGCGGCCCTCGTCAGTTCCAACATCGAGCCCGGCTCGCCCTTCTGACATCCCGTTCCTCCTCGCTCCTCGCTCCTCCATTGCCCTCCCACCGCAACCCTCAACACCTATCCCCCCTTCATCCTTTCCAACCCTTTGCGACTGGACGGCGAGGCGCAATTTCGACGCTCCAACTCCTTGCCTGCGCCAAGCTAAGCTGAGCTCGAGTTGGAAGGCCACGCACCGTTGGGTGGCTCGTTTCACTGTGCCGGCCTCAGAAGCCTCGGGCTCGTGCGCTTCCGAACAGCAAGACCTCCCCCCAGTTCTGTCGAAGGGAGAAACCGACATCGTCGCCCCATCCTTCAACCACCTCCGCGTCCGGCGGTTCTCGAATTGATTTTCTTTGGTGCCGCTCAGCCTTGGTTCCTGTCGAAAAGCCTTTTCGTGGTACAGCCGGCGTCCCGGTTCCGTAGTTGACCGTCGCCTTGTGTCAACGCTCGCCGACTGAAACAGGCCACGCAACATATCCCTTCGAGCCAAACACACCGGCTATCGTTACGACCGATTCCAGTGGGACCGCCGAGTTTTGCTACCCTTGTCTACGCCTCTTCTAATATCCAGCGTTCCAGCGGCTGTCCACCTGCGCCTTCCTCACTTCATCCAACAATTCCTCGACAGGAAGTACGAAGAAAACGACCACGCGTCTTTCGCCTCCTTGCAACGACGATCTATTAACTTAGCTTCGTCGGCGACATCATTTGGAAGTATTGCGGTAGCCTTCCGTTACTGATACAACCTATTCATTGTCAGCCAACCGTGGAACACTGCAGCCTGTCAAACCTCCTTTCACGCCTCTAACGACTTGTTCTAAAATACTACCAACGCTAAAAGAAGTACACACCCCCATCGCATGACACACAGCTACTAGGCAACAAACTTTGAGTGCGCCAGAGCTTTTCAGCTCGAAGCTCCGCGGTTAGCGGCAAGAGAAACGGTGAGCCTCCTTCAAGGCCAGGGAAGATCTGCGACACTAACGCTACAAAGTGTGTCGCTCATCGCGAGACCGTTTCTCCAATCCCTCCGACTATCGTCATCATGCCGTCCTTCTACCCACGCACCGCGCCTCGGCAGCTTCCACTCACACCACCGGAGTTCATTCCAAACGGATATGGAAACAGCTCTTGCGGCGTCTCCCAGTACCAGAGGGGTTCGTTTGTGGTACAGCCAGGCACCGGAGGTCAAGAAGAAGGCTATTATGATTTCGCGGACCGCTACAGCCAACAGCCCGCCATGGTACCCCAGTCGTTAATTTATCAGCCAACCGCCGGCTACAGCAATGCCATGGGAGGGCTCTCATCGCAGAATACGTTTTACAAGCCAATCGGAGCGCCGATGCTCCCTCCTATGCGCATTCCTGATGAGATGGCTATGGCAGAGGCGGACATGAGCCACCAGAGCCAACAGCATCTGCAGGCGCAACAGCAGGCCAAAGAAGAGAAGCCCGTCGGAGGTGTATCCGCTAAGCTTGACTACGACATGGACTGCATGACGGATTTCGTATCTGAGATGGCACAGGGAATGTATGAGATTCTCAAATCCCCGATCTGCATTGCAGACGTTGACCTTTTTCGAAGTGTGCAATCAAGTCGGCCGTTGCCGCCATCATTTAGGAAATGGGTTTACCGAGTGCTCAGCGCCACGCGACTCCCTTCGGCAACCATCCTTCTCAGCCTTCAGTATCTCTCCATCCGCATGGAGATGCTGTCGAACGGCGGCCGATACAATGCGGTGGAGGGCCAGGTCTACAGGCTGCTAACGATCGCTCTCGTACTCGGTAGCAAATTTCTCGACGACAACACCTTCATCAACAGGTCGTGGTCGGAAGTGAGCGGCATCAACGTGCTAGACCTGAACCAGCTGGAAAGAGAATGGCTCGTGGCCATCGATTTCCATCTGCACCGCGACCCTACCGAACAGCAAGGCTTTTGCTCTTGGCTTGAACACTGGAAGGATTACGAGGTCAAGGCGATCGCTCGGTCGGCAAAGCCGAGCAAGCTTAGCCCGCTTGATACTTCCGTTCAGCACCAGCGGCCTGTGCCCAAGGCTTTTTCGTCAGCGGGCTTCCAACAGTCTTTCAATAAGCCTGCACCTACTCAGTACGAAGCTACCACAGCTCGCAATCGGTACAGCGCTTCGGGGTTTTCTCAGTACGATCCCTGGCTAGTCCCTCGGTCGGCGACCGACACCTCGCCAGATTCGGCGCCTCTTACTGGTCCCACTACTCCTGAGTACTACGGTGGTCCGGGAACATGGGCACCGCTAGAAGGCTACTCGCGCAGATCGATGTTTGGCTACCCTTCAGTAACGCAGCCTCCGCAGCTACAAGCGCAAGCGCAGCAACAGTCGCAGCCCACGGGCTACGGCACCCCGTTCACACCACAGTATCCACAGCAGATGTGGAGTGGCCACGGCATGGGGTGCAGCTGCATGTATTGCGCACGGCAGCAGCCATACCTTATGGCTCATGGCTATCGCCCCACACCCGTGGTCTGCTGAACACACTAGCACCATTGCATGTCTGGCTCAGACACGAAGCTTGTCACGAACAACAGTGGTCTTTCTTGCCATTGGCGTTACTTGGTCCTACCGCTATCCGTCCGCCATCTTGATCGAGCTCACCATCACTTGGTGTGCTCGTTCCCTCCTCAGGTGGCTGCGCGGGACTCTTCAAATGCATCCATGGTCTCGCATGATAGCCTAAACTGTCTTGCAATAACCTATCCGGTAACCTAACTCTACCTACAACTTTGCTTATCGCCTATGTTTGCTCTCAAAAGTTCTGTGCGGCATTTCCAAAAGCGTCCTTGCGTTCTTGTTTTCGCTTGTTCACACCTGCGCCTGCGTTCTGGGCGACTGTTTATGACTTCCTTGGCCGCCTCTTTGCGGCTACGACCCTGTTTCTACTTCTCTGTTTCCATCTAGGCTTTCTTTTAGACTTTGCTCTGGGTTTTCTGTTACTGGCATAGATCGCGGGTCGGCTCGGTTCGGTTCTGCGGTTGCGTGGTGTTGGGGGGTTGGGTTCCGAACTTCTGCATCGGGCGCTCTTCGGCTCGATCCTTTGAGGTTTTGTCTTGTCGCAGCTTGTGCCGCTCCCGGTTGCCGCGTCTGCATGCATGCGCTCTGATTTTCTTTGCTGATCACTCTTTTGCTCGACGACAAGTCACGGCGGCCTGGGGCTCCCTCCTTCTAGGGCCTCGATGTTATTGGTCGTCCGGCTTACCCGTCATCGTCTTACCCTTTCATGACGATACTTCAGCACTTGCTTTTCCTCACTTACGTTCATAAGCAGGCAGGCTTCTCACACAGTAATCAGGTTGTAACTCAGGGTTTCGGGAAAATATTTTTTTGCGCGACGATGGCGGGTTCATGGGTTCGGTCGGTTCAGCGTCTGCTTTTATCCTGTTAGAGAGCCGGGTGGGGGGTGTTTAAAGCCATTCGAAGTCCTTCAAGATACCACAGAGGCCCACACTTTTTTTCGGTGCTTCGGCGCGTGCGTGCGCCCATGGCAGCTTCTTGTGCTGGTTGAGCGAGGGTTTGTGTTCGCTCCCGCTTCTTTACTGAGGGCTTGGATGGAGGGAGCATGTGGGATAGATCTATGGGAATATAAAACGAAAAAGATATCTTGACCTGTTGCTGAAGCCTCTGTTTCCCCAGCTCTGAAGCCTCTCAGATGGCACGTGATTGGAACTTTCTGAGCTTTGAACAAGCAATCGGCTTTAGATTATGTAGGTCTAAAGGTTGTCTCCGACACCTCGTAGCAGTATTAAAGCGAGCACTAAAGCGCATAGAAGTACGTCCCGTCCTTATCCTCATCCTCTTCTCCCATCTTCGGTCCGCTCTGCAGCGGCCAGTTCGGTCCATGCTGTGATGGAGTACGCAAAAGTGTCTGCGTCTGAGGTTGCGGCGCAGCCTTCGAGGCCTCTTCTTCCTTGGGTTGAGGAGTGAGAGCCATGGACTTGGGACTCGGCTCGCCAACAGCAACTACTTCCTGTTGCTTCCCCTCACGCTTCTCTTCCTTCTGCTCCTTTTCATCGTCCTCCTCATCATTCTGCTCCACCTTTCCCCTTTCCTCCGCCTTCTCTATCGCCTCCACCTGCGCCGCAACCGCCGCACCACCGACCGGTTTCCGGGCCACGCTCACACTCGGCTGCACATCACCCTGCTCCTCGATCTCCCTCGCCTTCTCCGCCTCCTCCTCCACCTTCCCGGCCTGCTGCCCACCGACCTCCGCAGCCGGCTCAACGACGACCGGGTTCATGCCCAACCCGCCGCGGCTTCGCAGCAGCGTGCGCGGATCCGGCATCAGCGTGCCCTGTTGCTGCGCCTCTTCTCGCTCAGCCTTCAGCTGCCCGGCCTTGCTGCTCTCGGCCTCGTCGTGGAGGGCCTCGCTGTGCTCGGGCCGCCCCCACAGTGGAGACCCGGAGCGGGCGGGCGCGGCTAGCTCTCGCACTACTTGCGCCCGCACTGCTGCGGCCAGCTGCGCCTTCGCGGTCGCGGGCATCAGCACGGAGGGGTGCCTGATGTCTTGCTGAGGCGGCTCGAGTGGCAGGGGCAACGACGGCGGGGGCGAAGATGGCGGAGGCGAAGACGGCGGAGGGGTCATGGGCGGCGGTGTCATGGGCGGCGATGTCATGGGCGGCGATGTAGGAGCGGGGATACCGTTCTCCTGGTGCTGCTCCCCATCCTTCTCCTCCTTCTCTCCGGCCTCCCCTTCCCCTCCGTCCCGCTCACCCTCACCCTCGCCGCCGATCCCCAACATGCCCTCCAGCTCCTGCTCCGCCGCAAGCCTGGCCGCGGTGCTCGGAAACGCCTCGCTCGCCCTAACGCTCGCCTTGCGCTCAGGCGGCAGGCCCACCTCTCTAGACCCCCTGGATCCACCAACCATAACCTCCTTCGGCAGGCCCACCCTCGTCGGCGCATTCGGGCCCACGGCCACGATGCGCGGCACCGGGTTCAGCCTGGCCGGGACGCGGTACTTGCTCGGCACCGCCATGCGCGGCGTGGCGGGCGTGCCGGGGGTAGGCGGGAGAGACTTATCCGCCGCTGCGGCCGCCAAGGCGGCAGCAGTGGTGGGCGAGGAGGGCGAGGAGGGCGAGGACTCCGAGATGATGCTCAAGGTCTTGTGCTGCGAGTTCGAGGGGGAGTGCTTGGGGCTCTTTCCGTTCGTGGCACCCGCGCCACCGCCGGAAGCAGAGCCGCCACTGGTGTTGCTCTTGGCGGAGGAGGTGGTCTTGGTGCTGACGACGGAGGAGCGCGAGCGGTGGCGCGAGATGGCGGAGCGGTGGGGAGAGGAGTGCGAGGGCGCGGTTGAGATGCGCTTCGCGGCTTCTTTGTCCGAGGCGTAGGAGAAGGGGTTGTGTTCTTCGTCTTTGGGGGCGCGGCGCTCGGTTAGGTGCGTGTGCAGGCGGTGGGCCGGCTCCGTGAGGAGGGTGAGCCAGGCTGTGAACATTGAGGTGCGGGCGAGGAAGAAGAAGCAGATTACGCCGGAGAGCTGGTGGAGAGATTAGTATGGGGCGTTTCGAAAGGGGGGGAATGGGAGAGACGTACGCCTGCCCAGACTACAGATGAAATGACGATGTGGGGTCCTCCGGTAATCTTCTCAGCCAAACTCAGACAGGCGTTCTTGTTCCCGCCAGCGAAGACGAGGCAGGTGCCCCATGCCTGGAAGTTCAGCATGTCCTGGGCGCTCGTCCTGCCGATGTCGAGCTTGCTGTCCTGGTTGATGAAGGTCGTTGCGAAGTAGACTGTCTGAATGACGACAAGAGTACTGATAGCAATGCCTCGCCACTGCAAGAGGAACAGCCTCCGAATCTTGCGCCACTCGACAGACGAGTGCCTGACACGCTCGAAGCCGCTCCGTAGCTGCGAGCCCCCTTCCTGCGCCGTTCTATGCGTCTGGCTAGAAATCCCACCCCGCATTCTAGCCTTCTCTCGCCGCTGACTGCGCACGAAAATGTAGACGCAGTATACGGCAGTAATCAGCTGCAACACCAGCGACAGGCCGGCGAATGTGATGAGCCAGGCCCAGTAGGCCGCGAAAGACTTGTCATGGTTGGCGAAGCAGACCTGGCCGGTGCGGTACGAGACGCCGGACGAGGCGAGGACGGAGGCGAGGAAGACGGCCGGAATGGTGATGCCGCTGATCATTGAGAAGAGCGCGAACATCAGGCCGGGTTCGCGGTCCCAGCAGATGCGAATGTGGAGCCAGGCTGTGCGGAGGAGGACTGTCGACGGTGTGTTGTCAGCTTTCCACGATATGATGGGTTTGGGGAGGGGGGAGTGGTCTGCTTACCCCATACCACGGCGCCCATGCCTCCCACTTGGAGCAGCGCCCCTGTCCAAGCGCAAGACATATCGCTGTACATATCGTGCGGCGTGACTTGGTCATAGCAAAGGTCTGGGTCGGTGCCGAGTGGTATGATGAATGAGATCTATGGGATCATGGTGTTAGCTGGATGGGCCTGCGCTGAGTTTCCAAGGGGAACCGTACGGTAATTAGAAGAACTGAGATAAGCAATCCTACGCTGAGGTAATGTCTCTGGCTCTTCTCTGGCGGCAGGAAGACAAAGGAGAATAGCAGGAAGGCGCATGCTAAGAGCGAAGGTATACTGCAGTACTGGGCGATCTTGAGCTTGGAGGCGAAGTCTGGCATTCTGTCAGAAGCGAAGGTCGCCGTGTGACCATCGAATCCACTCACTATCCGGGTACACATAGTCTTGTATGGGACATGGCAGGCAGCATGTGAGGTTACTGCCAGGCGGAAACGGGGAGCACAGTCTTCCCTTGCCGTCTGGTACGAAGTTAGCAGGACTTCATTGATTGGATGATTGGAGTGTCACATACAGCCGCCGAGCTCGGGGTAGTCGCGCAGGTCGCGGAACGGTGGAAGGCACTCGCTGAGAAGATTCATCTTGTACAGCTAGTACCGTATAGATGCTGTCGACGATCTCATGGGCGAAACCTGCAGAGCGAAAAGATTTGGGGAGTGGCAACGACGCACGTATAGACCCAATTGAATCGAGAAAAGTTCGTCCCGAAGCAGACGGTGTTAGATCCCACATTCCTTTGTCCGATCGCAGTTGTGGGTAGCCTGGGGCCGCACGCGTGCGGAAGCGAGCCTTGAGGAATGCAACAGAGAATGCCTTTGTCGCAGACGAAAGCATGCAAGCCGGAAGAAGAACAGTCACGACAACTAAGCTCAGATTATGGTCCTCGAGAAAGCCTTTGATTGTTGAGAACTGAGAATTGCGACAACATAGCCATAATGACTGCATGTCCAAACTAACCACAACGCCAAAGCACTGGCACATTTGCTGTACCTAGTCGCTCGATGCTGATCACGTGCCGAAAGAGATTGATCAGATCCCGAATGGTATGAGAGAGGAAGACGAGAAGGTAGCACCATGAAGTGAACTCCCATAAAGTCTTTCAGAAGGATATATCCGTCCTATTGGTCTTGTCCTTTCCCCTCTCCAAATGCCCGTAAACGCCGAGGACCCCCCCGATGTGACAATGATCAGACCGGAACGCCTGCAAACCCAATTTTCAGCTGAGCCCTAGCGCCATCGTGCGACTCGGTGCCGAACGAGCTCTTCCATTCTCGTTCTTGCATCTTCGCATTCTCGAACGCTTGTCGGCATTCTGCCGGTAGTTCCTCCAGTATTGCAGACGGCAGATTCGCAAGCCCATTAATGCCAGTGTCATGGAAATCCCCATCCGGGCCAGGCACACCTAAGCCTGCAATCGGCGGCGAGACGAACTGGATATCCGTTATTAGGAAGTTCCGAGACACAACTGGTGGTACTGGTGAGAAGATGGACGGCACAGCCCGATCGCTTGATGCAGGGCCGTCTAAGCTGTATTCATGAATTCCGTTCGTGACGCCGTCGATACCATTGGTGAGCTGTCTCCTCTTAGATTGACTCCCGGTTTGAGGGGGCAGAACTTCCTCCCACTTGGCATGGGAAGGCTGCATGATCTTCGGAAGGAACACTAGGTTAGTGTGCGGATCGTACACGCCTTCAAGGTTGAACCGGCGGCTGGCTGCAAGCGCTGAATTGTAACGGCTGGAGATAGTCAGTGATACGATGCGCCGTGCTCACGGTCATGTGACATACCTTGCAGCGCGCGCATGCTCAAACTGCCAGTTGGCTGATGTGATGTTGAGCTTGCGCTTCCCCGGGATGACCTTGCCGTTCGCAACCGGCACGCTGGGAACTCCGGTGTGATATACACTACTCGCGCCGTGCCAGGCCACGTACTGATTCTTGTTGTAAGGCTCACTGGGAGGCGGGAGCTTGTCGTTTGGATCTGCTATCTCTCCTTCGACATCACCCCGGTCTCTTGCAGCTTGAGCATAGTAGTCGTCTATGACCTTCTTGCCTCCGATGATGATGCGCGCACCGAACTCTCGAAACACAGACCTCGCAGTCACAACACCAATAGCACGCCCTTTGTAGGAGTGCGGGATAATGTCTCGCGCGATGAGATCGCGCTTTTCCGCCTCTTCTACGATGATTTTGTAAAGCTGCATGTGCTTGTTGAAGAACAAGTAGCTGTCCCGAAAGCCCGTGCAACGAGCAGGCTCCGTAGACAGCATGTATTTTCTCTCACCTCGACCCATGATTGTGAACACACGGACACGGTAGTCTCTCCCACCGAGCAGATTGCCCAGTTTGTCGACCTTCTGTTCGCCTTCTGGGTCTTCTGGAAGCGCAACCTCGTCGTCTATAACCTCCACCGTGTTTCCCTCCTTGTCGATGGGTACGCGAGTGACGTGCGACGGGCCGCCGCGAGGCCGTCCACGGAATCCGCCTGTCGATGGTCGGCCACGCCTGCGCCTCTGCGGGGTACCTCTATCTGAACCTCCATCCGTGTTGGGGTCTGTATTGGGCCAATCTGAAGGTCTGTTCTTGGGCGGTCTTCCCAGGCGACGTTTCCGTGGAAAGGGTTGGACTTCGCGAGGTGAAGAGCGGTCTGATGCTTGCTGGCCGTCGGACTCCTGCGCAGGGGTTCCGCCATCTTCCTCTCCTTCCTCTTCGTCTTCCTGTTGGCTCTCGACGCGCGACTCTTCGCCGTCCACCATCTCTTCGTCCGATTGCTCTTGCGCCGCGGGAGTCGGTGTCCCTGCGTTGTGTTAGCGAAATGTGCGCGAAGCTACGGAAGCGATGGGTACGCACTCATGGGGGTGATTACAGCGCGCGCTGCGCCCCGCGACCTGCGAGGAGGCATCTTGAAGCAGGTACTACCAAGGAAATGATTGTGGTGGGGTGTTTCAAGGTCCAAGGTGGGTATGGCCGCGTTGGAGCTTCACACGGTTGAACTTCGCGATGTCGCGACGGGGGGAAATCACGCTAGTCCGGGACAGGCAAAACCGCAGAGCGGGATATCGTCCGAGGCCGGGATTCACGGTCGGGCCCGCACCATGACTTCCATCGCTTCACATGCCGGCACTAGTTAAGAGACACACTCTGCGCCCTCCCATCTTCACCTTTTTTCAGGAACGCCGAGGACATGCAGTGAGCTGCCGCATGATATCACCAGGCCCCTTTGTCCGACGCCAGCTCTCCGCCCTGCTGTCTCTGCGTCGTTCCCTCGCCCCGAGATACAGCGTTCTATTGGGGTACATACATCGAAGCAGTGAGAGGCTAAAGTCCCTTCCGTTGCCCAAGCATTTGCTCAATGGAAGTGGGCAGCGGAATTGTGTGTAACGGCGACCAGTCAGCTGCACAGCTGATGCCTCATGACTGCTCAGCTGAGTCTCTACCATTCCAGGCACGCTTATCGGTACCTTCTGCAGGGCCACTGACTAGGACATCTCACACTTGATTCGAGCTTCATCATACCCCACGGGGAGGTTTGACAGCAACGAAGGGGGCTTTTTCCAGCCAGCGAGGCGGGTTAAGCCCAAGGCTCTGGAGGCCCCCTAGCCCCGTGATGCTGATGGACGGTGACGCTGAAAGGGCGAGATGGGTCTTGTGGACCTTATGAATCTTTGTAGAGCCATGAGTTGTCAAACGAGCTCCTGCCAGGCGTTCTTTAGGCAACGCAATGTCGCTGTGCAGCAGCATAGTCTCAGATGGACCGCCTTGCTGGTCAACTAGCGGTGGGTCGGATAGATCCGAATTCGTGAAGCTCTCTACATAGCGTTGTAGCATTGGGCGCCACTTGCTGCTCGTGTGAAAGCCAGGCTATTATTCCCCCGGTTCCTTGGTTCCCTGGAGAAGCAATCTGGATCAGAAACCTGTCAGACGCCATTCACAGGCCGATCCAGGTCGCAACGGAGGGCTGAGTGCAAGCCATGAGCATCGTCCAAGGGTTCGAGGTGTTATGTAGAAAAGCCGTGTATCCGCCGCTGCAGTTGCAATCTTTCCCAGTTCTCCACGGCACGCAGGGGGGGCAAACGTGGATGAGATCGAGTTATCCAGAGACTATTCCCGTGGAGAGGAGAGAATCGCCAAAACCGGCAGCACATCGCATACACAAGGTTCACAAAAGCTTGCAGAGCTGATATAAAGTCACGTTCTAATCGACTTACCTTCAAGACCATAGCGGTGTGTCCTGCTTGATTCTCGAGGACTGGTAGTCAGTGGCCTCCTGCATCGGCCTCTTCCATTCGGCGAGAACAGCAGCGGGACCGAACACTTTTCCGCACATGACGCGATTAGCATGAGCAGCGCCTTCTCCCACCCATCATCATCCCTCAATCCGCGCTCACAGCCCTTTCCTTTCGCCCTCGACACGCCTTCCCAACAGCGTCAGACTCGGTCGCCTACGCAGCCAAGAGGACGGGAGCGTGGGCCGAAAAAAACGATCCCGCGGCGGCCTGGTACCAGCCCTCTCAACAGCCGCTGCGTTCTCGTCACCTCGTCCGGCACCACAACAGGCGTCAACTACAGCAGCGACGGAACCGATTGCGTACGACAGTGCTCGGTCATGTCTTTCCACCACACCGCCACCGATCTGTTGCGCCAAGCCACTTTACACAGGTAGGTGAGCCCTCCAAGACCGAACCGCAAGGTCAAGTCCGGATCACCCTCCGCATGCCCTGCAATCCCAACAACTTAGGCCTCAAACTTTCGGGAGTCGCTGTCGGCCGGTCGCCTTGCAGTTTCGGCATGGAAGACTCGCACACAGCCGCTTTTGCTGTGGCTCATCTCTCGCTTAAGCGTTGGGCCAGGGTTGCCGCCGAACCTCGATGATTTTTCGATGCTCAAGTCAGCGATTCTAGAAAGCCTAGATCGCCTTGCAACCAGTCGTCACTCTCACTGAATTTCCTACCCCTTCTATTCTCCTCCCACTCCTCCACTCTACACGCTCTTTCTCACGTCGAGCAAATCCTACAATGGCGTCTGCTAACGGAGTTACAACGCTGTACAGGGCGACCGGCGACGATGACGGACACGAGCAGTTGGGCTCCGGTAGCTCGACACCACCAGGCGCGGCGACCCCCCGACCAGACTTAACGGACAAACGACTGCCAAGCATACTTCACACCTACTTCGGGCAGGTTTGTGACTCTTTCCGTACTCGCCCAAAGCATACTAGTAGCACAAGTCCTACACACATTGCTGCAAGTGGTGCGGCGGAGCAGAAGGCCGAGCATAGATCCCTGCCGAGACTCGGCGGCGATGCTCTGCCTACAGCTCCAGCTTCACCGACCGAGGCGTTTAGCGGAGATGGCGGGCTCCCGCCACTCTTGCCTCACGAGCAGCCAGACATGTCCCATCAGAAGACATTCTCTCGTCCTGGCCCTCCCTCTTCCTACCCGACCCCTCCAACATCCTCTGCCTCGTCGATGCATAGAGCAAGCAAAGACGAGCCCAGCACAAATGGCTGCAGCGACGGCAGCGCGCCTGCGTCTCGCATGCGGCTCTCGCACAATGGCAAGGCCATTTCGAAGTCGCCTTCGAAAGCGCGCAGGCACACGTTTGCCATCTCCAGCCCTTTATCAAGCATTATTACGACATCCTCAGTCCCTGCTGCTCACATCGAGAACCCGGCCACTCGCATATCCACTACTTCCCCTTCCAGCCCGATAGTTGCTTCTCTTACTGCTTCGCGACCCCCTTCACCGTCCAAAGCGGCTAAAAAGGTCAAGAGGCTAACAGAAGGCGGCATTTCGTCGTCCGGTCAGAATACTCCTCCTCAGACACCCAGGACGCGATCGCAGGAAGATCGGGTAGAGTCGCCCAAGCCACAGTCGTCAAGCAGCGGCACATCTCGAACGTCAGATAGTGCTGCCGTCGCGCCTCCGAAGGGCAAACTTTCCGTCATCATTTCCGAAGGTCGTGCACTACAGCCAAGCGTTGATCCATACTGTGTCTGTCAGTTTCAATGGGCAGAATACATATCAGACGGACCGAGGAAGGGCAGGACTAGTGGCAAGACTGACGGTGCAGGGAAGGGAGATGGAGTGGTAATGAGAAGGACGGACAGTGAAATGGGCAGGCCAATGGCGATACCTATGAGAAGCAGACAAAGCAGCCACAGTGGGAGCAATACAGGCGCACAGGAGACGAAAGCAGAGGTCACGAACCCAAAGTGGGACCACGAGGCTATCTTGTGAGTACATCCTTCATTACATGTCTCAGTTCCAAGCGGTCCTGACAGCCTGTACAGTGATGTTGTTGGCGACCACTCGGAAATCGACGTATCCGTCTACGACCGTGCAAACCAAGAGGCTTTCTTAGGCCATGTCCGCTTTTGCCCGAGCCTCGTGGAGTACGAGTCCGCCTACGATGGCTGGTTCCCGCTTGAGCCCCGAGAAGGCGAGGCAGACACAGTCACAGGAGAAATCCACCTCCGCATAAACTTTCAGAAGACAGAAAAGAAGCACTACGGACCGGAAGACTTTCAGATCCTTAAGCTCATCGGCAAGGGCACTTTCGGTCAGGTCTTCCAGGTACGGAAGAAAGACACGGGTCGCATCTACGCTATGAAGGTGCTGTCGAAGAAAGTTATTGTACAGAAGAAAGAAGTTGCACATACGCTTGGCGAACGGAACATCCTTGTTCGGACAGCAACGGCCGACTCGGCCTTCATTGTCGGTCTCAAATTCTCCTTCCAGACACCTACGGACCTGTATCTCGTTACCGACTACATGTCTGGAGGCGAGTTGTTCTGGCATCTGCAGAAAGAGGGCCGCTTTCATGAAGCGCGCGCGAAGTTTTACATTGCAGAGTTGATCTTGGCGTTGCAGCATCTGCACGAACACGACATCGTATACCGAGACCTTAAGCCGGAGAACATTTTACTAGATGCTAACGGCCACATCGCGCTCTGCGACTTCGGCCTCTCGAAAGCAAACCTAACAGACACCGACACCACCAACACCTTCTGCGGAACCACCGAATACCTCGCTCCCGAAGTTCTACTCGACGAGCACGGCTACACCAAGATGGTCGACTTCTGGTCCCTAGGCGTCCTCGTCTTCGAAATGTGCTGTGGCTGGAGTCCCTTCTACGCCGAAGACACGCAGCAGATGTACAAGAACATCGCCTTCGGCAAAGTCCGCTTTCCCCGTGACGCACTCAGCACCGAGGGCAGGAACTTTGTCAAGGGCCTCTTGAACCGCAACCCCAAGCACCGTCTGGGCGCAATCGGAGACGCGGAAGAGCTCAAGGCTCACCCCTTCTTCGCCGACATCGACTGGGAAGCCCTCGGCAAGAAGAACCTCGTCCCACCCTTCAAACCGAAACTCAAGTCCGAGCTCGACGTCTCCAACTTCGATCCGGAGTTCACGAACGCGCTCAACAACACCAACGCTTCGTCGCTCAATGCAAGGGCGGCGGCGCTCGCGTCCGGCGTGAACCCGGCTTCGACGCCGCTGTCGCCGACTATGCAGGCGAACTTCAAGGGCTTCACCTTCGTGGACGAAAGCAACATCGAGAAGCAGTTCCGGGAGCGCGAGAATGATATGGAGCGCATGGACGAGGACGACAAGGAGGACGACGAGTGGCACATCAACAAGCCGTACGGGAGCCAGGACCGCGAGGACCGCATGAGCGGGATTGAGCGGGTGCATACGAAGGGCGAGGACGACATCTTCAACCACCAGGGGTTCGACGCGTGAGCTACTTGATTGCTCGTCCTCTGGGATTGCATCAGTAGTTCTCATCCTTTCCCCAATCACCCTCGCGCTTTTGGACTAATTGGTTGGCTCGCTGGTGGGTTACGCATCACGATCGCTTACGTTGACGAGGGGGGGGGGCTGGTTTATCCCACAGGACTTTGTGTGATTGATCCTGCAGGAGCGAACAAAATCTCTCGTTTGTTGTGTGGAGACTCTGCGCCGTTTTTCCTTACTGGCGGTCCGTTGTAGAGCCAAGGACGCAGCCGTGTTGAGTATGGGAGTTTTGGCGGCGCATTACGTGGGCGCCGCCCGTAGCGGGATGTGGAATGGAGAGAGCAATGCGTTCTTGGAAGTGTTGTTTGTTCAGTCTGTGAGCGACGCATCGCGCTGGAGCATGAGCGGGTTCATTGCTGTGGGTAGTTGCGGGGCTGTTGCCAGGCCGGTCCAAGTTCGTTAGTACTAGTAGCCGGCTGTACATATGAAAAGCAGTGAAAGACTGTTCGTTGTCTCGTACGTTCCTATCGGAATGGCACTTGACGGTTACTAGTGCTGTTATACCCAACGCACCGTTCGGTTTCCGGCTGCGCTCACAACGTCCTCATTGATCACCTACAAGGCGACAAAACGTAGGGAAAGAGAGATGAACCTCAGTTCGGTTCATGTCACAGCCCGTGTTCTCCACGCGCTGTACTACATATGAGACAAACGGTCATCGTGTCGGGCAATATCTCACCCACCACACTAGGGACATCCGGCTTAGAAACACACATTAGCAAGGCGCATTCTCCAGCCCGTTTTTTCCGAGAAATGCCTTTCTCTGATCTCGTGCCACACCATCGTACCCACTCGCAACCCCAGCTCATCAAAGGGTCTCTTCCAGAAAGAAACGCTATAGAAACGCTATAGAGACACAACGCGCTCGAGGCAAGGCAGACCTTGCAGCCAGCTCTAGCTCGGAGACGTGCCGTGGTATGAGGCTAAGTTAAATACCCAGGGCATCGACACATCTGGTTCGTGAGTACCGATGAGGTATGTCTTTGAGGTGGCTGGGTATTGCATTTGAGGCGAACCAGTGCCTCTTCATTTCTGAACCGAACCGGGTGCGTCAACTGAGTACGGGGTGCTCCTGAACGAAAGAGGAGTTTCGAGACTCGAAGCCGTTCAGATGACTGGATTCGGAGATCCCATCTCACATCTCCAGAAGAGATACGGGTTGTACACAACAGGAGATACGGGCTTCCGTTCAGCAAGTCAAAGAAGCGCAAAATTGCTTTGAAGCTTTTGATTGTTTTTGGGCGACCACCTGCTCCTACGCTCGTTCTCTCAATCCTTTAGCTAGTGAGCCAGCTATGCACGCAACAAACAAGAGCTCAACGCTGGTCTGGAATCTCCCATCACAATCCAACCTCATACCAATCATCTAGTTCATCTGCTTAATGAGAGCATTGATGTGATCTTCCCGGTTGCCAAGATCACCGCCCTCGACGAAGTGCTTGAACTTCCTGGTGCGGAAGCCGCCGGTGGGGTTGCTCAGCTTGAACGGCCAGAGAGCGTTCGAGGCCTGCTTGAACTGTAGGAGGGGGCGCGGTCAGTACACGAGTCTGAGTTTTGGGGACAGCAGAGATTACTCACGTTCGGTCCGACAGTGAAGATCTCGTGGATGATATCCTCCACTGAGATGATGCCGTACTTGCCGAGCACCTCCTCAACGAGTGTGTTGTCGGTCAAGGGGATGCGCTGCTTCTCCTTCTTGATGTGCCCCCTCTTGTAGATGAGTTCGCGCACCGTCTTCAGGTTCGGGTAGCCGTAGGCAACAAAGGGCTCGACGATCTTAAGCATCTCGGACTGTAATCGTCAGCTCGTGTCACAGGACGCTGCGCCGATCTGGAATGGCTCTGCTTACAGTGGCCTTGGTCAACTGCACGAATACTCCGGAGTTGATTTGAAGGAGACGCAGCCTGGAGCGGGTTAGTAAAGAGCATGGCCTTTCAACTCGGAGTTCTCTCACAGTTGCAGCGTCTTCCGCTTCTTGGGATCAATCTTGTTGATACCCTATCGGTGGAGCCAATCAGCACTCAAGTCCAACCATCAGTAAAGCGGAGTTGCATAGCGTACCTTGATGCGGACAACGAAGACAAGGCGGTTCTCAGCGGGCACGTAGAACTCGCCCGCCTGCTTCGCCGCGCGCTTCAGCCGTATCGTCTCCCGCTCCTGGTCGCGGTACTCCTTGACGTATTTCTCGGCGCGTTGGAAGAGAACCTTGCGCTTCTCCTTGGAGGCCTGAGCGTAATGCCGTTAACGTTCACTCCCGCCAAGTCATCCCGCTGCAGCAGAGGCTTGCGACATATTCAGTCCCGAAAGATGGTATTGTAAACAACAGCATCGACCCGGAGGTCTAGTCGTACGGTTGGTAGATGTCATCACCATGGTCGCCCGCCTCTGCTGCCGAGCGCATAGAACGAAGTGTGTGCCTACCTCACGACGCTTCTGAAGGTCGGCAGCCCGGCTCTCTCGCTCCTTCTCCTGGCTCTTGCGCTTCTTGAGGAGAGTCTCGGGCACCAGGATCTGGTCTTGGGTCGGGACCGAGCTGTAATGGCCCAACGTTAGCAGGATGGTTGTGGCACGGAGTCGTCGCTCCGAGTGGAGCTGCTTCGGTGCGGAAGATGCATTTAAGGGAGAGGAACGAATCCCTCAACCCCAAGACCCCAATTCTTCAGTCCCTGCAGCTTGAGTGTGTGCCCATGCTGTAGAAAAGGAGGACCAGGAGGAGCTGGTGCTGGCGAGCAGCTAGCCCAGCGTGAGGAACCACGACCATCTGCTTTCTCGACTCGGGCGTCGAAGGGCGGCGCGATGTACGTACACCTTGACCGTACCGGCGTGCTTTGTGTGGGACATTATTGCGGCGGATTGCGGTGGATTTTGGCGGATTGGTCGACGACGGAGGTTGGGCGCAACTTCACTGCAAAATGAAATTCTACAAGCAGCGGATCGTGGGTTCAGGGCGGAGAAAGTGTTTTTCCGACACTGATCGTCACTTCGCGATCAACACCAGGAGCCGCATCACCAACTCCAGCCTGCTGCCATCTCCGAGCTCTGCACTCTGAACGCCAGACTAACCTAAGACTCTAAGAACGAGGCAAAAAATCACAGGAACAGGGCCGCAGGCACCACACCAGCTGGTCACAGGAATCAAAACTCCACCACCTGTAGGCGACACACTCTCCCCCCACCACCATGTCCACCCCCCACCGCATCCCCGGCCTCTCCGCCTTCTCCCGCACCCAAATAACCGCCGCCCAATACGCCTCCCACGGCCGGACGCTCCAAGAAACCCACGCCTCCTCCCTGCAGACCCAACTCGCCGTCTTCCAGTCCCTGCTCCACCAGTTCGCCGTCACGCACGCCAAGGACATCCGCTCCAACCCGACCTTCCGCGCCGAGTTCGCCAGGATGTGCAACGCCATCGGCGTGGATCCGCTCGCGTCGAGCCATACTGCGAGAGGCGCGGGAGGGAAGGAGGCCGGTGGCAGCTTCTGGAGCCAGATGCTGGGCGGGAGCGTGAATGATTTCTATTTCGAGTTGGCTGTGAGGGTTGTGGAGGTGTGTCGGGATACGAGGGCCGAGAATGGGGGGTTGGTCGCTGTGGCGGAGGTGAGGCAGAGGGTGCAGAAGGGACGGGGGGTCGGGGGTGGGATGGAGGTTTCGGAGTATGTAGAACCCATTGTTCGTTGTAGAAGAAATGATATTATGCTTGGGGATGATGAAGCTCATGCATGTGTGCAGTGACGATATTCTCCGCGCCGTCAAGTCGCTCGAGCCGCTGGGCTCGGGCTTTACGATCTTGAATCTGGGACACAAGCAGATGATACGGTCGGTGCCGAAGGAGCTGAACACGGACCAGTCGACTGTGCTGGAGGCGATACAGGTGCTTGGGCATGTCACGCTGTCGATGCTGCGGATCAACCTTAACTGGGAGCGGCCGCGGGCTATCGCTGTCATTGACGATCTGATGGCGGACTCTCTGGTTTGGGTGGATAAGCAGGCGGATGAGACGGAGTATTGGTCGCCCACGTTCATTCATGATACGGGAGGGCAGTAGGAGATAGGGAACTATGAGATTTGGTCACTACACGCACCTTCTCATGCCCCTCAAGCGGACCTTGGCCGTTATATGGCGCAGAGTTAGGAATCTTATCCCCTGATATTTTTCACGCACAGGAGCGAAGCTGTTAGCCATCGAGTTGGGAAGTGAGAGCTAAGTAAGAGTAGGGAGGTGGGGTGAGAGTTGCGAGATGATGTGTGAGAAGTGATGCGTGAGAAGCGGGGTGCGAGAGTGAAGATATTCTACGGAACGCACACATGTTACCGTATTTGGCGATATTTAACGTCCGTAGAACGGCGATGAACGTGAAAATGCCGAGAAAAGGTTCAGAAACGGTCAGAAAAAAAACGCATGTGGCCTCTTACGTTGGTCATCTGTTAGTCAAGCACGCTAAACAGCAGAAAGTCGGAGCTTGTAGCTTTGGTTTTTGATCTATCTGCCCAAGGTATTCACGAAACTGTCAAAGTGCAGCAGTGCTCCCGGCGCAGCTGACCTGCACATACTGCGAACTCCCCATGAAGAAAAAACAGCTCATACTGGAACCTATGCCTGGATAGCCCTGCCCAGCGCACCACCCGTGAACCCTTGACCCCTCCTCTGCCCGCCCTGTCCGCCTCTCCCCATGCCACCCCTTCCACGCCCACCTCCACGCCCACCACGGCCGCCGCGACCACCTTCCCGCTCAAAAGCATTGCTGGTACCCGCCGTCCGCTGCTCAAGCGTCTTCTCGTTCGACTCAATCAAGCCACTCGCCTTGTCGCTGAGCGTGAGGGCCAGGCTCTGGAGTCTCGAGAGTTCGACGCCGCGCCTGAAGAGGATGGCGCTATTGACCTGGTCAAGAGCAGCAGCGAGTTCCTCATGGCTGATCATCTTGCTGACGACAGCCGAGACCTTGCGTTCCGACAACTCGAACATGGAGGCCAGGGTGCTGATGGAGAGGGTATCGTAGAATGGGGCGTAAGTAAAGAGGTAGGTGCGGAGACCTTCCTCCTGGATCTGCTCCGACAGCATCTCCTTGATCTTGGCGGAGCCGGCCATAAGCTCCCAGATCTTGATGGAGTTGATGAAGTCCGCGGCCTTCTTCCACTCGCCTGCTGCGAGTGCCTTAGAAGCCTGCATGACGTGGTCGCGGGTGTTCTCGGGTGGGCCTGTGAAGATCTGGCGCTCATGGTATTCTAACAGCCGGCGGTACGTCTTGCTGATGACCCGTTTCCTGATGTCCGGAGAAGAACCAACCTGGGCCAGCAGGGGAATCTCCAAGAGCATGGAGCAGGTGAGGTAGACGCATTCCAGTAGCTCGAGGTTAATATGCATATGGAATGGTAGCTGTCGCTGTCTCTCCAATCGCTCTTGCTCTGGCGAAATCTGGGAGTACCGCTGCATCTGAAGGCCCTGGGCGAGGAGCTCCTTCTGCCTGTTGCTACCGCAGATCTCTTGCAAGGAGTTTTGTGCCTCATAAACAAGGCCCGCACGGAAAGCGCATAGACCGACTTGGACCAGTGTTCGGTTGAACAGGATCTGAGTGTTGACGTCGAAGTTGTTGATGGTGTCCTGAAGATGTGACATCAACATCATGTCGCGTGCGCGGAAGTATTGGTCGTGAAGCGCGAGGTAATAGACTTGGCACAGCATGGCCCGAGACCGGATGATGCCCTCGCTGTGCTGGAAGAGATACGTGCAAATAGTCTGCACAAGGGCGCCGGTATTGGTAGAATCCTTTCGTGGCATGATGCTCGAGTCGAGCTCGGCCGGGATGGTTTCCCACGCCTTCTCTTCGAGGATGGCGACAACTTGTGATGGCTCAACGAAGAGCTGTCAGCATATTTCTTCGCAAAACACATAGCAAATGCTTACCTTGAAGTAGATGTGCTCTAGGCGGCGCATGAGCACTCGGTTGACGCTATCCTGTGAGGCATCCAGCTTTGGGTTCTTCCTCAGACCTTCAACGTACAGCTGTGAGCGCACGATGTTCGTATACAGCGCGGTCTCATCTCTCAGTCTGTCGACGTATTCCGCAGTATGGGGATCGATATGTTGGAGCGAGCGAGTCAGCTCATCATCCAGCCTCTCGATGAACGATGCGATACTGCCGGGGATTTTGAAGGGCCCGGAGTCGTCGCTGGGCGGTATTTGCGGTTGCTTCTCATCGTCCTCCCACTCTTCTGCGCCTTCAATGACAACGATATCCTCATTTGACTCGAGTACCTCCAACAGCGTCGCAAATTCGTGCTCGGCTAATTTCCATTGTTCCTGAGTCATCTGGGTACCGGTACCAGATGTCAAGTCGAAGCGCGTTGAGATGAGCATCAGAAGTACGCGAATCTTCTGGTAATCGGTCGCAGCCACGTCGAGGAGCTTTTCCATAGTCCTGATTGATTCAAGGCGGTCGGTACCTTTCCTACCGCGGGCTTCAATGATCGTGCGGAGGTTCTTGAGAATGCTTTCGGGCGTGTAGCGTACAGGCCGACCCTTCGTATCAACCTCAATAAAGCCCTCATTGTCGGCTCCTTCGATCGCCTCGGCTGCGCTGAGGAAATGCTGCCTCGGCCTCTTTGGTGCAGGAGGTGCTTCTTCAATAATCTCTTCCCGCATGTAGGCCTCCGGGTTCTCTCGGTATGCCTCAACCTCCTTGGAGTAATCCTTCACGATCTTGCGTAGCTTCTGCCTCATGGCATTAAGACCTCGAGTATTGACCGCGTTCATCTTCTTCGGCGAAACCTTCTGCTTCTCCATGGTCTCGAGCATGGTCGTTTCAAGGTCGGCGATGGTCTTGATGTAGAGCTTCGGGACTTTGCCATCTCTTTCCCGGGTGAGGGTTGGTATTTGGCGGTTGAGGTTATCGAACTCTGTCGTTGACACGAGTTGTTAGTATTCTCTAAGTCCCGTAAATCTGACCTTCAAAGTCCTGGCGGACTTACCTGTAGAGATTACTGCCCAGTCGTTGATCTTCTCGGCATTCTCGATGAGTCTAATCGTGCCTTCTAGTGCCTCGAACCTGTTCTGGTCAGAATCTCTCCAATGTTCCAAACTAGGAAGCCCAAATACCTCTTGTCCTTCGCACTCTTGACGATCGTAACTTTCTGCGCTGCCCGTCAGCGCCCTGAACTTCTTCGAAAAATTGCACAATTGTGAGAACCCACATCTTCCTCGTCCGTCTCCTCATCTGATGCGTCACCTTTCAAGAACTTGGCCGCGCCGGTTTTGCCCGTATCTTCATCGTCCGTGTCCTCATCCTCGCTCTCTTCCTCTTCTTCCTCGCTGCTGCTCTCCTCCTCGGACTTCTCTGCCTCCCCCTCGCTGTAGAGCCTATTGACGGTGCGCATCAGCATGTATCCCAAGAGTGTTCGATGTCGGGAGACGTACTCCTCCTCCTCAGATGAGCTCTCGCTGCTGGAGTCCGCCGCAAAGAATCTCGACATCTTGTCCGAGTGTAACTATTTGTGATTCAGTTGAGTGCGGTTTCGGACGCTGTTTATGGTTTGGGGACCGAGCAGAGGTTCTGGACGGACGCTTCTGTGCCGGATGGTTGTTCGGTGGAAACTTCGCTCTGTATGGGCACGAAGACAGTTGTCGTTGTGAACGTCGATATTCCGATGTGAGTCGCGCTGTTCGGCTGTGGAGGGGCGCAAGTCATGAAATCTTGGCAGCGCTAGGCTCCTTTAGGCACGTTTCTCAGTCCCATTGTTGCTCCTCGAAAGTTGACTTATGCAGTAACATCTCACGCATGACAAAGTGCCTGTGAAGTGGTATGGAGGACCTCATGTTGTTCTGCCAGCGCTCGTCTATATGAAACGCACTGAGATCCCTGGCATGGTTACTCCTAGTGCGGTGAACCACTCAATCACAGCTCGTCTGCATGAAGGCAAATAGTCAAACTCAAGGCTTCTATCAGATATCCCAGTCACTTTCTCGAAGATTGCATAACACGGTGTAGATACTCGTGCGATTCGACAGCTACAAGCATACTCTGCTGTCTTGAACCCTTTGTTCCCCAGCCTGTGAGCCACTGTGAACTTGCTGCCCGAGCGCACACACCCTATCTCAAGGTACTTGAACCGAATTGCATCTCGTCCTGCAGTCTTTGTGGGTGTCCAGCACTCACCATGTGTGAAGACGTGCTGATGTAAAATTCCAACCGGCGCCTCCTAGGACCTCCTGCAGCACCCTAGGGGGCTTTTAACGCTCGGATCGCCCTATCGCAGTGGAGCTACAGTCTTAGTCTCCTCCCGGAGGATGTGATGCGCGTAAGAGATATCAATCTGGTTGCGCCTGTCACTCCAGACTGGATGCAGGCTCTGAGAGAGACAAGGAGGGTACAGCGGAACAACAATCCCTCGGAATCTCCATCCCCAATCTCTCCATTTGGACGTCGTGGTCCGTTGGTAATGATAATCAAGCGTCGCTTGCGCCTCGAACTCATCTTCAGTGCCATCCTGACTGGCTCATGTAACCTTCTTCCAGCGTGCGGTCTTCCAGATTCCGGATGAAGTCTCGGTTGCCTGTTGCGCGATTCCCTCTAGCTCGACTGTCACGCCTCCTAGCACTCGCCGAGGTTGAATCAGCGGCACCTTCGGGCGGCGGAGGATAGTACGCTGGACTCGGCTGCAATCTGATCGGGGCATTCGGATCCAGGTGGCTAATCACCCGCTGCAACGCTGGTGGAATGCCGCTCTGCTGCTGATCTACGGTCGAAGCCCTTTGGCGACCTGCTCGCGTCGTTGCTTGGGCATATAGATTCGGCTGAGCGTTGTACCGAGGAGTTTGTCCCTGCTGAACCACACCCAGCTGCTGTCCGTAGCCAGTTTGAGCCGGATAGGGCGGTGGAGCCCCTTGGTGGTTCGGGCTGTACATGCTGTTGTACGCAGCGGGACTCTGGACGTGTGGGCTTTGGGCGTACTGGCTCATCTGCATGTTTGCGTAGGCAGCGCTTTGGGCCTGCGCTTGAGCAGCTTGTTGTGCGCGTTGCTTGCTCAGGGCTTCTGCCCGCTGCTGCTCTTGCACGCCGGGTGCAGGCGATCGGCTGGATCCGGACTTATACATCATCGGCGGCACGAAAGGTCCTGTGTACTTCTGCTGAGTAATGAACGGGTGGAGCTTCGCTTGATTCGGCGTCCACCGTTCTAGAGGATTCAGGTTGAGTAATCCTTGTGCGAAATCGATGAATGCCGTTCGGTTTGCCATTTCTGCATGCGTCAGTTTACGAAGGAAAGTGAACAACATCAAACATACCTCGCTCAATCTCCGCCGGCTTCATGTTTTTCCGCGGCATTGGGTAGTTTTTGATGATCTCAGGCAATGTAGTCGCCGAGAAGTACTTCTTGCTTGGCTGCTCTTTCGTACCGTGCTCCCGCGAGTATTGCTCCATGCTCTTGAGTCGATACGTCCGTCTGCCAAAGTCGTCTTGGGTCTTCTCAAAGAATTCGCCAGACTGCTTGCCCATCTCCAACATCCAGGTCGGAGGTAGGCCGAGCATCTCTGTTATCCGTGCAACCTGGTTGTACTCGGAGGACCCTGGGAACAGCGGGAGACCGAGGAACAGCTCTACCACTATGCATCCCAATGACCACACGTCGATTGCGGCAGAGTAGCTGAGCCAACAATCAGTCAAACAACGCGCGACTAGGCAAACTATCACTTACGGTAATCCAAGCAACACCTCCGGGGATCGGTAGAACCTCGACTGAATGTAAGTGTAGACAGTTTGTCGCTCATCGCAGGCCGAACCAAAGTCGATGATCTTGATGATAGGGCTCTCAAGGCTGAATTTGGTCAGTAAGGATTCTCTAACTCACTTTGACAGACTCACTTTTTCAACAAGATGTTTTCGGGCTTCAAGTCACAGTGTATCAGTTTCGCCTTGCCTAACAATGCCAAGCCATTAAGCAGTTGCTGTGCGAAGACCCGCACTAGGGTTGTGCTGAGACCTCGGAATTGGTTCTGCTTGATCAGCTCGTACAAGTTGACACTGAGCAGCTCAAACACCAAGCACAGATGCTGCCGGTGGATGAATGTATCTTTGAGGCGCAGGAGATGATGATCATCGTTCTTGTCCATTTGTTTGTTTAACTGTCGTCGAATCAGCACAAGGTCCGGTCTATTAAAAAGAAACGCTACATACCAGATCAAGCACTGACACTTCCATCATGCTTTGGTTGAAGTATGCCGTCCGATTCTTGATAACCTTCACCGCAACAACCTCCTGAGTCCGTAGGTTTTGGCACTTGACGACCTGACCGAAAGTGCCCTGGCCTAGGACATCTAGGATGAGGTATCGGTTCTTGTGGCCCGCTTCTTCAGAGCCCAAGATGTCGTTGACGTAGAGAATGTAGTCGCTGTCTTCGTTGTCGTAGCCATCGTTCTTCACGCCTTTGCTCGGTTTGGTCAAAACTCGACGCGGGTTGCGAGACGATTCGTATTTGAAGTTCGGATTGCAGATTCTGTAGGTAGCGGGCAAGTGCGTCGTCAGAGCTTGAAGCGGGCTGAGGAAGCCACCCTCAGGGTTTGCGCGGCGGAATGGCGGTTGCTTGTTCACCTTTGGCTCGAGGTCGCTGATGTTGTGACATTTGGTAAAGCGAGGCACAGCACCACGAGACGTTTGCGGTTGGGAGGTTGGGGCTTGCGGATGTCTAGGAGATCTTGCTTCTCGACCGTACAGCGCGTTCAGCTGCGCAGTCGCGGACTGGGGGTAGTAGCTTTCAGGGCTCATGTTAGACTGGATAGGTGGTAATTGTGAGGCGTGGGCGCGGGTTGCTGTAAGAGCTTTGTTAGGCTGTTGCGAATGAGTAGTGCTTAGGAGCAAGCTTACTTGGAGGAGAATAGTAGCTTTGAGGAGGCGACATGTACGGATTGTTGCGGGTGGGAGACTGACGTGAGCCCTGCGTCTGTGGGGTATAGCTACTGTAGGTGGGCTGACTTGATTGCTGAGGAGTTGCGCCGTAGGGCGACGAGGGTGAAAGGTTCATGGGTGAATACCTCCGGGCAGCGGCCGAGTCTTCTTGCTGAATGAACTGCGACGAGTGCCTATGTTGGTGATTGGGACGTGAAGGATACTTCGGCTTGTTGTATGGATCAGCGTCCTCCATCGGGACATCCCCATCACCGTCACCGTTGTACTCGGATGCCCGACTCTGCGCTGCTGGCGGCGACGAGATTGCCATGGATGCTGCTCGCGAGACGATGGAAGGCGACTGGAAAGCCTCTTGCTTTACTGGCGTAGGCCCATTGGCGTCTCGGTGCGGGTGTTGAGCGGTGGGGGGATTGTGAGGTGCATACCGCGCCTGCCGGCTGGAGGAAGGACTGTCGACAAAGGAGCCCCATTGAGGATCCATGTTGGTAGACTCGGATTGCGCAGCGAAGACAGCGGTCGGAAGGGTTGCTTGGGCTCACCCGGTGCAGCTCGTTACGGCAGCGGAGTGGTGGTACTGTGCATGCCGGGTCTACCGTACCGTCGAGGGTATTGCCGCAGTAGCACGGAGTCTTACAGGCTGGGATGCTGACACAGGCGCACGTCTACCTTCCAAGGCTTGCAACACGCGTTGTAGGCGTGAGATGCGCCAGTGGGGAGCGCCGGCTCGTGCACGGCAGCGATGAGTGCGGGATACGCGATGTCGCGACCTGAGCCAGCGGAGGGGTGGAGGCTGCGCGAGAAGACGCTGTGACCGAGGAATGCGGGTGTTGGAGGACAGTAGTGGGCGGAAGCCTCTGTATGCCCGACGGCTGGATTGCGACGAGTGAGCGGTGCCGCTTGTGTTGGCAACCGGGCAGCAGCGATGCGTCAGGGCTGAGGGTGAGCGCTTGGTGGTTTGGTGGGTTGGTGCGAGGGAGTGGGCTTGGTTGGCCGGATCTTGTTGGCCTGGAGTTTGAGGCTGAGAGCGTGTCTGCCCTCCAGGCCGGAGCCCCTTGATATTACAGCTCACGCCGGTTGACGGCAAGACATCAGCCCTGGCAGGTCCGTAGGAGCCGCCACTTTCCCATGAAGACCATGGGTCTATCCCCACGGGATACCAAATCTCGCGATATCGGCGACCTTCTCATGGTTTCCGAACAAGGCATCATCGATTGTTTGCCTGTTGCCAGCCATTCTCTCTCTTTGACTTTGGGCAGCACTCCTGTGATAGCACATCGAAAGAATCCATTACACATGATCAGTCCAATGGGAGGAGTGGGAGAAGCGTGAGGGTACCCTCACAGTCGAGTCAAGGCTTTTATCTGCCAAAAACTACATCGGAGGAGAGAGGTAGGTTGGCCAACCCAGATGGTTTGGCGCAGAGCTTTAGGGGAGAACCGTCCACTGTCACGACACTAACGTGGGACCATGGAAGGCCTTTGCTATTGACGCGCTGTCCAAATATCATCATGGCTCCGCATCTGGGCGTGGTTAAGCATATCGTCACAGGACGTACCCTTCCAGGCAAGCTGTGGTCGTCTCCTCCAACTGAAGGAGGAGTAGGTATAGGACAAGGTACTGCAGAAACATTCTCGGAGAGACTGCAACGAAGCACTTGAGATTCGCTCCGATCCATAATTCCATCAGCTTCCGCAAACGATGGTGAACTGCTACCATTCACGCTTGCCCGTTTCACACCATTAACCGGATGGCTGCCCAGGAGTGCGAGAGGATCGGCCGTTTGCTTGCAAACATGTCAAAAGCGCGCAGATTTGCACTCATCTTCACCGTTCATTTCGCTTATATCTGTCCTCTCGTCTCTCTGAAAGCTCTTAGGTCTGACTCCAGTCTTTCTCTTGCGGCAACTTCTCATATCACAAATCCTTCTATCCGTCGATGGCAGCAAAATATATTCCACCGCATCTAAGACGGCAGCTAGCCAGTGCGGAGGCATCCGCTGCCGCTGATACGGAGCCCAGTGATAGCATTGATCCCGTCAATCCGGCTGGAAGTACCGTCAACGAGAGTGAGGCGAAGATCCGCGATGTGAAACTGGTAGCCACGTACAACTGGATCGACGAATCAGCGCCGACCATACTCGTCCCGGGTGAGCGTGGATATGATTCACTTCGTTGTATTATTGTCGTTATCGTTGTTGTAGGCTTCGGGTGCTGACTTCAGACGGTTTGTAGGATTACCCTCGACATGGAATCCTCCAAGTGAGAATCAACCTCTCGATTCTGACGAAGTCGGCCGCTTCGTGGACCAAAATGCCGACCGGAACCCGCGCTCTCCCATTGAGCCGCTCATTCGCGCTGTTCTAACAGTCCAGCCCGAGTTCGCTTTTGACGGGCTCGACATCGTCTCGGATCGGCGTCCGCTCAGCCATCTTTTTTGAGTTTTGCCCGCAACCCAAAAGAATGCAGCTCCTTCAAATTTGGTGTCCAGCTCGTCGGCAAGACCTTGATCCTCGTTCGCATAGAGGACAAAACGCGTGTCTACTCGACACACCTCCAGTACCGCAACGCCTTTGAGCAAACCTACACAGCTGTCGAGCCGGTTGCAAAGCGGACCACGTCTCATCACCGTATCTCAAACTACAAGTTCGGGAGCATCGACCTTCTCGTTTGGTTCGTCGCCGATGCGTACCTGCCCAAGCACCCATCGGTTGTGACTGGAGAGCCGACTGAAAGCAGCGCAGCTGATCTGGTCAAGTGGACGAGCACCATAACATTAGCATCGCCGCCACCAAGTCTGGAAGACCCGAACGTTGCCAAAGGGGTCTTTGTGGTTGATGGTGGACGGATTGTCCCACAGGCCGCTGTACTGGAACTCACGACGCGCTCTGCATTCTCGAGAATCCCGTTCAAGATCAACACGAAGATTCCAGATTTGTGGATCTTGCAGACGCCACATTTTGTTGGAGCTTATTACAAGCATGAGAAGTAGGTGCATTGGCGTCGGACGGTCTATGTCTGCGGTATCTCGGTTGCAGCACCCCTGTCAGCGAAGAAAGCTCTCTTTTCAATACTAATCTATCCCTTGAGTCGGAGCACCTTATACACCTCTCATTGCATACTGGTCCAGGAAATTCTCATGATCCTGGAATCATGGGGCTTTCCTTTTCTGCTTGTGTTTACGATCTACCGTCAACAGCCGAGTAAAAGCGCTGCAGCTAGTGTTTCTGCCGTCACCTTCAGTACTAGATGACTCAATTCCCCCTCCCACAAGAACTCTACCATTTCGTTCTCTTCCACTGCTCCTGTGTTTTCAGATCAGCTGACCGGTTATCAACAGACCTATCTGGGAGACCCCTTCGCCACGAGCCGTTTTCGACACCCCTAAAGTGACCGACGTTCGCGGCAGGGTCCAGGACTGGGAGGCACGTGAATCACAAAACCTGCAGAAATTCGCCGAACTCCTCAATCGTATCATTGGAACCGTTCGCACGGGCTCGCCTGAGAGCTTCCAGGGTGTAAGGCTCCCACATCGCACATCTTGCACACCACTGACAAGTCTTCATCAGACCTCGCACTGTTTGTACATCCTCCGCTGCGATGGCAAGGGGGCCGATATCGTTGTCGAGCAGGCCGGACCGGAGCATTTTGCGGCGTTGCCAGAGGAGTTCGAAGGCCTTTTTGGAGCTGGAAAGCTTCAGAGTAATGAGTAGAGGCGGCTCTGGCAGTCATGATTCCGGTCAGGGACGCAAGTTCAGCAGCAGCTTTCTTCGAGTGGTCCACGAGGGTTCTCACAGTCATGGAGTAAGCTACGCCTAGAGTGCCGGAGCTACGTGACCTCGCTACAATCTCTGTTCTCTGTGGGTCCTGGCGGATTCAGCGGCTTCCATGTACGCATGTACAATACTCGCTCCACTATTCAGTTGCTCGTGGAAATGCACGGAATGGCGTTGTAACTCTACTCTCGATGTCTGCCGCGATTCCATACTCGTTCTCCATATTGGAGCATCAAGCGCTGGCAGACTTCAAGAGTTGGTCGGTGCACCTTAGACACACAAGACCCCGAACCAAGCTCGCAAGTTCTTGTGTCGTTTTCATCACGTGGTTTCACCAGCCAGATATGAAGCTTCAAGCGGAGTGCAGAAAATTTTGTTCATAATCTCGTTATACAAAAGGGTATCAGTACGGAGAGATTAGCCACCAATCGCCTTAATATCTAGCAGTATTCCCCGGCATATTCGCCGCCCTCGTTCCGCTTGCATCTGAATCAACTCTCGGATCAATCTTGTTCATCAGGTTCGACCGATGCGGGCCATGATTTGTGCTCCCGACAGCGGTGCCTCTGTTGTCAAGATCCGAGTCGAATCGTGGATCCATCTTGTTACCTATATTGGTCGAGTGGGTGCCGTAGTTCGTCGAGCCGGCCGCTGTGCCGCGGTGGTCTGTGATCGTTTTGGTCAGTACAATCTCGTGTGGGAAGGAACGGTGGCTGAGCGGCGAACGTACCAGCGTCCGAGTTCACCCGGGGATCCATCTTATTCATCATGTTGCTGGAGTGCGGGCCGTAGTTGGTCGAATGGGTCCCGTGAGTCGTCGTACCCACCGTTGTAGCGTGGCGGTCTGTATTCTGGACATCAGCTTTCTGAACCGGTCATACGGTGCCTGAGGCACGAGCATACCGCCATCAGAATCAACCCGCGGGTCCATCTTGTTCATCATATTGCTCGAGTGCGGTCCATAATTCGTCGAATGGGTCCCATGGGTCCCCGAACCTATCATCGTACCATGACGATCTGTATTCTCAGATCAGTCATCCAGCTTCAAATCCCCTTCCTTCCACCAGATGGACATACCACCATCAGAGTCGACCCTCGGATCCGCCTTGTTCGCCAAATTGCTCGAATGCGGCCCGTAATTCGTGCTTCCCGTCCCCATTCCGGTTCCCATAACTCCCGTTCCCGCACCCGTGCCATGGTGATGCCCGCTACTCGTCCCGGCAAAACCATGCTGGGTAACGGGCTGGCTGTGGGTGGCACCCTTCTTGCTCATGGCGCTGTCGGCGAAGGTGTTGATTTCCCCACGGATGGCTTCGCCAGCGCCGCGGACGATACCGAGGGTGTTCTTGAGAGCGCTGCCGGCGGCGGCGCCCCTACCGGAAGAGGCTCCGGTGCTGGTGTGGGCTGTCCCCGTGTGGGGGGTGGTGTGGTGGGTGTTATGCATGGTGGCTGGAGGGGGAGTGGTTGTTGTTGTTTGATCGAGGGTTGAAGTTGGCTTTGACTTGGAAGAGACTTGTAATGACTAAGACAGAATTGCAAGCGTGATGTCTGCAACTTGGACAGACGCTTGTAGAGAAGAATGGAGTAAATAAATACCCAAGAAAGACTCCTACGTCAGGGTCCCTTACCTGCTGGGATCGGCAATCAGCTGGACCTGGTTTCCGGCTCTTGCTACCGCCGATCCGTCTGGATTGGGGAGGGATCAATCCGAAAGAGTTAGGTTTAGTTATGGCTGCTCCCGTTCTTGTTTCCTCGCTCGGGTGTTCGCGGTGACATCATTCGCGCCGCCAGAGGTTGCTCAGTAAGCGCCGGCATGCATCCGAGGTCCCGATAACCGCGCGCTTAAACAATACTCAGGAAACGAGACTCACGTGGGTTTTGAGCTCTTCATGGCTGAAGGAGGCTTCATCCTCAGGAGTTAGAAGACATGGTACTCCGTTCTACCGAGAAGTCGCGTGCAGCGATGTGGATAGAGTAGCACTCAAGGCGTGCGAAAAGCCTCTCGCAGCAAACAAAGGAAGACCTCACAACGTCCAACAACAGCTCAACCGTACAGTTCTACTTTTCGGATGCTGTTAAGAGCTCCGCAGCTAAAGCTAAAAAGGAAGGTACACGGCAAGCTGTCCATGCAAGAACACCCCCAAACGCTATCTGTTGAAAGATGCCCCGTACGCCTTGCTCATTGCGTGAGATCGCTCAATGCCTCTAGAGCCGATTTAGAATATAAGCGCCCCCAAGGCCAGGCGAAAAGCATATACTCCTCATCAAACAGACCGGGTAACGCAAGGACTTCTTTACAATGGGTAGTTGGAAACCCTCAAGTCGGCATTGGGGCCGCAGCCCCGGTAATATCCGAGTCTTCCGGTTCCACCGGAGCGCAGGTGCAGAAGAGGTTCATGTCGCCATAAGCTGTTGCATGTATCGTCAGTACACGATAACCAGAAAACCAACCGGCAAAAGGATAACTCACCATCATCCAACCTCGTGACCGACGGCCAGAACTTCTTCTCCCTCAACCATGGAAGTGGGTACGCCGCCACCTCCCTCTTATACGGTCTATCCCACTCATCCCTCATCAAGTCCTTCAAGCTATGTGGTGCCATCTTCAACACGTTGCCCTCTCTGGGCATCTTTCCCTCCTCCACTTCCTGGATCTCCTTCCTGATGCTAATGAGAGCATCGCAGAACCTATCCAACTCCTCCTTGCTCTCACTCTCCGTCGGCTCAATCATGAGCGTATTCGCCACCGGCCACGACATCGTCGGAGCATGGAATCCGTAGTCTTGGAGTCTTTTCGCGACATCGATGGCTTCGATCCCGGACGTCTCCTTGAACTTGCGTACGTCGAGGATAAACTCGTGCGCACAGCGGCCGTTGGCGTTGGTGTACAAGATTGGGTAGTGAGGCTTCAGGCGAGAGAGGATATAGTTGGCATTTAGCAGCGTGATCTTGGTTGCGTGCGTCAACCCACGCCCGCCCATCATCTTGATATAAGCCCAGCTGATGGGGAGGATACTTGCAGAGCCCCACGGCGCCCCGCTGACGGGTGCGATGGCTTTCTCGCCGCCGGTTTTGATGAGCGGGTGGCCTGGAAGGTAAGGCGCTAGATGTTCCTTCACGCCGATGGGCCCAACGCCGGGTCCACCGCCGCCATGAGGGATACAAAAGGTCTTGTGCAGATTGAGATGGCAGACGTCGGCGCCGATCTCGCCGGGCGAGCACAGACCGATTTGGGCGTTCATGTTCGCGCCGTCCATGTAGACCTGTCCGCCATGCTGATGCACCAGCTCGCACACCTCTTTGATCTTGGGTTCGAAGACGCCGAAGGTGCTGGGATACGTGATCATGATAGCTCCGAGTTCCTCGCTGTGCTTTTCACACTTAGCGCGCAGGTCGCCCATGTCGAGATTCCCCGTGCCTTGCTCGCATTTGATGGCCACGACGCGCATGCCTGCCATTGCTGCGCTGGCGGGGTTGGTTCCATGGGCGGAGACGGGGATAAGGCAGATATCCCGCTTCTTGCCGGGCTGCTCCTCCAGGTATTTGCGGATGACGCGGAGACCAGTAAACTCGCCCTGGGCACCAGAATTCGGCTGGAGTGACACAGCATCGAAGCCGGTGATCTCTGCCAAATCATGCTCTAGCTCGCCAATCAGCTGCTTATACCCTTCAGCCTGCCATGCTGGCGCGAATGGGTGGATACGAGAGAACTGGGGCCATGAGATTGGGATCATCTCGGTGGTAGCATTGAGCTTCATGGTGCAAGAGCCGAGCGGTATCATCGAATGGACGAGGGACAGATCCTTGGACTGTAGGTGGTAAATGTACCGCAGGAGCTCGGTCTCGGAATGGTGAGAGTTGAACACTGGATGTGTTAGATATGCTGATTCGCGTTTGAAAGATTGCACCGTTGTGGCGGCTGCCCCCAGGTCCTGGGCGAGGCTTTCGAGGGAGCGGCGCTCTTGCTCAGGCTTGAAATCCTGAAAGATATTTGCAATCCTTTTGAGCTGGAGCATCTCCGTCTCTTCGTCGATAGAAATACCGATGTGGCTGTCATCGAGCATTCGCAAGTTTACTTGATATTTGGAGACAGCATGTTCCATTATCTTCTTGGTCTCCGCCCCCGTCTCAACAACGAAGGTATCGAAAGGAATGGGTTGGTTATCTAACTTGCCGCGCTTCCCTGTGCGATAGCCAAGTTCGGAGATGAGCTTTTGAAGGACTCTTGCAGAGAACATGGTTTTCTCAGCAATAGCCTTCAGACCGGATGGGCCATGATAAATGGCGTAGAATGCGCTCATGTTTGCCAATAAGGCCTGGGCAGTGCAAACATTACTCGTTGCCTTCTCTCTGCGAATGTGTTGTTCTCGAGTCTGTAACGCCAACCTTGCTGCGTGATCGCCCAACCTGTCTTTCGACAGGCCGACCAGTCGACCGGGTATCTTCCTCTTGTGTTTCTCACTACAAGCAAAGAAGGCTGCATGAGGACCTCCGTAGCCAAGCGGAACGCCGAATCGCTGCGCATTTCCGAAGGCAACATCCGCTCCAAATTCTCCAGGGGGTGTCAGAAGAGTGAGTGCAAGGAGATCAGTAGCTACACTGAATGTGCCTCCAACCTTGTGTACGATCTCTGAAAGTCCTCTGAAATCTTCAACCCCGCCTTCGGTATCTGGATACTGCGCCAGGACCCCGATTAAGCTATCGCCAATCTCTTTTACCTGCTTACCTCCATCCTGCAGCACATCGCCAACCTTGATCTCTATGCCGAATCCATCAGCACGGGACTGGAGCACAGCTATAGTTTGAGGATGACAGAGATGAGATACGAAGTAGACCTTGTTTGGCTTTTTCTGTTTAGATATTGGCCAGGCGCTGAAGGAGAGGGTCATAGCCTCAGCGGCGGCAGTGGGCTCGTCCAGGAGTGATGCATTTGCAACTGGCAAGGCCGTGAGATCCGTGACCATGGTCTGGAAGTTCAGAAGCGACTCCAACCGTCCTTGACTAATTTCTGGCTGATACGGGGTGTAACTTGTATACCACGCCGGATTCTCGAGAACATTCCTCTGGATTACCGCGGGCACTTTAGTATTCGCATAACCGCAGCCAATGTTGTGTTGGAACAGTTTGTTGGAGTTGGCAATACGCTGCAAGGTATGCAGCAACCGAGACTCGCTCATACCCTCCTCAGCGTCCTGAGCCCTGCTACGCTCGTTACCAGCAGTTGACCCAAGCTTCAGATCTTTCGATGATAGTATGTCGGCAGGCAGGACCTGCTTCACGAAGTCGTCCAACGTGTCTACTGGAGGGTCAAGGGCCTTGAGCATCTGCTCAGCGGTAGTAGGAGAAGGCCCAACATGGCGATGTACGAAGGTATCGAGGGGTGCGAACGGGGACTGCGACGATGCCGCCTCGTCTCCGCTTTGAGGCTCGCCGCCTGAGGTGTCCGCCGTTGAGCTGGAGTAGAAGGTCCGCGTGGCGGAAGATGTGAAGCTTCGACATCCTGAGACGCGCTTGCAGACGATGCTCGAGGGGAATGGTCGTTGTGGCCGAGCTAAGGTTGTGCGAATGCATGACAATAGGCGACCGGCATGGATACTAGCCTTGACGCTCGAAATTTGCATTACTTCTTGGAGCGCGGCGCGCTTTGGGGCGCAATTGATGCCTTCGCCGTACCCTCGTCAACGATCTGGCCTCCAGCAGTGGCGATAATACTGTCACTAGATTGGAGCAAGCTGGGTGGAGTATAGAGGGCCGATCGGGGATGGTGATTATTTGGGGAGACGGATGCGACGCAGAACAAGCGGAGGTTGTCAGGATTCGAGTGGCTCAGCTGGAAGTGTTTCTCTGTTTGTGCGGTTGCGAGGGTTCAGATTTGATATGCGGGTGCGGCGAGCCCTCAATTCCATCCCAAGAGTTCGGTTGGAATCGGCAGGAGCCGAACTCGATCCGAGGCCGATGAGATAAGCTCGGCGGCGAGTCATGCACGTATCGTGATATCAACAATTCCACGCCATTTGGGTACCTTGGGAGCAGGACTTGTCTGCTGGACACCAGATATCAATCAGTCCCTGACCCCATACATGGCTGAGTCACCGCAGAGCTGGCTTCGAGCAGCCTTGCGCTTCTCTCTGTCTGCAACCTCACACTCGACCGTCGATGACGCGTATCAGAATCTCTCGGCGAACGCCCAAGTAGACGAGGATCCGGGGAGGAATCCAAGGTTCAAGAAGCTGTTCGACGCTGTACTGTTCTCGCGAAGCTTAATTCTGACTTACAATCTCGTTCTTGCCGTGATCTTGGTCTCAGTCGCCGTCGTTCACTGGGGAGGCAAGGCAAGAGAAGCGCGGAGATGGAGGATTAGGGCGATAGCGGCCGGGGGAAGCCATGCAGCTGATGTGATGAGATCAGACAGGGACGCCGGAGCCAAGATCCAGGAGGCCGAGCGGAGTAGTAGCTCCTCATCGAGTAGCACCCTCGAAGGAACAGCAACTCCACCAGACTTCAGGAAAGATGCTACTTATGAAGGGGAGCGCCAGCCGCTGCTGTTCCGGCAAGGCCAGAAGCCCTACCATGGCGGTTATCGTCTGGTTAATAACGCTCGGGCATGGTTGATGTATCAGCCTAGAGCAGTTCCATTCATCAAGAAAGTCCTCCCCTCGAACGGCCTCACGCTAGCAATCTTGTTATTCGTTGGCCTCAATGTTTTCTACACCTTTTACAATGTCGAGCTTAGCGTATTCATGCTATTCGTCTTCGCAGATCGAGCTGGACTCATGTTTGTAGCTAACCTGCCCATTCTCTATTTGTTCGCGGCGAAGAACCAGCCAATAAAGCTGTTGACAGGCTATTCTTATGAGTCTCTGAACATCTTCCATCGGCGACTGGGCGAGGTCATGTGTGTCTTAGCATTGTTACACTCCGCGGGCATGGTGGGCGTCTGGTACACTCTCCTTAGGCCCGGTGGCTTTACCTTCGCCCGGTTCATCTTCAGCAAGATCATCTTGCTCGGTCTTGGCGCTTTCTTCTCCTACGAGCTCATCTACTTCACTTCCCTAGGAAGCTTCCGGCAGCGGTGGTACGAACTATTCCTTGTCCTGCACGTAGCCTTACAGGCCGCGGCTCTTGTCTTACTCTGGTTTCATCACTACGACGCCAGAGTATACGTCGGCGTTGCGCTGTCCGTATTCCTTGTCGACAGGCTTGTCTTCCGGCTTGGCCTCAAAACAACTTCGATGCGTGCCTCCCTTACCATCGCCGAAGACGGATCAACCGTTCTGCTATCAAATAACTGGACCGTTCCCTCCACTGCCCCCTGGCGCAGACTCTTCGGTCAATCCATCAAATACGGATGGCGTCCAACGGACCACGTGTTCCTCACCATTCCGTCTTTGTCACACAAGCACATCATCCAAGCTCATCCCTTTACCATCGCGTCAGCTGCTCCTCGCAGTTCTCTTGCCTCTTCCAATACTTCTTCGCAGCCACAGCCGCATGCTTGGCTCACGCTCCTCGTTAGAGCCCAGGATGGATTTTCTCGCGACATCCTCAACTACGCAAAGAGCCACACGTCCGTAGTGTGCAGGCTGGATGGACCCTACGGCTCCTCTCACGCACTGGATACTCTTCACAACTCGGACTTGTCCGTCATCGTGGCAGGCGGGAGCGGCATAGCTGTTGCGTTTCCGATCGTCTGGGAGTTACTACATCCCGCTACCGCCACTGAGGCCGATATCGAGGGTAGCAGCCACAATGACAACAAGAGGAAGGTGTGCTTGATCTGGGTGGTACATTCTCGCAGTCATCTATCTTGGCTGCCTGAGGAACGGTATCAGGAATTGGCAGATTCAGGAGCAGATATATGTATACCGACTCCCACGGAGGAGTCTGGTAGGCCGGACGTTGGTGCTCTGGTCAGGCAGAAAGTTGAAGTGCATAGCGGGGGGCATGGAAAGTTAAAGGCGGGCGTGGTTGTGAGCGGACCGGATGCAATGAATAGGGATGTGAGGAATGCATGTGCACAGATGGTGGCCGATGGGAAGGACGTTGGAGTTGAGGTGGAGAAGTTTGGGTGGTAACATGTTGTCAACCACTGAGTTGGTGGTGGCAGCTCTTCGGGCCGGCTGTCTACAGTAATTACAGTCATCATGAGCGTATGATATGGGGATTGTTTCAGGAGTGGCGCGGTCGGAGTTTTGATACTTGGATATCCTGGTCAGGAACACACATAGAGGCCATGCTGTTAGCTGTTAGAACTCGCTCTGTTTCGGGATGAGACTATGGTACCTGAGAGCCCTAGGCTATGTACAGCCAACACAATTGGCAGTAAACTTAAGTAACCTGTGGCGAAACTGCGATTTTTGTACCCAGGTATCTAGCTCTTTGACCGTCGACTACAGGTGAAGATCACCACACGCAACCTGTACCATCATGCGTCTTTCGTCGCGGTCCTTTGATCATTGCCCTGCCTCTTCCAACACTCGCGAAAGGCTTCCATCTGCGACAACTTAGCATTCGACGATCAAGTCCTGGACTTGGTACCCCGTGTTGTTGGTCCGATCGGCTGCAGAGAACCTCTCGGTTGGGGTTTGGTTCTCAGCATTCGGCAACTCACCTCGCTCTTGCAAGCCCGCCAGTCCTTCTTCTCAAAGTAGCAGTCGGTCATCTTCGCGTTCTCTTCTGTGCAGACTTTAGTATCCAAGACTGGCTACTACATCAACCAGTTCACCCACGTGAACAGCCTGTACTGAATATCCTCTTGTCCCTGGGTCTGTTAGTGATCGGAGCTTGTGGTCTGTTTTGAACAGACAGACTGTACCAATCATCAGGTTCATCGTCATCTTCCACCGCCTGGACTGCCGTCTCTCTCTTCTCGTCGTTAGCCATCTCAATCGCTCTTTTCCTGTGTTCTGTTCAATTCAAACCTCCACTAACTTTGCGGGACTCTTCTCGGCTGAGATTCGGATAAGTCCGGACTGCCATCAAGTCATCATAGTCAGAATGGCGAGCAAACGGGTGAACGTACTCGTTTATGCTGGTATGATGCCTGGTTCGAGAATTGTTATGTACAGTCAATAACATGCTCAGGTACTGGCGCGACGGCCGGATCAGTCCGTCACTGTCTCTACACCCTCCGCCGTCTGCTTTCCCCCAACTACGCTGTCATACCCGTCAATGGCGACGCAATTATCAAAGAACCCTGGACCGCCTCGTGTGCTCTCCTAGTCTTCCCAGGAGGCGCAGATCTAGGGTACTGCCGCACTTTGAACGGCGAGGGAAACCGCCGGATCATCCAGTATGTCAATCGAGGCGGTGCTTACCTTGGATTTTGTTCTGGCGGCTACTACGGCAGCAAGCGCTGCGAATTTGAGGTCGGTGATCCAAAGATGGAGGTCGTTGGGGAGCGCGAACTAGCTTTCTTCCCGGGTGTCTGTCGGGGGCTCGCGTTTCCTGGCTTCCTTTACCATAGCGAAGCTGGAGCAAGAGCAGCGGAACTGCGCGTCAACAGAGCCAACTTACCAGCCAGTCCGGGCACGCTGCCGGAGACTTTTCGATCCTACTACAACGGTGGCGGGGTCTTTGTTGATGCGGAAAAGTACGCAGACAGGGGCGTAGAGATACTAGCTAGCTATACTGAGGAGCTCAGAGTTGACGCTGGCCCAGAGAAAGCTGCTGTTGTGTACCGTAAAGTCGGCGATGGTGGCGTGATCCTGACTGGGCCTCATCCTGAGTCCGTCCCCAATATCCTCGTGCTCATTGGAAGACTGCTAACGTCCACTAGGTTTGCCGCCGTGAACCTGAGCAAGCAAGACAATGGACCCGAATACGCCAAGGTGGTCGATGCTGTTGCTGCAGACGAGAAGCCACGCACAGATTTTCTCAAGGCTTGCTTGACCAAGCTAGGCCTCAAGGTCAATCAGGAAGAACAAGCGGTACCTTCCCTCTCCCGTCTTCACCTCTCTACTCACAAACCGTCGGACGTCGCTGAGCTCGTGTCTTCTTGGCAAGAAATCATTACTCTAAGCGACGGCGAAGAATACATCAAGGGCGAAAACGACACCTTCCACCTCGAGAAGCCGGACAGGTGGTCAATGAGCACGCTCACGCAGGCCGTGGCTTCAGTCTTACCCGGCGCTGCGGGTAAAGAGAAGGACAATGCTGAAGAAGACCAAGCCGGCCTTATCGACTACGACAAGGTAGTAAAACGTATAGTAGCCCATGAAACCGAGCTCCCGTCGAACAAGGAGACCCCTTACTTCAACCACTACGCCTATTTCGCCAACCTCCAGCACTACCAGCATGAACTGCGAGACTCCGATCCAGCTTTCGGCAAATACATCCTCTACGGCGAAGTCGTCACCAGCACGAACACCCTTCTCGAAAAGTACGTCATCGTCTTGTCCTTCTGACGCCTCTCTTCCAATTCCACCAATTCCCTTCTAACCTCCGGCAGAAACCCCGCCCTCCTCTCGCACCTCCCACCCGGCTTCACCGCCGCAGCAACGACCCAAATCGCCGGCCGCGGCCGCGGCACCAACGTCTGGGTCGCACCTCCAGGCGCGCTAATGTTCAGCACCGTCCTGCGGCACCCTCTGGCCCTAACGCAATCCGCTCCCGTCGTGTTCCTGCAGTATCTCGCCGCGCTGGCCATCGTGGAGGGAATCCAGAGCTACGAGCCGGGCTATGCGAAGTTACCTGTGAAGCTGAAGTGGCCGAATGATATCTATGCTCTCGACCCTTCTGTCTTGAAAGAAGACGGTAGTGATGGGAAGAAGAGGGAGGCAAAGGATTATGTCAAGATCGGGGGCATACTCGTTACCTCAAGCTATGCGGGCGGCGACTACACGTGCGTAGTTGGGATTGGGATCAACGTCGCGAACGCGGCGCCGACCACTAGCTTGGACGCACTGGCGACGAAAGTGGGGCTGAAGAGGCTTCAGATGGAGAAGCTGCTCGCTAGGATTCTCGTCTCGTTCGAAGCTATCTACGGCAAATTCTGCAGGAGCGGGTGGAACAGGGAGCTTGAGGAGATCTACTATAGGAATTGGCTGCACACGGACCAGATTGTCACGCTGGAGAGCGCGGAAGGGCAAAGGGCGAGAATTAAGGGGATTACAAGGGATTGGGGCCTGTTGCTTGCTGAGGAGTTAGGAAGGGAGGACAGGAACACGGGCAAAGTGTGGCAGCTGCAGAGCGATAGCAACAGCTTTGATTTCTTCAAAGGCTTGGTCAAGAGGAAGGTGTAGTGGTTATAGCGTTGATAGGGCGTCTAAAATGCATGTACTTAAGTAGGTTGACGTCTAGTAAGCACGCTACTACCGACGACAAGTACTAACTCGATATGTTCAGAATGTCTAACACATGTCTCGGATCCTTCCTAACCTCCACCCAGCCGTCCTTCTCCACGCGTATGATCTTCCCATCTACACATATCCGTCTCCACCGCGGATCGTCTTCTCTTCCCTCAAAATCGATCCTCATCCCCTCAATATCCTCATAACCAACCGCCTCCTCTTTGACATGCCCACCGCCCTGATAGGCCAGCCCCATTACCCGCATAACCTCCTCCCCACCCATCGGTCCAAAATGCACCAACCTCAGCCTCCCATCCAGCGGCTTCGAGTCCGGCGAAACCGTAAATCCCTTCTCTAGACTCGACACCAGCGTCGTCAAGACATACATATGCTCCTCCCTCTCCAAAACCTCCCACTTCTCCCCACCATCCGCACTCTTCCGCAACACCGATACCTTCGCCCGGTATCGATGCGGCGGCGACCCATCCTCCGGAAACAGCGCCGCCTTCGCAGCCATCTGGAACCGCTCGGCGCCGTACTTCCGATACTCGACCGTGTCGCTGTCGGCGACTAGCCCGGCGTGGAAGCCCCAGCTGCAGACGACGGCGCCGTAGAGGACTGGGGTGCCGTCCTCGGAGTGTAGGCGTTCTTCGCGGCGGCTCTCGTCGACAAGGAGGCGCGCGCCGGGGGAGAAAGCCGCGCGAAAGAGGGGCAAAGGCTTCGGCGTGCCGCGTGCGAAGGTCGCGAGGCCGAGGGTGTGGTCTCTGCTGATGCCGAGGGAGTGCGCGAGCGCGTTGCCGGTGCCCATGGGTAGGAGGGCGACTACAGGCGCTACGTAGGCTGGGCTCTGCGGCCGCGAGAGAAGCGCGTTGATGGTGTCGAGCACGCCGCCGTCGCCGGAGAGGAGGATAATGTGTTGCGGGACGCCATCGTTGGCGCGGGGGAGGAAGACGGAGGTCGCGATTTCGGTCACGGTGGTGGAGGAACGCGTGTGGTGGACGAGGTAGTCTTTCCCTTCGCGGAAGCCGATGTGGCCCAGGACGTGGCGGACGACGTCTTGGAAGAAGCCTTTGGCTAGGCCGGTGCCGGAGAGCGTGGATACGATGACGTGGATGTTGGGGGTGTCGGTACTCTGGGCGACGGCCTCTTGCTGCAGGTCTAGCAGTTTGGTGTCTATTCTGAAGTTCTGGATGAAGTCTTCCGGCAGCCCAGTCGCGACCAGAGACCTGAAGGTGGGGACTTGCTGGTCGTTCTTCCCGTCGGGCGGTTGGTTGGCGCCTTTGACGTAAAGCAGCGATGAAGCGGATACACCTCCTCTGGGAACAGAGAACAGGCCAATGATGTTGTCTCCATCGATTTTGACGTGGCGCCCGCTCTTCTTGTACCGGTATCTGAGCTGTTTCTGGTCCTTGTCGCGGTCGTAGGTGAACTCAACCCTCTTCCCGTCCACCTCGCCGGTCCATTGCGAGTCCTTCGACGGCGTCGCGCCCATCGCTCACAGTGGCCGTCACGCTGTTAGTTAGAAGTGACATGACGGCCTCCAGAATTGATATCAGCAAAGCAGGTTGTGCAACGGGAAGGAGGGGTTTCGCAAACCATGAATCTTAGTCAGCGGAAAGCGTATGCACCGTCACCTGCATCCGGGAACATCCAAGCTCCAAGGCTGCCCAGCTGAGGCAGCTGCATGTTCGACACTGCCTCACACCACCTCAGCTACCACGAATACTAACTACCGCTACTGCTGTAACAAACCCCCTCCAAATCAACCTCCCTCATCGTGACATTACTCACCGGTCACAATTGAGTCCTCCTCGCACCGCAACAAGTTCGAAATGGCCGAGCCCGAAGGCCCCGAGCACGACGACCACGACCGACACGACGGCGGCATGTCCGGCTGGGGCCTCGCCATAATCGTGATCCTGATCCTCATCGCCCTCGGCGCCCTAGGCTGGATCATCTACGGCCGCCTGCGAGCCCGCCGACTAGGCCTCCCTCCACCGTCGCTCAACCCGTTCGCCAACCGCTCGACCTCGACCTTCCCCTCACCTCGTACGGGCGGGGCATTTGGCTGGCTCAGCGATAAGGTGCGCTCGCTGCGCAACAGCAGATACGCCAGCGGGGCCGGCTACGAGTCCACGACCAGCGGGGCCCGTGGAAGGAGCAGGCTCGATCCGGACGAGGCGTGGGATACGCGTGTGGGTAACGAGGCGGACGTGTATGGGCCCGGCGGGTACTACGAGGAGCAGGAGCTGGGGCTGCATCCGGCGGCGGCGAACGAGGGTGGCAGGGGCAGGAGTCGGAACCGTGAGCTCGATGAGCGGTATGATGAGGAGATGGGGCGGAAGCCGCGGCAGGATCCGTTTGGGGATACGGCGGAACGGAGCGATATGAGCTTGAGAGGTGTGAGTCCGAGACCCGTGGAAACGGATACGAGTTATCATGGTGGTGGGGGAGGGAGTGGGCATCAGGCGAAGGGGAGCAAAAGCAGTGGGGGAAGCTTGGATAACAGTCCGACGGAGAGGAGGAGTATGTTCACGGAAAACATGTGAGGTGGGGAGCTGGGTGTTGCTAATGACTCTTTCGCCGTCCCCTTCTGGCTGGGACGACTGCCTCGAATATCGTCAGGCACGTGATCATGATTGGATTGCAAGGCACATTAGGTGTACATTGGGGCTTTAATGAGAATCCGCGAGTGCGCTGTATATATTATTGGATGGTCCCAAAGATGCCGCTTCAAGCTTAGCATCTGAACATGCAACCTTCTTCCTCCGTTTCTTCCGCCGCTTGCTCTCCGCTTGCGAAAACTCATCCTCGTGTACTCCAAGCATTGTCAGAATCTTCTTAATCTCAGCCTCCCACTCAGTTTCCAGGGCTTGTGGCTGGGTCATAGGGAGGAGCTCAGCCAACGTCGGCAGCGCACTAAGATACTGCTGCAATCCCACAATGGTACTGAAGAAGTCATTCCCTTCGAAGCGCTTGGAGTGGGCCGTTGTGAAAACTTCTATGAGCTGCTGCAGCATCCTCAGCGAGTATAGCACCGCCTGCAACTGCCCATAAAGGTGGATAAACGCCCAGCTGCCGCTAGTCCTTTGCCCGCCAATGAGAGATCTCATTTCGACTTTAGACGGCAGAGGCTTTGCGTCAGCTTGCAGTGCTCTACAGACTTCGTAGGTGGCGAACGTCCTCCACGTCTCAGGCGCTACAGGCCTGATGGAAGGATTGATCCACTGTTCGAGGTTCGCGATAAGTGACTTCGCATGCAAGCCTGTTTCTTTGATGTTCAATGTCAAGACACCAGTACTCGTGATCCTAGTACCCCTTCGCTCATGCTCTAGTACCCGTGCTTGACTCAGTGAGGTGAGGCCCAGTATGGAATATCCTAGCTGTCTGAAATCTGCACCCGCGCGCCAAGCCGATGCTCTTGACGGATCATCGATCAGGAATGGTAGGTACATATCGAAGGTAGCACTACTGATCAGCTGGCCAAGTTTCGGACTCGAATCTAGTATGATAGTAGCTCCCGTCCGGTGGACGAACTCCGATATCCTTGGATCAAGTCGCCTCAGCACGGGTATAAGCTTCTGCCGCTCGAGATCATCAAGCCTTTGTCCGAGGGTTGAGTGCATTGCAATTGAGCTGTACTCAGCTGCAAAGGTGCGATACTTCAAGCCGTCCTCGTCTTGCTGCTTGGCTAGCCGGGCACACTCGGCGAAACCGCGATGCGGGTCCTGACTGACCGCGTAGGCGAACGGCAGTAGAGACTTCAAGCCAAGGGTCTTGGCTATATTTGCTGGATGGTACTGCATGCCTTGCAAGATCGTGGCCTGAGCAGGTAATGCTGTATAGCTGAGGTCAAAGTCCTTGAAGAACATTACAGAACCGTTGGATCCAAGGTCGTGCGCGAGAAGGTCAGAGTCCCCTGTGACTGTGATGCCTCCTTCCTTTCGGGCAAGATCCGCACAATAGGCGTCGGCTTCTCCGGGCACGACGGCTATAACATCCCTATAATCGCTGCGAAGCAGCGCTTCGATGACTGCTGGAACTAGAAAGGGGTTCGCAGGCAATGAGTTGAGTCGAGACGGAACCGCCGCCGGCGAGAACAGCTCGTCTGCTGTGAGATCCTCCGGTAAACATTCGGAAACCGCAGCGGGAAGACCCTGGCTGTTCAGAGCTCGAAAAACGCTAAGTTGGTCAAGGTAGGACTGGAGTCGTGAGACTCGTGTCTGCTTCTTCGTATCCGGTAATAAGCCGTCGAAGAAGACCGCTTTACTGTCTAACATCAGTTTGAAGTATTTCAAACCTGAGGAATACTCACATGATGAGCCCATATGACTGAAGCAACGCTAGCCACTTCACGGCCGCTTGCCCAAGTTCTTGATACGATGGAGCGGCTTCGAGTGCGTTACGAGCGGTTGATCTCCGAGCCAGTGCTTTGTAATAGATATGATAAGCCAGGCCGGGTCCATCGACGATGAGCGATCTGCCATCCTCAGGCTTTGTGGATGAATTGTAGTGATGGAATTGAACTCGAGTGGCATATGATTGCAAGTGGTGAAGAAGGCGTGGAACGCCCATCACGCTAGAGAAACAGGAGACGACTAAGACGCAGCTCGATATCTAGGCTTATAATTTGAGGTTTCGCAAGGCATTGGTCTTATCATGCACGCACTCAGAGTGTTACTAAGCCCGCCCTTGTGAGTAGGTAGTCAGGCGATCAAAATCTGGAAGTGATGGATTCATAAACGCTGCTACACCCCGGGAGCCCAGTACAGACCGGTCGGCAGCGTGGCTACGCTTACTTAGAAAGAGGTTTGTTGCGGACGAGGGAGCTTCCATTCAAATCCAAGCATGTGTTTAGGAGCTATGAACGCTGTCGTATGTATTGAGGATGCTTATTGGAGTTTGTACAATGCTTAGAAATTGCAGCCGCTAGAGAACCCTATAGTTTCAACCATTAACAGCACTATCTCGATCGTTCATGTTGCTCCTCTTGAAGCTACAAACAACACTGTTTGTAGACTGCATGACTGATTTGAATATCTCTCTGATTATCTATCCGACGCCCGCTAATGCTAGTATGATGCTACACGGAAACGACTCAACTCTGGCGCCCCATGCAACCAGACGACCATGCCCAGCCCTACAGAATATTCCTGCTTTTCCAGCAGCAAATCCAGCGCCACTTGTGCATGAATAGACTACTTCCAAAGCTTTGATAAACTTGTCTGTTTATCATCATGCTTGTTCAGCACCTTCGCCGTCGCCAAATCAAAGTCTTCCTGCGTGACGTGCACCCTTCGTTCCCTCAAGGCGTACATACCCGCCTCAGTGCACACACCCTTCAGCTCCGCACCCGAGCATCCGTTCATCTTCTCCGCGATCTTCGTCAGGTTGATGCCACGGGTGAGGTTCATGCTCCGCGAGTGGATCCTCAGAATATCCGCTCTCGCTTCGACCGTGGGCGGCGGAAACTCGATCTTGCGGTCAATCCGCCCCGGTCTCAGGAGTGCCGGATCCAGGATATCCAGTCTGTTCGTCGCCATGATGATCTTGATATTCTTTGTCGGCTCGAAGCCGTCCAGCTGGTTTAGCAGCTCCAACATCGTCCGCTGCACCTCCGAGTCGCCGCCACTGCTGCCCTCGACACGCGAGGAGCCGATGCTGTCGATCTCGTCCATGAATATGATGCTGGGCGCGTGTTCTCGGGCCATGACGAATAGTTCGCGGACCATTCGGCTGCCCTCGCCAATGTACTTCTGCACCAGCTCACTGCCACTGACTCGGATGAACTTGCAGTCCGTGTGATGCGCCACCGCGCGCGCCAGCAGCGTCTTGCCCGTTCCAGGAGGGCCGTAGAGTAGCACGCCCTTGGGCTGCGCGATGCCGAGGGATTCGAAGAGCTCGGGGTGTTTTAGGCCGAGCTCGATGACCTCTTTGATCTCTTTGATCTGTTGGTCTAGCCCGCCGATCATGTCGTATGTGCTGTCTGGGACTTTCTCGACCATCATGAGGGAGACGAGCGGGTCGACGGAGGAGGGGAGCATCTTTTCGAGCTTGTAGGAGTCGCTGAGGAGGGTTACGCGCTTGCCGACGGTGAGCTTGGAGATGTCGACGTTGTCGGATATGTCAACGACTGTGCGGGGAGAGGGATGTCAGCTTTGCTCAGAGACAAGAAACCTTTGATCAAGGTCCGTCATACCGTATTTGCCCTCAGGATGCACCTTCACTAGCACCTTCTTCGTGCCCATCACCTTGACCACCTCTCCGACATAGGATCCAGGCTGTTGTAGTAGGCCGAGCTCTTCTCGTAGCAGGCGTACCCGTGAGTTGTAGTCATTTCGTTGAGCCTCCAGTCGTCGCAGCACTGCTTGTCCCTGGATGATCTCGAGCTTCATGCTCTCAATCTTGTTGTGGAAGAAGGTGTCGAGCGCCATGGTGGCGGTATTAGCGGGGCGGTATCGCTCGGAGGGGTGTTTCGGAGTCGGTTGGAGGATGGAAGGGTGATCGGTTCTACCGAGAGCGAGATGGCGGTGGATGAGAGAGCTTGGTGTTGATGGTGTTGATGTTGCCTCTTAGCTGCCCGTCGAACGCGATAGAGCTTCAGTCGGCGGTTGACATTCTCCGACGGCCGCCGCGCGATCAGCCCGGAGACCCTTGATGCGCCAGCGACACGTGCAGAAGCCCCAAGCTCCCCAGGAAAGGAGCCAGCATTAGCACACCACACCACCCACTCGGTCACCTGCTTGAATGCATGATACCTCCAAAACACAACCGACGTTTCTGTCTAGATGAGCGTTCTTCCACGCGAAGCATCGGGGCACCAGCCCATAATGCCAGTATAGCACTGCAAAACAACAACAACAACCCCAAGGGACCCTTGTGTCAACAGTCTGATAAGAGGTAGCCAAGAGCCGCCAGCAGCATTCCTTCCCCAGAAATGGCCGATAGTGGTCGCGCGCCCCCAGAGGGTGGAGACAACCAGTCTTCCACCATGTCCACGAGGAGGAGCTCCGTTGCATCAGGAGCAAACAATCTAGCAAACTCCCAGAATGCCAGCGTTAGTCAGGGGTCGGAGCAGCGAGGGAGACCGCAGCCTCTGCAGCGGCCTACCGGCGGATATGGTGAGTGCTTTGGTATCGTATCTCGCTCTCCTAGGAACACTGCTAATTCGTCTATGTACAGGCTCTATGTCCTCCAGCCGCCGTTTGGACCTGTCCGAATCCACGAACACGCCTGGTAAGCCTAAAAAGCCCGGTATGGGACGACGTACGACATCCATGCACGGTCCCCACAGAGGCCAGGAGTTCTCGGTCGACGACGCGGAAGACGAGGTGGACCCGGAGTTTGGTCAGAAACAGCAGGCTAAGATGGCGTCTGGGACGCTGCGGAGGCAGCCTTCGACCCTGAGGCGGCGGCCCACCGCGCAACCACCGACCCTTGCGAAGCTAGATTCCTTCGATGGCGAAGACGAAGCTCAAACCGAGGGCGCCGGCGCACCCGCTGATACGGACGGCCCGCAGGTCTCCCCTGGCGAAGAGGGCACATTGCAAGCGGAATCAGAGGATGTTGCGGATGATGATGATGCCGACTTGAGTGATGCCGAGAGCTTCACCCTCAAGGATCGGCAGGAAGCCATCAATGAGACTCATCCGTTCGGTATCAGGATATGGAAGCCTGCACTATACAAGAAGGACAGATCCGTTCAGAAGAATGCAGAAGGCGATATCCACTCTACTCCGGGAGGCTTTGTCAGTAACTGGCTGCTGCTCTTCAACTATGTCTGGACGTTGTTGTTCGGCTGGTGGCTGGCCTTACTTGCCGCTGTGGGAGGCACGATCTGTATCTTGCTTGGCTTTAACGGCTGCGAGGAGTATGGCAGAGTGCTTCTGGGTCTAGCTAGATACTTGTTCTACCCTTTCGGAAAGTACGTCAAGCTACTGCAAGACGAGGCATATGCCGAAGAAGATGAGGGCGAGGGCAGAAGCATTAGCGAATACGAGCAGTGGCAAAGCGGCGATATCGAGGAAGGACGGCTCTTCTTTGGCCCGCAGCGATCCATCATCGGTCGGCGAAGAAACAGCATCGATTCCTCAGCTGAAACCCAGAGTTTACTCGGCCGTGGTGGCAGGGGGAGCGCCGCCCCGCCTGATACCGGCCCAAAGGCTAAGAGAAGACTGTTTGGGCGAGGCGACTGGACGGCAGGACGGGTGATCTTTTTCATCTTCTTCTACGGCCTCATGACACCGTCGCTCTTCTTCGTATCGCTGATTTGCTGGCTCATGGTGTTCACCATACCCATGGGCAGAGTAACTCTCATTCTCTTCTACCACCTCCGGAGACATCCGCTAGCGTTGTCTTTCCACAACGACAGTGCCGCCTCACGCAAACCTGGAGATCCGTCTTCGTCCATACTCCTCTGCACGTATCGGGCCGTAGGCACAATGTATTGGAAGTACACGATAGACGGCACGAACATCTTCCTGATCAATCTTCTTTCTCTGACCGCGTTCGCGATCTTCGATTACTGGGTTCTTGCTGTAGCGCTTGGAATCAAAAATTGGCTTACGAATCAATTCCTAATCTTCTCGCTGTCTCTGTTTTCGATTATTCCTCTTGCCTACTTCATCGGGCAAGCTGTGGCGTCCATCTCGGCGCAATCTTCCATGGGCGTAGGTGCTACCATCAACGCATTCTTCTCTACGATCGTCGAGGTCTTCCTCTACTGCGTGGCTTTGAACGAAGGCAAAGCACAACTGGTTGAAGGAAGCGTTATCGGCAGCATATTCGCTGGTATTCTATTCCTGCCCGGCTTGTCTATGTGCTTCGGCGCTTTGAAGCGGAAAACTCAGCGGTTCAATGTCAAGTCTGCAGGGGTCACTTCTACTATGCTACTGTTCGCCGTTATCGGCGCTTTCGGTCCAACGCTGTTCTATCAGATCTACGGCAGTGTAGGTTCATCCTCGGACTGTGTCATGTACCCTTGTACTAACAGTATTGCAGCATGAGCTGAACTGCCACCAATGCCACAGGCAATCATCGCCAGGCGACGGAGAGCAGGATTGTAGGAGATGCTACTTTTCGCAGACACCCGCGGTGCACGACCGATTCTATCTCGAGGCCGTGCGTCCGTATATCTGGTTTGCCGCAGTGCTGCTGTTCCTGTCCTACGTGATCGGCCTGTTCTTCACGCTTCGCACGCACGCAGCTGTCATCTGGAACTCGGAGCTCGACGAGAAGAAGCAAGATAAGCTAGACTTGGCCGCCAGCCACATGGGCGGAACCTCACATCATGACTTTGCGACGCGTCCTGAAACCATTTCCCGCAATGACACCAGCGGTACGCTTCCGCGCGGAGATATCCGCGAATCGCAACTGTATAAGCGGATACTAGGTCAATCTCTCAAGCAGGTCGGCCTCAGCCCGCACGCCGCGGACACCAATGCTAGCAGACAGGTCTCAGCTCAAAGTCAGGGCGGAGAATCGCATACCCCGCATGTAGTCCCTCCTAAGTCTTCGCACGCGGATAACATGAGCCAGCGCAGCATACAGATCCACGGCCTCTCCGAGGAAGAAAACAATAACCTCGTCATCCAAGTCGCGGAGATGGCCGCAACGGCCGCCGCTGTTGCAGCACGCGACGCCACTAAAGCTCCTCGCAAAGCGGCGCAGCTCGCTACGACGCCAGGCCGATACCATGCAGATCGACCCCACGTCCAGCGCAGTGCTACATTCGAAGAGGATCCTGCTGATGCGGCGCATGCTGCTCAAGGCGGCGGCCATGATGCGCCGAACTGGAGCCGGACGAAGAGCGCGGTAATCCTGTTGACGGCAACGCTCGCTTATGCAATCATTGCGGAGATTCTCGTCAACACTGTCGATGCTGTGCTAGAGAACGTGGACATTGACGAGAAGTTTTTGGGGATTACACTATTCGCGCTTGTGCCGAACACAACTGAGTTCTTGGTGAGCAGGCACTCAGTATCTGGCCGGGCTGTGATGAAAAAGCTAACGGGTTTTAGAATGCCATCTCGTTTGCCATGAACGGCAACATTGCCCTGTCGATGGAAATCGGCTCGGCGTACGCGCTGCAAGTCTGTTTGCTGCAGATCCCCGCGCTTGTCCTCTTCAGCGCGATCCATGGGCGCTTCATCGACCCTTCGGATATCATTGACCACACCTTTAGTAAGTGCTGCCCCTTGCAGAGCATCTACTCCCTTCAACCGCTGCCACTTCATGTCTGACAGAGTACATCACTAACCCTCCCAAGCACTCATCTTCCCCCAATGGGACATGGTCACTGTGATACTCTGCGTCTTCCTCCTCTCGTACATGTACGGCGAAGGCAAGAGCAACTACTTCAAAGGCAGCATCCTCATCCTTTCGTATCTGGTTGTAGTCGTCGGCTTCTACTTCTCCGGCTTCAACAATGTGGACGTCATGGGTGTTGATCGCTTCGATACGCTCGCTGTCAAGGGCGAGTTTGAGAGTTTCAGGACGATTGGAAGGACGAGGAGTGGGCGGGCTTATTGAGAGTTGCTGATTGAGCGTTTCGGACCGTGAATGTCACATTGTTTTCTCTTGTAGAGTTGCAGGGTGTTTAGCAGCGTTTTTTTGGGAGCCTTTGTCATGGTCAGGCGGGCATAGCGTCGGAGTTGTGCGGTATTACATTTGCGCACGGCTTGCTAAATTTTAGGCTATGTAATTTCACTCGGCAACCTATCTCGCCCTCTTTTAGTTAGCTGTTCAACCTCGATCGGCTTTAAAACGATCAGAGATTGTGTGCGTCCAAGCAGACTTGAGAAGTGGCAAGAGGCCAAGCTGGCAACTGCGTGGGTACCGCAGAATGACCAGTAGTGAGATAGCCCAGTTGTCGGCTGTGCTTCCAACGCATTGTTTTACGCTTCCCACAGATCGTTGAAACAAATCAGGGATGAGCCTCTTGCTTGCCTTTCACGTCGTGGCCAAAAATGCACTGACTTCAATCATGAACATCACGCTTTGCTACGGGCGCGAAGTCTGTGTAAATTAACGCCAGTCGTTAATATGACTGATTAATACAAGGAACTCTATTTGAAACTTCCAATTGGCTGTTTGGACTATATTCAATTGCGTGCAGTCGGTGGTAAGGGATTAAGATTCTATGCTTGTAGGCTTTGGAGTCAGCGTTTTTATGGCCACGACGTGCCTTTCCAACGAGGCCGGACGCAGAAAAGTTGCGACAAAAATTTCAAAAACACACAGCACAGATATTCTCTGCATTCTGACTCCGAGCTCTAGGATGAAGACAAATCAAGTCGATTGAGTGATACACTCTAAGCCTCCGCAGGAAACCGAGTTGGATAAATCATCACATCCTGTTTCAGGTCGTTCAAGTTTGACAGCCACGGAGATCCAGACGACTCGTGAGGCTGCTGAAGTGGAACAACTGTGAAACTGCATCAAAAGGTGTAGATACCAGGTATAGACTATCAAACCTGACCTGAAGGCGCAGCCAGCTCAGAGAAATAGCCGCTGATAAGCTCAGCGCAACTCCTTACGGCCTTGGGTGAGAGTCGCGGCGTGGAAACGTGACGGAAGTAGCAGTACATATCTTGAAATTTAGATGTTGGATCATCGGTCGTTGCCGTTGCTGTGCGGCAGTTCTGCGCGCAGCCACCAACTTGAACCTTGTCCTGCGTACGATCACCAAGAAACCTCTGGAACGCGCCGAACCTCTAGGCAACAGGAAATGGGCTTGGTATGTAACGTATCCAACAGGACACTTCTTGCCTTGCTCAAAATTCACCGTGTGATAGCCCTCGGAACCGTGGAAGCTACTTTGCAACAATCTTTCGCAGGCGCGAACAAACCCTCCTCACAAGACTTGAAAGATGACCGGACGCGGAGATGGTAAACTTTTCCGCCCGTGCGTTTCCCGAGTTTCTCTACTTTACCGCCTTTTTTCTAACAACATGTCGCATACAGGTCTCGTAATCCTGTAGTGACGATAGGCCTCACCCTCACCGCCTCTTCCCCCATTCTCGACCCCTCTTCAGCCTCCCCGTTTTATCTCATTGTGACAGCTCGCATCCTTACAACACCCCATCCTGACTCACCTATCACCCTCTCTACTTTTCTGAATCCTCTTAGCTACATCAGTAATCGCTCCTTTGACAACATCAACTGCGTGTATCCCGTCACGGAAAGTCAAAAACGCATCGAGATATGGCCACATAGCTGGCCGCACTACATATGGGACGGGGAAAACCTGCGTGATAGCTGGGAATTCGTTACGATAGAACCAGGCAGGTCGCTGGAGGTCAGGCATGAAGTGCCCAGGAGCAAGATCGCTGCTGCCGGGCTGAAGACCGGAGAGAGATATCAGGCTGCCTTTACAGACAGGTGTCTAGGTACACGGTGGTGGATGTTTGGATCGTTGGAGGAGGCTGGGGAGATGAAGTTCATGGAGTGGGGTCATGAGAGGGTGATAGAGGTCGATGGGGAAGACGGGGAGTATGACGAGTATGTGAAGGTGGAGAGGGAAGGGGAGGATGAGGATGGGAGGTGGACCATGGGTGAGAAACCCGATGACCTGGCGCTTGTCATCGAAAAGGGTGAGGCCGAATTTGAGATTGGATACGCCGTCGGGCCACTTAATATTCGGACAAAGATCTGTGAGCAATTCGATCAACCATAACAATTCAACAATAACAGTCATAAGCTTCATATCGAGGAAACTGAAGCTTTAGATTTTAACATTGTTGCTATAGGAAATTTAAGTCCTAAGAGTAATAGTATTTCTTAAGGTTCACGCGCTATCTCCACGTGTATATAAAAGCTCGAAATGTAAGCTTATATTTTATAGAAAGTGAAATAACTTTAGACACCTAGCTAGGTATATAGAGTAGGGTCTAAGGAACGCTTATGTAACTACTACAACGAAAAGCAAATCGTGTGTTAGCCTTAGTAAGGTAAAATGCGTTAATAATAGTGCTGAGAGTCGACTTCTTTACATGCGGATATGTCCGAATATCTTCCGGACCGACTAGTAAAGTTAAGGGTCGAGTGATGCTAAAAGAGCCATTCTGATTATTGCTGTTGCCGGTCTCCGTTACTACCTGCTGCTGCTTCTCCCGCTATTACCGCTGCGACTGCTAGTAATTCAGCGGCTGCTGACCCCGTAAATTGATATTTGACTTTGTATAAATGGAAAAAGCATGGTTCGCTCAACACGCAATGGACACCCTCTACCTTTGACGACACCACCCGCAGCTTTTCGAGGAGGCTTGTTCTCACCTTTGTCAACGGAAGGGATCAAGTCTCATCCGACGAGTCTCACCGCCTGTAGAGCCTCCACTTCTAGGGTCCTCCAGAGCCTGCAATCTGGTCGGCGTCCTTGTCAACCTTCTGCTTGACCTTCACAAACAGTAGAAAGTGTTTCTCGTGCGCGTTATCGTGTCTTGAGCATGCCGTTATCTCAGATTACTCAAAGGTTCCTAGGGCGTGCGGAAAATCCTTAATTGACTGCCAAGGTGCGGCTGAGTATCCCCTACATATATAGACTACCACATGACACCCGTCCTCCTCACATCATCATTTTGGTTCAAAACCCCACGAAACCATACATACTAACTTGACTTGTATGACAACTTATTGTCGTTCCGTTCCACTTTTGCAACTGATCCAAATAGTTGCTTCTATATAATCCTGACCTAAATTTCCATTGCAATCAGGAACAGAAAGGCTAAAAAGCTAAGAGGCTGTTGCGTCTAAGCTCTTCCACTTGCGGAGAACGGTCCATAGAACGGTATCTAGTTTAGCATCAAAGTCATCCCCGGTTTGGGTCGCAAGAGCGGACCCAGACGGACCACAGGAATACCTACCCAAAGAAACGATGTCGCTACCAAACATGCCATCATTCGAGGCCGAACAAGAGGAAGAAGGATGGGAAACAATCGCCCCCGGAGTCAGACGACGTACGGTTCAGTCTGATAAGGGCCTGCGAATCATTTCCGAGGATCGAATTGAGACGCAGGATGAGCTCAGCGTGGGGCAAATACACGCGCTCCCCGACGAAGAATGGGCACCGATCGCTCTCAGAATGAATGGGGCTAGGGGACTACATCGGGCTGATGCCCTGGCGAACGCGCGAAAACGACTCCGTCAGTTCCCGCGGTACATGGAATATAATAGTCAGCTTGGCTACGCAATCAGTCTCGAGAGCGCGGAAGGACTAGAGGACCTCTTACGAGGCCGCAGCGGTGGTGATGGCGGTCGCGATGTTAGCGGGGATGCTAATGCATTAGATCCGAATACAGCATACGCTGGCCAGACTGCCCTATACCATGCCGTGTCGTCGAACAAGATCCAGCATGCGCGCATGCTGCTAGACTATGGCGCTGATCCGAATATATATTCTGTCTATCCGAACTACGATGGCGACGATCTGTGGCAGACGCCATTGCATTGCGCAGCCAGCGACTGGCGACCCGATCTTGTCCAACTCCTCATTGCGCATGGAGCAAATGTGAACGCGCTGAGTTTACTGAAGGGTCAAACTGCTTTGCACCATGCTGTGCTTGCTGCTAGGTTCTGGACCCTGAGACGTGACTGGGCGGACCTTGAACTGGTCATACGTTACCTGATATCTGCTGGTGTAGACGTCAACGTTCGGGATGAAAATTTGCTTGCGCCGCTGGATATATGGATGGCTATCGACACAACTCACAAAGACAAGGACTTCCGCTCCATCTCAGATCTCATGCTTAGAGCTGGAGCTGATATCAATGCCCCTGGGATGGGAGGAAATTCTTCCTTCCTTCTCTCAGCTGAGTCAGCTTCCTTAGGAGGGCCATCTGATCTCTTCCGTTTGCTGCTCGAGCATGGAAGTCCAAATGTTAATCAGCAGAATCATGACGGAGATACGGCTTTGCATCTGCTCGTGGAGCGGGGGGCTCTGGACGGTGTCATATTGGCCATGAATGCGGGGGCGAATCCAAATATCCAAGGTGGGAATGACGAGACGCCGTTGCACAGAGCTGCTGGGAGACGAGGATATCACGAGATTGTAGAACAGCTTCTTGTGTCCGCTGATCCCACTATACAAAGAACGGATGGGAAAACGGCGATCGAGTTGGCGCTGATGGCGGGTGGCATCAAAGAAACGATGCAGGCATTCATGCAACATCCTACAAGTCGTTCCTTCATCAACACGGAAAAGAACGCTTTGAAGGTTGCCGCACTTCAATCTGGCACTTCTTCATCGAGGTTTGACGAACTCGTAGGGGACCTAAGCACAGATTCCTCGTTGGCAAACTCACCGGCTGGACGAACTCCACGCTCGCAAGGTTCTTTGCCAGTACTTCCAGCCGCGACTGATTCCAGTGCCGCAAGCCACCCGGAATCTGCAGCGTTTGTCAAATCCGTGCAAGCTTTCGAGGACCTGAAGACACAAGCGCAGCAGTCCGAAGGGGTGAGAACTTTCCCCAGAAGACTGGTTGATATCAACACAGGCCAGATCGTGCCCGGAGACATCTCCATGAAGTACGTTATCGCCTCGTACCTTTGGTCACCTGAGAAAACCCCTGGTGTTCCCCAAGATTCAGAGGCTTATGAACCCATTCATGAGACTTTACAAAGGATAGCAGAAGCCTGTCGGAAATACCCCAATCTCATCGAGATGATTCCTGCCCCATTCGAGGGCGCCGCCAGACTGAGATGGCCCTCGAAAGACGTCTATCCTAGTGAACCCAACCCCAGATATCTGAGTGAGGTGTACTGGCTCGTTGGCCGAGAAGCCTGTCGCCGCGGACTTCATTTCATCTGGATTGACAGTTTTTGTATTGACCAGAAGGATGAGAGGGACAAAGCGGAGCAGATCCCCTTTATGGCGGACTATTACAGAAACGCTGATTGTTGCGTCGTGGTGTCCGAGAGCCTTCGTCGCCGCCTCAGACCAGAATTCGATCCATCGAGAGAGTTCTTCGATAGCGGCGACTCCATAACAGATCGACTGCTCGGGTGGACTATCGGCTTCCACTACAATCGCGTCTGGGTATTCCAAGAAACCAAACTCGCCAAAGAAGTGATTACCCGAGCCGGTGACGTTCGCATCAAAACGACAGAAGTGTTACGACCGGAGTTTCCCAAAGAGGATCCAAGTGCCAACCAACTTTGGCTCTCGGCTCCACGCACTTATCATGAAGCTCCGCGTGATCCAAGAAAGAGAACAGAGGCCGCGATCGGCAAAGCCATCCAGAAACTGCCGTTGTCCGGATCACGTCTAGTCGGAAACTGGCCATTGTCAATCGACTTCTGTATGATTCTTCTTAGGGATCGTGCCTCGGGCTTTCAACATGACAAGATATATGGCATATTGGGGCTCTTCCCAGCCTCAATCAGACGGGCTGTCCCAATCGACTACAAACTCCCCTTATCTACCGTCTTCGCTATTTTCGTCTACCTCCGTATCCAATCCGGCGACTTGATTGCGCTTTCGCTCGTCCGCGCCCCGGATCATCCGCCCCACGGCATCCCAAACGCCCCGTCCTGGCTTCCTTCAGGCTATGGCTTCATCTACAGCGACGTTCTTGACCTAGAGTTTGACCCATCGTTGAATTTTCGGCGAGAGGGCGCAGACAAGATACATCTTTGCATGCCCTTCGTACGCATCGCGGACTGCTATCGTCTCGATGACAGTGTCTTCGGCGGCGATCCTGCTGCAAGACACGGTAACATCCTCCTCCGCTTTATGGATAGGCACAATGCCCTCCTTCCCCAAATTCGCCGTGCCGCCGTTGAGCCCGTCGATCCGGATTACAACCTCACGTCAGACGAGAATTTTGGCACTGGCGGCGCGTATATCATTCGTCCATCTCTGGAACCCACGCAGATCTCTGCCTCCGAAGCGGCAAAAGTCGCAGAAGAGCGAGAACGGAGGAGATTGGTCATTCAGGCTGCTGCTAGAGAAGACAGGGCTGTTGTTGCACTGCTCGGAATGGAAAAGAGAGGGAGTAAGGCCAGTGATTTCATGTTGGACACGGTTTGGCTGGTGTTATGTGCGGAAGTTAGTACTGGGAGGTGGCGAAGGGAAGGAATTATGGTTTTGGACCAAGTCAGCGTAGATCGGATGGCTAATCCGGACGTGCGAGAGGTCCAGGAGTTCTGTATCGTATAACTCCCAAGAGCCTAGTGCCTGTAAGGCTCGGATAATAATAATAGTTGGTACAGAAGTTAGCTTTCTCAGGCATGTTGCGCAGTTTAATACGCTGGGCAATGCCTGTTGACCTTTGTTATCTAATCGGCGAACCATCTCGTCTTCTCTAGCTCAAGCCCGAATTAATTGCCCATATGCAAGAAGTCTTGAGTTCCAAGAGGCGAGATTGAAAGTTCAAAGTGTATGGCAGAAACGACTATGGATGAGGATCCGAGCGTCTGGTGCTTCCCCAATACGTTCTTCCCAGCAACAAGCCATAATACTGGTTCAATCACATGAATTGCAAGACCAATCCTCATCTTTCACATACGGCCATAGATCAAGCAATACTAGACATCCCGTCCTGCAGTCAAGCTTTGACTCAGTAGATTTAGTTAGTTGACCAGATACCTAGAAGATATATACGAGGCTGTTGTCGTTGCCTCTTGTAGTGGGATGGTGCTTTAAGCGGGTGAGCTGAATGATACAATATTTGTTAGCGAGCCGTGTATATGGCGACGATTCCCGGCCACAGCCGGAAATAAACGTTTGGCGACCTGAGGTACAAGTCAAGGGACACTAGTAAGCTAGAGGACTGGGACTGGTTCTGGCTGGTCGGGTTCGACAGCAGTATAGATAACTCCTACTGGCTGTCCAATACTCAAGTTCTTGCACACCTGAACTTCTTTGATAGAACAATAAGATATTCCTGCAACAAAGTATGAGCGTACGTCTAATCCTATGTACTCTATAGTAAGCGGCTTGTCCGCTCGGACATCATGCTTCAATGAAGTCTTATCTAGTACCCGCAAGTGATACGCGACATGAAATTATTCTCTTCCACGCCTAGTTCCGGTCGTAGCGACTCGCAGAGCTCCCACCCCCAAGTTCGTATGGCGGCTGCTCCATCTCTGACGGCTCTAATTCGTAACGAGCATCTCCGTGCGGTTCCAACTGGCCCACTGCAGCTTTCCCTTCTGCTGGTCGCTGCTGCCTTCGACGCCTAAGGAAGAAGGCGAGTAGGATAAGCAGCCCTGCAATAAGGCCGACTCCGATGCCTATACCTACCTTTCCGCCCGTGGTGAGGCTTGAAGTGGGAGAAAGGGAGGGAGCTTGTGCGGGAGAGGAGGAAGAGGCTGATAAGGAAGCCAATGAAGAAGTCGTAGTCGCAGCAGACAAGGCCGAGAGCATCGAAGGAGTTGAGGAACTGAGGAGACTCCGTGTCGCAGTCAATTCGAAAGCGTCGATAGTATTGAATGGATCGACCGAGCCGGGAAGCTGAATTAACAACGAAGGCGCTTTGCAACAGTCTCGCGGATCGGACTCATTGGCGTTGTAGCAGCAGATCTGATTATTGTCGGCTGCATCCGTGCACTGTAATATCCAGGTTCCTCCGTCGGAAGGCGTCTGACAGAAGGAGGGACATTCAGCGGCTTGCCAAGTCTTATCCGTGCAAGACCCGCGATTCCAAGGTATGGAAGCGTCTCCAACGCAAATCCCATTTTCCAGACAGACATAGTTCGGAGCGCAACAGAAACTGTGCTCTGCCGTCAGATTACACGCTCGGTCGGTCGTAGCGACTTTGCCGTTAGGGTAGTAGCATGTCGGAGGATCTCCTGCGGCGGTCGGAAGGGAGATAGCGAGTAGTAGCAGCAGAGATATCAACAATCGCTGAGATGGTGCATCGTACATCGCAGCGGGAGCAGTTTGACGTTAACAAGGGCTGTCTTGTGAATTCTGGACTGAGTAGAGCCTCGAGATTGAAGGTGGGTGGGGGAAACGGATGCGCTCTTGGCCTGGCGGCTTGAAGAGACAAGAAAAGAACGTACGCCGTAGTGCGGCATGGAGGAAGTGGCTGAGTCGAAGGAGCCTTTTTGGGCATCCCTGAGAGATGGTGAGCTAGGGCAAGGGGTCACTATATTTATCTTTAGTTCCGAAATATACGAGGAAAACGCACAGAACGCCGATGTTTCTTCACCCCGCCTTACCGTGCCGCGTCCTGCGGACGTGCTAGTGGAGCGGCACGGCTAGGTAGTTCTAGAGAGCTGATTGGAGACCTCCTGTCCGCCTTCTTCGCGCACAGGGCTTCAATTAAAACACGGACAAGCACGGCTTTAGAGAATGATTTTGATTGGTCGCAAGGCCGGGCTCCGGTAGTTGATTGGGCGGGAAGGCAGTATTCCCCTGAAATGAAGAAGTTTCTGGAGCCGTGCGTCTTTCTCGCACATTTCGGAACCAACAAGCTCACCCATGCTACCGCAAAACTCACCCGACTCGCGCGAGCATGAAGCGGCGACGCTCACCCGCTACAGTTGGAAAGGTAACCTTGTAGAGGCTCGCAGATATCCCACCATTACTGACACGAATTCGCTCTTGCCGAATCTCACTCCCCCGCCTCCTCATTGTAACGCCGCTAATTGCAATAGAGGTCCAACGCTGAAGAACGTTGAAGAACCATAAGCTCCCTTGCTGAACATTATCCTCCACATGGGACAAAAATGCACGCCGGTCATTTCGGCTTTAGTGTTCTGTTTTCTTTCCGCTAAAGTTCACCTCAAACAGTCAAGACATGGCATGTTCTCCCGGTTCGATTGCTTTCCCGCCATTGATCCTCTGCCACTATCTCTACCCACTTCCATTACAGCGGAATATACCTACCGGTCCGAGTTACGAGCCCCGGCACACCTGTCACTCATCAGCCTTGGGCAAAGCACTTTTAAATATTCGAGTTTCCTCGCCTCTGTCGTCAGCGCCTCACAGGGTATTCGTTCATGCTAGAGAATCTTGGAACTCGCCTTGTCCGTACACATTCGTGCCGCATCAACTCAGCGTGTGTAGATCGGGGCAGTTCAAGTAAGGTCATCCATCTCCTAGTTAAAATTACATTAAAATCAAGCACTGGGCAGTTCGTATTTGTATCAATTTACGTTTATCTATCTAGTGCGAAATGCTTCATCCACTGCAGCAATGTCGATAACGTTGCCATGTTACAATTCCCGTCTAATACCTAACCCAACACAAACCGTACACCATCTACGATATCCTGCAGCAGTACCTGACTCTTATTAATCATAGGAAGCACGTGGAAGTAATGAGGGAAGCCATCATAATGAACTCGCTTAACCTTGACACCCGCATCCTCAAGCAATTTCACCATGACTACTCCATCATCACGCAAGCAATCCTTCCCACAGGTGGCGATCCAGACCGGTGGGAAGTCTCTCAAATGGGGACTGAGGGCTGGAAAGGTACCCGTATCATCCGGCTTTGAGGCCGCAGCCGCTGCTAGCCGTTAAACTCGATAAGTTAATCAGAAGGGAGTATCGAACATACCGAGAGCATCCCTCACGTCAGAAGCGTTCACAATGGGCACGCCGACGCCATTTTCCTTATATGATGTGTATATGTTCTTGTACTGCCCCGGACAGTTGTCCGGATGGCAAGTGATCGGGTTCACAGCAATACAGCCTTGGACTTGAGAGCGTCTGCCGGATGCAACAAGACGGTTAACTACTGCCAAAGCAAGCTGACCGCCCGCCGAGCCCCCCCAGGTGAAGTATTTGTCGCGGTCGCCGTGGATTTTGTCTGCAAACTCAAATGCCTTTTGGAAGCTGGTTAGGTGCAAGTCTCAGGACACACCACAGCGGACAGCATACCCATTCAAACCCGATCACACAATCATCAATCGGGGCTGGCATTGGGTGATAAGGTGCCAACCGGTACTCTATGGAGACCACCACACAAGGAGTGTCACGTGCAACTATGCGACAGTGCGGATCCTCGCTGTCCAGGGTGCCGGAAATCCATCCTCCACCGTGATAGAAGACGGCTACTGGCAGCCTGGAATCGCCAGCATCCTTTGGTGTGTAGATTCGGGCCTTTACGTTTTGGTCAATCGTCTCTTCTCCTACAACGTTTTAGAATTCGAGCTCTCGTGATATAGAGTTGCACTGGCAGGGTATAGAGGGTGGTATACGAGTTTCTACCGACTCTTCCTTCGGCCATTGAGCAGCAAGGCCATTGACAATCTGATTGTACTGTGCCGCTTTTTCTTCAGTAGTACCGCTCAACCCCGGTCGGAATCCCAGCGCTTTCTCCACCTGAAGTATAAACTCGAATCAGTAACCGGTAGACAACTGGGATGGAGATGGACGGACTGCCAGGTACTCAGGATCGTATCCCTCATCCATCGCCTTTGTAGCTCAATTGATACAGGTGATACAAATACCGGCCCGGCGGTTTATAATGCCATAGGCGGGCAAGGTAGAATGATTATGCCCCGATTCTCACCACCTTTGTACGTTACGATTTTGCCTCCTACGGATGGGAAACTTGCGTGGGTTGCGCGTGGGGACGGACAGTACCCGATGCGCCGAACGCGGCGTTTTGAATCAGCAGATCAGTCACTGGAAGTCTCCGAACAAGCGTACTGCCACGTCTTGTGAACGCTCTTCGACCAAACCATGACCAAGACCATGATACTGCTCAGCAATTGATCCCTCCATCTGAGTACCCCGCAGGAAGCGGTTCCTAGTGCATCTGCGGAAGTACGGAGGAATTCCGGTAGCCATTCACCACCGACCGTTGACATGCTGCACGTGTGCCCGACAAACCTGGCATCCTTAGGCCGTCTGCAGACTCATCACTCACACACTAGAAGCAAGACCGTGAGCGGAGTGCCATGGATAGTGCGCCGCTATTCACACAAAGTAACCGCTTAGCTGTAGAGAGTTAACTGTTACTTATCTCAGTCTCAGTATGCTCCCGCACGGAGATGGAAAGCGCAGCGGAGCCCAGAGCAAGGATTTCCGGCCAGGGGATGGACGTGTCTTGCAAAGTGGTGCGGCTCTCGGTGTGGCTCTGGGTGCAGCTCCTTGTTGTTGGACACGTGAGGTAGTAGTTATCGTAGTAGTCATCATAGGGCGGTGCATCATTTGCAGGGACTCGATCTACCAGAATGACAACCTCAAGACTAGCATAGCCTTGGTTGAAAGGAGATAGAGCCCATCAAACTGCGACCAAATGTACGATAGGATCTCTTTTATAACTTCACTAACCTCATCAGCCTCATCAGGAGCAAATGCGTGGTACAAAGTTGAAATCTGGAAATCCGAATCCTTGTGGATGACGTGCGCTAACCACCGGATGCTCCCGTCCTGATCCTGTAGGTACAATACACGCTTAGTCAACTGCATACCTTCCCCTTTCCAGCAACATACGTAGTAGATGCACAGCGAACGACTGTCTATTAACAACAAATAGCTATTCTTTGAGTGTCTATTGCCCAAACTGACAAGGAACGTGATTTCGAACCCCAGTAAAACAACCAGCAAAGAAATGGCAAATGGTTGCTGACATGCTCTAATGTGGCTCGTTTTGTGCGGTTTAGGGGGTCACCCTAAGCGGGCTGTACAAACAGAGAGTTGAGCTTGAAAACACGAGCACACCACGGCGTGTGCGGCTGGTCCTTACACTAGTTCTCAGTGATTCACCCAAGGCACACTCGTTCACCGTTGCCCGCTCCGCACGAGAACAAAAGATCGGATGCTCGTTTAGTCTAAGGCGTGAACTGTATCTAGATGCTCTGCCCCCATCCCAATCGCGCTTCTCATGAGTCTCATAACCCTCGAATGCCTTTAATCCTGTAGTGTAACAACGAACTCCGTGCCCTATGCCATGCTCCTTTTGAGCCCCTTGTAAAACTCCTAACAATGACGATTCCCATCCTCCACCGTTTCCCCAGTTATCTCTCTGCTCGAAACATGACGGAGCCAAGTATACCTCTGCTTCCTCTACGCCGACTTCGGCACCTGCTCCTGCCGCACAATCCACTCCAGCACACTTTCGTAGCACAGCACAAACTGGCGGAGGCTCTGCACCATGCTCAGCCTCTGGAGCCTAAAATCCTCGACCGTCTTCTCGATCAGGTCCCAGTCGTCCCTCTCGACCCAGCTCCCTTCCACAGTCGGGCTATCAAAAAACGGATCCCTCTCCTTGTCCCCATCCCGACCCGCCGCATCGATCTCCATAGGCGTTGCTTGCCTCTGCGTCCTCTTAGCCTTCTCAGACCCGCTCAATCGCTGCCGCTTCAGCATGTCGATAACCGAGTCGACGGTGCAGAACGTGCCCGTGCGGCCGCAGCCGGCACTGCAGTGAACGAGCACCGGCCTGACCTCCGGCGGATCAGGGCCCGCAGGGTTCGGTCGCGAAAGCATGGACCGCACAACCGCATCGCACTGCTCGACGAGACCAAGCAGGTGTGCCGGATGCGCAGGGGCGCCGAAATCCGGCCAGCTGGAATACTGCAGCTGTGTGATTTCGCGCATGCGCTCGAAGGGGTGATCTGCGTGGGAGAGCGAGAATTTGCGGACGATGACGTAAGGCTGATCGGAGGTAGGTGAGATCGGCGACGTCTCGACCGGAACTGGAAGCTGCTTGCCAGGCGTTGGATTGGTGGAGCGTCTTCGGCTCATGCTGGGCCGGTGGCGGTGTTGCTGGATCTTGGCCATCTCCAGAGAGGCGCGGTGTTCTGAGAGGAAGTTGAGGTGGAACGGACCATACGTTTTGGCCTCCCAGTAGTTGTGGGCTTTGACCTGGCCGCCTTCCTTCTCTGCGGTGAGCATGACGATTACGCGGACGTCTTCTTGCCAGACGACGTTCCAGAAGTCCTGTTACATGGTTAACTTGTGTCTACAAGATAGTCAGGAAGTAGTTGAGTGCTTACATTGAACGTCGCAGGTATCGGACCTTGGGTTGCGATGTAGCGCTTGTTAGACCAAGCGGCTTTCACGTGGTTTGCGTTGATGTAGTCGCAACCACCGCTAGACACATCCTGGAGCTTCACCCGAGAGTGCTCATAAGGCCAGATGTTGTTGTACCTGTTCTTGCTTCCTTTCTCAATGCCAGCGATTTGGACGCTACTTCGCGCTCGTGCTGCACCCGGTGTGCCATAAGTGACATTGCCTGAAAGAGCCTCCTGCATCCGCTTCTGCTCCCTCTGCTCGATATGCAAGAACCGGTCCGAAACTAATTTTCCAGCATCCTTGTTATCAACTGCTCGCTTGAGCCAGGTAGGCAACCCCGATTCCATCTGCTCTGAAATTGATGAAGGGTGCTTGATGGACATCCTCCCAACGCCTCCGATCAAGTCCATGTTCTGTCTGATGTTGCCAAAGAAAGGATTGGCCGCATTCTGGGTAGCTGGCATTGGGCACCCTCCAATTACAGGCGCAACGGCAGGACCGTTTGAATCCAAGCTAAGTTTTACTCCTCGAGAGGCCGAGCTAACGGCAGATCCTGTCTCAACATGCGAAGGGAATTTTTGAGAGAATTCAGCGAATCCTCCTCGTATGATGTAAGAACCACCAGTCCAGCCGTCGGTCGCGAACTTCTTCAGTGTGTTTATGCAAATAGCCGCATCCTTCGGCTGCGTAGAGTTCGCATCGTAGACTATGATGTATTTGCAGGATGTCCAACGCTCGAATTTGCTCCTTTGCTCCTCGACACTAAACGTATCGGCAAGCTTGTGTACGTTGAACGCGGGCCTTTTCAGTAATGTCGTCGGTATACAAAGGTTGAGCGCTTGTGTAATCCTTGACCTGGCATACTGTGTCGAGACTCGGAGGTCAAGCAGCAGGATTTCTTCTCCAGAGGCATCCAACAGATTTACGACATGTTGGGGTGTCACAAAGATTGGACCGTCGTTGCGACCACTGCCATCAAGACTTGCCGGCAGAGTCTCCGCTCGTTGGTTGTGCGCGTTAACACCAGATTTAGCCGTGTTCGGCGGCAACGAAGACCGAGAATGCGAATTCGGTAGGGAGTCAGCATGGTTCGAGGCGAGAGATGCATCGGCTTCTGAGAATGAGGCGGGTGAGTGGCGGCGAGGTCGATCAGGGAAGGTAGCTGAGTCGGAAGAAAGCATGCGCTTGGGAGAACGTGGTATAGCGAGCGTGTCTGCAATCAAATTCGAGCCTCCACCGCCCGAGTTTCTCGTGGGAGAAACAGGAGATGCTGACTTCGAGGCTGGCAGCGCTTCATTCGGCGCGTTGCTGCTGTGGCTCACCGACCGTGATGTACTCGGCTTGGTCATGTCGAAGCTAGAAAGTCGGCCTAGGTTGAAAGCATTTTGTTCGGACTGTCTACGAAAAGCCTCGAAATGAGGGTTCTGGTCGACAGGCACAATGCGGGGTGATGCGGCCGCTGTAGAGCGCACCTGCGAGCTCGGTGGTGAGAAGAATGCGGGCCGACCTTGCTGCGCTCCGCTTGTCGAGAAGCACTCCTTTGCGGGGAGTCCAAAATATGACGGGCTTGGGTTAGGGGCTTGTCCGTCGCAGCTGGTTCGTGGTGGAGGGGTCCGCACATCAGGTACAGAAGGAGGTGCGGGTTGTGCGACGGAGGTTGCGCTTCGAGGAAGAGAGCGTACGGAAGGAGTCGCTACCGGGCGAGGTTGAGAACGAGGCTGCGATGCCGTGTGCGAGTTCTCCCATACGCGAGGGGAGCGTACGGTGATGTTCATAGTTGTGCTTGTCGCTTTCACGAAGGTGTGAAAGTGTCGGCTTCAAAAGGCAGCCGATGTGGTAGGTGGGATCGTCGTAGTGTCTTATGTCAGGTCGCTTGGGTCGAGGCTGAGGGTTGGAATGATGTCACAAAGGGGGGGCGAAGGAACACGACCGCCGGAGAGGGTGCGACCGGTGCGAGCTGAGGCTGAGAGCTGCGAGCGACTTTGGAGAACCTCAGGCCGGAGCTCCTCCGCTCGAGTGACGACTGTGGATCTGAGTCCGACTCCGCGCTGCGCTGCGCTGCGTTGTGCTGCGACTTCCTCGGTCGGTCGGTTCAGGGCCGATTTTTTTTATTCAGGAGAGCACTCCGATTTCAGTGTTTGCCGCTCTCGGTTGGCGGTTTGGCAGGCGGGTCCGATGCAGGGTCGGCGCCAGGGCCTCGGGGCAACGCAAGAGGATTGCGCGAAAGGCCCTGGAGAGCGGAAAGAACGGAGGGGATCAGCAGGGCCGCGGGGCGGGGACTTGCCCCAAATATGTACTCTGGCTGAGCGCAACCTCTCTCACTGCAAACCGTACCCGACAGCGGCGCCTCTGCACGCAAGTCCAAACGACGACCTCGGCGGAGATGGCCTAAACTTTGGCAGGCGCTACAGTTGGCCAGAGCCTGCTGACGGCGGACGTACGTGCAGATTGTCGCTTGCTTTGCTTGGCCGATGCTTCTGGCCTTTTACAACACGCAGCCGTTGCTTCCATTGTCTAGCTCGGAGGGTCGTCGTGCACGGTCGCCTACAGCTCCACGCTGCACTTGTTGCCTGCCTGACGGGTTGTGCAGAGCGGCCAAGGGCCACTCAAAAAGCTGTTGCCGCATCCTAGGTGCTGCCCTTTCACTGTCAGATTCACGACGGAGCTGGACCCATGATCATGTTAGGGGAAAACTCATAGGCCAGTTCCATGCGACAGACAGCATAGTATCTTCAACAGCTTGCCCCTTTAACCCATCGATCTCCTAGATTGTCGTTGACTTGTGAGTTATGCTTGCACTATGCAAGCTTTCAATGCGGCAACGCACTTTTTGGATGACCCTTGAGCTTCTCGACCTTCCTGAGCTGCAGGTCACTGCGACTTAGGGACTTCTCTTCGACTTCTGCGGCCTCCATCGTCGAGATCTATTTGTGACTGCCACCCATTCCAGTTCATTCTCGCAGCTAATAACAGTTTTTCGAACGTCCCGGCTAACCATTTCCCGTCGTGTCTTAAGCCGCACAAATAGACGCGTCAGACATTATGTTAAGTAGGTAGATTATCCGACGTTCTGGATCTGTGATATCTGCAGCACCACCCCGTCGGAGCACCCCTCCTGCAGGCTGAGCGCCGCAAGTCTCGGGTGCCTGTTCTTCGGGAAAGCCAAGCCATCGGCTTGCTGGAACGATGCCGGCATCAATCGAGGTCCTGCTCTGGGATTGCTATCTTCAGCGTGCATCGACCGATTTCAATGTCAGCTTTTGCCGAGAGTGGTTACCGATAACCCACTTGTGACCGTTGACCCACCTCCGCGTCTGGCGGTGGCAGCATTCAAGCGATCAGGTTGATGTTTTCTAAGCCGGTCATCGCACCTGGCAAGCTTCCGCAAGTGCCTCAGAGATTGTCAGTCGGCGGACAGCAGCCAGAGTGATTCGACTGGAATTGTCCGTATATTTCGAGATCCCACGAGACACAGTCTTCGATCTCCGGGACGAGTATATGGAGAGATCTCCGGGACAAGTGTACGGAGAAATCTCCGGCTTCCTTCTCCCTAAGTTTTACTCGCACACTCATAAAACAGCTGCCTGATTTGGGCGATGTTCAAACCTTGAACTCTGTGTTCTAGGCCATTGTTGATATCACTCCAAGGCACTGTGTAACCTGGCCTGTCCTGCCCGTGATACTCGTAGCCGTTTTAGACTTTGAAACAGTGCGAGCTGACGCCACATCCGTGTCGCTGCATTATCCGAAGATCCCCGCCAAAAGAAGGCCCTGCCCTCGCCTGAGCCTGTCTCAGCTGAGGTGCACGAAATGTCCCAACAACTCCGAAAGCGGCTCACGGCATCAACACTGGGCCATCGTGAAACCCGTCAGTTTTCTATCCGCACTACGAGCCGGCGGCTGCCCACGAGGCTGAGTGCAGTCCTTTAAGATGGTCGGCTGGAACGGATCTTGGCGCATAATGCAAGCCTGGAGAGTCACGTGGAAGGCTGAGGCTGAGGCTGAGGCACAAGAGCTCAGAATCAAGTGAACTTCGTGGGCTGTAGAACCGCACTTCACCTGAGAAGGTCCGTTCATCGAACATAGTGCACGATTCGCGCCTGGCGTTCCATCCTTTCGCTTCTTTTTACCGGTACATAACTAGGTCGTCTTCGTGAGCTGGCAGTAGTGATACGGAATCAGTTTCAACATCAAGTCTACGCTGGTTCCAGACCGAAAAAGGGCACCCACTAGAGTATTGGACCACTGAGTTCTTCAAAGACTAGTCCCAGCAGCGGAACCGCAATCGACAATAATGTTGCTGGATCTCCCGCCCGAGCTGTTGGTGCTCATTCTAACCAAGCTCGATCCCGACAGCTTCTATATCGCGTTATTAGTGTGCAGAACCATCCGAGATCATGCACGAAGCTCGAGAGTGCTACTGAAGCATCAGCTTGACCAGTTACCGGGACACCGATATCATGACACCATGCGGACTGAGACTCTCGTTAAACTCTTCAAAATACGTGCCCACGAGCACATGTCGGATGGTACAGGCATGTTGACCGATGTCACTTGCTTCAAGCCCGGAAGCACAGGCTCTGAGCCACAACGCATCCAACTTAGGCAAAGCAGTATCTTCCGCTGCTGTGGCAAACACACCACCGCTGCTCTGGTGTATAGAGATAGTGGGAGTGTTTGGCTGTACGATCTGACAGAATCTCGGCCACGACTCAAGCACACACTTACTCTGGACTGCCTAGACCTCATCAATGATGTTCATTGCGAGGCTCTCAAAGTCGCTTTTCAAAACCGCGAGGATCTCAACGGCTGTCCGGATACCGTGGTAGTGCTGTACAGCTGGAGGGTGCTGGATGAGTTATCGCACCCGTTCGTGGAAGCAGCTGCAGAAAGAGCGAAGTTTGTCTTGAAGCTCGTCACCTATGACATCTCGGACAGCAAGCCTAGAATCAGCCATGTTCAGGACGTTTTACGAGAAGTAAATCGAGAGCCAGTAGGCCTGGCTGTGGCTCCCTGTGGTACAACGGTAATTGCCTGGCAGGACTTGCATGGATTTGCGCGATATTGCCAGCTCGTATCATATAGTCCTGATCAACATAGATGGGATAGCTCAGCGGACGGGTTTCGTCTACGAAAAATCCTAAAAAGCGTGCAGCTGATCGGCCGGTACCCTACTGGCCAAGTGCTGCCTGAACTTCCGGTGACAGACATCAAGATCGTTGGCGGAAGACTGGATCTATTCCTCGAAGGCTCACCAATCGGGACATGGCACGTTCCGAAGTACGACTTACAAGACTGCGCTATTATCACGGATGGTGAGTTTCGCGCGAGCGATCTTGAAAATCGCGATGGTATCTCGCAATCTTTCCACTGTGGGTCAGTGGGCCTGCCCTTAGCATATCACCATGTGCATCACATCGAAACTCACCTTACTAACGAGACTTATTGCCTCAATACAGTAAGTCAGTTTCCGTCTGTATGTGTGGTACGATATTGTCTCCTTCTGAGGACTCCTAGTTGCCGCGAACTTCTCATTTGTACCTTAAGAATCACTTCATAAAAACAGTTGAGCGCCGGAAGACAACGTTCCTCCAATTCTATTCGATCTGTCTGCTTCCAAGTCCTGCGCAAAGAGAGCTTTGAGGCATTGACAAAGCTACTCGCTTCCTTGCTTCCCGCTTCTGATCGGCTCGTAAACGGCTATCAACAAGCTTAACCCGCATTTAGCCATACAACTCAGCCAGCTAACAACGTCACTCTCTCAACAGGCCGTTCACCTCGTCCTTGATCGCAGGCCAGGCCCAGCATCGGGTGGTTACCTGCTCAAATCCGTCCAACATCCTGCCGAATGCAATCACTTTAGCGTTCTCCAAAGGTACCCCAGCCTCGAGCATCGCGTTGTCGCCAAACTTGAGGGTATAGATACGCAGACGCAATCCTCTCTCGGTGTTATCATGGCCGTTTCGGAATTCTCTCGGCGCATCGCTCTGGCAACCTGGAACAGGGTCGTCGTGTACGCGCTCAAACCACGTGCTTTCCTAGATCGTCCTTATGCCGATGAGCCGGCGGAGGATCTCGAGGCGGATCATGCCTACCTGGAGAAATGCGGACATGACTACTATGGCAGAAGTGAGAAGAACGAGAACATCGTGAGCTTGTGGCCCGTAGAGCTGCCTGAAAGCGGCGTTGTGTTCTCCCTAGCATTTCGGGGCCAGAATGAGCTATGGGGCCTGACGGACAGGGGATTGATAAGATGGACCTTTGGTGCTCGATGTGGTGGGCGGAGGGACGAACTGTTGTTGTCGTCTCCATCCTGAGTGAAGCGAATGTTCAGGGTATCTGGGGAGCATGGGGGCCTGGGGGGAGAGTCTGGGGGCTGCTGTTCGGGCACGGATACTGTTCACTGTGCATGGCAGAGGACATGAAGCACATTCAAGAGAGCACAACGTGCACCTCAATAGCATCTAGGAAGCTACAATTCATGTCGCCGTGGAACCGTACAGGATGTTGGACTCGAGGTCAAGATTAAGGTAGAGACTGGGAAGCCGTCTCGGTGAATGATCATATTCTACTCTCTCTCAGAGTGACCGACTCCTGCAGCGTCCACATAGTCTTGACCTTGAGGGGGTCCCGCCCTACGTTTATCTGTGTCACGTGACTTACGCGGCTGCGCGTATCGACGCGTTTTATGCATGGGCACTGCGGACTTACTCCCCTCATACATTGTTCAGAAGTACGACTTACCTACAGCTCACAATGGCGGACGCAGGCAGCGATCACTACAACAACTCCCACCGCGCCTTTCTCCAAGCCTTTCTCGCCCGCTCTGTCCTCACCTTCGAAGAAGCGCAGCCAATTCTTGCTGCCATCCTCACCGCACACGGTATACCCCCGCCATTCTCTCTTTCTCCTCAATACACCCATCAAACTCTACAGCGCTGACACGTTTGTAGAAGGCCGCCCTACGCTTCCTGCCGACATCACAACCGCCGACTTCCAATCCTACCTCAGCGCGCTCAACACCGCTCTCTCCCCCCTCGACCTCGAGATCCGCTCCACGCTCTCCCAGCACGCTGACCGCACACGCGTCTACGCGCTCGTGAACGCAACTTCAGATCCACAGACCCAACTCGCGACGACGCACTCCGCAGACGAGATCGCCTTCGTCAAGAGGGTGCTGGACGCCATGTTCGAGACGAACAACACGGCGAGTGCGGAGGTCATGGCTGTAGCGGGGATGCAGGCGTTGCGGCTTTGCAAGCCGGCTGGGGCGAGGCAGAGCGGGGCTAATGGGCAAACGCTGGGCGGCGCGAGTGGGGGACTGACAATGGGGCAGGCGGAGGCGGTGTTGGCGGGGATGGTGGAGGAGGGGTGGTTTGAGAAGAGTAGGGCGGGTTATTACAGTCTTAGTCCGAGGGCGTTGATGGAGCTGAGGGGCTGGTTGGTTGAGACGTATAATGAGCCTGGTGAGGAAGGGGAGAGCGAGGATGAAGAAGGCGGTGAAAGGGAGAGGATCAAGTTTTGTCAGGCTTGCAGGGAGATTGTCACTATGGTGAGTGGCCTGTCCTTTTTACGCTCTACGACCGCGTGACACGCGGCGAGTGCCACCAGCATGCCACGGACGGTTCGCCTAACTCGGCCATATAGGGCCAGCGCTGCTCGAACCGGTCGTGTAAATGTCGCTTGCACGACGTGTGCACGCAGCGATTCTTCCGAGATCAGCCAGCCCGCAAGTGTCCACTTTGCAAAGCAGACTGGACCGGCAAAGATTTCGTGGGTGAGAGGGCGGCAAAGGGCGGTGACCAGGGCAGACGAAGCACTACGAGTGGGCCATCGCGGCGGACGACAATGGATGTCGAGGAGTCCGATGAAGAGGGCTGAACCGCTTGCACGAGAAGGGATACAAAGCACTAAAAATACTTGGAGGCTTTTGCCTACAAGAAGAGGAGCTGCAGGCTGCTCTTGAGCGTCGGTTGACCCGCACCGGATACGAAAGTACTACAGATATCGCCAGTCAAGTCACTACAACGGCGCTAGTACTCCGCTCCAGGTGGACTGAAGGCGGACATCAGGCGGTATGCTGCTTGAGGATGCGTCTGCCGGTATGCAGGACTGCGTCAAGCTCAAGTTTGAAATTGAGCAGGCGGCTTTTTGCTGGTCGGTAGTCATGGCATACAGCGTTGATGCTGCACTTTACGGTGGAACTTGGCTGCCTTGGGATAGTGTCACTTCACGTGGCAGCATCAACACGATACCCATGAATTATAGAACTCGATGGGTATCGTGCAACAGCTGCAGGTATCTCCACCCGACCATGATGTCTTAGAAAACATAATGTTAATATGACATCTTGGAAGTACACGGGTAGCATACTTTTAATTGAGTGCAAAAACATCCGTCCTTCTCATCATGGCTCTATCTCAGCCCTTGGTCCTCAGACCTCTTCACAAGTCGTGACGCTGCGCACAGGTTGATCTGATCGCCAATAATGATCATACGTCAGGTGTACCTGAGAGTGATGTGCCTGAGTTTGCTCCGGCTGACAAAACACGGCCGCTGATTGGTTGCCCGATCTTGTTGGTCACGACTACCATAATCAGATTTCAGGCCCATCAGATATATTCAAGAACCACATAAAGGCGCGGTTCCTGCCTGCTTCGACTCCTCTTACACTGATCTAATTTTCCAGCCTGAACATCTGCCGCTTCAAAACACACGATATCACACTAGAATCATCCATCTCACACAACACTTCCAACACTCGTCAGCATCACCACCAGAAACCTCACCACCACATCCACAATGTCTGAGCCCACCGCCGCTATCCCAGCAACCTGCTGCAAGCGCTCCGACGGTACGGGCTGCGTCTGCGCCAAAGAAGCGACCTGTTCGTGCGGCAAGCAGCCCGCCATGCACTGCACGTGCGAGAAGGCTCAGACCGAGAACACCATCTCTGGCGCTAGGTGCTCTTGCAGTACGTCTCACTCTCATCTTCGCTTCCGATCCGTCGGTCGTCCCGGAATTGGGTTGAGTCGTTTTATGGCGGAGAAAGATGACTAACGTTTCGGGATAGACCAACGCGCCCAGGGCCAATGCACCTGCGGCCGCGCGGATCAGGAAAACAGCTCGGTTCAGGGCTCGACTTGTGCGTGTGGGAAGAGGCCGAGTGGTGGGTTGCTCGCTTTCCTCTAAGCCTATCCGCTTGGGCGGGTCAAAGACATCACGGGACTGACGTTGGCTGTCCTAGATTCATGCACGTGCGCTGGCACGGAGCCGGGTGCTGAGAGGGCCGAGGAGATCGATTTCACGACAAGGAAGTAGAAGGCTCTGCGGCTTCCATGCTAGCGGCCAGATGGAGCTACTAGATTGGCTATAGGGTAAAGTGGAACAATGGGCTTGTTTTGGCGTTTTGGATGATGCTTCCTCGATTACCTCTATCTGAGAGTAAACAGCTTCCTGGGCTGAATGGGAAAGACGAGATAATGCTAGGCTCATTACAATAGTAGCAACAACAATTCACTCATTGCCTTTGGACCGGGTATCAAAATTAATAAAGCCACTGTGGTACTCTGTACATTGCAAGTTGAATTATTTCTGGGCCGCCAGCCGACAACCAACGCCTAGCCCTCGCCTTGGGAGAGCCGCTCCTCCATCAGTTTCAAGAGGACAGGCGGGACAGACACGTCTGTGGCCCTTATGGTAAGTCGGTACATCTATCTCATTGTCAGTAGAGAGCAACCATAGCAGGGGTGGCCGAACTCACCATCGTCTCAAAATTCGGCTCCAACCTTAGTAAACACCCAAACTTCCCACCCTCGCTCGTATGCAGTACCGTCGCACCCACAATGTTCTTCGGATTCGGGTCCACGCCATCCAAAACGCCCCACTTGAAACCCTCGACCGTACTCCGCGTAAACTCCATGCTGGAAGTCCGGCCCTTGCGCACCCCGAAGACGCGCTGAGCCTCCCGCGGCGCGCCGCCAATCTGCTTCCACCTTTTGAAGAAGTCCTCAGCGTTCAGTTCCGCAGCGTCCATGTACTTGTGCAGCACGACCGGGAGCTGCAACGTCAGCGCCTGCAAAGCACCGGCCAGGTAGCTGATCCGTATCGTCGGCGGGTCTGTGAAGACGTTCTTAGCTTCGAACATGATCATCTGCTGCGTCTGGCCATTTGGAGGTATTGTAGTATCCGGTAGACTCTTGGTATCAGTCTTCAGGTACTCGGCCGAGCGGTTGTCCAGCGTCGTGGTAAAGGAAGCCATGGGTGAGGAGGACTTGTTGGTGAAGTGGAGGATGACGCAGCCCAACTCGCTGCGGTATTCGGTCCGCAGGGCTATTTGGATCTGCGCGTCTTCGTAGAGGACGCCTTCGGAACGGAGGAGGAGCCTATTGTAACCGATCTCCCAGTCCGAGCTCAGATGGGCGGCGCTTGCGAGGTTGGGAGTCTTCGAGGCTGGCTGGCTGTCCATGCCCATCTCTAAGCCTGCCAGGTCGCTTGAGCCATTCCTGGTCAAGCCGTTGCTGCCGTTGGCTGCTGTCGGCGAAGGAGCCACTTTGGGGTTACCAGACGGTGTAGGTGTATCATTAGTGAAAGAGCGCTTGAGGCCGGCGTTCTGGGCAACACTGAGCTCTTTTGCATCTGCGTTCGCAGCTCGACCGCCAACCACCCACATCCGCTTGTCGCTCGTACCGGCGTGCTTCTGGTACAGGCGAGACAAGAGCGCAGATGCACGCTCGGGGAACGGAGGCATTTCGTCGCAGACAGTCCTCAACAAATCGTCGGTTGGCATAGTGGCGAGCGCGAGGTATTCGCACGCCCGTTGCTGTAGCTCAGAGTCCAAGCTGTGGCTGTATGCTCGGAACACCTGGAGCAATTGCGGCTTGATTTCCGGGAAGAGATTGACAAATTTGACGAAGGACGACAAGAGTATAGCTCTTGTGCTCGACGAGCAGCCCTGCATTTTCGACTGTATTGCCATGAACTGTTGGATCGGACTACACCCCTCATTGTCCGCAATGAGATGACCGAACTCGCCAAGCAGGTAGCCTCCGATCTTGACAAGCGTCTCATGGCAGTGATCCGCCTTGAGGTACTGGAGTATGTTCTGAGCGGCGTATACTTGCAGCTCCTCGTTGTTGGTCACGATCTGAATCACTCGCTGCCATACCTCATCGCTTACGTGATCTCCAGCCATGGCGAGCAGCCGTAGAGAGATGTCCACATACCACTGTATGTCTGTCGCGTACTTCTCAGTCAATATCGCTATCTTGAGGACCATCTCTTCCCGAATCGCGTAGTCAGCCGTCTGCAGGTACTTCAGAAGCTCGGTTACAATAGGCTGAGAATTCGTTGGGTCGCACATGCTGTACAGTAGGTCGAGGCCTTGCCGCCGCACGCTGATATCTCGATCCCGCAACGAGCCGATGATGATACTCTGGTGCTTTTTGATCGGATCCAGAGTTTCCGCACGCGCAGCGAGATGTGTCATGGCTTCCAGGCCAAGATACCGCACGTTCGTTTCACGTGATTGTATGAATTTGCCGAGCTTCGTTGAGATCTGCACCATGAGATCGTGCTCGGTGTCCAGATGGATAATGAGATTGATGGCTTCGAAGAGAATTGCGTTCTGGGCGTTGTTTTGCTGCACGTTCTTTGGCATTTCCATGGCAGAATCCATGATACGCTGCAGTGATTCCCGCATTAGACCTCGGATGTGGGTATCGTCTGTTAGAGTTAGTGTTGTCTGTAGAGACTTCCACACGCGGCTTACCTGATGGAGGATAGTATTGCAGAAGCCTCAGTAGCTTGACCTGTATCCAAGGGCAAGGGACTTTGTAGTAGTGATAATCCGCGGTGCATTCGCCGTCAACAACAATTTTTTTCAAACGCCTGGCAGCTTTGACATAGCTGCCCTTGTATTGTTCCGGACTCTCCTGGACAAGCGCCATTACGAGCGATGTAACCGATAATGTTACACCCATGTCAGCATCGTCCATAAGAGAGATTATTCGCTCCGTCCATTCGAACTGGACAATGCTGGGGTATTTTCGAAACAACCGAAGTAAAGTGAGAGCAGCCTTCTTCTTCACGAACGCTTTCGAAGTCCTAGGACAAGTTTAGTGCTTGCTCTCCGTGATTGGAGTAAGTCCACATACGGTGAGATCAGTAAACGATGGACATCCGCACTCAACGCCTCGCCCATTTCCTTGCCACCCACGTTCGCTATCGCATGTAGCGCTAAGCAGTTATTAAGCTCATTATGATCCAGTAAATCCTTCCTTATACTGTTAACCACCAGATGGAGGAGCTCGTGTTGCTCATGCAGGAACAGCGTGACCGCAAGGTATCCAATCTGCTTCTCAGAGTACTTCGAGGCCGAGATGAGGTTGACAGCCTCGAGGTGGCCAAAATCCACATTCCATCCCAGGATGTATATGTACAGGAGCTTGCAGACGTATTTCTTCTTGTGGTAGCCGTTTAGGTTGCCGTCTTTGAACTTCTGCCTGTCAGTCGCCCAGTATCAGCACTCTACGGCCCGCTTGCTGCGGCAATAGCAACTGACCGTATGTTTGCCAGTTCCTTGTTTATCCTCTTCTCTTCTAGCTCGCGAGCTCTAGCGTTGCGAAGGTCGGCGATGAAGGAGACAAGACCGCGCATAGAGTTTGCCCCTTGGCCAGCATTGTTACGGCTGAAGAGCCCGCCGGCGCCAGTAGCAGAGGCCATTGTGGGGATAGGTAGTGTCGTCTGCGGAGTGCGGCTTAGAGGAGAGATGGCTCTCTGACGCCCGGTCTTGTTATAGCGATAATCCCAGGAAGTGTCCCAACATCGTCAACTACTCAGCACCTTCGCACGTCTTAGGCGCGCATCGAGAGTCCTAGAAGGGGCGCGGGCGGAGGTAACTTCTTGGAAATGGTCCGGCGTCGCGATCCTTGCTGAGGAAGGAGGGATGATCCAATAGCAGCTGGAGGAACTCTTGCTCAGCAGCGCGCCAGGACGTAGGACTCGATACTATCAGGCTTACTTGTGTCTCCCGTGCTCAAGATGGTATTCAGACCCCAAGGACTAGTTCACTCCATTACTCTGCAGTGGAAAGTCCGCAGGCGCGAAACTCCGGCAGCATCTCCGAATAATCACCGAAACGCATCAAGGAATTGAGACGGCCACCAACTGAGCCTTCCAAGCCGTCATCATGGCCGAAGAAATGCACGTAAACCCCCAGCGCGCAAAGCAATTGATCGAAAATCTCAGCCATGTGAACAAGATAATACAGACTGCCAACAAGTCCGGCAAAAGTGTACGCTTCCTGCCGTGCAACTCGCCGGCGCCTCACTCACCACACACAAAGTAGATCCGCCTCATAGCAGTTTCAAAACTCAAGCCCGCAATCGATATCCTCGCGCTACATCAGCCTCCGGCCTCCCACCTCCATTTCGGCGAGAACTACTACCAAGAGCTCCTCGAGAAATCCCAGCTCCTCCCGCGCTCCATCCACTGGCACTTCATCGGCGCGCTCCAGACGAACAAATGCAAACCCCTCGCCGAGCAGATCCCGAATCTCTTCTGCGTTTCCTCAGTCGACATCTCCAAGAAAGCTGATGCGCTGGAAAAAGGGCGGAAGGCCCTCGTCGAAGACTCAAAGAGAGCCGAAAATGGCGGGCAGAGCAAGGACATGCCACCTCTGAGGGTCCTCGTGCAGGTTAACACCTCAGGCGAGGAGTCCAAGTCGGGTGTCGAGCCATCAGACACCGTGTCGCTCTGCGCTCACATCCGTGAGAAGTGCCCGCACCTCAGGCTTGCGGGTTTGATGACAATTGGCGCTATCGCGCGGTCGCAGGCCACGACTGCAGAAACGGAGAACGAGGACTTCGTTGTACTGCGAGAGACACGGGACAAGGTCGTTAAGGAGCTAGGAATAGCGGCTGAGGAGCTGGAACTCAGCATGGGAATGAGCTCGGACTATGAGGGCGCGATTGCACAGGGGAGTGACGAGGTCAGAGTGGGCACGACGATTTTTGGAGAGCGGCCGGCCAAGAAGGATGCGAAGGTCAAAGAAGATGTAGAAGAAGAGAAGGGTTGAACCGTCTGAGAAGGATAGGGGCGGACCGCACACTAGTGGAACCTTCCACATACGCCTTATGCCAATTCTAAGAGACTTTTACGGACTTGAACACGTTTCTGAATGTGCATGCTCTTCTACTCTAAATCTGGTGCAAGAGAGCGTATCAGGTCACGTGTTTGAAGCTAATATGTAAAGGTTAGTTATCGGCAGCGGCGCTTCTAAATTTAGCTTACAGCATGCACAGTGCGTTGGCTAATGCAAGGCATGTCCGCCAGCCTTGTAACACAAAGTCTCAACAACATCAAGCTCTCAGGTAAGTAGCTGATACCTGATTATCTGTTATCGATCTCACCACTCTTTGTACCCGAGTTCACGTTGATTCCGCCATGGCTTCTTTACCTGATCTTGATCTTGGCGGCGGGCTTGTTGAAATAGCAGCTTTGACAGCGCTCATCGGTTCGACGACCGCAGAGTCCTTGGTGCTGGGAACCAGAGGCTCCGCCGGCATGCCATGGGCGGCATTGAGCAACTTCGGCTCGGTTTTCTTAATCAAGGCGTGCATTGCCGCCTCAACGCCTGGATGGTTACGGGATACCATGGGCGTCAGGAATGCCAGATCTGACGCGGCTATTGGACTGAGTCTGGATCTCAACCGGAATCACAAGGGCAGGAAGCCTCTTGGTGAAGCAACAGGTGTCTCTGTGCTCAGCCGTGAAGTATGCCATGCTAGAGCCGTTCTTTTCATAATTCGTGCTAAGTCTTATAAGGTCTCCGGTCAAGGTGACGCCCGATATGAGATTGAGACGCTGGAAGATGTTCACGCATTCGACGACTACACTTCTGCACCGTTGCGAGCTTGCGTAACATCAGAGCCAAACAGCTCTCTCCAGGCGTACGCGTATGTGCAAGATCCACACTGAGCTACGAAGCATAAATCGCAGACATTGACCGACTGTTTAAGCATTGCCGCGTCTTCAATCAAGTTAACAGAAGTCTACGTGCTGTGGCATTATGGCGCCCACAGGCTCTGTTGGATCACGGCCGTCAACTGGATCTACTTCGTCATCGCAGCTGTAATCATCCAGATCATCGGAGTTGCCCGAGAATACAACGTTGAGTCCAGGCACATCAGGCGCCTCGATATCCTAGCCGGAAATTTACCGACTCCCCAGATTCCAGGAGAAGAGCGGAAAGTCCTGCTCGGGGTACCAATGAATGTCAGGAAAAGTCTCGCTTGGCGTCTGACCTGGGCATTTGGCAGTATTGTGTGCGCGGCCTCACTGGTCGCGACCTATACCGTGCTTTCGAAGGAGCCGCGGAGTTGTCTGCACATCTGGCTCGCATTCCAAGCAGGCTGGCTTGTGCTTCGTTCTGTCTTTTACCACTTCGCAGTGGAGACGGACGACGTCAAGCACTCTGTTGTCCCAATCGTGTCAGACAAGGGCGTGTCGCAGCACCACGTGGCTCGACTTTTGGCACTTGCCTCCGCGCTTTCAAAGTACCAGACACTTGCGCATCCGCGAGGCCCATACTGCTACAGCGAGGACACACAGGCGCCAGCGGACATTCTAGAACTCTTCAAGGACGCCAATCATGAGTTGCAGCAGAATTATCTACCATCTGCAGTAATCAACAGTAGTCAAGACGTAACCATCGACAACCTCGCCGTGATCGGCGATACAGTATTATCCAGCATAACCTGGTTGCAAGGGCATCCACTAATCGGCATGGACCTTTACGACTCTTGGATCGTAGCTCTGAGCTGTTGCGGACGAATACTGTTGGTGCCATCAGCCCGAGTCCTGTCAGGGCCGCCGAAAGACGCCGCGCCGAAAGATATTGAGACCAGCGTCGCACCAAACTTCGCGCCTCGAGGCGGCTCAAACGACGGTGTTAATATCTCTTGGGTCTATTGGATCCCTTGTACAGAAGACAGATGGCTGTACTTCCGCACGTACAAGACGCAAGTCAGGGGCGTGAGGAAAGCGACACTTCTTACCGGCCAGCAGGTGACCTCGAAGCTGGCGGTAGGCGACCTCTACGTCAGCTTGACTAGCATTGTTGATGTAGAGGATATTGTGCTGAAGTCTAGGACTGCTGCTAAAGTTCTACACAACATGCTTGCGTGAGTATCATAGTCGTGCGCTCTAGTGTGAGTCAACAATTTGGCAAGGAGACTGCAGGTGGTTAGGAAATTGCTCTCTCGCGGGAGCTCGTAGCTTATCACGTGATTACACGATGCCAAGCATCCACTTTCAGGCCGAAACTACCTTTCTCGACATCAATCATCCATCGTACCTGGTTAGGATGCCGAACGGTGCTTCCCTCTAGAAAGTTGACTATAAGGAATTATAGCTGACTGTGTATACACTCCCAATACCGCTCCTTTCACGAACTCACTACGAAGTCCATTCATCAAAGGTTCATAACAAGCTAGCCGTAGCTTGAGCAATGTACACGACATGCGTAAGATCACCTGTTCCAACGTACAAAACACCTCTTCATTCCTCTTGATCAGCTGGTAAGCTCGGCATTTATGAACGGGTATCTTCGGTCTCTATGGTCAGCCCAACACTCTCACCCCGAATGTCAGCTTAGCTCTTCTACGGACCATTCAGGTACACATCTCTACTTGTGTACGTAATGACTAGAATAGCTGCTACCGAAGCGAGCTTCCGTTTATTAACGTATTCGTCAGAGTTGCTGAAACGTTCAGAACTTCATAGTCGATCCCCTTCTCTGAGCGCTACATAGGCTCCGCTGTGGCATTCGGAACCGGACTGGTAACGGTGCCTTTCCAGATGTCGAAACTGCAACAGGCTTCTTAATCGCTCACTTGGATCCATATCTTGTCTCACCTCTGCCATCATGAAGGTTTGCGCAACATTGATCTCAAGGCGTCCACATGGATATTGTCCTCAAGCGTGTACCTTTGATATACGGGCGATATACTCGACAACTCTCCGTGAGCAACATCCAAGGGCCAGGGGAGAGGTGCCACAGTGCATGAGACGCAGCCCGCAACTGCCTTCGCCCCCTCGCAGATATCAAAGTGGTACAGCTCAACTAGTTGACCGTGACAAAGCAGTTGAGGAGGAAACGCTCCCTGGCTATGATCCTGAGGAGTTCTACCCTGTCCATATAGGTGAAATCTTCCACCGTAAATATCAAGTGCTGGGCAAGCTCGGGTTTGGGGCCACCTCAACGGTATGGTTATGTCATGATCTTCGGTATGTCTGTCTTGGATACCTCGGCCCTCGTAAGTACGATATACTGATGCATACCTAGTGACCATCGCTATGTTACCCTGAAGGTGTATACTCGGACGCCAACTTCGCCTCCTCAGATCAATCGGGAAGTTCAAGCGTACCGGCACTTGAGCACTATTCGCTCATCACACGCTGGGCGGCGGTTTGTACGAGAGGTCCTCGACTCCCTCGAGCTTGTTCGCGCCGATGGTAGTCGTCACCACTGCCTTGTCCACCCACCACTACACATAACCATTCGGGATTTCCAGAGGCTCGGACGCAAGTCGACTGGACTGCCAGAAGACGTGTTGAAGGGCTTGCTGCTGCATCTCCTTCCAGCTCTTGACTTCCTCCACACAGAGGCAAATATAACACACTGCGGTACTGTCTCTGTCTGTTGTGTCTCTTGTTTTCAGTTCCACTAACCGCCGCTCACGCTCCAGACGTTAAGGCAAGCAACCTAATGCTGACCATTGAAGACGAGGGCGTTCTGGTAGACTTCGAGCAAGCGGAGCGCGAGAACCCTTGTCCACGGAAAGTGGTTAGCAGTGAGCGCACAATCTACGCGTCTCGAGATTTCCGCCACCCAGAAGACTACAATTGGGGTTATCCGGTGCTCTGCGATTTCGGCGAAGCGCGGATTGGAAGTTCTCATCCATACAAGGTGATACAGCCCGAGATATACAGGGCGCCGGAAATCATCATGGAGACGGAGTGGTCGCACAGCGTTGATATATGGAATACGGGATGTCTGGTAAGTCTTAGCCACGTCCTGGCTCTATCAAGCATCGACTAGGTCATCTCTCTTCTAACACTCTTATGCAGATTTGGGACATATTCGAGAACAAACATCTCTTCGATGCACGGAACGAGGAAGGGGAGCACTCCAACCGATTTCACGTGGCAGAAATGGTCGCATGTCTCGGGACCCCGCCCATCGAGCTCCTACAACGCAGTGAGCGCGCGCCCCTTGTGTTCGACGAAGCAGGTAAGCATCCAATGCCTTTTTCGTGACCGCGAGATTTGACACAGCTTGCCTCAGGCCATTGGAAAGGCAATCCACCGCTTCCACAACTCTCACTCGAAGCCTCTGAGGAACATCTCGAAGGCGCGAACAAGGCCGCGTTCCTGAACTTTATGCGCTCCATGCTGACCTGGTTACCCGAGGAGAGAAATACAGCAAGAGAACTGCTCGAGGATCCTTGGTTGTGCGGACGCGTGTAGGATTGTCCACTCAAGAGGGACTCTGCTTTGTCATTGTTTTGGCATGTACACCACCTCAACACCCTACTCACCGTGACAAGTAGTTCATCGAGCACAGTCGCAACTCACTACTCTACGGCACGTATCAAAACCAGAGCCGCACCCAAGCTTAAACACGCTTGAACAACCCCATCCGCGTTAGGAGCTAAGTTAACAACGGCTCTCAGATAGCTTCAAATTCAGATAAAATGATATCCAGCAACCTTGAGGAAGCAACAGACGCCAGACCTGAGGACGCTACGTCGGCCGTCTCCCGTTCATAACGCCTTAATCAATATGACTGCCTTGCAAGCCCGCACCAGCACCAGATGGCTTCGCCCATCCCTCCCGTCTCATTCGCTCCTCACAAGAAATCCTGTTAGCATCGGAATAGCCGCATGGGGATCCACAAGCTGCAACCTGATCTCCTTCCATCCACCCCTTCCTCCAGCATCCTTCAGCGTCTTTTCAGTATCCCGGTCGATATTGCACCCACCCAATAAAAACGACCACCCGGAGAACTTATACACGACCTGAGCTAATCGCGCCAGTACACTCCCCTCTTTGCTCTGCCACGGGTTGACAACATGCTCGCACACAATCAGCCTCCCACCAGGCTTCAACAGCCTATACAGTCCCGCAACGGTCTCCTCCGGCCGCGGCACGCCGCACAACACCCGTATGCTTACGATATCGTCAAATATGCCCTCCTCACTGGCGCCGCGCTCCAGCAACCCGGTCCTCGCCAGCGCTGGAATCAGTGACTCAGGCTCAGCCCCACATGCAAGTATTTTGTATCGATCACCCAGTCCAGCTTTCCCAGCGCTCTTCGCCAGCTCAGCATGCAAGTCTACCGCCGGCTCCGCCGCATACATCATTTTTATACTTGCGTCTGTGTTGTAGCGCTTAAGCTGGGAGCCGGTGCCTGGTCCGATGTCCAAGACGCGGCCGTGAAGAGACTTTATAAGCGGGAGTAGGGGCTCTGGCATCTCGAGGGAGAGTTCATCTGCGTGGGCGGTCCAGAGGCGCGTGAAGGCTTTCTCGCGCAGGGCGGAGATGTTGGTGAGGAGGGGGATGTTACCGGTTAGGAGGGCGGTTAGGACGGTCGCGGCGAAGTCTGAAGAGGCGTCACGTCAGTGGGTGCTCTTCTTCAGGCGGTCGGTATATAACGCGGAGAGGGTTCTTACGGTATACGCCGAGTATAATGAGCAGAGCGGGTTGGAGGATACCGACTGCCTGATCCTTGAGTGAGGGTGCCATTGTTGCGGTCTGCCTGCTTCGAAATCTGATTAACTTAGATAGTAACTCTGTGCCTCACACCCTGCGGCGACACGAGGCTTTATACACCATCACAGTGTTGAGCTGTATGAAGCCAAGTACCCCGCAGCACCCGAGTCAGTTTCTCAGCTCCCACATCAGAGCTTTCATCAGCGCAGGTAATTCTTGGCACACCCTCTGACCACACTACCATGTCTGATGCGAGAAAAAGTGTGCTAGTTACGGGGTGAGTTGTGAGCTGAACAGAGTGGTACGAGATGGAAGCATCTGTGCGCCGCCTCTGCCTTACTCGGTCGCTGACTCAGATCGTGAACCAGCTGCAGTCCTGGAGGCATCGGGCACTCTATCGCAAAAGAGTTTCATAATCACGGTATGAATATTCCCGTTTAGGTAAAGAAATGAGAACTGTGGCTAAGCCTTATGGCACAAATATAGGCCTCCGTGTGTTCGCGACTGCGCGCTCCACCTCCACTATCGCGGACCTCGAGGCGCTTGGCATCACGACTCTGGCCCTTGAGGTCGACAAGCCGGACAGCATCAAGAATTCCAAAGCCCGAATTGCTGAGCTGACAGACGGGAAGCTCGACTTTCTGGTCAACAATGCTGGCCGGAACTATACCGTCCCAGCCCTCGACGTCGACTTTGATGAAGTTCGTCAGACCTTCGAAGTCAACGTCTTCGCCGTGATGCGCATGTGTCAAGAATTTGCTCCACTTTTGATCGAGGCAAAGGGATGTATTGTGCAGATTGGGAGCTTGGCGGGGGTGATGCCTTACGTTTTTGGAAGTGAGTATTCTCAGATCGTTAGACTCATCAACCCAAAGCCAAGACTTACGTGATTGCAGGTGTGTACAATGCCTCGAAAGCAGCGCTACATGCTTACAGCAATACGCTGCGGGTTGAGCTCGCGCCGTTTGGCGTCAGGGTCGTTACGATCGTGACGGGCGGTGTGCAGTCGAACATCGCGAGGACGGAAAGAGAGTTGCCTGAGGGGTCGTTGTATATCCCGCTCAATGCAGAGTATCAGCGGAGACTTAAACATAGCCAAGAAGGCGCTATGCCGAATGAAGCGTACGCGCGCTCGGTGGTTAGTAAAGTACTGCAAAAAAGTCCACCGAAGTGGGTGTGGGAAGGAAACAAGAGCTGGCTTATTTGGTTCGTGGACAGCTTCCTGCCGAAGGGAATCATGGTGAGTTTTGTCCTAGAGTTCAGTACGTGACACGCTAAAAATTCCAAGGATCTCGTTTTCTGGCGGATGTTCCATCTCTGGAAATTAGTGGAGCCGTCAGAAGCAAAGAAGGAACTTTGAGATCGTTTCGAGATGCATTGTCAGGTGCGTTGGCTGGCTTCTAAGCGTGGGACCATCAAAGTTTGGATAGAACATTGATGAATGAAGCTGAGATCGGTAAACCGAGTATGCCGCTGAAGCGACAGTGAACGGACAGCTGATGGGTCGCCACTGTTCCTTACCAACGGGGACCTGATTCAGTGTTGAGCGCGAGAACGAGGCGGACTCTCAGTCCTTGTTATTATATGGCCGTTCTCTTTCCACTGGCCGGAGCCTCTGTAGCAACCTGCCAAACCATGCTCAGGCTGAAGTGTTGGTAAAACCGCTACGTGTGGCGCTCTCCGTCATTTCTACTTCGTCAAAATTCTTCCATTCTCCACAAATTATCTACGTACCTATGAGGCTGGCATCAACGTCCAAAAGAAAAACGTACAGGACTTTCGTAGACATGGTCTGTACTCACCTGAGTTTTCCTATTTTCAACTCAGAAAAGAAGAACATGTGATACGCTCTAATCAGTCAGGCCATGTTGGAGGCTGGTACTAGGCTCGACGTGGCAACCACGAGACGTTTTTCGCGCGCTTTGTCTGAAACGGGCGAGCGGCATTTCTTCTAGCACGTTGTCAATCGCCGCTTGCATCCTGAGCGGAGTAAAGCTGCGACTTTCGTTGTTCGCTGCACATGCATAAGGTAACTGTCGGTTGTCAGCCTTCAATTCTAGCCCAGCACTATTGCTTTTCCTGATAGGCTACGGACGCTTTGCTGTTATTCTTGGAACCAAAGCGGACGTGGCGTATCTTACGTACCAAACCAGCTCCGACAGGTTGTCACAAGATAGATTGGCAAGCTGCAGACGACCGTGGACCGTAGCCGGGTGGTCAGACGAGGCTCTGCAACAATGCTTATTAACCAATATTGCCGGCCACGGAGACGACTGTTTGATTTGACGTCACCTTCAAAGTACGGCGGATTGGCCAGCCGGGAGATCACGTGGTTTATTACTCCGCGGTCTTGCAGGCGTAGCACAACATGCGCATCACTGCCGGCTTTGAGTCCTTCCGACAACAAAAACACCGGCGTCTTACATATGACGGAACGTCCTTGCGTAAGCCGGAACGTACGTTCTACACTCTTGGTGGCTGTTGCTAGAATTCAGTGTCACAGAACCCCGCACGGGTCTAATTATACGACAGAAGGCCATCAAGAGAGGTTTAGGAAGCTCGTTAAGAACTCTCGGGTCATCCAGCACAGGAAGAAATGCTCCATCAAGGAACTGCATCGAGTGATCTAACATAGGAACAGCGGGCGGTGATTTCTTGATGGTTTATGTTATGGCTGTAACATTCTTCACTAAATCTTGATCACTCCACTCGGTGTCGCCCGTTACCTCTGACAAACAAACCGAGACAGGGCACTGAGGGCACTGTTTGTGCCCAGAACCCCTTGAGGGTAACATGCTCCGAGGCCTGCTGTGCTCCCCGAGATGCATGATGTACAAGAACCACGGCCATCATCTAACCTCGATTTATATACATTGTACTTCAGGCGTATCACTGATGTCAGTGTGTACGCGTCGATGATTCAAAGGAGTGTCCACATTGTACCTAGACTTCAAGCTTCATGTTTCGCCTTGTGAGGATCAGGCTGAGGAGAAACAAAGCAAATCATATACACTGTTTTGACGCGTATGACCTTCCAGTGACATATATACCCACATGTCATGGCCCCTTACCCGCCGGTCGATGCGGTGAGTAATACATATCAAGATGGACGATCAGCGAAGGCAATCACTGGCGGAACCGTGTGCTGTACGCTGCTGATGTCAGTTGTCTTTTGTAGAGCGGCCTTCTGGCAGTATACACGATACAAAGTTGAGGCGGGATGTTTGTCGGAGGCAAGGTTGGGATAGAGACGTTTCCCCCCCTAATTCTCTTGTCCGGAGTCCTGCCTCTCCCGTGCGCCATCCTCCTCGTGACAGCTTGGTCGTCCCGAATTGAGGGAGCATGTGTCGATCTCGCGGGGGCTTGCCGGAACGCCCAACGGGCAAGGCGCTTGGTGCATCAGAAAAGGACGGGTGCGTGCTCGGGCGGCCCGCAAAGACTGGGGGAGTGCTGGCGGTGAAGTGCGTGAACCCCGTCAGCCTTGCAGCTCGTGCTGCCCTTGATGCGTCACCCACCCGCTTGATTGAGTCCCTCTTGGGTAACAGAGCTTATTGGTTCATTAGCTGCGACATGTTCCTCAAACGGAGACCATATCAGGCGCACAAGGCAGTTCTGGGGCCCCCACGTTGGGGGCGTAATCTGCAGCTACTAAACAGTGGCGCTTTGTATGCACTCTGAATGGTCTGCCTCCCTCAGCCGTAGGAACCGGCCCTCAGCTGGACTTTCAGCCTCATCGGCCTGTCCTTGTGGGCGCAAGCCCCTCTTGAGCATGTCGCACTCCTTCGTCGCAGACGTGATCGTCCAAGTAGTGTTTCTCTGATCCTTAAAGGAACATACACTGTTACGGCGCAATCGCATATCAAGCGTCAACACCATCAACACCCGCATTGCAGCTACCGTCAACGCGGCTTGTGGCTGCCAGCTCTAGCGACTTACAGACGCAAGGCTGCAGCTACATTGCTGTAGCTGAAACACGAGGCTTTCATATCAAGAATTGCAGCAGACAGACAGGCAGGGCCTCAAGGGGCTACTTGCATTCCAATGCCGGGGAACGGGGAGAGCCCCAGCAACGACGACAACCGTCGGCTTGTCGATGAATCCCCAGACCTCTTGGACACTTCTCCCCCAACAACTTTCGGCAGTGTCTTCCAACACCACTCTCCGCCGCGTCCAAGGCCTGGTTACTATTCGCGGACATCCGGGCTCTCGTTAGTCCCAAGCATCGAAGAGGAAAATGAAAGACACTACACGGCTAAGGATGACACGGACGAAGACATTGCAGATACATTTGACCGGAGGTCGTCCGCCAGCCATGGGCTAGGCATCGCTGGGACATCGCCTCCCACATCGAAGCAGCGTCGTGTATCTGTCCAAAGCATACCACGGGTAGCTGTTGGAACCAAGAGCCCCCCAGGCCCGAAAACGCCAGGCTCCGCAGATCCTCTCATCTCGCAAACAGACGAGCTTAGCCGCTTCACTAGTTTCTCCGGCGCGACGCGATACGAAGGTGCAGGCGGAGATATAGGAGATCATCCCCGCGAGCATGGCTACTCTCATTCACGCAACCGGTCTATCGACAGCTTGAACTCGCCATATCAGCAGTACACTGAGAATCCCGACACACAACGTTTGAAGCCAGGCGCGGCTGCCAGCGTTCGTACCACACGCTCAGCCTACGAGAGTGACTTCAGGCCTCATGCCTGCCCCTCCCACGGTCCTTTGTATCTTGGTCGCTCAAACTGGCTCGCGCTGTCGATCATGGTTCTGGCTGTCTATTCCACTGTGTTCTCTGGTATATACCTCGCCGTAGCCCTCAAAAGACCTAGGTATGGCAAGATAATTGGCGATGGCGGCTCGATGTCCCTTTCCACCGCCTCTACGCTTACGGCCCTTTTCGCGAAGACGATCGAGCTCTCCTTCGTCACAGTCTTCGTCGCCTTCCTCGGTCAAGTGGTAAGCAGAAGGGCGTTGATGAAAAGCAGTTCTAAAGGCGTCACACTAGCGGAAATGAGTATGAGGGGCTGGATAATGCAGCCTGGAACGATGATTACCCATTGGGAGAGCGTCAGATATGCAGCGCTTAGTATTCTGGGTGTGGTGAGCTTACTTGCCGCGATCATCGCCATGCTTTATACCACTGCCTCGGACGCGCTTGGTAAGTATCGAGCTGTGTGACCCTAAACTTATTGACTGCTAACTTAAGAATAGTGTCGCCTCAGCTTCAAGAGGGGTATAGAGATGGCTTGCTCGCAGGTCAGGTGAAGACATCCTTCGCAAATTCCCCCTATGTCCAGAAGCATTGCTCCACTCCTATTCGAGGGGACGACCACGGTGGCAATACCTGCCTTCAGATCGAGCACGCTGCCCAGGGATATCAGAACTACCAACGGTATCTAGCCTACTGGAACGACCTAGCTAACCAGGGCAATGGCTCCATCGATCAGGCGCACCGGCCGCAAGGGTTCGGTTTGATGAACACAAATACCTCAATCACAGCGCAATGGGTGGACCATCAACCCGTCAAAAAAGTACCCGAAAAAGATTTCATCGTCAATAACGTTACTCTGGCAATGCCGCATTCTGGAGTATTCAAAGCAGCCCGCGATGCCCACAATGGGATTCTGCAGCCAGAGCAGCTTGGTGGCCAGGGATATTATTCCATCCGAGCATCGGTGCCAAACCCCGTCATAAATGTCCTTTGCATGCAGGTCGATGCAGAGACTCTGGAGCCCATGATCTACGATATGTGGCCCAATGCCACAGCATACAAGAAGAAGACTACAGGCGCTGAGTGGCAGGTCCTGCAAGGCGAGTGGCATGGGCCTCCGAACAAAACCAATATCGATGACTTCTTCGGCTGGAACCGCCCATCGGAGTCAGGCGAAGAAGTCATCGTGCCGCCTATCTTTCCCAGACTTCCTAAATCCTTCAACACAATTCTGAACCACACGGGCCCTTACATTCGGGACTCTATTTATCTCCTAGGCCGCGGCGGCGCGTTGGGATGGAAGAACCAGACCGATGTCTTCGTCCTTTGCTCCCTCAAAGTAGCCATTACCACTAACTGCTCCACGCGCTACAACGCGTCATCCAGCGGAGGGTCGATGGAAGCCATTTGCGGAGATCCCAACGATAACATGCGCTACAACAAACGCCACCCAGACCCGGTGTGGGATGCCACAGGTGCCTCTACGCCTGTTTCTTTGGAATGGAAAAATATTGCTAGTGAGTGGGGCAACAGCCTGGCTTTGAATCATGGCGTCGACGATGGAGATGGCAGCAATGCCCGGCTACTGACGCAGCTTATTCTGAGCGGGCCTGAGCTCAACGCCGCTCTTCCGAGCGTGGCAGAAGCGCTTGCCGTCATGGCCGGCTGTACGCTCCTGATGTCTGCGGAGGACTCGTCTTTCACTTATGGTCCCTGGGTATGTTCTCTCATCGCTGACAAACGCAATCAGTTCCCTAAGCTAATCTTGCAACCTCTCCCGTAGAATTACTCTCTCCCCGAGCTCGAAGACCCCCAGTGGCAGTACTTCGACGCCAGTATCCGCGCCCAAGAGTATGCCTCCGGCGGCGCAAATTCCGCTCAGCGCGGCTGGATCCTTGTGCTTCTGCTCGTCTTCGCCATGAACGTGCTCACGCTCAGCTACTTTATCATCAACAAAGGTCTCGTGACCGACTTCTCGGAGCCGCCCAACCTCTTCTCGCTCGCCGTCAACTCGCCGCCGAGCGAGTGCATGACGGGGAGCTGTGGTGGCGGGCCGTATGGTGCGCAGTACAAAGTCAAGTGGCAGGTCAGCCGCGAGGGGGATCACCTGTTCATGGAAAGTAAAGATGTTGTAGGAGAGAGTGCGGCGGTTGCGGCGCTGAGGGATGGGAGGTTGGGGGGTGCGTATGAGATGGAGAACAGGGGCAGTCCGATTCAGAGGATGTACAGCAAGCTGAGTAAGCGGAAGAGCATCTTGTAGGTGGACATAGTCATATCGTGGACGTCTTCGAGTACTTACGCTAGGGGCTTATGACATGTTGGTTTAGCGGGCGTTTGCATTGTCGGTACTCCAACCGCCCTGGGTAATTTTTATTTCATAGATGAAAAGTTCGACATCATTAGCCTTACCACCTGCCATCTTGTCACGTCGGGTGGGAAGAGGGGTGGACAAACTTGCTAGGAAAACCACCACAGATGGTCTACCCTTTTACCTGCCCCACGTGCTGGTCTCGCATTCCGTGATACCAAGAAGAGAACACGCCAACTAAGTTCCAATCGTTCTCTTCGCTCTAGCGTCCAGCTCTCGGAAATTCTATCCATTGGCCAAGCCGAGATCATCAAACTTGTCACTTGAAGTGAATTGAGACTTGCAGGTTGCAGTAGCATAGATGTCGTCCTGCCTTGTTCCCCAGGACTCAGCGCAGTCTTCAATCTAAGCTTAACCTTTTCATCTCATGTTCTTCTGGAGTGTGCTCGGAGAATGGTATCCCTCCATGTGAAGCACCCGTGTCTCTTTGTTTGTCAGCAATGACCATCGGCTTGCTTGCCCAACACATGGAAGCACAGATTACACCAAGCACTTGGCTAGACGGGGACGAGGTTGCGCAAGCACGAAAGACACAGACGCCTAAGGCTGCGACGCTGACGAGGAGTGGCAACTCGACGTTTCTTCCCCCTCACCGGCACCCGTGTACAGGTACTGTTGGTCTGTATATCTCTTACGTATAGTGGTGTACTTCTGCGCTCTCATTTACAGTTTCCACAAGGGCCGTAACGTCGAGTGCCCGAGCAGGTCGCTGCTTTTCGCTTGAGGTTTCCATTAATCAGGGACTGACTTGTCTGCAAGAAGCAACAGGTCCGTATACAAAGCGCTGCCGAGATGAAGATCTAGAAATGGGTGTAGCCGGGCTATGTAAGGCTAAGTGGGAGACTATCACTTGAAGCGCCCTACTCTCGTAAGGATGGTTCTTGGAGCAGTAGTGTTGAGCGGAGTGTTGCGGCGGACGTTCTTCGCTTGCTTACCTTGATGATCAACGGTCTAGTTCCCATGTAAGGGCGGAGAGTACAAGAACGGTAACTGGCAGCACTTCGATGAAGTTTGCTTCTCCGTGGTTGCGTGCGGACAAGCCAGACCAAAAGCTTCTTTTAACGCCGGCACTTCATGGAACGACATGCGGCCAGCCGGTATTGAGTGCCATCGTGGGCTTTGTGGCACTAATCGAGTGTAACATAGCTTCGGTCCACAGAGAGCGAGGTATGTGTTTACGCGCCCGCGGTACGCATACAAAGTCTACCGGGTACGCATACCTCTTAGACGGTTCACCCACCCCTTTTGTCCTCCTCCTGCTTAACACTTCTTGAAACCAGCAGCTCTTTCTTTACCTCGTCCATCAACAACCATGCGCCTCATACTCCTCCCCAGGAGCAGCGCCTTCACCCCCCTCTTCCTACTCACCACCATAGTCGCCGCGTTTCCCAAGTCCCGCCCCGAAAGCGACATCAGCGTGCGCCTCCCCCAGCTCCACCACCTCCTACATCTCCTCACCCCGCTAACCCCCACCACCGTTAGGTCTACGCATGCGAGCACACCAACTTCGCCGGCGCCTGCTCCTCCTACCACTACCCACAAGCCTATTGCGCGAACCTACCTACCGCTTTCATTTCGGCATTTGGGCCCGATCCGGGTGTCGAGTGTATTGTGTACGAGTACGTGGTTCTTCCTGCGCTCTTCCTGGATTGTGGAAAGAGTGGTGGTGCTGACATGGTTGTGCGAACAGTGGACGTGGCTGCTCGGGCGAGACGTTGAATGTGGTGTATCCCGGTATCGCAGATCTCACGACTGTGGGGTGGAATGATCGGATCTTGAGTTTTAGATGTGGGCGCTAGAAGAGTGGGAAAGGAATAGAGGGTTGAAATTGCCATCTGGAAACTAGGATTGGGAGACTGAAGCTGGTTTGGACGACATGAAGGCACAGCACAGTTAGACGCAAAAAGATATTGCAGGGAGATATTACTGGGGTTGAGAATTAGAGAGCGCTATTTACATATTTACAAGGCATACCTATCGTAGGATTGAGAGCTTGCCAACCCTGGGAAAAGCTGTACCTCGCCGGCTCCTACAATATGAACGGAGCTTCATGAACGCCCTGTCTCCCAGACGGACATAGTCGATACGCTTTCTCTCTGCCTTCTTAGTTCTCAACCGCGATCTTCTGCGCCTGCGCCCCCGTCTCATCAGCCGGACTCAGATTCGACTTGGCGGGTCCAATGACACAGATTCCGTCCTTCGAAAACCTACTCCCGTGAATCGGGCAGTCCCAGCTCTTCTCCACGTTGTTCCAGCAGACAACACCGTGCAAATGGGGGCAGATAGCGCTGAACTTGTGCACCTTGCCCTGATCGTCCTTGTAGACTGCAATTGGCTTCTTCAGGTCCGCCTTATTAATCACGCCTCCTGTGCCTGGAGCCAAATCCTCGATGTCTTGGATATCGGACTGGGCGAAGCGCTTGTACTGCAGGTTGATCTGGACGTCGTGGCTGAGCATTGATGGGAGAGACTTCATGATGCTGCCCATGCGGTTGGGCGCGTATAGTTTAGCCCATGGGTTGGGGACCTCCGTGATCTCATCGGCGATCAGCTTGCCGGCTAGGACGCCATGGGTGAGACCGTTGCCGCTGTCGCCGGTAACGATATAAGTGTGTTTCTTGCCGGGGTTCTTGCCGATGAAGGCCATGTAGTCGACGGGCTCGAAGATCTGGCCGCTCCACTTGTAGTCGACGGAGCCGGCGCGTGTGAAGCGCTCGCGGACCCATTGCTCCAGCTCCTCGAAGCGGCCGTCTGCGCTCTCTTGGCCGACTTTGTGGTCGCAGCCGCCGATGACGAGGTAGTCGTCCTTCTCGTCGCAGGGGGTAAACCGGACGTATTTGTACGCCTCGGCTTCGTCGTAGAGCAGGCAGTCCTCAATGTAGCCTTTCGGCACGCGAATGGCGATGCAGTAAGTTCGGTAGTATTCCTCTTCGGCAACAACGCTGAGCTTCTGTAGTGGAACAACGGTAGCCTCCACCGCATCTTTGCACGTGATTACGTGGCCGTTCTCAGTGTGCACCTCGGCGGTCTTCTTGCCAAAGCCTAGGAGCTCAACGCCCTTCTCTTTAATGTCCATCATTCGCGTGCGAGTATAGCAGCTGAAGTTTGGCTGCTGCTGGAGCCATTTGAGAACACCGACACAATACTTGGTAGGGTGGAAAGTGGCTTGATCCCAGAAGACCAAGGCATCACGCTGTATGCAAGCGCCAAGAAGTCAGTTACAGCTGAGAGAAGCGCGCCATGCTGAGGGAGACCTAGATGGCAAGGGAGCGCCCTGCTGCAGACAAGCGGAATGGAAATACGACGAACCTGGTCAATCTGACCGTCCCATCCTTTGACAGCAAATCCTTCCTCGAAAGTAGCGTTCAACCCCAAGCTTCTAGCCTTCTCACACTCCTCTTTAAGACCCGCAATCTCCTCGGCGTGCTTTGGATGGCCACGTGGATACTGCGAGATTTCGTAACCCGGCAAGTGCCTGTACTCGCATTCAATGCCGAGCTGCTTAGAGACCTCCCCAACACGATTGAGCGCCCACTGATGGCTGTCGGCAGCAGCTTTCGCGCCATCATCTCCGTGCTTCTTCGCTATCTCCGTGTAACCATCGTCAAGCGCACTTGCAAGATGTCCACTCGTTCTGCTCGTTTCACCGCTCAGAATGTCCCTGGCCTCGATCATGACAACGTTCACACCCTTGCTGACGAGCTCATAGGCAATGGATATGCCCGAAATGCCAGATCCTACGATGCAGACATCGGTGTCAAGGTCTTGGGTGAGCGGCGAGAACTGAGGGCGGTTTGAGTACGGATCGGTGTGGATCCACACGGCGTCGGTCTCGCCGGAGGTCTTCATGAAGTGCTGAGGCTCGGACATGGTGGCCATTGTGGATTGCTGATAGCCGAAGTGGGTAGCTACTGCTGGAAGCGGTCGAAGCTCTGCTCGTAGGCGTTAGTTACGCGTGTTTCTTTTGTAAAATCCTAGCTGATCTCCACTGCACCCTCTGGCTGAGGATGCTACCCATCGACATGGTGTTCGTTTCCAGCTGTGGAGTGCGATTGAGCTCGGCTGGTGGGGACAATACTCACGATTAGCACGAAAACGCGGCTGCTGTCTAGCAACGGTACTGAAGCGAGGCGAAGATGCCAAAGCAATGCTCAAGCTGGGCCTGGATGGCTTCGTGATGAGTCTGAAAGCAGCTTGACGGGAAGTGTAGAGCAACTGTGACATTGCGAGAGCTGCGAGAGAGGAGAGAGACAGGCAGGGAAAAGGAAAGCTCCAAGCAGACGTGTGACCTTGGTGTTGCACGATGTTCAGCTCGCCCTGCAGCTCCTACCTGCAGACTGGTCTCGTGTCAGGAACGATACGACATGGACACACAGAGATGTTACTTCCTCATTGGGGCATTTGAGCTCGGCTGGCATTTCATGACGACGAGTGCTAGTCGTGACGACAGGCTTTCATCATTGACAACTTGTCCCAAGCACGATCGCCGCGCCCCCATGACCCGGGCGATCTCCCCGCTCCATGGCATTTCGCGAATTGTCATGACAGACCGGGTGCGCTGCATCGTCTTTGGAGATGCCATTGACGGATGGACATCGAAGCTGCTATGTATCTCAACGCCGGCTAGGAGAGTATCGTAGAAGGAGAGCATTAGCGCTCCATCAAGCTGTGCAAACGATGGTGACCTTTCTGAGTTGTCTGAATTACTGGATGGCTGGAGCCACAGTTTGGAGCGAACTGTTCCCCGGAGTCCCCAGCCCAGCACTGCGCTTGGTTACAGCGACGAAGCTGACAAAGCAAAATAACCTGTACTGATTACACAAAGGGGCTAGAGTCAAGGTTCAAGTTATCCTTATCAAGGCTATTCGATTGCGGCTCAAGCGAGTAGTCATTCGGCTTCAAGGACCATCAGTTCGTCAATAGCTGTAAGGGTAAACATGCTACCTCCCACTCGCATAGGGCAAGAGGCGGGAGCGTGGCATATTATCCAAGGCGCCGCACTCCACGAAAGTGTTTTATCGAGACGAAGGCTACTGTACGCAACGCTCTTAGAAGCAAACCAAACGAGACCGCATCCTCCGCTTCTCTTCCTTCTCCAGCTGTGCACGTAGACGCATCTCCCTCGTTTCAGGCTCTTCTTTCCGTAAAACCCGTGGCTTGTCCTCTTGCACGACTCGTGGCTTCTCCTCCCGCATAACCGCCGCTTTCTTAACATTCCGCACTTGAAGGTCCGCCGGGCCACTTGTCTTCCTGTAACGCTTGCTCGGTTGCCTACCACCCCTTGGTTCCCCCTCTGCCTCTGTCCGGCTCCGTCTTGCGACGGTCCGCCCTTCACGCAAGCTGGGAACGGCGTTGTACTTCATGCTGTGAGCCACTAACGGATCAATGGGTGCGGGTGGAACCTCTAGTACAGTGCTTGGCATCCCCTTCCTATGCCCCGACTGTGTGTGCGGTCTCCGCATGGTAGCTGTGCCTCTCTGCTCGTCACCCTCATCGCAACTGTGAAAATCGGCCGACTGCAATGAACCTGAACGAGTGGAGCGAACAGAGCCCAGTTGGGGGTTCGGCTTTTGCTGCTCAATAGCATTCGAGGTGTTCTCCTCTGGTGGATGCTGTTCCTGCTGTAGCGAAAGCTCTTTGGAGTCTTGCACCACATTCTCTGTCGATGCCCTCTCCATTCTTGATCTTCTCTTGTCCTGTACAGCCGCTTGTTCTGCAAGCGCGCTCCGCTCCGCAGCAGCTGAATGCCGCTTGGCCTTCTCGCGCCAGCGCGCCGCCTCTTCGCTCACAGGCCGTGGCTGCTTCGGTTCCGGTTTGAGCTGGTCCAATCTCCTCCGAGAAATCTTCCGCACTAATGAGAAGTTGATAGAACCTCGACTGGCCTTAGGATCGTCGCACTCATCCGCTTCGGACCAGTCGTTCCTGTCGTTCGGTGCGATTGCATATGATGGACGGGGTAGCTGTTCGGCATCGCTGCTGCAACCTGAAAGGAACTGTCCGAAGGGTGTATTCTGACGCCGCATTTCTCCACTCTTCCTTGCAGTGCTTATGCTTCGCCTCAGGCTATCGTCGCTTGTAACAGCGTCCACAGAGCGTCTAGCACGTCTCTCTGCACGTGCTTCGGCCGCGGTGGCTGCATCTCTCATGGCTTGGGTTCGTTGGAAGTTGTTGCGGTTTGAGAGCGCTTCGTTGTAAGCGTTTGTTTTACGTATCTCGTCCCAGAACTGGCGCGGGTGGACGGAGGCTGTGCAGCTCTTGGTGCGTATCAAGCCATTGCTGTATTTGACTACAACAGGCTGAGCCAAGACGTGTATGTTCTCCTTCCCGATGATATCGGTAACGCAGGCATGGGATGATGCGGCGTGCGTAGGTACGTAGTTCAGGGTGACTGGCCTAGGTTTCTTGGTCTTCGTTGTTTTTGGGGCCGATCTCGTTGATTTGTCGTCATGGTGCGGAGTGTGTGAGTCTCGTGAGTCAAGACTCTTGATGCTAGGCTTGGGCTCTAGTTTCTTCGTGCTCTTCTCTCTTTTGACTGCCACAAGTTTCTTGCTCAGCTCAGCGGCATCGAACGGCTCTGGGGAAGAGACCGTCGTGGCCTTATCAGTACTTGCAGGCATGGTTTGCCGGCGTAATCTGCGGGCTTCATAGTCGGAGTCCTGCTTTTTGTGGAAGTCGAGACTGCGCAAGAGCAGCTTTTCACATATAGGCGGTGGATCACTGTTCATCTTGAGTCGACCGGTATGGGGGCGTTCGCTGGCACTTTCCCGGCGACGTGCCTTAACTGCTGCATCCTCGTGTTGGGCGAGTTTGAGGCGGCGCGTGAGCTCTGCTGGGTTGAACGGCAGAGGATCGTGCGCTGCTGAAGAGTGTAATTTCCGTACGTCGTGTTGTGATCTAGGCCGCGGTCTTGCTGCATGTTTCTGCTGTGCAGTCAGCATCCGTTGAATCGTGTCAGAAAGACAGCTAAAGTCGCATCTACCTTGTTAGTTGTAGCGACCGTCGTAGCCACAGTGGTGGCTTTGCTGGGTTCCATGGTGATCCACCCAAGTGACAACCGTTCCGCTGCTCTTCAATTTTAGAAAGCCAGGCACGGTAACAAAATGGCAAGCGGTGATGAAGGTGTTAAAGGAGCACCACAGCGATCTCTTTTGACGTCCCACGTGGATTCCACGGGAGCCATGGCTACTTGCTGCCCCCTCACTTAGTGGTCGTCAGGAGAGCCTGATTTAGCCAGAGGTGGAGCCTGTTAGGGCATAGGGATTACAATCGACGATGCACTTAGCCCGTTATAGTAAGCTTTGTTGGCCTCCATCTGGGGATTCACAAGCCTTGAATCTTGGTTCCTGCGCCATGGCTTACCGCTCTTCGCCCTACCCCCTCCTCTCCGAAAGATACCGAGGGCTTTTGATAGAACAGTGTTTCATGGGCTTATCGAGGCATGCGCGATTATTGAAATGCCGTGCTATCAACGAATGGGGAAGCTCGCTCCATAGGCGTTGCGACGGTCAGTTGCGTGTGTGACGAGTGTGATATGAACCTAATCTCCACAGTCACAGGCGAGGAGGGCGGCCGAAGATGCTAAAGCCTTCCTTGAGGATGGAAATTGCTTGTTCTTCAAGATCGCCTTGAATGCGCCGGGATCTAGCTGGTTCGGTCCATCGCTCCGCAGCAAAGCGAGCTCGGGAGATTGGCACTGCGCCGTTCCTGGCGATCTCTGGGGTTGATCCACATTTCTCATAACGGTCGGTTGGCGGGTAGGAGAGCAATCACCAGTCATGGCGCTGATATCTATCGTGATCATGACGCTGGTGGTGAGCAATGCTTTTCCCTCTGATCTCTGAACGTTTCAGCTTATGTCGTTCGTTCAAAGGATCTTGAGTTGGCGACGACTCGAGAGAGACAATTGGCGGAAGAACCTTGAAAGGGCGGGGCAACCCCTGGGTCAGGGCTCGCTCCGGCGGACCGCTTCCGCCAGGACAGTTTTGTGCCCTGCGTTTGCCAAGCTGTCAAATATGCAGTGAGTTCCACGGTACAGCCTCGCGTTAGCGAAGCACTTGGGTTGCTTGATTTCTGGATAGGTAGGTGGGTACAATAGACGATGCTACTCCATCTCCGTTCTTGAACCCGGTTGTCTAGCACCTTATGAAGCTGACGAGCTTCTAGGCCTACCTATTCCTGCTCCAGCAAAGCAGACGTCTTCAATTGAACCGGTCGTTACCCCTTTCATGACTCAACATACGCCAGCGAGATATCGCCATAAGCCACAGCTAGCCCACTATTGCGAACCTCGGCGCCAGTTGTCGTATCAGAAAGGGACCATTACGGGTACCTCAGAAGTGCCGCGGGATGCGAGGCGCCATGCAGCACGCTTTTACTTCTGCTCGTTTCCCTTCGATGAATGTTCAGCTGCTACGTTGATCTGAATGTTCGAGACGAAACACGTCCTATGAACGGACGACAGCAGATGAACAGGAGATTGCGCGAGGGCATGCGTCAAAGTGTAGTTTGTCTGTCAGCCTTAGACGGCAGGCGGCAATACACGCATGGAAAACCGGACCGGGCTTTCCGAGGCTTCCACGTGATGCACACCACCTAAACGCAAAGCCTTGTGAAACATCCTTTCGTTTCATCCGTGAACCTCATCGTGATGGACAAGACCAGCGAAGCAAAAAAACACACACTTTCGATGACTTGAAGAGTTACGACCTGAAATGAGATACGTCCAGGAGCTCAGAACTGGGGTATGTATTCAGCGAGCTGGACCTCGCTTTACTCCTCGGATCGATCCTATACTTGAGACATTATCACGAAGGCCCACATGGGTAACAGCTGAAAGACTTATGGGTATCTAGCATGTCCAGGCTGCTACCAACACTGTGTACCCGAAGATGGCTCGAGGCCGCCTACCCGGAGTCCACTATCCCTAGGCTATCAAAGGACACCTGCGCTCCACGGGCCATGCAAAATAGCACCCCAACGCCGCCAGCTTAAATCACGGAGGAAACATGCAATGCCAGCGCGCATCAAAGCGCTATCCAAATCGGGTTACGCTTGGCAGGCATGGAAAGACCAAACGTCAAACAATGCACTAACGTCCGGAACCCACCGGAAAGCAGAAGCACGATTGAAAAAGAAACACGTACTACAAGCCACTAGTCCTTCTAAAAACACAACACCATGCTGAGACCAAGGATCCCCGGAGCTCTTCCTGTGGGTCGCGGCGCAAGAGTGCTTGAAAACAGAAACAGCGTAACATGCTGAAGTCAGAAAAGCAGTGGACGTTAGGAAAAGGGCAGTAGACAGGATATAAACTTCGGACACACAGGAGTTCGAAGAACTTCCCACATCGGACCGACGGATGCTATGCGACAGAAATGCAGTCGGCAGCAGCGCTTGTGCAGCCGATGGTATTCCGCACACCCTGGTTGGCGCATCGGATGAGATAGCGAAGTTCCCGGGGTTTGGACGAGAACCACCGAGTTGCCTGCGATGGCTGTAAAGTACCTATGTGTGTAGGTTCGTTCGGTGAACATGATGGGTGTTGATCTTCCATGATTCGTCCTTGTAGGAGTCGTTCTTTTCTTCGATCTTGTGCGATAACGAATGCTGCTGAAGACGACGTGCTTCAAGGGTCCTAGTGTTTTACAAGAACTCGTCAAGGGGTGTCGACAGCTGATGAAGACATTGTTGAGCCACGACCTCTACGCGGTTGTGTTTCCGCCGCGCCGCTTGGCCACTATCTCATCGCGCTTCTTGGCCCAGCGCTTCCCAGCCTCAACATCCACTCCGGCACTTGGCGCGGGTGTCGCGACGGCTCCAACCGGTAAGACAGCCCGTACCTGATCAAGATCGGACGGGAAGGTGTAACCCATGGCTGGATTTGCCTTGGCATGGACGAGGCAAGGCAACAGGTCCCATTGATCCTGTGCGTCCGGTAGATTGACCACGTCGCCCAGAAGATCCGCCATTGGACAATCTTCACCGTCCCGAGCTGTGAACGTGTGGTCGCTCGTAGGCGTGCCCTTGTAGGCGCCCATCGTCCAACCCGGTCCGTATACCTTCTTGAACTGCTTCGCGATGGTCGACCTCTTGAACGCCCCGACATCAGTTTCTGCCAGACCGCGGGTGTGATTGATGTAGGCCGACGTCATCCCTGCATCCCATCCGCTTTCTACCAGACGCTGAACAAAAGTTGGGTTGTTCTTGATTTCGTCTGGGAAAATGGTAAGGATCTCCGGGATGGATGCTCGCATCTGAGGTCTTGCAATTCCTGTGCTGAGGAGAGTCTTGGTGGGGTCGTACTGGAGGTGAGGAGCATGCGGCTTTCCAGTGCGGCCCTTGGCTTTCTTCTTTACCGGCTCCTCTTCATCCTCATCCTCCTCCTCATCCTTGATCTCTTCTTCATCATTATTGTCAGAGTCGGTGGCTTTCCTCTTCTTACCGGGATGTAACGCTGACTGGTTACCGGACGTGGACATTGATGTGGAGAATAAGGGGGCCTTGCCCAACGAGATGTTGCCAAGAGTTGACCGTCCTTGATGGCTTGAGGATGCAGTCCTACCCCTGGCCGGCGCCACCTGTGACTGCATACTGCTGGAGCGGCTTGGTGAGGCGGTACTCCAGGGGAAGTGCCCGGGTAGGTCTTGGATAGGGAATGCTCTTGCACTGTCCGTGAACGCCTCGATTTCCGCATCCCGGAACTTTGTGGCAGGGTGTCGCCGATGCTTTCCAGGGTTGCGAGAGGCCGCCTGAGCTCCGTGATCGCCAGATGAAGCTATGTAGTAGGTCAGTGTATTGTACATTAGCTAAGGCTGGCTCGATGGGCCTCCTTTGTCTTTTGAGTCGAAAACATACCTTTCATGAAATACGGCCCGGTCGTTTCTTTGTCAGGATCAGGATACAGCGCATTTCCGCTGCCAGCACTCTCGAGGACGTGCTCTAGCTCTACCTCTTCCCGTTCTGCGTATTCGACGCGCTCAGTGCGCTCGTCAGCTCCGAAATGGTAGCACTTGACCATTCGGGATTCTGCAAGCACGGCGTCCGCATTCTTAGGGAGCTTAACACCCGAGGCAAGTTCTAAGTTGTACGGCAGCCATCGAGTCGATGATGGCGTCCTACACAACCCTTGGGGCCCGGTTCGGGATTCCCGGTCATTGCGCTGCTTACCAGGCTTAGTTGATCCGCGAAATACCTGGATGCGGATAGGGTTTCCTACCTCGATAGCATTTGCCGTATCAAATCCACTGTTTGAACGACAACCGATGCTGTTGCGATCAACACGCGAACCTCGGAGTCCCCTTACGCGAAGAGGTACGAGAGTTCTTGGGTTGATCAACGAGTATTGTGAGGGTCGTGTGGAAAAAGACATGGCTATCCGTGATTGCGCAGTTCTCAAAGAGGTTGTAAGAGGATCGGTGTTAATGGGATCGTCTTGGTTAATCGCGTTGTGATTAAGAGTAGGGGTTGTACCAAAAGAGTTGGGAATAGATGTGGAAGAAGAAGAGGCGCGGGTTGTCGCGGTTCTGTTGACCAGTGCTGTCCAGGTGAAGGTTGTTGATACACGTCGTCACATGGTAACGAAACGTCACCCCGACAGCTGTGAGGTTACCAGCTCAGTCACCTCGTTCACCCGGATCCACTTTGTCTCCGCCGGCCGGCCGACATATTCCCTTCTGGTCACCCCGGGGTTCTGCAGACCTTGCGGAGCTGCACGAGGAGCAGCTGTGTTCCTGTATGGATAGGGAAGACTACATCTGGAGGGCTCTCCAGCCCGCAACGCCATGGGTGCCATACCAAGCGGTATACGAGACATATCTACCTTTCTAATTTAGAGCTATAGATACAAAGATCCTGCACTGAGCAACGGGACGCTTAACGCGTTGACGAAATACATTCCTATACCACACGCTCGGAACCAGCAACAAGCAGATTGCAACTTGAACAAGCGATATCGCAAGCACTGTAGGGGACCCACGCCTATTCAGGGGGTTTGGGACAATCAGAAAACGTCGTATGCAGATCCGGGACCCAAGCAGTTGAGCCGTAACAAGCATTGTTATCAAGTAGCAGACCATGCGAGTCCCCATCCGGAGTGCCATCGAGGAGACTACACCGCAATGCTCAGCGTGTAAAGCCATCATTACCAGGCTATGCACATCAACCCGCAGCTTACCTCTAGGTATCGCGCAAAACGGACTGACGGTTCTGGGATTGTAGTATCGCTTGGTCTGTGACACAGCCGCCATCGTCTGCAGAGCGGCTTGGAAAAACTAAACTGACTAGGAGGAAGGAAACCCGATCTGCATTGTTGTAAGTGGAGATGGAGGGCTCGCTGAACAAAGCGGATGGCTGGCACAACGCATTTATCTCGACAATGTCATCTGCTGCAAAAGCCCTTAGCGGAGACACATTGACTGCATCGTCCGTTGGAATCGTTTAGTTGGCTGGCGTTTACGGCACGTCAGCTTGCTGGACGTGGTGGCTTGAGTACGTTTGCAACATGATGTAGCGTGATCAAGCTAGTAGGCATTACGTTTCTGGCATATTTCTTTGCCAACTACATCAAACGAATGTAGTCGATCTAGCAAGCCGAAGCTCTCTTGCAACTCTGATTATCCTCTGAATATCTGTTGCTTTTCAAACGATGTACAGCTGAGCCTCTTGGTGAATCTATTTACACCTCAGGCAAAGCGATCATACTAATAACAGACGATTGAGCTCAGGTGGATTAACGACATGTTGCCTTTCTCTCTAAAGGGATCCGAGGTGCTGAGGCGTGAGAATGTACCTATAACTTGGAAATGGGGATAGACAGACGGTGCGGTAGGGGGTGGTGAGGCGGCCCGTGCCGATGACGTGGGACAGGCTTGGAAATCCCCCTCGGCCCTGAATACCGTATTTACCACCTGGGCGTCGCGGATCACGCTGCTCCACACCGTGACTGCCCCCTTGTGACACCGCCGACAATATCCTCTCCCATCGCACAATCTGGCTCCTCCGTTGTGGCAGAAGCCATCATCCCACGGCCGCACATCGCTCCTCCGCTATTTGTTCCCTAGCGTCAGGCAACGGGCACGGAATCAGCTTTCCAAGTTTCGGCACAAGACCATCCCAAAGTTTACGCGCAAAGCCGAATCCCGCATCCATCGCTACCTCAGATACGTTGAAGCTGCTAGGCATCTTCGCAAGCCTGGTGGCATCCTCAATCTCCTCCGCAAGAACGTCCTCGGTCGCCGGTTCGGCCAGCGGAAGGATGCTGTTGCTGGAGCAAGTCGATCAGAGATGACCGAAAGGCGCCAAGGTGGTGAGAGCAGTAGCAGCCAAGATGGGGGAGGAAGCCTGCGCTCTGAAGAGAGGGCGCCAGGTACGAAAAGGAAGAAGCTCGCGGGCTATCTGAAAGCTGCCAATGACCTTAGACACTCGTATCAGCAGAGCTATACTTCAGGCTGGACCAGCAGAGAGGGCAGTGGTCAACAGGTAGACGATGGAACTCCAGGAGCGTTCCCAGAGGCAGCCGTCGTCCGAAGCGGAGATGAAGAAATGATTCTGTTTCCAAGCTATGCCCGGAAACATATCAAGAGGAAACCGGAAGCGGTGCCGGGCACGATACAAGAGACGGAAGGCCAAGGAAGGGATTCCCGCGACACGGTTGGCGCTGGAGATGCTGAGTTCTGGGCCAAGGAGTGGGAAAAGTACGAGGACGACAATGCGGTTGTCGACGTGGACGTGCGCGGCTGGATCTATACTCCGCATAGAGGCCAGATGACGCGCAAGCACAGGCTGTTCATAGGGATTGCAAGGCAACTTGTTGGCTTGCCTTCACCATCTACCCCGAGCCCGAGCAAGGGGAGCCCTACTAGCAGCGGCTCTAGCAGTCGGGCTTCTAGTCCGCACACGACACACCGCGAACGCGTAGAGGCGAGGTCCGCTCAGAGGGAAGAGGAGATTGTGTCAAAAGAAGCAGAGTCTATCCTTCGTCGAGGGGAAGCCGAAGCTGCAGCTGCTGGTAAAGGTAAATACAGTGAGGCACCAGGTACATCAAGCCGCGACAACTCTCCTCTTGGGCTTTCGCGAAAGATATCTCCAGGCGACCGTCGGGGGGACGCTGGTTCCGGCAACGCATCCGACAGCGATGAACCTCCTATAACGGCCCTGCAAAAGAGAGCTTCATGGAACCAGCCTGCAAACATGAGCCCTGCGGAGCTCACTATAGCAAACTCACATCTCATGGCCAGGCTGAAACCTTTCTTGTCTAACCCGTTAGCGAACACGCCGATCAGCGCTTTCTTTTACAACGACAAGATATCACGCCAGCGTACTATTACTACCGATGCCTCTGGTCACTTCACGTTTCGGGCAGCTCTGGAGTTCGTACCAACTCACGTCAGGATCCTGGCTTCTGAGAAGCTCTCAGCCACTGAAGAGATCATAATCACTGATCCGAAAGGTGTCAGCGTAATCAGCGATATCGATGATACCATCAAGCATTCCGCGATCACGAGCGGAGCCCGAGAGATCTTCCGCAATGCTTTCATCAGAGAGCTGGGTGATCTCACCATTGAGGGCGTCAGGGAGTGGTATTGTCGCCTTGCTGAGCTGGGAGTCAAGTTCCACTACGTCTCGAATTCTCCATGGCAGATCTACCCTATACTTACGAAGTTCTTCTCCTTAGCCGGTCTGCCGTCCGGGTCGTTTCATCTGAAGCAGTACAGCGGCATGTTCCAGGGCATCTTCGAACCAGTTGCTGAGCGCAAAAAAGGCACATTAGACAAGATCTCGCGAGACTTTCCGGAGCGGAATTTCATCCTGATCGGCGACAGCGGGGAGGCAGACCTCGAGGTTTACATTGACTTTGTTCTGGAAAATCCCGGCCGTGTTCTTGGTATCTTCATCAGGGATGTCACCACCGCAGTACCCAGGGGCTTCTTTGATTCCTCGATGGGATCGCTTAGCGGCGAGAATTCGCCCAACTCCAACCGGAAGAATGGGTTGAACGGCGCGAGCGCTTCGGCGAAATCAATGCAAGACCGTCATGAGGAGGATGACCCAGATCTCAAAGCGGCGATAGCGGCATCGTTGAGAAGTATGGAAGAGGAGAATGAGGGGGGCATCCCAGAGCAAAGACCGAACTTACCGGGTCGCAAACCGAGCTCACCCCCTGCGCCAGAAGCCCAATCCATAGAGAAGCTCATCGACTTCAGCGATGACGAGTCACCATCGAGTCTCCCAAATGCTCCTCATCTCACCCGCGCTTCGAGCGATCCCGCCCAAGACATGCCCAATAAACATACCTCGGCGAACACCATTCGATCAATGCCGCCAATGCCGCCTCGGAAACCTGTGGCACTACGTAGCCCATCAAGCGAACAGCTTACGACCATCTCCACCGCCGTCTCCCAGAAGGGGCCTCGCCCGCCAAAACCACGACGTCCCTCAACCTCCGTGCATACGCCGCAAGTCCATGGCGCCAGTTCCTCCTCGCACCAACCTAAGCACCCAAAACCAGACACGCCCCCCAAGCCGGCCCTAAATCGCAGCGCGCCGAGCTACGCGTCTCGCGCCGGCCAAAAATTCTCATCTGCATACAGTCACCTCCCTTCCGTCTCAGGCCACTGGCACGGCCAAGAGCATTCTCCCACCGAAGGTGCCCGAGCGATCAGCACAGCCGCTAAAGGTGGACCTCAAGCCGACAAGACAGACAAGACCGACAAGACCGGCAAGAACGACAAGAACGATAAGCCTGCCGAATCTCCCGTAAAAAAGGCCCCACCGCCTCCTCCCCCACGCCGAGGCCTCTCATCCTATCCCGCAGCCGCAGCGCAATACGCCTCTAACCGTGTCAGCGGCTACTGGAATGGGACTTCCTCACAGCAGCAGCCCTACGGCAGCGCGAACCGGAACGGGAGCCAGACGAGTCTCGCTAGTGTCGCGAGCGTGGCAAGCAACAACACTGGGCCCGCGATTAGTAAGAGGGAAACGATGTGGCGGCAGCGGTGGGCGAGGGCGGAAGCTATTCTGAGGGACAAGGGGGTCGTGCTGAGGATTTGGAGGGTCGGGAGTGATGCAATCGAGGAGAGTGTTAGGTTGGTGGAGGAGGCGAAGAGGAAGTGGGAGAACGAGGGGCGAGGGGCGGAGGGGGCGGAGAAGAGGGAGCTGGAGGAGCAGCAGAGGAGGGGGAAGGGAGGCGGGAGGATTAGGCAGATCAAGGAGGGGGAGTGATGGGTTAAAGAGAGGGATGTCGTGCACGGGGAGGGTAGTTGTTCACGACGTAAACCTGTTCAGCATTGACGCGGAGTTCGGGATGGTTTTGTTATCGATGGTATTGGATATGTACAGTCGACTTGTAGATACGGTGTGACATCAGAGCAGTAACCGGATTTACTTCAACCGAATTGAGAGACGGTCTTGTAGTCTTCATTCGTACACCTCGCTCGTCTCCTCATATCTGCCGATTTGCGGCAGAGAAGTGACTTCCACGCTGCGGCCACGAACAGTCCCCTTCGGGAGTCGTGTCGGAAGGAGAAGCCCAACTCCCAAGTGTGTGCAACCACCGGAAACATGTCCCACCTTGATCGGCACCTCCTCACTCCACCGTCTCGACCCCCTCATTCACGGTTCCTCCTAAGCCCGCCGAACCCCTCCCCACCTCTACGGCCCCCAGCGCACTCAGCACACTAATCCCGAAGAGCATCCTCTGTAAGGAAAATGTTTTCCTCAGCGTGCAAAACCTCACCTCCCTCCCCACCGTCAACAGCCCTTCCAGGCCTCACATAGTCCCTAGTATCAGCAGGAAACAAATCCTCAAACCCTTCTAAAAACCACATCTCCCGGTCCTCCTCCCCCTTAGACCCTGCTGTCTCCTCATTCCCGCCGCTGCCATCCTCCCCGTCCTCACCTGCCTCTCCAATCTTGTCCAGAAACGCGCCCAAAGTTGGAGAACCGTACCGCCGACCACGCAGCGAAATGAGTCGCTCATCCGGCTCTCTGTTGCGCTTCCTGACGTACGGTACCCGTGGTTGCGGACGCAGCTGCCCCTGGTCCTGGCCGTAGCTGTGGCCGTGGTTCGGAGGAACAGGAGCTGGAGCTGGAGTATAGCCGATTGCAACGGCGCGCGCAAGGCGCTTCTTCTCTTTGGAGCGCTCTTTCCACCGTTTGTGTCGGAGTCGTTTACTCTCGGCGGTGGAGGGCTTGCTGGGAAGGGGCGAGGAGATGGCTGAAAGGGGCAAATTGAATGGTAGGGATGGAGCGGGCCGGCCGGAACGTGGATGTCCAGTGGGGCCGGGGAGCAGGAGAGAGAGGAGGAGACGACACGGTCCACCCTGCGTGGGGTTGGGTGGGCGAAGTGACGTCGAGGGCTCGTGAAAGTGGTCCTGGAGAGGGTGGAGCGACGCGGTTGGTGACTTCGGCGCCGACCCAACTTCTATTGGCTCACCGTCTTCCACTGCCTTATCTTCCTGTATTGGCTCATCGTCTTCCATTGGCTCATAAGAACTTTCTGATGATGCCCAAGAGAGAGGAGTCGGTAGAGGTTCAGTCACCTGACCTTCGGTCGAGCTCCAGAACTTGGCCTCCAGGTCATTCATGAGCTCTTTGATATTCTCATCCCTCTTCTTTGTGAGTTTCTTCACACGAGATCGTGATTGAACCTCGAGATTGGGGGGTTGCGGTTTGTGGGGGCCTTCGACTCTGGTTGACGACGCAATCAGTGGCAGGATTGAAGGTGCCGGTAGAGATGTTAGGAGAACTGGTGGCGAGTCTAAAGAGGACGTATCTGGATCAGGGCACATGGCCCACCACTCTGGGCAGCCACAAACAGAACCGCCGGTGAAGTGTTCGATGGACTTCATTGTGACATCTGAGAGGCTTTTTAGTGCGGGCTGCGCATGTGCGAGACGCTTTTTGGTTCATCGACTCAGAGTGAAAGGTGAGAAAGGAGAAGGCAGAGGGCGAAAACTACGAATGAATCGCTCTTGGCTGAACTACTTTGTTGAGAGAAGACGGATCCGTGACGAAAGCCAGAGCTGTCATGTGCGTATAAGGTGTCACATGAGATGACCGTCGGTCTGCAAGAGTGTTCGTACCTGAAAGGCTGACTGCTGCCGAAGGCGCCACCGCTACTCTTCGCAGCGAGTGGAATGAAGTCCTTGGCCGTGGCAGTAGCGTTAGACAGGGAATCTAGGGTTGTTTGAAGTTTAGGTTCGACATTTGATCCAGCGTTGTTCGAGGATGCTGATGCGGAAGCTTGATCGGATGCGTTGAGAGATTGGGAAACATGCGTTCCCAATTGCTGACGGATAGCTCGTTATCTGGAGTGCAATGCGGCGGACGGCTCAATGGTCGGGGATTGTTTCGGTGACGTCCGTCGTTCACCGTAACGTTGCGCTCGACTGAGCTGACGAACTCGACAGAGCACAATCCCCAAGAATGCCGGACAGCACCATCTTGGGTCGGTCAAGGAATAAAGGGGGCCGGACATCATGAGGCTTATATACAATTCACGAAGAAGAGAGATCCACGTCTATGTGCAACACGGAAGACGGTCTCAAGCTGAAAGGAAGCATGCGGCACGTGACGCTCCGTATGGTGTTACAACTTGAATCCCTGAGAGCGATGGAAGCATTGGAGATCGAGATGAGTTTGTCTAAGAGCTGAAACGGGATATATGCGGCCAATACGCCTCGAAAAAAGAACCCGACTCAGAATGGGACACGATCGTCCTACCTCCAGATCGCCCCACTCCAGATATACCTAACCACCACCCCCGTGACCTTCAGTGTACAGTACGTGGCTGCACCTACAAACCCACCCGCCAACAACAGCCACTTCAGATTTCTCCTCTCAATGCCCGTGTGCCTCAACTTCGCTTCGTCGCCTTCCGCCATCTCCGTGATTGTGGAGAACTGCGGCACATACTTGAACTCGAATAACGTTTCCTTGCCCTCCAGCCCATACTTGCTATCTACGATGAGCGAGTAGAAGATCTTCTTCAACGTCTCGACTTTCCGCTTCTCAAGAGATGGAAACGGCCGGTAGGCATAGCACATCGTCATGAAGAAGACGCACTGGCCCGCCATCAGGGACCAGTAATAGATGCCCGGACGAGCAAGGCCAAGTTGGTCGGATAGCTCGTTGCCGTTTAGCCAGCGAGCGGAAGCGATGAGCATGTCTGCAGTTGCGTAAGTGGGCGGCTGTGCCTCAAGACTTTTGATGATGTTATTGGCTAGGATCTTCGAGGTCTCGGTTGGCTTAATCTCGTGGAGGAGGAGGGTCTCCATGACCGCTTTGGCCTTGGCGGGTGTTGAGAAGAAGTCTGTTGGGCAGCCGACTAGGTATCCTATATAGCGCCATAACGCGACGTAGTCTACGATTTCTTGCTGTCGGAGGAAGATGCCCTGGCGAGGGAGACTGAGCCAGATCAGGGTTGCAGAAAACGTGCCTATCGTGGCGATAGAGTCGAGGTCGTTGATAGGTATGCCCCACTCTTCGACTTTGTAGTAGCCTGGTCGTTGCTTTGCTAGGGTCATGATGCGTAACCGTACGGCGGCATGGAGAAGTCGAACGCGGATGGAGGAAGCAAAGCCCGCTCCGCCCGGCTGTATAGATTCCAACGATTTGGTGCATTGCAGGATGTGTTGCGTCGTCTCGAACAGCCTCCGACGTGCGACTTTGGTGGAGAACCCCCCTGTTCGCGCCAGCGTCTCCACGACTCTCGCCGCGCCCATGCCGCCCAGCAGACTTTGGTACGCCAACCCCGTGATATTGGCGCCTCCGTACCGGTAAAAGACATCCTGGCCTCTCGCTATCTGATCCCAGTCTACCCAGTCTGGTATGGTGTTGACCTCTCGCCACAGCTCTCCCAGCTTCTCGTCCTCGGGCGCATGATCTCGAAGCAGTTCATAGAGGTCTCGTCTCTGTTCTACGTCCTTATTTTCTGGGTCATCCTTGCGGCCGGCGTACGCGCCGTTGTTCCTGGGTAGCGCCTTGTCTGGTGGTGGCGATATTTCGTTTAGTCGGATGAGGCACTCTTCCGCAAGAACATCGTAGGAGAATTTCAGTGGCTCGGTTTGCTCCAGGGTGAGATGGTCATCGGTCAAGTCGAAGGTGTAGCCCCAACATCTAAAGATGCGTCAGCAAATACTTGATGGCGACGATAATGAGCAGCATACGTTCTGGTCCGTTCAGTATGCCGGCGGAAGGGGTTTGGCCAGGCCATCAGCAAATACTGTGATCAAGAATACGAAACTGCAGAGACGATATGAAGTTTCGAAAGAAAATGTTCAGACTTAGCCTCTGCATGTGTTGGATAACAGCCGTTAGGCCACCCTGAATCCATAGCGTCATGTGGCCAAGAGCCGAGGATCGTCGTGGCGATTTGAGAGTGCCGGCATGTGCTTCTGTAGCTGCATGGTGAGAGAGCTACAATGGACGCTACAGAGCAGATACGATGCCGTGTACCAAAGGCTAGATACTTAGGTAGGATATGTTGGTGGTGGTGCTTTCTGCTGAGTATTCCCCTGGTGGCTCAGCTCGAGGTGCGGCGAGTCAGACAGATCTCCGGGCGGTAGGCGGCTCATGTCCTGATCCAGGGTCCATCAGAGCTTCGATCACACTTCCTTCCAGCACCGGCTTGACTCAGTCAACCATCAGCAACAGCAATAGCAGTATAAGCACTCTTAGCATTGAATAGAGCCTGTACGAAGAGACAACTCGCGCGGGCTGGCAGCTCACCCTCTCTAGCGTTGGATCTTTCTGCAGCGGAGAGATACAATAAAGGATATCGGCACCGATCCTTGGAGCGGTGAATAAAGCCAGCCCTCGATGTTGTTGTAAGGGACTGGTGTTTAGGTTGTTAGTGTCTTAACAGTCTGGTGCACTCTGCGCAGTAGAATCCGGAGCTTTGTATGAGAAAGAGGTGGCGCCTTGACTGTTGGATCAAGAATTCTTCAAGCATTATCAATTCTTGAGCTGGCCCTTGAGCGCCACCAAAGCCGTATATCTTCGCCCGTTTTACCTATCCTAGCCACTTTCTCAAAAGCTGGCTCTTATTCAACCTTTCAAGGACCGCTGCTATGACGCCCTCATAGAGTGCCGTCCCAGACACGGCGAGCTCGCCAGCCGCACAGGATTAATCCCTCCTACGATGATACATTTTTAGCGTGGGAGCGAGCTCGTCTTTGGTACAACACAATATCTACTGGTTCCACCGTTGAGTCAAAGGTTTGACAAAGCTTTCGTTCGTCCCAAGCCCTGTTTTCCGCCAACTCTAGACTACCGAAAGCTACTTCAGTCTTGCAGGGCGCGTAGTCCGGCCCGCATGGTGTCGGGTTCTTGTGGACCAACCGTAGGGAGGCCGGGAAGCGGGATGCTAACCCTAAATTTACCTTGTGATCCCAGGTGCATCGGACAAGGCGTTGGTGTCAGAGCACCGCTTGACAATCCAAGTTTTCGCTCCAGAAGACAAGTTACTTCGCGGTAGATTCGCTACCGCCGCTGCGGAAGCTGTGCCGAAAAGAAACCTAGAAGCACCGCACTGCACAGTTGGAGGTTCGTTGTTCGGTAATAAGGTAAGTGTACGCGTGGACCGCGTATGTGGCTGTCGATTGTGGTTGTACAGCGGCACGGCGCGCATGAGCCGCCGCATCTTTTGCGGGGAAACCTTGCAGTCCACCTTGGCGGTCTGGAGCAACAGAGTAAGCTTCCGTGGCTTCTGAGTTATTGTATGAAGGATAGTGCTTGTATTGAGGAAGGGGAGGTTTAGCTACCTCTCTTATTATGCGGAAAGAACCACCAAGTGAGTAATCTGGTGGAGGTTCAGTACTTTCTATTGACTACAGAGGCTTGTTCTCTCTTTCTATAAGTCGAAATACTGCGTTTCAAACCTTCGTAATCGCACGCCGCCAAGCGTCCGCTTCCTCAATGTAAACACCATCCTTAATACCCAATGGATGCGTCCAGATGCTGTAGACTCGCCACACAAGCGAGCGTCCTAGCACTACACCTGCACCTTCTCGCTTTGAAGCACCTTCCGAGCTCACTTGCCGATCCACGAGATCTACGAGCATGGCTGCTCCATGTCGTGCATTAGATCTGTTTACCCCTCAGCGGATATAAAATCTTCACATCCCACATGGCCGTGCAGAGTCGGCGAAAGCATCTCTAGTTTGAGCTTCTACCTCAAATCATTCACCCAGTACAATCGCCATGAAGCTCTCCACGATCGTCTGCTTCTTTGTCGCAGCGGCTATAGCCTCGCCAATTGCTGAGGCCGAGGCCGAGGCGGACGGCGCAGTTCATCTTGAAGTATGTCCTCTCACTTTCGATGATTGGGAACACTCTCGCTGACGCACTCCAGGCACGGCAATCGTTCTCTGCTGGCTGCCGCAGTATTATCTCCGGCCCTGCTGATATTTCTCAGGCTAACAATTATTGTAGCTAATTCGTCTTGCCAAAGATTGTGCTGCTCGCGGTACTACTCCAACTGCAACTTCTTTAACTGCGCCAGATCCGTTGTAAGTGCCACCACTATCCAACTCCCGGCATCAACAGGTTAATCTTCTCTCTTTCATAGTGTACACCATCCAACGGCTATTGCACATGCAGTTGCGTTAGATCGTAGGAGCCGTTCAGGCTGTACATATCCGATCGACCTGTAGTACTCTTGGGTCAGGGCGAAGAATGCATTCCAGGCTTCGTCGGTCCGTTTTGGTGGTCCCGAGGTGTAGCTGCGAATCGGAGAGTGCGAGTCTGTTCGAAATCAAAGAAGCTTCATACATGATTGGCGGTTGTTTGCCCATGCAGTCTCGTCCATCCATGTCCTTGCATGTTAGACAGCCGTTACATCCTCATAAAGTTTCGGAACATTCATTGCATGATATGATCCGTTCTCCAGTGTCGATAAATGATGCCGCCCGCGAGTACACCGCCCTTGAGTGATGCCGAGAGTGACAAGGTAAGTGACAGGGCGTATCAAGAGTGCTCGGCTTAGGCACTAGGTAACTTAAAGATCGCGATAGCTGAGAACGGCAATGTTGAATAACCCAAGTGGTGGGAGTTAGAAGCGCGTCGTTGTCGGCACGCGTCAGTCGATGTACCGGGGTTGTGTAAGCCGAGATGCCGGTTGTCGCCTTGGAGCCTGGTCAGGGTCTACCCAAGCCTTGAGAGTTGGAAGATTTCCGTCTTCAAGGGGCTCTCGCAGTAATTAACAGCAACCAAACCTTAACACCTTTCTCACCTTCAGTATGGAGTGCACCGCCTGCTCTGCTAGAGTGCTCAGAACCTTCGTTCGGGCGCTCTTTGGATCTGATGTGGTGGCATCAGCGCGCCCGTCAAACTTACGCTACCTGCGGCGACCTGATACTCGATTCTTCGGCACGCAATCATCTCTACGATTCCGTCAGTCCGCTGTACGCCAGCAGCAAGATGCAAGCAGTATTGCTAGCATACCAGAATCAAGCCCAAGCGCTGTCTCTCCTTCTGCTCAGGAAAAACACGTGGTCCAGGAGGCAGTGCCCGCTACTGAGGATCAAGCACCACCTGCCGCATCTACCGTGAATGCAGAGAAACCGCACTCAAATAAGCCGGTTACCTCCGCATCCACGCAATCGAAACCTGCGCGGCCAAAGGTCCGGCTTTCCGGCCCTCGGAAAGTCGCGAAACCCGCCCCAGCGCCCCTCCCAAAACCCAAGAAGGAACGCTGGCAGATCGAGAAAGCCGCCCTCGAGCGCAAACTCGACTCCCAGGCCTGGAACCCGCGCAAGCGCCTCTCCCCCGACACGCTAGACGGCATCCGCAACCTGCACATGACCGACCCGGCCAGATTCACCACGCCCGTGCTCGCCGAGCAGTTCAAAGTCTCTCCCGACGCCATACGGCGGATCCTCAAGAGCAAGTGGCGGCCCAACGAGGATGAGCACGATGACAGGATGAAGCGGTGGAACAAGCGCGGCGAGCGCATCTGGACGAACATGGTGGAGCTGGGGACGAAGCCGCCGAAGAAGTGGAGGGAGATGGGCGTGGGGAGGGCGGCGCCGGGGGAGGCGCCGAAGTGGAAGCCCAGGGGGAAGCCGAGTTCGCTGAGGAGTAGGGAGGAGGAGGATATACCGTGGGATACGGGTGATTTGGTGCAGCAGGCTAGGCTGCCTACGCATACTACGCAGCAGGACTCGTTCCTAGTGGACAGAATTGTGTAGGTGAATGGGGGGGTACCGAGTCTGGGACGCCTATACCTAGGAGGATGGATATCGGTTAGGCAACGAGAGGGTTGACCAAAATCACAAGGTTGGAGCAAATGTCTCGACCCCCGTGATGCACCTTAACCTACAGCGATACCCCGTAAATTTCTTCTCTCTCACTGGCTTCCCTAACACCGTCTCCCTTAGCGTGCAAGCTGGGGCTGGCTGTCGTTACGGCCGCTGTCCCCTGCGGACGGCCCTCCGGGTAGGCGGCGTGACGGGAGAGGGAGGGGTCCTGCCTACTATCCACTTGCGGCGTTCCACGAAGTAGAGTGGTGTTGCCAGATTTGGAAATTGGGCAGGAAGAAACGCGGTGCCACCATCGTTGCATCGACTGAGGTTTAACGTCACAAAGGCTTTCTATCCAAGTGCCGTTTCTACTCTGTACGCCAACTCATTCTTCTAAATCTAGTCCAGAAACTCCCCACGATGTCCGACCGCATGCAATGCTGCAAACCTTTTTGCCCAAAAATAAAAACATAGCAAAAACATAAACACTCCAAGACCCATCTACAATCCTGCCTTCTCAACCCTGCGTCCTGTCTCATCAAAATAAATCTTCCTCCCCGAATTCAGACTCTCCTGCAGCGCGCACCCAATCTTGACCGCCTGCACCGCGCCACTGAGCTTAAACGGCAACTTGGTATCATCCAAACACGCCGCCGTGAACTCGTTCGCCTCCGTCACAAACGCCTCCCTAAACCTCCCATAATAATGCGGCGGGATCTCCCTCCTAATCCCTGACGCCTCGGACATCTCAACCAAGCTCCCCATCGGGTTCGCGTTAACACTCAGCTTCCCCTCCGTCCCAATAATCTCCGTCATGTCATGCTGGCCCGCGGCCATCATCCTGCTGCTGTAAAAATACGCAATCTTCCCGCCCCAGAACTCGACAACGCCGACCCCATTATCCACATCCTTGTGCTTGCGTAGCTCGGGCTGCACGGCCGTGATGCCAACAGCCATGACGCTCTTGACCACGCTGTCCTGCCCGAAATACCACAGCGCGAGGTCGATGTCGTGGATGTTGCAGTCGACGAATATGCCGCCGGAGTACTGGGCGTAGTCGACGAAGAAGCCGGACGGGTCCAGCTTGTCGCACGTCTGGGAGCGGAAGATTGCCGGGCGCCCGATTGAGCCGCTGTCCATGCGCTCCCAGGCTTCGCGGTAGGAGGTGTCGAAGCGCCGCGAGAAGCCGCAGAGGACTTTGAGGTGCGGTTTGGCTTTTGCGGCGTCGACAACGGCTTGGGACTGTAGTACGGGGAGTCAGTTAGCGGGGGGACGCTGGGGAGTAAGGCGAGTAGGAGTATAGGGGACGCACCATCTCGACGCTCGTGGACAGCGGCTTCTCGCACAGGACGTGCAGATCGGCTTTGATGGCCTTGATGGATTGCTCAGCGTGCACGGTGGTGGCGGTCGCGACGACGACAGCTTCGAGCCCAGGGTGCTTCAGCATCTCGTCGTAGTCGGTGTAGATTGTGCAGCCCGAGGGCTCGAGGTGTTGGCGGCCCCAGGCTACTTCACTCGGCTCTGGTGTAAATGCTGCGACGAGCTCGGCGCGGGGGGTCAGGTTGAGGAAGTGGAGGGCGTGACGGGCGCCCATGCGGCCGAGGCCGGAGACGGCCACTTGGAGCTTGCGTTGGACCATTGTGGGTGTAGGAGGGCGAATTGAGGTGGAAGAAGGTGTACAGGACGGAGGATCTGAAAGACCAAGGGATTTACACGCTCGGAGAACGAACGAAGATATTGACAAGAGAATCTTGAATGCGTCTACGACGGCGCTCTTTTTCTAACAGCTCGGTGCTTTGCCGGTCGATATACGAGCAATCGCTTGGAGAGTTCAACGGGTATCGTAGAGGATAAGCAGGTATGAACAACAGGACACGACGCAGCGAGCACGCAAACTTATACCTCCTGTACTACAGGTAGCACAAAATCCAGTGGGCTACAGACGTTGACGCCGAAGCTGTTGTTGTCTCCTCCAACAGTTATCCAGGGTTCAAGGCGAGAATTACCCCAGCGAGAATTACCCCAGCGAGATGAACGCGATTGTCGCGTTTCCAGAAAGTGGAAACCGGAACCCGGTATCAGCGGGGCTCTAGTGGGGCAACTCCGCGGGGAAATGCTCTTTTGAGACTGCCAAAGGCTGAGGATGCACGTGATCACGTGCTGTACAGGCGCTTGACCGTGAGGACATCTTTGTAGGTGCACGGCAGAGCTCCAGATGATGTTCAAAGCTACGAGGGTATACCTGCGGCTATGCTGCGCTGGACGATGTGGCATCAGGAGGACAGCAATTGGAGCAATACTGTTGGACTGGAGTTTGAACAATTCAATTTCGGTCTGCTCGACACCAGCGACGTTGTAAGATGGAATAGTAAACTTTGCAAGCCCGACGCCGACACCGCATGTCGCCCAAGATTCTACGAGATGACCCCCGTAAAGCCCTACAAGTGCGCCTTGTCCTCATCGACCGTCTCAATCACAACCTTCAGAACCAATTTCCCAGAGTCGTCCTTCGTCTTGCCAGCCATCTCAAAGGCCTTGACTGCCGACTCAAGGCCCTTGTACCTGTGCGTGACCAGCTTGGAGAAGTCCGGATAGTCAGGCGCCTTCTTCGATACAACCTCAATGCCCGTAGGGTACGTGTTCGCATATCGGAAAACGCCCACGAGGTCTACCTCTCGGAGTGCTGCTGCGGAGATCGGTAGTGTCTGAACCGGTGTCCCCATGCCAATCAGCATGACTCTGCCGCCTGGCCGTGTTGCCTGCGACAGATTAGCTTTCTGTAGGTCGTGAGGATGGCAGTTCAGCAACATACATATATGGCAGCCTGCAGACAGGACGGAACCCCCGTGCACTCAAACACGGCATCAACCTCTCCCACCGGCTCGCCACTGCTCTTCTCGACCTCGCCGATCGAGGCTGCGGTTTCTCGCGCAATCTCAAAGCTCTCTTCAATCGTCTTGCCTCGCTTCATCGGTACTGTGAATCCTCGATGCGCAAACCCGTTCTCCACAGCAAAGTTAACTCGACCTGCATCGATATCTGCTATCACAACCGTGGTGGAGCCGGATATCTTTGCCATTGCCGCGCACAGAAGGCCTACAGCGCCTGCACCGAAGACCAAAGTCGTGCTTCCGCTGGGCAGCTGGGCTCTCCGCGATGCGTGGATCGCTACGCCGAGGGGTTCTAGAATCGCGCCGAGATCGAGTGACACGTTCTCCGGAAGCCTGTCTATCTGTCAGCACTGTATTCACGCCTAGTGTCTCCACTATAGCACTCACTTATGACACCATGCTGCCGGATGATTAATCCTCTCCTGCAGCGTCCCCTGCGCATGCGGAAAGCTCTTTGCAGAACTCCTGAAACGCATCTGCTTGCAGATATTGTACCTGCCCTCTCCGCACCGCTGGCAGTTGCCGCATGGCTGTCCCACTTCCAAGGCGACCTTATCGCCGACGGTGAAGCCGGTAACGTCTTTGCCTACCGCTACGACTACGCCTGCGGATTCGTGGCCGAGGGATAGCGGCTCTCGCACGATGATGTCGCCGTTGCGGTAGTGGTTGTAGTAGTGTAGGTCTGAGCCGCAGAGGCCGGTTGCGCGGACGGAGACTTGGAGTTCTGTGGGGAGTGGAGATGGGAGACTGCGGCTCTCCTGGGGAGAGATTAGGGTTTGAGTTCAGCTGGGTGCTTTTGTGAACCTACAATTCTCAGGTCTTTCGCGCCATGCAATACCGACGCTCTGACTTGGCGACCGGTTGAGGAGCTTGTTTGAACAGACATGGTAGAGTAAGATTGTGCAAAAAAAAGAGCAGATGATGGAATGATCACGCTCTGGACTTGACGAAGGATTACTTCGTACTTTTGTAGAACTGTGTGGCACGAGAGAAGCTGAGAAACAGACCGAGTCTCAACTCACAAACCTCAGTCTCTGGTGAGATCCAACGGGCAACATGCTCCGAAGACGCGGTCATGGCGGACTTAAGGCCGACGTGCTTCGGACGAGCTGGACGAATGCAAAAGTTCCCTGAGGTCGGCATTTGATCTCCATCTTTCCCCGGCGCATCAGACGCCGAAGCGCACGACCCATTCACGCCAATTGCCGCATCTGGCACCCCGACAGCTTTCCCCATGGAGACCTCTCGGCGGGGCCGGAGTTAACGTCTCGCCAATGTTTTCTAGGATGTTTGCTGAGCCGGATGGCATAAAACTCATGACGCGGAAGGTCTGGGACTGGCGATAGCACATGGCTTCTTCGCGGCTCCAACAGGTCCAGCAACAGCTCTCTCCCCAACCTCCAGCAATGGCGTCAGTACAGCAACTATTCTCTCTGGAAGGCCAAACGGCTCTCGTAACAGGAGGGACTCGAGGCATCGGACAAGCCATGGCCGTCGCCCTGGCAGAAGCCGGCGCAGACGTCCTGCTTGTTCAGGTGCGTAAATTCTCAGTCCACAGTACATCACAGCAACTGACAATCTGTCTCAGCGCTCCGAAGCCTCCCAAGAAACCAAACTCCTAATCGAGGCCCTGGGCCGCAAATCCGCCATCTACGTCGCCGACCTCGCCGACAACGCCTCCATCTCCTCCCTCGTCCCCCGCATAACAGCGGACGGCCACACCATCTCCATCCTCCTGAACTGCGGCGGGATCCAGCGACGGCACCCCGCGCACCAATTCCCCGACGCCGACTGGAACGAAGTCCTGCAAGTAAACCTCACGACTGTCTTCACGCTGTGCCGCGACGTCGGGGCACACATGCTCGCCCGGCAACCTGACGTACACGGCCGGCGCGGTAGCATCATCAACATCGCCTCGCTGCTGTCGTTCCAAGGCGGCATCACGGTGCCGGCGTACGCGGCGAGCAAGGGCGGGGTGGCTCAGCTAACCAAGGCGCTGAGCAACGAGTGGGCGGGGAAAGGGATTAGCGTCAATGCGGTAGCGCCGGGGTATATTGCCACGGAGATGAATATCGCGCTGATGCAGGATAAGGAGCGGGCGACGAGTATTTTGGCCAGGATTCCGGCGGGGAGGTGGGGAAGGCCGGAGGACTTTAAGGGGAGCGTAGTGTATTTGGCAAGTAGAGCTAGTGGGTATGTTTCGGGGGAGGTGTTGACGATTGATGGGGGGTGGATGGGGAGGTGACGAGGGGGGTCTTGGTGGGTTTGGCATATGTGTGAATAGGTGTTACGGGTGGTTGGATAGATCTAGGACCTAGAGGAATGAGGATTGCGTTGTCCAGAGTCTCAGGACACGCTAGCGTCTAAAGGTTATATTGGTTCAGGGGCTCTCTATCTAGGTCTTCCTATGCATGCAAACTCGCTCAGCAAAGAGATAATCACAAAAACGGGCCGCCCCACAGCCGTGCTATACTACAGGAAAATTCACAACATAAGAGTGCAGTCTCCTCCCCTAGAGCCGAGCTCTCGGCTCTTGACAGTGAAACTGGCTTTCATGTGGGCAATGCTGGCCAGATCGGAGTACGTCGCTCACCCGATTGTGAACACCGCCCTGGAATTCATGACTCCCCTTCGCCCGCAATTCGCGACTACCCCTCGTCCGAAAGTCACGAACCCTCCTTGTCCGAATACGGCGAGTTGCGCACAGTGGAAACGGCCAATTGAGTGGCAAGATGTAGGCCCGGCCGGTGGACCGAGGGGACCTGCGGGTGCGTTGATTACAGTCGCTTGCCTCGAATTGCAGTTGTCTTATCTTTTGCGTCGCTGGTCATCGTGAACTGAGCAGATTGGTCGTGTAAACGAAACTGGTAACGCGAACAAAATTGGCAATTTGAGAAACATGGCAACGTTGATAGCGCGCTTTTGAGATCCGTTCTTTATTGAATGAAACGTGAAACTACAGGAGAGAGAGAGAGACAGGTCGCCTATCCTTGCTGTTCTGTCCGACCATCTCACGATCGCGCTGTGGCCAATGATGACCGGATTCAAGATGGGCACGAGTCCCCTGACGTGATGAATCTTATAACTCAAGGTTGCTTCAAACCGATGCCACATCATTTGTATCATTACTTAGTCTTCGGATGCAGCACCCATGCCATACGGTCTCAACCAGCTATCGGCTATGCGTTGAGAAGCTTTAAATCGGTGGGAACGAGTTGCTCTTGCATGCTCATGGTGTCGAAGTCCGCGTCTCTATGCCCACGACACGACCACCAAACCAAGTGCGGTTGGAGTTCACGAGGTGATGGCGCGAGGAGTCTTGTCAAGAGACTCCAGACTTGTGTAAATTCCGTTGCTCTTTCATTTGTAGTCATCTCGACGGCTCTAACGAATTTTGAGCAAGAACTGCTTGGATAATTGCAAGAGAAAGTACTACACGTTGTACCGCATCGTGAACTTTGAACCTGTTCGCGATACTGGCAGCAAGCGCCATCTTTCTGAAGATTTACGCCGTCTTCCATCCAGAAACGGCGGTACTTGGCAAGTTACTTGTGCCTTCTAGGCTACTTGCAAGAAAGAGAGGGTACGATAAAGGTTTCTCGGCCCTTCCTCGGCCCGCGCGCTTTCCATGACTTGCATGAGCGTTGGTGAGGAAAAAAAAGGGAAGTCAAGGTGACCCGCGGAACAATTCTCGGTCTCTCTGCAGATCGCAGCTCGCGGGAAGATGTCCGGTCTCAACGTGCAAGGGTAGAGGTGGTCGAGTCGGTGGAGACGGGATGTGAAGTAGGACGAGACACAAGGTGAAGGGAGGATCGAGGGATGGCGTTATGGCTTAGTCGGCAATCTAGCCAGCCGAAACGGCTATCGTGAGTATCTTATAGAGCTGTTGGCGTGAACAGCTTCAATACCTGCTGTGTGGCCGGAGCATTGTTGTCTTGTCGACGTCTTTCTGAGAATCCGGGGTACCTTGGTGATAATCTGGTCACTTGACGATGATATTTTACTTTCACCGAGCCACCAAGGATTGTTTGTGTAGGAAGTGCTCTATACCGGCGCGCCAACCATCAGCACGAAGTGTGGCATATCCCCAGAACTCCTCGATCGCGGCTTTATGCCGACTAAATCGAAATCCCGCTACGAACCAAGATCCGCTAAATGCATGTGCAATCGAATGTCCAGATCTCCCACCCCTTCTTCGTCTTCTCTTACCACCTCAGCTTCCTGTCCCGTCCCCTAATGCCGTTCTCATGGTCAAAGAACGCCTCATCAAGCAGCTCCTCATAATAAGGCCTAAGCACCTCGACCTTGGGCACCTCATCGCTCTTGCTGTAAAGATCATACGGGTTAAAGGCACGTACAGCCTCCAGCATCTTGACGTCCTTCTCGTTCATCATCCACATGTAGGCCTCTTGGTTGTGCCATGGGTAGAAGGAGTGGTACCGGATCATAGCGAGCGCCTCCTCCGGCAAGTTAGACTGATCCTTACACAGATGATAGAGGTACTCGTCGTGGCCCCACGACAGCATGACGTTGTCGATGCCGCAGCCGGGCGTGTAGATGCCGTACTTGGTGCTGTAGATCGGGTCGTTGGAGTCCGGGTTGTTCTTGAAAGTACCCGGGTAGATGATCTTCTCGTCGAAGGCGCAGCCGACGGGGAAAGTGTCGCCGACGACGTCCCACTGGCCCTGGGCGTCGAAGAAGAAGAGGAGCTTGCCCAGGTCGTGGATGAGGCCGACGACTTGCATCCAGCGGGGCTTGCCGTCGCGGCGGATGGCCTCGGCGGACTGGAGCAGGTGCTCGATCTGAGAGAGGGAGGTGTCGGGATCAGACTCGTCGATGAGGGTGTTGAGCTTCTCGATGGCCTCCCAGATGGTCATCTCGGCGCGGGTCTTGAACCGAAAGTTGTTTCGTGCCTTGAGGTTGTAGGCCACGGTCTGCTTCTCGTGCTGCTCGCGATAAAAGTTCTTGACGCGGTCACAGGCGTCCTCGTATTGACGGAACTGCGCCTTGTCCTTCTCGGCATCGAACTGGGACTTCTCGTAGATGTCCTTCTCCTCCTGGGTGGCAGTGCCCTGCTTGACTTTCATGGCAGACTTGAGGATATTGACCTGGTCGATGTCATCGGATGTGGCCTCGAGAGCAAGGCCATCGCGATGGTTGTTGAAAGGCTCAGCAACGTTGGGCTGCTCGAAAATGGGTGCAGGTGCCATTTTGAGCGTCTCAAAAGTCTATGGTGAATGAAGGTTGGGTATCTTCGGAGAGTCTAATGTTTGAAACTGGAATATGGAGGGACAGTGTGTGGAAGAAGGTTAGATGGAGATGGCAGGAACGGATGAGCGAGCAGATGGTATTTCAACTATGCTGCTCTGCTTCACTTGTAGTGCTTCGCGTGTAACTGACTGTCTAAGCGAACGGTGGCCAGGACAGGCAAACAGTGTGTCGATTTCACAACGGTGGAGAGCGTGAATCACCGGACCTTGACAGAGCACTGCTCAAAGCAGAAAAAAGAAAAGGCTTCGAGAACCCCACACCTTCGAAAGCCTACCCTGACATGGTGAGACCCGACGCGTACGACTGGTCCAGGTGGCGCCCAGCACATCAACTTCCATGGCACATGGCTGCTTGATTGAGTCTACAAGGGCAAAACCTGGACGCGTCGGCACAACACTCGGTGCAGGTCTCCTCAAAAGGGCAAAAATGGTTCATGGCGTCGGAGTGCTTGCGTCAAGTTGGGCAGACCGTTGAAGCGTTGGACATGGTTCTGGAAGAACTTTGAGCACTCCATGCAGGTGGAGCCTGCGGAAGGCAGTCCGCGTCGATCCAGGGTTCCGCCAAGGGTCTTCTAACCTTTGAACCATTGCATGGCCGTTGAACAGACGTCTGGATACACGATCTTGGAACATGTCGGCGAGATATACTCCTTCTGGCAGATGCGGCAGCCCCTCCACGGGGAATGAGCCTTGTGGTTTGCGGGCCGGACAGCGTCGCGGCTCAACTCCGGCGCTCGGTCCCATCGGTGGTTCCGCTGCCGAGAAAACGCGGGGATGACGGCGGGGTTGTTTGATGATGTTGTGAGCCGACAGCGAAGCAGTCACCGACGGCATAGTTCAGAAACATTGAAGACAGCTGTCTCCCCGCCGGCGCAATGAATACATCTCTCGCGAAAGCTCATGCTCCGTAAGACACCAAAAGAAACTCTTTTTGGCCCGCCTTTGGCCCAAGGCTCACACGGAAAAGTGACGCCCACGCCAAATGGCCGAAGACAGCCCGCCTCATACTGACCTACCTTATATTTATTACTTATCCATCATGCCCAAAACTTGATGAACTAGTTTAAGAGTTCGACTGTATATAGAAAGGATAGAAAAGCGATAATTCCGATATTAACATGTCCGTATAGTTGCATCGTTGAGTGTGTGGTAGACTTAATGTAGTTTTTGCGTGGCCACGGCTATTTTGTATGAGCCTTGGCCCCTCTATGGGCGCTGTGGTTTTCCGGACGGAACCACATCTCCGATGCTCGCTGGTTCGGTGTTTCTACAGCCGTGTGCTGCGGGATGACGGCGGGGGTAATTTGGCGACGTTTTTCTGTAGCTGCTGAAGCAATCGCCGACATTGCGCGTGATTGAAGACGGCTGGATTCCCGCGATGAATCCAACTCTTGCAAAATTCATGCTCAAGCAGACACCAAAAGAAATTCTCGATCCTAAACCCACAATGGACACTTCACTGCCTCTCAATACCGGTACCACCATTCCTGCACTCGGGCTCGGAACATGGCAGTCTGCACCTGGTGAGGTGAAGAAGGCGGTCTCGCACGCCATCTCTGTTGGCTACAGGCACATCGACTGTGCATATGTCTATGGTAACGAGGACGAGGTCGGCGAAGGGCTTAAGGAGGCCTTTGCATCTGGTGTCAAGCGGGAAGACCTCTTCGTCACAACGAAGCTGTGGTGTACATACCACTCGAGGGTGGAGGAGAATCTCGATTTAAGCCTGAAAGCTCTAGGACTGGATTATGTAGACCTCTACTTGATGCATTGGCCGTGTCCGATGAATCCTAACGGTAAGTCTGACGTACCACAGGATGGGCCTGTGTTGAGGCTTGAAGATCACCGGCCCAGCTGGGAATCTGTTCTTCATCCTCAGAGCTCGCGTGGCAGATTTAGATCTGAGGCTCTCCTATGAGTCCGGTCGTCACTTGTGGTGGCTTATGCTCTGAGAGCCTTGTCTTGACTCCAGCTCTGATCATGACCTTCGAGTTGAACACCGCTTGAATAGCCCTCTCGTCGCCTGAGCAACTCTAAGAGACTCTGCTTAGACATAGGGTAAAGTAACAGCCACTTACACTTCATACAGGCAACGACCCAAAGTTCCCCAAACTCCCCGACGGTTCTCGCGATCTCGACGAGTCCTGGAGCCACATCGACACATGGAAGGCGATGGAGAAGCTACTGTCAACCGGAAAAGTCAAGGCCATCGGCGTCGCAAACTACAGCGTCAAGTTCCTCGAGGAGCTCCTTCCGCACGCCAGCGTCACTCCTGCTGTCAACCAGATTGAGAACCACCCGTACCTACCACAGCAAGAGATTGTCGATTTCTGCAAGTCCAAGGGCATCCACATCACCGCGTACAGCCCGCTGGGTAGTACCGGAAGCCCGCTGTTCAAGGAAGAGGTCGTGCAGGAGGTTGCGAAGAAGCACAAGGTCTCTGTTGGATGCGTCTTGCTGAGCTATCATAGTAAGGGCTCCCACGTCTTCTTGTGTCCTGGCGTAAGCTAATCGCTGCAGTCGCTCGAGGGAGCTCCGTGTTGGCGAAATCTGTGACGCCGTCCAGGATCGAAGAGAACAAGAACATCATCAAGCTCGATTCGTCGGACATGGAATCTCTGGAGAGCATACACAAGAAGAAGGGTGTTACGAGATTCGTCTATCCTGCATTTGGCGTTGACTTTGGCTTCCCGGACAAGCAGTAGAAATTTATGGTCTTGATTCATTGGGAGCATTGTGGTATGCCATGCTGACGTAGCCTGCATCTTTTCTCTGTTGTGCAGAAGTTACGGACTAGGCGGCGTCTCGGACTAGAAGTCTAGAGGTGTAGCAATGGACGAGTCGTACTGCCCTTTCGACTCCTCACTTTTGGTTATCGTGTGTTTTAATAATATCATTTGTTCACTTCGCAAGATATCGGCACTCTAGCAAGTTGATGATTCTGAAGTTGATGAATTGCAGCGACTTGGCAAGCAGTTGATCACGTGCCTCAGCCTCTCCCGCGCCCCCGAACTTTTTTTCCAACCACAACCCCACTAAGTCTCGCTCCACCGCCAGAATCCCACCTCGCACAAAAGCTCACCACCCGTAGACCGCGAAAATGTCCATGTATGACGAAATCGAAATCGAGGACATGACATACGACCCGACGCTCCAAATCTACCACTACCCGTGCCCGTGCGGCGACCGATTCGAGATTTCGATTGGAGACTTGCGGGACGGCGAAGATGTTGCAGTCTGCCCGAGCTGCAGCTTGATGATCAGGGTGATCTTCGAGATGGTGAGTGCGACACAAGTTGGTGGGATGCAAACGGAGGGATACCAGGACGGGGCAGGATGCTGATGGGGGATCTGTAGGACGACCTGCCGAAAGACGATGGACCTGATGCGCAACCGGTTGCGGTGGCGGTGTGATGGGGTATAATCGCTAAGTGTCTCAGTGGAGAGAAAAGCCATGCGACCGGTCGGAAGTCGCCATGAGAAGCGTGGAGTGACTGGCTGTCACCGAGATGCTGCCCCATCGGGGCTCACGAACCTGCGAAACAATAAGAATGGAGAGGCTATTCGCCCAGCGTATGGACGCCAGAGAGATGTGACCAGCTATCGAAAGCCCAGTGGAGGAGGTTCCATACGAACAGGCCCGCGGCATGGAGTCGTCGGAAGAAGCGCAGGCAGTGGGCGTTGTGGGCCATAGGTAGTTCCGGATAGAGGAGTGGCAGAAGGAGTGAGGAGCATGCGACAGTGTAACAGCTCGCTGGTTAGTGGTGAATGACCATGCTTACTACGTTGCCTTGTTCGTCGTTTGAGCCATTATGTCATTCTCTAAGCTAGTACCTTTGACGGCCCCAGCAACGGCTACCTCCAGTGCAAATGCCGTTAGACAAATAACAGCTGGAGCTTTTGTCAGTGCCTCGTCCTGCCGTCACCGTTACTCCACGTCAGGAGTCATGCCCACCTCGACTCCAATCTCCTTTCTCAGGATCTGGGTCAACGAGGACCCGTCCCTCAGGTAGATCCAGTCGCCGGTGCCACCGCCCTCCTTTTGATCCATCGATTCGCCAAAGACGACCCAGTCGAATCGCTTCGGGCCCGAGATAGGCGAGCTGAGCCAGATCTGCTTGTTGGGCGGCTGCTTGTTCAGCACATAGGTCCCCTTGTTGGGGATCTCGACTGTCATAACGCCAGCCTGTCCTTGAGTTAGCGGATTGGAATCGCAAACGTTGCTTACAAGGGCTGCCTGTTGGCATGCTGAAGCTGTGACGTGAGACGTACAGCATACTCCACCTCCAGACTGTTATCCGCCTCCTGCATGTCCTCGAGCCTCCCTTGCAACGTCTCGAATAGCTGGTCCGCGTACTCGTTGAACTCCTCATACGAGATGTCCGTGGGTTTGGTGGCCTCTTCTTGCGGCTCAGGCTCTGGTGGCTTCGGATCTTCGGCATCGGGCATTATGCCAGAGTAGCTCGATGAGGAGCTGTGAAAGCTTCGTGAGGCAGATAGAGCTGCATAGCGTAGCGGTACAGCGGCGTGGTTATGGAGCTTAGATCTTTGTATGAAGGTTTGCTGGACCACAGGTTTCGGGGAAGTGCGGAGATTCGTCCGGCGAAGGGTGCTTCGCAAAGCGCGGGCGATTGGGGCCTTGATTATCATTTCGCAGGCGGCGGGTTGCTTCAGGTGGTGAGTTAGATACGGTTCAGGCTCTGAGAAGTGGAAGAACTGTCAAGTGGAAGGATGGTGTTGACTGTTGATGCGAAAGCTTTAAGGCGGTGCTGTGGAGGAGCTTGGGCCCCTCTCTCCCCCGCGTAATCATTACTTACTCCCGTCGACACGTGCCACAAGCGTGATGAACATTCAACGTACTTGGAGCAACCTTCCATGCAGGTGCGCACGATAGAGTCTTGCACATTCTAGACCTCGGACGACTCAATATCGTAGCCTAAGAATCCTGTTGGTTTCTTCCAAAGAACCTTGTCCGTACGTAGGCTCGACCTTACGCCTACAGCTTGCTCAATTAGCTAAACAGTGCTACACCAGCTGCGTAGAATCCGGCGCCATCCGCTCTGTCACACACAGGTAGAAGGTTTAGGTCGTGCAAGAATCCATCGTGTGCGTTGCCCAGTCAGACACGGCCGAGCCATGATTAACGCGGTGCTGGTCTTCAACAATAATGGCCAACCGCGCCTAACAAAGTTCTATACACAGCTGGCATATCTCCCCAAGCTCCCCCCACAGCCTGACAAATCTGCTGATACGTTTGTGACTCCAGGACACCAGCGTCCAACAACGCCTGATCTCCGAAATATTCACCCTTGTTGCTAACCGGCCGAACTCATCCTGCAACTTTCTCCCGTATCCTCGCCCAACCCCAAGAGACCGATAGCACGTCCGCTAACGAATCCCTCAGCCTCCCACCCCTCCTCGCCTCAAGCTCCAAATCCACCACCCCCTCCGAACCCCATAACGACACCCCCTCGCTTGTCACATACCGACACTACGCGACCCTGTACTTCATCATCATCTCGACCTCCACCGAGTCTCCCCTAGCGCTACTCGACCTGATCCAAGTCTTCGTCGAGGCACTTGACCGTCTGTTCGAGAACGTGTGCGAGCTGGACCTGATCTTCAACTTCGAGACGCTGCATGCGACGCTCAGCGAGATGATTGTTGGGGGCGTGGTCGTGGAGACGGGCCTCGAAAGAGTGGTAGAGGGCGTCAAGGCCCAGGGGAGGGTGGCGAAGAGGCCAGTCAATGAGGGGAAAGGGGGTTTGGGGTTCGGTGGGGGCGGGTTGGGGAGTGGAGGTGGGATTTGGGCCGGGAGGTGAGGAGCAGTTCGGGGGAAACGGCAAGACTCTTTCGGGTGGGAGTAGTGTGCATGAATGGATTGTTGTGTGAAGAGCACCGCGCAAGCCGCGGAGTGCTGTGAGCTAATGGCATGCGTATATTGGTTCAGCAAGCTGGTTGCGAACGGTATACGTAAGATGTCTAAGGCAAGTAACATAGCAGTGTTGAGGTCAGGACGTGCGGAAGAACTGGGTAGCGGCACCGATCGAGAGGATGAACTCTGAAGTACCACAGCTACAACGGCGGAAGAGTCCACGCTCTGCACATGCAAAGTCGAGTTGTCGATGGTATTGCTCCGGAAGTCAGGATAGTCAGAACAGAGATGCGGCTCAATTTGGTCCTCTAGAAAGATTGACTATTCATTTGTTTAGTCCGGAACAGAGATCCTAATTCCGGGGACTGGCGAGTAACGCTTCTGGATAGACGCAAGGAAACTTTCCATCTCAGGCTTGGCTGAAAACAGCTTTCATTCCCGTAATGCGGGCTCCAAGAATCCCGACCTTCTTTAGCTCTAAGCTAAGCACCCTGCAGACATCTAGTCCTCTTCCAAAATCAGTGATATCTTCCTCAACTCTTCATAAACGCTGGCTAATTGTGATTCAGCATCTGCAATGATTTTCCGCTTCTTTTCAGCTTCTTCGTCCATCTTCCTTAACGCGTCTGTTATCTGCTCTTTTCGTTTCTTAGCGTTCTGAAACCCTTTCAGCAGACGGTCTCCGTTTATCTGTGCGTCTTTAAAGCCCCTCTCCACACCCAAGGTGATAACGTTCACCTCATGCCGTTTCTTCTCTGCCTCTTGTAACCTTGACTGTGCCTCTTGTAACCTTGTCTGTGCCTCTTGTAACCTTGTCTGTGCCTCTTGCACAACTTTCTGCGCAGCTTCATCCTCACGCCGTGCGTCATCTAATTTGGCCCCCAAGCTCTGAAGTAGGCCACGTGCGGGCTCACACTCTTCTTTTATCGCTAGAAGCTGCGCTTCTGCTTCTCGGGACTGTTCAACGTTCTCTCGGCGTGCACTCTCGTCAGAGTGGCAAACAGATCTTTTATCCTCCAGCTGCTCACGGACTCGGTGTAGCGCCCGTAAAACAAAAATGAAGGAAGGGGTTGTCAGACTCGGACTGGCTCGAGCATCGCCATTCTCTGTTTGGTCATTCGCACGGAGCGCGTCCTCAGGGAACGCTGCAACTTCATGATCTGTGAATCTCGGTTTATTATCTCCCGTGATTGTAACGTCGTTGTCAGCCACGGTACGAGGAACTCCGAAAGCACCTGTTGATTTACTACGGACATGTGTAGAAGGGGTCGAATCTTGAGTGTCCGGCATCGGCAGTGGTAGGCTGTGGTGGTCATCGTGCACGCCGGTCGTGTTGTCCCCGCCACCATCATTCCTGGGAATGTCATTGTTCTCCGTAGTGATTATTGCGGGCAAGATTATGCCATGCGGCTGTGTCGTTTCATCACTCGCGCTAGGAGATTCGGTTGCTGGTGTTGATCCCCGGCTGGCGTGGGACTCAACACGTACTAACGACTGTCCATAGACCGTAGTGGAGCCCAGTGTCGAAGGCATTCGTGGTGACTGCGTCGCTTGACAATTCTCACACCACCACAGCGTGTCGGTCGACGGCGTTGGAAGCATGGGGGGGTTCGAGCATTCCGGGTGATATGCTGCGGGACATGTGTAACAGTGAAGTAACCGGCCCACCTTCGTCCCGCAGTTCGCGGAACACTTGGTTCGTGGGCGTCCTTTCTTACGTGGTGTTTGGGTTGTGTCAGCCTTGCGTTTTTGTCCCGATGCAGGCGCCGGTTCTGATTGAGGAGCGCTCTGTAAGACATGGTGAGATCTCCACTAAACAAACTACGGACTATAAAGGGAGTTACCTGCTCACTGGGCAGCTCGTCGTGAAACCGTTTCGGCTTGGGGAGTCTTCCGGAGCTTCTCTGATCGGGGGACATGGTACTACGCTCAGGAACAGATGTTTGCTGAAGAGGTTGGGTTGATGCGAGCGTAGAAGGGTGTAGTTTAAAGTGAGTTGACAGATGGGAGCCTGCCTCGTGCGGGCGGAAGGAGTACTACGACCGGACTATTAAGATGATGTGTTTGAAGGGAAACAACAGCACATTGGTGACCAGCTTGACCTGCACCTGAACAAGGCGGGATATCTTGTTGCCATAGCGGTCAGGTTGGCATGCGAGCAATCATAGATCCTCACCACCGGCATCACGCGTGTTACATCCGACGGGCATCTGGAGGTGGCTTTCCTGTATCCCAAGCACCGTCCCAGTGCATCCATTGGTTATGCCGGCTGGATAGACGCCCGTTTGACCACATGCAAACAGGGACACTACCATTCTTGGACGCACAGCCGACGGGGAATCGGTAGAAGAGCTACCTGCAGGCGATGGGGCGCCTGCACCTGCGCTAAGCAGATGTATCTATTGGACGTGCGAAGAGCGCGCATGCAAGGGAGTCCACACTCAAGAGGATGATCACATCTCTTCCGAGCCAGAATTCTCAGCATAGGCAATCCATTCAATCTATCATCTACCACGATAGACGCTTCGACACGTCGGCTGCTCAGTTCTAGGTACAAGGCTCAAGTGCAGTCCTATAGGTGGCGTAGTTATGCATCATTCTCCCAATCTAGACGTCTCTCCAAACAAGGTACGCGTAGACACTCATGGTTCGGCAATCAGCTGTCCCACCCTCAGGCGTTCCTCTCTCAACCTCTTGAGTTCTTCCAGTACCGTTTTACAGATTTCGAGCTGCTCTTTACCACATTCCCTCGTTTTGGCAGTCGCGTCGCTGTTCCGGTTGATCTGCTCTTCCAATTCTTCATCGTATCTACGCTTCCTCTCTTCGTCTTGATGCATCTGACACAGCTCGTTTTCCGCCTGGTCTCTGCCCTTGACGGCTTTCTTGGCTTCCTCCTCCAAACGGCTTTCACTCTCCTCCGCCTCTCGACAAGTTCTCCCTTGAACCTGCGCAATACGCTGCGTCTCTTGCAGCTTCCTTCGCGCCTCCTCTAGCTTCCTCTCCGCCTCTTGTAGAGCCACCTGGTCTTTCTCGACTATGTCGTTCACACCTTCGAGACGTCGTGTTTCGTGCTCGGTCGTGAGTTGTGCAGATGCATGCTTCTCCTTCGCCGCTGTGGCTCGCTCCTTTGCCTTTTGAAGCCGTGATTCTTTCTCTTTACGCAGATCCTCGTTAGGCCGGCGACGTAGTTTTCTGTTCGCTAAGCTTGCGTGGAGCAGACCTGTCGCATGAACGTCGGAGGCGTAGGTAAGGGGCTTTAAACCCCATACGGCTCGAGCGTCGCTATTCTCTGTTTTGCCGTCGTACGCGAGGATCTCGTCAACGAACACAGCAAGGTGCTCTTCCACGTATCCAGGGTGGTCAACTTCTATGGTAGAAACGGCGTGCGGGACTGTCAAAGCCCCTATCGATTCACGACGCACAGAGGTAGATGTGATCCTGTTACGAGGATCCGGTGCCGGTACTGTTGGGCCGCGGTTATCATCATGGGTGCCGTTCGTGTGGTCCTTGCCGCTACTCCATCCGGGATTATGCGGCTGCGCTCCTGCGCGAGTATTGCCGTGGGACTCTGTTGGTGGCGCTCCACCAAGGCTGGCGTGGGGCACAAATTCCGGCAAAGGTTGTCGATACTCTATGGGGGAGGTGGAAGACGACAGGCATCGTGCTTTTCGTGATGTTGCTGGTGTGTCGGCCTTCCGCTTTGTTGCTGAAGCAGGTGCTGATTGTGCGAGAGGGCTCTTTGATATAGGGTGAGTCCTTCGCTGATTCGGTTCAAGAAGAGGAATTACCGGCTCGCCTTGGGACTGCTTAGACTTTTGAGGCTGCGCCGAGCTTCGAGTGACGGTGGACATGACAATGTGCTTGGGGACGTGAATTTTTCTGGACAGGCTACGTTATGTTGAAGCTGATCGCTGATAGCTTCCCCAGGCTCCCATTCTACGATTGGAGAGGCCAGCTATATACACTGGCAACATCGACAGGTTGCTGCGAACGGAGAGTGTGCGGTTCAGCGTAGCATGTATTCAGCGAAGGTTATCTACATAATGGCCAATATCCCACTCCCAAGCCCACCAACTTGACCGCCGGCACTAGAACACCTGGCCCTTCCCAAGTAGGGGCTGCATGCTCAGTCAGGGGCTGCATGCTCAGTCAGGGGCTGCATGCTCAGTCAGGGGCTGCATGCTCAGTCAGGGGCTGCATGCTCAGTC